ATACCTCAGGTTCCCTTGAACACGTTTCCACTGCTACATTGGACAGATAGGCCTTTAAAAAGGAAATATAGCGTCCACAATTTGAGGTAAAATAGGTCAAATATATGAATTTTTACCCAATAATGTCACAATTTTAGTCAAATTTAGTCAATTTTGCCGGTTTGAATATTACATCATGCTCCCAAAGCATCCTTAAGCATTTCTGAGTAATTTGGAGAAAATTCATTTATTGGCCAAAATCGTAAAAAAGTAAGGCTAACCCCTTACATTTTTTTCAATTTAGGCCAAAAAATGAAATTTCTTGAAACTTGCTAGGAAGATACCTAAGGGTCCCTAGAAGACGTTTCCACTCCTACATCGGACAGATAGGCCTTTAAAAAGGAAATATTACGTCCACAATTTGAGGTAAAATAGGTCAAATAATGTATATGAAATTTTACCCAATAATGTCACAATTTTGGCCAAAATTTAGCGAATTTTGCCGGTCTGAATATTAAATCATGCTCCCAAAGCATCCTTAAGCATTTCTGAGTAAATTGGAGAAAATTCATTTTTTGGCCAAAATCGAAAAAAAGTAAGGCTAACCCCTTACATTTTTTCAATTTTTGCCAAAAAATGAAATTTCTTGAAACTTGCTAGGAAGATACGTCACGGTCCCTTGAACACGTTTCCACTCCTACATTGGACAGATTGGCCTTTAAAAAGGAAATATAGCGTCCACAATTTGAGGTTAGGCCAAAAAAAAAAAATATTCGGTCTCTGGTCAGACCAAAGTTCCGGAATTGACGCGGCCACGCGGCTTTTTTTTTTTTTTTCTTCAGCTTGGATTGTACAGACAAGGTGGGTACTATTTTGCTTTTTTGGTGTCCTCATGTACATTGGTGGCCTCCATAATTTGCCTTGGTGCTTTCGATCATTTGCCTTGGTGCAGTTTCCCATTCCTTGGTGCTCTTTGGTAAAAAAAATTGAGGAGGGGCGGAAATAGAGGGCGCTGTTGGAGCTTCCGCGCAACATTTTGGAAAAAAAAAAAGATCGACGCGCATGCTTAAAATCGACGCGCGCGCTGACCAGAGACCGACTTATTTTTTTTTTTGGCCTAAAATATCTCAAATATATGAATTTTTACTCAATAATGTCACAATTTTGGCCAAAATTTAGCGAATTTTGCCGGTTTGAATATTAAATCATGCTCCCAAAGCATCCTTAAGCATTTCTGAGTAATTTGGAGAAAATTCATTTTTTGGCCAAAATCGAAAAAAAAGTAAGGCTAACCCCTTACATTTTTTTCAATTTTGGCCAAAAAATGAAATTTCTTGAAACTTGCTAGGAAGATACCTCAGGGTCCCTAGAAGACGTTTCCACTCCTACATCGGACAGATAGGCCTTTAAAAAGGAAATATTACGTCCACAATTTGAGGTAAAATAGGTCAAATAATGTATATGAAATTTTACCCAATAATGTCACAATTTTGGCCAAAATTTAGCGAATTTTGCCGGTCTGTATATTAAATCATGCTCCCAAAGCATCCTTAAGCATTTCTGAGTAATTTGGAGAAAATTCATTTTTGGCCAAAATCGAAAAAAAAGTAAGGCTAACCCCTTACATTTTTTTCAATTTTGGCCAAAAAATGAAATTTCTTGAAACTTGCTAGGAAGATACCTCAGGGTCCCTTGAACACGTTTCCACTCCTACATTGGACAGATAGGCCTTTAAAAAGGAAATATAGCGTCCACAATTTGAGGTAAAATATCTCAAATATATGAATTTTTACCAATAATGTCACAATTTTGGACAAAATTTAGTCAATTTTGCCGGTTTGAATATTAAATCATGCTCCCAAAGCATCCTTAAGCATTTCTGAGTAATTTGGAGAAAATTCATTTTTTGGCCAAAATCGAAAAAAAAAGTAAGGCTAACCCCTTACATTTTTTTCAATTTTGGCCAAAAAATGAAATTTCTTAAAACTTGCTAGGAAGATACCTCAGGGTCCCTTGAACACGTTTCCACTGCTACATTGGACAGATAGGCCTTTAAAAAGGAAATATAGCGTCCACAATTTGAGGTAAAATATCTCAAATATATGAATTTTTACCCAATAATGTCACAATTTTGGCCAAAATTTAGTCAATTTTAACGGTTTGAATATTAAATCATGCTCCCAAAGCATCCTTTAGCATTTCTGAGTAATTTGGAGAAAATTCATTTTTTGGCCAAAATCGAAAAAAAGTAAGGCTAACCCCTTACATTTTTTTCTATTTTGGCCAAAAAATGAAATTTCTTGAAACTTGCTAGGAAGATACCTCAGGGTCCCTTGAACACGTTTCCACTGCTACATTGGACAGATAGGTCTTTAAAAAGGAAATATAGCGTCCAGAATTTGAGGTAAAATATCTCAAATATATGAATTTTTACCCAATAATGTCACAATTTTGGCCAAAATTTAGTCAATTTTGCCGGTTTGAATATTAAATCATGCTCCCAAAGCATCCTTAAGCATTTCTGAGTAATTTGGAGAAAATTCATTTTTTGGCCAAAATCGAAAAAAGTAAGGCTAACCCCTTACATTTTTTTCTATTTTGGCCAAAAAATGAAATTTCTTGAAACTTGCTAGGAAGATACCTCAGGGTCCCTTGAACACGTTTCCACTGCTACATTGGACAGATAGGTCTTTAAAAAGGAAATATAGCGTCCACAATTTGAGGTAAAATAGGTCAAATACATGTATATGAAATTTTACCCAATGATGTAACAATTTTGGCCAAAATTTAGCGAATTTTGCCGGTCTGAATATTAAATCATGCTCCCAAAGCATCCTTAAGCATTTCTGAGTAATTTGGAGAAAATTCAGTTTTTGGCCGAAATCGAAAAAAAAGTAAGGCTATTATATAGCCTTACATTTTTGATGAAATTTGGCCAAAAAATGAATTTTCTCCAAACTCTTCAGAAATTCGTCTGGATGCAATAGAAGCCTCAATCAATATTCAAATACCCCTAATTTTTGAAGATTTGGACAAAAATCATCCATATTTGTACAGAGAAAAAAACTTACATTTTTGACTGATTTACGCCAAATTTTGACGCTTTTTTTCCTTGGGAATAGCACATCTGCACAGAATTCGAGTTGGAATGTGTTCTAAGGCCCTTTAGGCATCTTCCATGAAAGTTTCAAGCAATTTCATTTTTCAGCCAAAATTGAAAAAAATGCAAGGGGTTAGCCTTAGTTTTTTGATAAAATTTGGCCAAAAATTGACTTTTTTTTCAAACTCTTCAGAAATTTGTCTAGATGCAAGAGGAGCCTCAATCAATATTCAAAGACCGGAACTTTTCGAGGATTTGGGCAAAAATCTTCAAATATTTGTGAAAAAAAAATATTTTTGAGCAATTAATTCACCCAAAATTGATGAAGCATTTTTTTTTCCGAGTTGGAATGTGTTTTAGGCTCTTCAGATATCTTCCCTGCAAGTTCCAATCAATTTCAAAACAAGTGTCTGATCATCTCAAAATTCATTCACCTCCAGCCTGCCAGGAAAAACACGAACGACTTGAGCGAGAATCGAATCTCCACCATCAGTCTGTCTACATCATCCTAAAATCTTGGGAAATATTGGTAAGTTTTCTTGGGCTTTTCACATTTGTGTGTTGTGAAGTGTCGACCAGTTATGATTTAAATGCCGTCTTTTGATTGAATTTAACACCTACTGTGAACAAAAATATAGATCACTCATTCTCTTAAAAAGTGGCTACATTGTGCAATCTTTATTCCGGAAAGAGAAAACGTGTTGCATTCATTTGGTGATTTTACAAAAATAGGACAAGAAATCTACAAATTTGAAATAAATATTTTTGAGTATTTTATGTTACAGTAATTTATCTCTCTTTTTTTTGGCCTTATCCACGAAAAAAAAAACCCAGCAAAACAAGACATAGTTTGAAATGCTGTTTAGTAGTCATTCGCCTTTCCAAAAACGGGCAATTTTAAAGACATTTTGCCTCTGCTATTTTAGAGTATCAGGCTCGAAATTAGATTTTTTTCTTAAACATGTTAAAGGTAAAAATTTACAACATATACAAGCATCAAAAAACAAAACTACCAAATTATTATGAAATACCTCACTTGACTGTAAGTGAATCATAGTCTCAAGCATCCTATGAAATCATGGCACCTGGTGTGCTGTCATTTTCAATAAAATTGGTATTTTGGTAACAATTTCCAACGATGGTTGGCTGACCATCGTTGGAAAAAACATGTTTTCTTCATATACTGCTCCCAATTTACCAAATTCAGTTAGTCCACATATTGTTTGCAATTGGTTACACATCCGCAACAGGTGCAAGCCAGCTAGTCTGGTTCCCTGACCTGACAATTCCCCGACGTCTATAAAATGCTCCGTTTCTGATATAGGGTCAGGGAACCAGACTACAAGATCCGCCATCTTGGATTTCCAAAGTGCCACGCTGTCAGGCCTTTAAATTTTTTTCACTACCCAGACGGACTAGTGACTCAGACGCTTATCGAGCTCACTGGCCTTTTCAATCGTCCACAATATATTTTCAGTTTTTTGCACCAGAATGTTTTAAACAACAATGTGCATACATGCATAACTTCATCCTGAGGCAATCTTGTCAGTGTTTTCAACAAACATATCCAAATAAAAGTGAATTAAAACAAATACAAATTGTTTTACATTTATCAATTAAATCAACTTTAAAGAAATAAACTAAATAATTATATTATTAATTTTTTCTTAATGTAAGAAACTGTTTATGGTGATTAGAATAGATCAAAACGAAGGTCGAACCCTGTTTTGCGGTTGAGAGGTCATTTGCCTCTTAAAACATTTCCTCTCATCTAAGTATTCTTCAGATTTTTTAAAATTCAGTTTTCCTAAAATACAAGCCAATCCTAGGAAAAGGATTGTTTTAATTTTGAAATACTTATTTTCATCCCCGGCAGAACTCCAGAAGATGAAAGGCGAGACCAACTACTTGTAAAAACCTCAAAATTTACTGTGCATAATTGGTGACCCAAGATGGCCGACAATTGCTTCACTGCATGAGCACTGTCAGCATGGGTGACCCAAGATGGCCGACGATTGCTTCACTGCATGAGCACTGTCAGCATGGGTGACCCAAGATGGCCGACGATTGCTTCACTGCATGAGCACTGTCAGCATGGGCGACCCAAGATGGCCGACGATTGATTCACTGCATGAGAACTGTCAGCATGGGTGACCCAAGATGGCCGACGATCGCTTCACTGCACGAGCACTGTCAGCATGGGCGACCCAAGATGGCCGACGATCGCTTCACTGCATGAGCACTGTCAGCATGGGTGACCCAAGATGGCCGACGATCACTTCACTGCAGGAGCACTGTCAGCATGGGTGACCCAAGATGGCCGACGATTGCTTCACTGCATGAGCACTATCAGCCAGTCCAGTGAGCATAGCGGTCAGTGCACGGACTCACGCCTTGGCCTCTTTCTCAGCATTCAACTGCTGCACAACACTCAGCCACATGTTCTTAGGAAGCGACGCCATCTGACTGGAAACCCTAGAAGATGAATACAAAACAGGGAATTAATTACAAATAATCAACTCTTTGCATAATCCTTTACAAAGGGGTAACAGTCTGGTGGCGCAGATTTGGTGCCCAAATGGATTTCGAGTAATTCTTCGATAGCTAAACGTTATAAAAAAAAATATTTCAGTCGATATATCGTTCCAAAGTGAATAATGTTTGTATTGGTAGAAAAACAGCAATTTAGAAATGGAATGTATTTTTCCCGACGAAACTCAGGAAAATCAACTTTAACAGCGAAAGATGAATGATCATTGCGGTATAGTATATGAAGGATATCCTAAATTTGACAAGTGGCTTTTTTTTCCATGCAAACACGGGTTACTGAGTTTGTAGGCTTCGTAATTCACTGACACCGAGCCGTGGTCTGGTTCCACTCACCTTGATGTTGTGGGTTTCTCGTCTAGTTCCTGACCTGTCTTGGTATTGTCAAGGCCGCCGTTAGGTTCAAAGGTCGTGCAGGGCACCTGTAGCTCCAGATACTCAGGAGACAGCTCACCCTCCGGAGTCAATGCGAAACCAAGTTTTTCTAGCGGGGAAAAAAAAAAAAGATGTAAAAATAAAATTCTTCAGAAATATTTACCGCTTCACAAGGATGGATTACAATTCATTACTATACCTCATACATATTCATGAGCAATAGGTGTCTCCTTATTGGCTACCGCTGAAGTCGAACCCTGTATTTGTGTACTATTTCTATTCTCCTACTATGGATGGGATCCTAGTCCATTGCAGGCAGATGCTAGTACCAACTCTTATATACTCCTGTGTAGAGTGAGGCAGTAGGGGTAAAGTGGCTTGCCTGAGGACACAACACATGCCAGTTGCTGGATTCGAACCCCTGACCCTCTAGATCCTGAGTCACAAACCCTAAACCACAGTAACACACATTCCCTTGGCCATTTTTCAAATCTAGGCCTTGTTTCCAGCTTTAGGGACATTCTGCAATATGACCTATTGGATTCACTGGAAAATAGTTCAAACTTAGATTCTGCCAGAGGGTCTAATTCAGCCGAAGCAACAAACTTGGGATGAAACCGCGGTTTTGAAAATTGCCCCCGACTCACCACAGTTGATGTCGCCCAGCATCTTGGCAGCGTTCAGGCACATCTCGGCGGTCCAGAACGCCGGGATGGAGGGGAACAGGTGATGGGAGTCCTTGGCGCTGTGCATTCCCACACGCCGCAAGATCTCCTGGAAGTGGGGATCGTTCATGGCCAACTCGTCTGCTTGCGAGAAGGCGAACAGCGGAACCGACTTCATTTGAACTGTGGGGAGAGGGGGGGGGGGTGGAAGGAAAAAAGGACAGCTCAAAGTAAGACTATCGTTTTGTTTTTTTTGTCTTTTGACATTACCAGTATTGAAACCAACAAAGGTACACCGTAAGCTGGACCAGGTCCAGAAAACCACGCTAGATACTTTGACTTTATAGAATAACGGCACAGAAGATCCCTTCGAAATGTAATGAATGCTACCATGAAATTGCCCATACCATAAAAAAAGCATTGTTATACCTCTGTCTTGAATACTGTATTTTTATTGGCCTAGAACGATCACTTGTTAAGTTTATAAAAAGTCATGGCACACTCCCTGTGGGATATCACGTACACCGGGATTAAGCTATGACTTTGTACGTACGGTACGTATGGTGTGAAACGCTTGTATCGTTGGTATCCATGCTATTTTCACAATGTTTTCACACATGAGTGAGAGCAGGGAACTAGCAGACGATCAGCCGTTTCGAGCATGCGACATGCATGTGAGTTGGCGTTCGATTGTCATGATTGTTGTGTTTACTGCTGTTTGTTTTCGTGATTTTTACATCAAAATCCAAGACACAGGTATAACAAATTCGCCTCAGGTGCTATGCGCCCATCGGGTGTTCAAAATGTCATATCCCACATCACAGCAGTCAACAATTGTAACTTCACCTTTTTTTTTTCCAGAAGTTTTGTTCTTAAAAATGACACGTTAAAGTTTTTAAGTACTTACTGTGATTCAACCAAACCACGGGCTCAACGACTGCCGTCTTGGGACAAGCTGGAAGATAAGAAGATATGGATGAGAGTAAAGTGGATATCATTTTTAGGCACGTAGGATCAACAAGTGCAATAGATGTATCAGTAAGTTAAAGCAAAACAAGTTAAAATCTTACCTAGTTTGGCATAGCATGTTTCCAGCAGTAAGTTCTGCAGGCCACGAATCTGAGGCTTGTAACCTGAAACCAAGTAAACAAACAAACACAATTTTTTAAAATTCCAACGCTTGAACGATTGCCGTGATGTCACAAAATGGCTTTTGCATTCACTTTCATGCTTTGAACCCCCTTTCCTGCAAAAAAAAAATAAAATTCACAAAATGTCATACATTTACATAGAAAAAGATTTCCATCTGACGTAGAAGAGAAATGTTTCGCTTGCCTAGAACTTATTTCTAGAAGCGAGTAAAGCCATCAGATTTTGAGTGCGTTCGATTACTTCCCCCGTGCTTACTCGTGCAAGCGCGACAGCGTTCGATTTACCTCTCACGTGACTTATCGCGCTTACTCGAGCCTGGTCCAAGTAACCGACTCGCCGAGCCGGTTACTTGGGTAAGTATCCCATAAGGCCATGCAATAAACATGGCTGCCAACGTGATGTCCGGCGGGCGTCTCAGGCTGTGCCCGAAACGGGCTTCCAGAGCTACAGCTATACGTCTATTGTCAGCGCGTCCCGGCGAATTTTCAATGGGCGTGGACCAAGACCCTATGACCTAGACCTAGCTCTAGACAGTTGATTCGGATCATTGATCTCCATTAGTAAGACCGAATGCAGCCTGTATCATGTCAAGTTCAACTTTCTAGTTCTTACACGAAACTTTACCCGCAACCGTTCGTTTATTTTGCTCCACTGCGCATGTCTGTCATCACGCGAGGAGCAGGCGCAAGTAAGCTGGGGTAAGTAATCGAACACACTCTCTGTGTCACACTAGGACAAACAAAAAATTGGTAACCACAGAAAGTTCTGGCTAAGCACAATTGGTTACCGGCCAAAAATGCCACGCAATGTATACTGATTTTGGCTGGTTCCCACCTTTGATGGTTAGCGCCCTGATGCAGGTTTTGACGTTGTCCTTGATGTGGTTCGTCTCGGCAGTCTCGTCTTCGCTGCCGCTGCTGTGCATTGTGGGTAGGCTCAACCCTCCCTTGGCAGTCAGCGATTTCTGAAAAGTCAGAAAGAAAAATCCAGCGAACATCTGTTAAAATCAGAGACGAAAACGGACACAGGAATTTTGCAAAAGAGAAAGTTAAAGGCACATGGGATCATTTGCTTGTCGTGCATTTTGTTTGTTTCCAATAATAACATCGCTCAAAATCCAAAGACGAATTTTAAAACCAAACCTGTTAAATTTCAGCTCGGCACAAATGACGCTTTTCGAGAAAACAGTGAGACAGCATGCTTAACCTTTTGATCACGAAACACGATTTCGTCCATAGCATTCTGTATTTCCAAAAATTAGTCAATTGACTGATCGTTGGAAATCACCTACGTTTCTTGATTTCTTCTAATGACAGCAAGCCAGATGGAATAATTTCACAGGGTGTTTAGTACCAGTACAATCTTTAATCCAAGTCAGCTTTTTGATGATAATTTGGTAGGTTACTTTGGGGAAAAATGCAAATTAGTCTTTAAGATACCTTAAACGGGGAATATTCATCCTCCGAACTGTCATCAAGCTCCTCATACTTCCTGAGAGAAAAAAAAAAAGGAGCATAAAAATTGAGTTGATAATCCACTTCACGTCCGATGACGTGTATGCACGTCAAGCTTTTGCGGTATTCAGAACGGATGATGGATAAGCACGCAACGAGCGAGGCTAGAAGTATCTATCAGTGACCCGCTCACAGCGAGCGAGGCCAGAAATATCAGGGTGTGTTCAACAAGTTTACTTCATGTCTTTTTAAACACCTCTTTGGCTATGTTATGGTATGTGCCTCTTGCGAGCAGTTGTAAACATCTCCTTATATGGAGATTGCTGAGCATGTGGCGTGCACTGCGCGATGTGGCGTGCACTGCGCGATGTGGCGCAGAACGCAGCAGTGCCAGTGTAGTGTGAATTTAGGACTATCAAAATACGGTCCCATTGGTGGTATTGCGCTTGCCTAAGTGAAGACTGTGATCGTTCTATCAACCAATAACAGGGAAAAAAGGGACAGGATTTCATAGGAGTCCAAATTTCATGTGACACTGTAAAAAAGTCCCTAAAAATGGTAAAGGGGCCAGATTTCATAGGAGTCCAAAATTTCATGTGACACCGGAAAAGTGTTTAGCCAACCAGTGTTTTATCAAGCATTTTAAACCACACACGTCACGTGATGTGCTCTCGACCAATAGGAGTGGGTAAACTGTCTTAGGTATTTATGAATGAATGATTAAGTGATCGGAATCAATGAACGATACCTCTTTTTGCTTGTTGAGGCTGCAATGTGTTCCATCAGTATGTCAGGGTTGTTCACGCTGTGCTCGGCAAAGACTTGAACAATGTGATCCATGAAGTCCCAAGAACTCTGAAACGAAACCAAAACGAAAACAAGAGATGTCATATGTCATTATCTGTTTGGTCACATCACCCTTGTCCATATTTACAAGGTCCATATTTACAAGGGCGGATCCAGAACACAAATTTTGGGGGCCCCCACAAAGTGGGTCCAAAAAATTACAGCGTGGGGTTCGGGGCGCACTTAAGGGGCCCAAAAAATGTTTGGATTCTAGATGCTCTGTCGTGCGATCTGAGGCAATTTCTAACCACTTGAACCCATGGCTTTTTTTTGGGGGGGGGGGGGGGGGGAAAGATAGTGGTGTACTCATTGCCTGCCTTTATTGCGACGTCACATAGAAAATATTTTAAAAATTGGGTTTTTTGGGGGGGGGTTCCAAATGCAGAGTCATGCTGATTCAGCAACTTAAAAAAACATAATGTGCATTTCTGTTACATTACTCCTGGAGAAAAAAATTATCTTTTTTTTACATTAATTCTTTGGTACGTGAATAATTGCAAGCATAAATAATGCTCTTCCTTAGATTTATCAGTTTACGTTATTAACCCTCCTATGCAAACATACAGTCTGTGCCAAGTTGTTCTTTTTAGTTAAAATCAATCAAGTGACTGTTTTCAACAGTTAAGAGCTCCCAGCCTTCATAAAGCAGGATTGACTGGCTGTGACTCTTTATGTAACTTGTTACAGCTATGCTTTGATTGCAGGTGATTGATAGGCCAGCTATGAATACCACTTGTCTGCTTTTGTCAGTTGACTGAATTTGACTAGTCACAGCGCTTGCTTGAAGTATGACCTGACTGTTGGTGACTAGCCTGTGTAAAAGGCAAGGCAGGGGAACAGGATTGATATTTTGACTGTCTGTGACTGTTCAGACAGCAGGAGGGTTAAAGCTGCAATACGTCCGCACATGTATACACCTCACAACTCACAAGGCATGAAGGTGTATGATCGGTTTCAAGTATTCCATTCTTTGTTCTGAAAACCCCTTGGCCCAGTTCATGTAGTGATACCAGCTAGCCTTTAATGTTTGGTACCAGTGTGGTAGGCGTTCATACATATTGTCACCGTTGTCAATCATTACCTGGGATATGCAGTCCTCAGCCCCATGTTCCCACAGATCGGCAAAAGTGTCCAGTATCGATAGCTGGTAGACCAGCTTGTGATTCCGCAGATCGACGGCGGTGTGGTACATCAGTGTGAACGCCGCCTCGTTTTCTTCTTGGGTGTTGCTGCTGAACTTCGTCAGCAGCTCGTTGTAGGTCAGCAGGACTTGGCGACTTGCCAACCTTTGCGGAGGGAAGGATAGAACAAGACAAAAAATAGTTATGACATCCAAAAAGATCAAAGTCAAGAAACTAAGCAAAAGTTTTGCAAAAACTTTCCGTTTTTGAAAAAAAAACATCCACAAACGTACGGCTGTCTGCTTCTACTCCTGTAAAAGTCAAATTTTCTTAAACAAATCGAGATTGATTTGGTGGAGCACTTGAATTATAATTGAGTGGTCACAGGTTCAAACCCTTTGCGTAGGTTGCACTCAAGTAGTTTCTGGTTCGAATCCTGTCCTAGTCAAAGTTACTTAAAGGTTAAGTCCATCATTTGTAATTTGTGCATTTTGTTCGTTTGAAGCAACAAACGCCCCCAAAATCTAAAGAAGGGTGCTGAACAACTAACCTGATGACATTTCAGCTCAGCTTCAGCTGTATATTCCGAGAAAAACAGCATTCTAGGATCCCGATTTCAAGTCAAAAGTTGCTGAATCATGTTTTGAATTGGGACTGAATTCAGCGTCCGAGACACGTTCTCACTGAGCCGATTGCAGCTACGCGATTGTCGCGCACCGATCCAACAAATTAAAGCAACCGTGCGAGTGTGTGCATCGTAACTTCCAACGATGTCGACTTCGGTCAATGGACTGATCGTTGGGAATAGAGAGTTCAATTGACGAAACCGTGTTTCACGATCAATAGGTTTAGCATGGTTTTTCACTATTTTCTCGAAAAAGGGTTATATCCACTGAGCTGAAACTTCAACAGGTTAGGTTTGGAACATTCTTCTTTGGATTTTGAGTGGTGTTATTATAGGAAACAAACAAAATGCATGAAATGCAAATGATCTTATATGCCTTTAAAATGAACTACAAATGATCGGATTAAGGCACTCACTGCTTGACGTGCTCTTCACAGTTGAACTTGCTGTTTCCTTCAACGGCGTACGCCTGCTCGCTGGTGATGATGCGGAGCAGTTCGTCGTTGCCGACGACTAGTGCCCTCAGGTACTGGACCGACTCGTTCTTGGGACGGAACTTGCGCAGGAGGAGCAAGTAGAGCTTGCGCAGTCCTTCCAAATGACAAAGGCAATCTGGGGGAGTGGGGGGGGGGGTGGATACAAAAACAGGAAAATTAGAAAACAAGGATCCATAACTAACATTTTGGTATATTAACCCTTCTACCCTGAATCCATCAAATCCTCTTTGCCAGAGTGGAGGAATTTATAGAATTGAGGTTACAGAAGCCGTTCTAGGCCATGGAATGCAGTCTGTGGGCCGTGCAGCTGCCACTGGACAAAGGCCGCTGTGCAGTCACGCGTGCAAACCGGTCAAGCGAGGCACGATAATCCCAGCGTCAAGTGGTTAAGTTAGAAATGGGAGTGCAAAAGCCTTTAAACTCGATAATCTCAAAAAGTGATTGACGTCCTTTTCCTTGGCACACAAAGGGTTAATCTCAAGATTAAAACCCTGTGACAGGTAGGATACTCACTCATGAAGTTACTCAGACTCTCTCGCTCCTCGGTTCCGAGTTCCTTCTCCATGAACCGCCGAGTACTCGACAGGATTTGCCTCAGACTGGCGACAAGAAGATACAATCTGAGAAGAGAGTGAACAAAAACAATGTGCTCAAGAGAAGACTAAAGTATTCGATTATTTAAACGTGGCCTTGATCAACTATTCAAATATTACAATCTGCCAATTAAGTTTCGCAGCTGTGAAGATGATTTACGACTAAAGACGGCACCCTACCTTCTGAAGAGGATGTTGGATTTACTGTCGGCCGTCGCGTCGCCGGTAGCGAGGGTGAAACTCTCCCACGTGTTCAGAGTGACGAACATGAGATACGTGACCACCATGCTGGACAAATTATACCTGCGTTCAAAGAAGTAGAAAGAAGACTTCAAATTCCTTGATTTCTTTACAGTTGTTGTCATCTTAAAACGTAGATCTCATGATAGTTTAATACGGGTGAAATGACAAAAATTAAACAAGCTGCTTGTTTTTATCATCAACAATAAAAAAAAGATTAGTGTTGTTTCAAAGAAGAAAAATGCGCCTTTAACTTGTTGAATAACCACTTCACAATTTTTGAATTACTTGTGGCTGGACAACAATTCACCATCGAAGTGATTACGTAAGATCTGGCACGGCAAATATGGCCACCACTCACAATGGACTCAAGTATTCTCTGAGCATTTTTGTGTTGTTTCGTACATTGGAAAAGAATCTCAAGGTCTGACTTTTATTTGTGTGATTACAGCTCACAGCGAAACAGCTGACCGTTGTAAGGTAACATTTATTGACCAATTTTCCAAAAACGATTCACTTCACTTTGAATACACGTACAGTACCATTGGATTATGTACATGTAACACTTCTCGCTCACTACTATGTAAAACTTCGATAGTGAATTCTGTTTTCTCAGGTAGGCTGATTCCCGCCCTACAATCAGGATAAAGTAGGAACATCTGCTCGCAAGGCTGTTTTGATATTGACCTAAAAACATTTTTTAGTTCCAGACACCAAAAAAAAAAAAAAAAAAAAATGGAAAGTTTGGAGTTGGAATGAAACATGCCCAAAAAAATGAATTTGTTGAAGCGTATGGTCACAGATCTGAAAATGGTGAATTTCCAACGGCAATCAAGGTTTACCTGACGTCACTGTAACTGATGCAGGGCAGCGACGAGAAGGGAAGAAAGTAGGACATACACCACAAGACGTAGCAGTCGTTAACACGCTGCAGAAGATTGTCCTGAAAAAGAAATCAGTCAGAAAATAAACAACATGATTATTCTATATAATCAATCTTTCCATCTAGTATGTGTGGTCTAGCGGTGGAGCACAGAATTCATGATCGTGAGGTTGTGGGTTCGAGCCCCGCCGTGGCCATGCGTGTTGTGCCCTTGAGTAAGGCGCTTTACCTCAATTACTCCTCTCAACCCAGGTGTTAAATGGGTACCGGCATTATTCAATGCTGGGAAGGTAACAGACTCGCTGTGGAGGAGGTGTGGCGGTCCCCCACAGCAGCATATGAGTCTGGCCCAAACGCTTAGAAAGAGAGATGGCACTCCGTTCCTGTGAACACAGGTTCGTCCACTTTAGCTTTACTTTACTTTTATTCACTACATAGCAATTTTAACAATCAATCTCTCCATCCAGTACATAGCAATTTTAACAAGAACAGAAGTCTTGAAGCTGTACGAGGACCAACAAGTTTTGAAATAACTCTCCAATTAGCTCACCTGCGATAATAGAATCAATCGGTTCAGTCCGTGCTGACAAAACCTCACGGCAAACTTACACAGCCGGTTTCTGGAAGTCAAGAAGGAAAACGATTTGCTACTCACAACTTTTAATGATAAATATACTTTAATTATTGGGTTCTGGCCATCCGCAACATCACAAGCTATGGGAAAGCAGTGTCTCTTGAGCAATTACCCCTTTGGGGGTGTGGCATACTTTTTCATAAAAAAAGGGGGCATATTCCAAAGATGGGCTTGCGGAAGCCCATATGCATTTCAGGTATACATTCCGTGAAACTCTCAGGATCACCTATGGACACCTCAACAAGTCCAAAAAAATTGCTTGGCGCTTTTCTGGAATTTTTTTGTCTCGTGATTTAATAGCACTTGGGTGAGCTGTGTCCAAATGCTAAAAGGAAAAGCGAAATTATCTGAATCATTTTTTTTCTCTGGTGACACCACTTTATTTGGCTATGTCTGAATGAGGAAATTATGAAGGTGACATTTTTTGACCGACAAATGTTAGAGTAATTAAGAAACTTAGCACAACGGACTACACTATTGAGAATGTTGCCTGCGCTGGAGTTTCAAATGTTCAACTTGATATGACCTTACCTTAATAATTCCTGCTTCCTGCCAGTTCCGTCCATGGACGTGCTGCTCGTACTGAAAGACGAACCGGTCTCTGACGAACTGGTGAAGGACGACGAACTGTTATCTGAGGATACGCTAAATGTCGAATCGTTCCCCGACGTCCTGCTGTCGGTATCGTCCTGTTGCAAGGAATCACATCTGGACATTAGCAATATTTAAGTAAAAAGGAGACCTGTCAATAAATACAGGGAGAACTTGTGGACAAGTTTATCCGTAAAAGGCCATGCAGATTTTGAACAACTTTTCCAGAATCTTCCCAGCAGCTGATGTCATGAAACAGTGCTTAGGATTTAAGCAACAGATTTGTTGCGCAGCTGCGCAACAAACTTACAATAGATTCGAAACTTGGCCTAGCTACGTAACATTTTTAAATAATTTAAGCATCTTGGGACGAGGGTAGTTAAATCATTTACGGAGGCTGTTTGTGTGTGATTTCTGTTTGGTCATGAAACAGTCGTTGAGTCGTCTCCGCCTGCCATTTTAAAAATAGTTTTGACTGACTTTCTTAGGAATCGTGTGGCAACTCTAAGAATTCTGTTACGGAAAAAGAGTAGTCCAGTTCTAACACAAAGCTGTGAGTGTCTTGCATGAAGTTTGATAACTTCAGCAATGACAGGCTCCATGACAATCACGAAATTGCCTGTAAAAGAGTTAATTTTAAGTCACTTACGCCACCTAAAATTATTGTGCAAGTTCACCATAATGCGTTGCGTAAAGTCACAGACTTACGCACTATGAAACTTAACTGAAATGTTGCGCAGCGTGAAATGTTGCGCAACTTACGTAACAAATTACGGCGCAAGTGGAGTAACGCCATTGCGTAAAGTTTCGTAAAATCGGCTGCAGATTTCATACCTCTTCTGATGCCTGGCTGTCTGGGCTTCCACGGGGATCCTCTCTCGGCCTGCAGAGATATTCTCTCGGCCTCTTGGAAGAGTTGTTCTCGCTCGTCGTCTCTGTCGTTGCGGGTGGTGGCGACGCATCCACGCTCCGCGGGGACTCCTTCCCCGAGCAGGTCGAGGAGTCATCAGCGAGGGCGAACCCCGTCAAGGAATCTCTCAAAGAATCCTCGTCGGTCGAGAGATCCCTGGGAGATGGCGGCACCCCCGGCGACGAATCAATCCCGCTGCTGCTACTACTTGTCTCCGAGCTTTGACCTCCAACATCATCGCCGTCGTGGCTAGTAACAGGTGCGCCACCACCTTTTACCGTCTCACTGTTCTCATCGTCGGCTTTTTCGTCCGGATGCTTCTCGGCCGACAAACCTGTATCGCTATTAGAATCCGTGGCAAAACCCTCCGACAGGGGGAAGCCAGAGTCACTGCTCGAATAACCCAAGGGTTCACTGCTTCCAGAGGAAATGTTATCGTCCAGCGTGTGAATCTGAAAGGCAGAGCAGCCGTTTTTTGCAAGGGGTGGGCTTGACTCCCTCAAAGTCTTCCACGGTGACTTTACGTCGACTTCAACGTTCTCTGCGCCCGTTTGTTCAGGACTTGTACCGCTTGACTGCGTTTCTTGCGACGCAGGTGCAAAGAGAGTTCCTTTCTCGTACAGCTTAGCGGCTCGCTTGACTAAATCTTGAGACATCTGAAGTGACAAAAAGGAAAGCCGTGATCAAATACTCAAAAAATAAATAAAACACCGCCAGTTGTTTGGAGCAAGTTGTCACATAACCAAACAACTAAAATTGTAAATGTTTCCAATAATGAGGTATTGAATGACCAAACTGAAATAAACTTCCATTATTTTATTTAAGAGTGAAGTTAATTCTACTTTGCACGTTTAAGTTACTGACATGTGAAACAATCTTTGACATTCAATTTTAAATCTTTTTTTTTTTTTTTTTTTTTACCTGATCGCGAAACATAAGCCGGACGACTTGTACCATTGCTGAAATCCAAATCTCCTGCAAGAAAAATTAAAAAAAAAAAAAAAATTAACAATATCCAAATAAAAGTTATTTATTTAATTTCTTGTGATAAAACCATATTGGCCACGGTACTGGAGCTCGCTAACCTGAAGAGTGGTCTGGGTTCGAATCTTGCCGGGTGCACAATGTGGCTTAGGTTTGTCAGTTCGTCACGTGAATTTTCCAAAAAAATTAATTTGGCGTTTTTCTTTCATACTTATAACTGATATTTCCTTGACTGTCAACCAATAATTCTCATCGAAATACAAAAATAAGCATATAATTTTCGCTTAGCAGCATTCTATAAATAAGCATATAATTTTCGCTTAGCAGCATTTTATAAATGTAACCACAACAGAATCTGCTTACCGCTTCTTCTCTGCTTAGCATGCTGTGGATAATTTCACCAAAGTCGTTATCCAGCATGTGTCTGTATTAAGCAAAAATGACAAATGTAAACGTAAGATGTATGTGACTCGTCAACACAAAATGAGCATAAAGTTGGACTTTTAAAAGAAATTGAGATATTTTTATTTCTGGATTCTGCCGAACAAGAGCTTTTCAATGGTATATAACATTTGGGGTGCTGAGTTCGGTAACGGAAATATACACCGTTAACTAAATTGAAGTTGTAAATGTAGTTTTTGAGAAAATGGCATTTAGAAATACCCTGTTGTATTACAGTGAATGACACGTCGAGAAGATCCTCAAACAAACTGTTGGTTTCACTTCCGGTGTTTTCCTTGACGGGAAAATGTCACGGAAGCAAAACTAGGAGCTCACCTGACAATATCATTATTGCTCTCCATTCCGGTGTTTTCCTCGATGTGGAGTATGTTACGGATCAACACCAGGCAATCATTCATGGATTCCATGGAATCCTTGTCCATCCGGTATGATCCATGCTATAGGTTTACGGAAAAGATTGGAAAAATAAAAGGGAAAATGTACTTTACATTTCATTTATAAATAAAGTTATAATTTCAAACAAGAATGCAAAAAGTTCAGAAAGGGCTGCCGACAAAAATGTGGAAAAGCTTATTTTTGCAACCAAAATGCTGGTTCCTACATATTTTGGGTGCATATTAGCATATGCAAAGTGAATGTGATGTCATGAAGCATTCACAGCAAAATCTCCTGGAGTGCAGCATCTCACAACCGGTTTCATAAAACGTTAACCATTATTTTAAAACAACAGCTTGAGACCACCCATGTGATAGGCTCTTAACCAATAGACTTCAGTTTTCTGAGGTGCAGCCAGGCTTGTGAAGTCACACTAAGGTATTACGCATGCATTCTGGGCTCCTTTGACCAATAGGTTAACAAAATGCACACGCCTTGTCTTTAAGAACGTGTACGGCATGTAAAGGAACTTAGTTTCACCATGGATCCTCTACACAAGGATAAACAACACTCCTCTGAGCTTGTGTGCAAAATGTACGGAACGGATTGTCTACATGCGTGATATGCCACGACCGTGCACAGAACAACGCATAGAACATGTAGGACAATGCGTGCACACGCGCCCAACAGCTAGCTGGCTTCCTACAAATTTGACTGTGCAGTCATGCATGAGTGCACGTCTCGCGCACATGCGACGCCCAAACATGCATGCAGCCAGAAATTTGGGGAGTTGTTTATCCTTATGTGAAGGATCCATGGTTTCACCTAAAAAAGTGGTTTCTTATTTTCTTCTCTGAATTAGTGTATAAAAAAAACTGTCTCATGTTCTTATGAATGACAGCATAACAACTAGAGAGTGGGACAGACAGACAGACACACTAATCTTACGTGTTCTAGTTCGGTGCTCATCTGTTCCAGGATTGCCCGGACGGGCGCCTCCTGTACGAAGTGTTTCTTGATCTTCTGCAGCATGTCTTGCAAGGTGCGTCGTTGGTCCCAGTCCGCCTTGGTCATGTTGGGATGGACCGGTAAGATAACCTCCAACGGCATGGAAAGGTTCACCAATAACCTAGACAAAATGGATAATTTTTTCCAATAAACTGACTGCGTGCATTATAACAAGGCTGAAAAAAAGTCTCCGGTTTCTGGTGTGGAGCTTGGCCCAAAAGTGGGGCGGCAACGCAGTTTTTTTTTTTATTGCCCCTCCTTTTTTTTTCTTTGTATGTCGGCTGGTGTTGCAGATGACGCCTCGATCCCCTTAAAACTCTCAAAAATATCCTTCAGAGTGGAGCTTGAGGTGACCTAAAGTAAAGCAATTACGATCTCGACCGACACAACCAACCTTCGGGAAATTTGCAAGAATCAGGGAAAACGGTAATAACGTTAGACCGTACAGCGACATTGACATCGTGCATGAGCTGCCAGGCTGGTCATTAGTCTGTTACCTTACATATTGCGCTAACTAAAAAGCGTTTACAGGTTCCAGATACACGACCATTGCTCCCTCAGTCTGGCTTCCACACGCACAATTGCGAAATTCCAACACCGTCTGCTAATGGTGCCCGACTAAATTTAGTGCAAAATATATTATATATAAAATATATATGGGAGCCCAGAGAGCCCAGAGAGGCCACCTAAAGCTTACTCGATTGTAACCCCATCTAAAAACATGTTACAATTGTGCAGCAGCAGGATTCCAGTCAAACCAGTGAGTTTGGCGCCCTTTTTTTTTTTGCCTAAGAAACTAACATGTGAAGAAGAAAACAAAATTCAAATATAAATTGCAACTCTTACCTAACAATGGCTTGGAATGCTTCGACGTTGTCCTTTGCAGCAGAGAGTATAGGCAATAAATCCTAGAAAATATAAAGATTGACAAACATTTCAAAAATATGAACCCCAAAAATGGAATATTTCTTTTAGTGATTAAATGGCATTTAAAAAAATATTTTTGGGGATTTTCTTTATATTTATCTGCAAAATCAATCTAACAGGTTTTACAAATGAGTTAAATGCATTTAAATAAGGAATTTTTTATAACACTTTCTTGCAAGATATTTCAAAACATCATTTTCATTCTCTTGACCAAACAACGTTTTTGTCAAAAACAAATTAGAATTAGTTTTGAAGCTACAATCCTGGCCAAATCTCGCTGGGCCCCCAACCCCCGGCCCCCGTTCAATGTTGTCTCTCATTGCGCGGTGTGTGCTCCATCAGCTGGAGAGAACAACATTGACCGGGGGAGCGGGGGAGCGAGTGACCGTGGCAGGCTCAGGAAGTGTCCCAACCTTTTGGCCGGGATTGTAGCATTTCAATCTTTCAATCAAATCTTACCGCTTCTAAGACCTTGGAGTTGGCGATGTTGACGCGCACCGGCCGGGTCACTTTGTTCTCCAGCTTGAGATTGTCCAGCATCTCTTCGAGAACATCTGAAGGAATTAACGGGGCACATCCATGACATGAATTTTACACTACAATATTTTTTTCTGCAAAAAAAACATTCTGTTGAAAGGCATGAAAACTACAAGTCATCCTTTCTGTTTGAAAATCAAAAAAGAATCTCTTATTAGTCACAGAGTATACCTTTTTAATTCATTTAAAATCTTCTGTGCTTTTCTTTTCGCAACTGAGGGCGCTGTTGCTGTGATGTCATATAAGGCACGTGCTTCTCAGTTCAGGGGATTTCTGTTTTAAATTGTGATGATTGGGTTGTTTGTTTCCTTTGTAGACATCACTTTTCTGACTATTTGGTTTGTATAAGCAGCGAATGTTTTTCATGAATACATCAAATCCTGTTGACATAAAAAAAAAAAACGATGGCGAAGTTCCGGCCAATTAATTCCTGTTTCCGTGGCAACTGTATACGGCAGCATAAATTTCCATTTTAAAAAATGAGGCAAACACACGGCCTTTTCCTGTCACTATGGTAACTATGTAAGTGGATCAAAATTACCATTTCACTGCACTAGACTCAAAGTGCCTGGGGCATTGTGAGAGTTCCCATTGCCATGGTTACAATGCAAATAGGACAGGGGCTCTTTATCCGACATAATCACGGCAATCACTGCAGCATAAAAAAATCCCAAATTTACAATTTTAATGACTTTCATGACCACGTGAATTATAAGACCTGGGAATCACAGAGGTACAGAACAAATTGTGTACAAATTTTGCTAGTTGCACGGAACACATTTTTCTGAGGGGCACATTTTGTGCAACTTTCTACTCCTCTTAAATGTATGAAAACTATTTGACATCCTTTTGGGGTTAATTTTATAGTCTAGGGGCTAAACGTTAAGGTTTGATACGCGATAACCCGCCGCCGCGAAAACCCACCGCTGCGAAAGGGCGTTATCACGACCAACCAGTATCATCCACGAACCCTCAGTAACAATGTCTCGGCCAATTCGTATTGGTTGTGTAATGCGCGCGGCCGCGCGCACCTGTTTGGCCTAATATATGCAGCGGGCATTCAAAATAATTCATAGTACTTCCGAAGCAAACTCGCAAATTTCTTCCAGTAATTATGTAAAAGATGCAGCAAGACTTTTGTGCAATTTCACTGGTCAGCTCTTTTGTTGTGTGTAGTATGTGTGGGGCTGAAAATGGACCGTAATTGCCTGCAGAAGTCGCGCATGCGCACTAGTTTCCCTAATTTTCAGGGGGAGATTTTAGGACTTGGCCTAGACGTTGTTACTAACGGTTCGTGGATGACATTGGTTGCCCGTGATAATGCCCTCTTGCGGCGGCGGGTTATCGCGTATCAAACCATAACAGCGAAGTGGATTTGATTCCTAACAGAATCGTGACTCCTGATTTGAAATCAGAATCAATGCCAACAATTTTGGAATCGTCCAAGCCAAGCCTACCCTGCGCCATGCAAGGCCCAAAATCTCCAAAACCACAAAACTAACATTCAAAACCTTGTGAAAAAAAGTTTAAAACATAGATTTACTTGTTCAACAGACTCACGGCTGACTTTCTACTCACCTTCGCAGTATTCGGAGATGATGTAAGCGTCGCCTTCCATGTGCCCCAGGCTTGAGGCGATGGAGTTCAGGCCTCCAGATGCCATGATTAGCATCTCCATATTGACAGCTTACTTTAGGCAAAACGGGAAAAAAATAATCCCAATCAACTCTTTATGTTGCAAACATTGAATATTTGTGAACGTGGAAAGAGCCTAGTAATAATGTCAGAATATTTAATTTGTACCGTGAAGTATTTTACTTGAATTAAAACACTTTAAACTGAAATTCCATACACAAAATAAAATTGCAATGTAAAAAAAAATTGCTTACATGACTAGTTGGACTGCATCAGGGCCAATACAGGGCGAGTAAAAAAAAAAACGAAACCCAAATGTTGGGACCATTGTTTTAGGGAAGTTCTGCATGTGTAGCATTTTCAAAATAAGCTGTTTTTTAGTACAAAAATCATTCAAATCACTTATGTACTTTTTTCCAGTTACTGAATTTTAAACACAACCGCCGTTTAAAGGTTCTGTCAACGGATCACAAAAAAGTTCAGAGTTCTTTCAACAAAACGAAACAAATCACATGGGGATGTGTGTGAATTGTTTTCATTTTGCTGAAAGAACACTGAACTTTTTTGTGATCCGTGGACAGAACCTTAAAACGGTGGGTGTGTTTAAAATTCCGTAACTTGAAAAGTACATAAGTGATTTGAATGATTCTTGTACTAAAGGAAAGCTAATGAATTGGGCTTTCACATCCTAGATTTTGAAAATGCTACATGCAGAACTTCCCTGAAACAATGGTCCCGACATTTGGGTTTCGTTTTTTTTTACTCACCCTGTACACAATCATTGTGCACAGCATTCTATGTGGCATCTCACTTTGTTCATTTTTGTTGGCTTGACAGTGAACTAAATGGGAACTTCTGGTAAAAATAGGAAAACCATATTTCGGTTTGTAAAAAAATAGGATTTATACCCCGATTTTGAAATCTCCAATTTTTCCCACCACTACAAATGTTAGAATTATTAAACCAGTTGTACCTATTTTTGTAGCCTCCTCTTAAGAATTAACGATGCTGCTGAAAGCGAGATGAAATACTGCGTCTTTTTTGCTTGGAATGTGTCTCTCTGCAAGTAAAATATTTGACTGACAGTTCAATTTGCGGTACATACATGTTGCTTTGTCGGGTAGCTGTAATTAAAGGGAATGTACAACATTTGCTTTTGCTGCAATTTTCAGAAATAAATGGATTGGGAGGATTAGTATGTTATAGCAAATATTGTTATACTGACTTGTTTCACGTTTTGGGTTCGTAGATGCTGGAAAAACCAAGATACCAATCATGTTCTAGTAGTGTGGTTCCCTGACCCCACTTAAGATGAAACGGAGCAATTTATAGACTTTGGGGACTTGTAAGATCAGAGAATCAGTCTAGCAGGCTTGTAGTCTTCACAGGTCTGTAATCAATTACAAAGAAAATGCAGACGAACTAAATATGAAAAATTAGGAGCACTTTTTTGAAAAAAAAAGCCAGTTTAAATACGGTTTTTCTTGAAAATGTCAGCACACCAGGAGCCACAACTTTACTACAGGATGCTTTAGACTGTCATTCCCTACAATCCAGTAAGATATATTTCGTGGTAGTTTGATCATTTTTGATGTTTGCAAATGTTGTATTTTCCCTTTTTAAGACCCAGTACCAGTAACTGGAGCGCTGTACCTTTTTTCCCCTACGGTTTGTAAGGTTCATCCAAAAAGACTGCAGAAATTCTGTTTTAGGCAGTGAATCTTTGACCTCTGGCACACTATATCACTTTGTTTTAAAATTCAATTCAATGATTGTTTCACAACATTTCACAACATTAAGAACAACAATGTATAATAAATTGAAAACATTATACCAAAACTTAAAAAAACTTTATGGAAAAAATAAAAATCTTTTAAATAAAACCACTGACATGACTGAATATTGTGAACATGGTGAATAAAAATGGTTAAAAACCACTGAAAATAACCCCAAAAATTCACTGCGCAGAGCCCCATAGTTCTAGGGGTAAAATGAAGGTTTCATTAGACAAATAGGAAAAGACATGAACATGATGAATCTGGGACAGAGAAACATATCCAATGAATTAGAAAATACTTTGAAAATGCAATTGGCTCTCCGACTTTTTACACAACCAACGAAACAACCAAAGAAAGAAGTGACGTCTGAAGTTTATAAACAGTTACATATCTAAATACTTACCAAATTCTTTGGTGCTTTTGTAGAAAATTCACATCCTATTCCCCAAAACAAGCATGATCGCCACACTGATTGCGAACATTTTCCATTTCACGATCAAGTTTTGCCTAGGTAAATCAGTCAAACAGCGTCAGCTCAGTTGTTGATTTGAGTTTGACGGCAACCAATAAAATGTTTCTGACTAAATTCTCCACAAAATACTTCTTGCGAGGATTCCTATTCCACAAGACGAGACCGCAGGTACGAGTGAAACGTCTTGGTCGTAAGCCTCCTCTTCTGATGAATTCAGGACACTTGCAAATATGATTTTATTGACATCGTTTTCACCACGAAGATTCAGAGCATTGACATTGAAGGTTCGTGTGTTGCATAAATTGGCATTTGACGAAAAAGAATTGGAGTACGGTGCTCCTGAAAAACCACATATATTTTATATCGCCCTTTTCGATTCAAACGTCTTTCTGGAAAATATCCTGTGTACAGTATCAAAATCAATCCCGGTATGAATAATGTATTCATTAAAAAACAACAACGAGCAAAACGAACCCCTTTTTGCACAACAGCATGCTTTAGTTGCCGTGCTGGTGGTCCTCTGTTTTGGCTGTTAGAAGCATCCGTAGCCACTGCTGATCTTTCGCGTGACAACATTGTACACGTGTTTCTCCTGCACGTGTATGTTGCAAAGAACTCGCACCAAACAGCCGTAGATATTTGAGAGCACTGTACTGCAGGTTGACGTGCTCCGTACTATACTATTGTGTAAATAAAATATTCGCCTCCAGGCTGCATTCATGGCCGGAAGCATCGATTTATTCATGAGAACAAAATCATTCATGTCATCCAAGACGTCCCAGGCTCCGTAGTAAATTTGAGAATGTAAATTCGAGATGCAATGTATTTGAGATGACAGTCACATCTAATGCAAACTGCACTGATCGTTCGCTTCAATTCTCATTCTCAATGGGGCGAACAATTTTGCGGAAAAAACATATAGACCTAAAAAAGACAAAAACCAGCCGACAGAAGTTAGCAATTCAATTCACCCGGAACTTGAACTCGTTGCAATTTGACGAAACCTTATTATTTTTGTTCGAGAAGCGACACTATTAATTTGTTAAGTTTACTTTCTTATTCCTCCCCGCCCGGTCTTAAGGAGGAGTTTTCGCGCATTGTGTGTGTACTGTGCGAGTACCGGAACAATGGGAGGTACCCCGAAAGGAATGCCCACCGACTTGCAGGGTACCGTTTTGGTACCCCATAAATTTTCACGAAATATATATACGGATTTTACTCAAAAACTAGGAATTTCCAAGGTGGGTTGATCGGTCGCAAATGGAAGAGTTTTAGAAAAGGGATATTAATAAGTCCGAATTTCAGCCCAGGAAATTAATTTTGGTTAAAATAAGAGCATTTTAAAATTTAGTGTGCGACATTGCAAAATTTTAGTACACGTGAACAAAATAAGTACCCCACTCATTTGCCTATGTAAGGGTGGATGTGTGGGTGTGGGGGGGGGGGGATAAACATCTCCCGTTTCTCTCTGCACGTGACCAGATAACACGTGCACCTTTGTCATCACTTGTTATATTTTGTTCAAGGCAGAGATTTAAATCGCGCAATAATTTCCCAGGGGTGATTTTACGGGCGATTGTCATTCTGATTCACCTGGGAGCTTTAGGCCTACGTTACCGCACGGCGCGTGCTAATTTGCCACGTTTTTTCAGAGAGCAACGCGCACGTGTTAGTTTGGACTTACGGTTCAGCGGTTTTTGACTTACATCATAGCGATTTTAATCTTATTAGCCATTAGCACGGCGGCCGAGGTAGGACGGAGAGGGGGGGGGGGGAGGGGAAACAGTGCAAGTATAATTACATCACCCATGTACCCGAACGCACTGGCAAAGTTACCCGTAAACACTGGAACACTGGCTGCCTTATTAATTGTGGTTGCAAAAGGGGGGAATTAAAGCTAAAAAACATATAAAAGACATATTTCGACTCAATTAAATATTTTCAAACAAACATGATTTATTTCATCCTTGAAAAATAATTCGCCCAACATTCTTCTTATATTATCACTTAAAATCTCTTTTTTATTTATTTATTTATTTATTTATATATTTATTTAGTTCCCCAGCCAACTTAACATACAGCAAATAGCCGCCAATTACAGGCTGAGTAACAATACAAATTTATGATAAAATTACAATTATAAGAAATATTTGAAGCAAGTAAGCAACTAAACTTGCTTTTCAAAACTTGCTTTCGATCAAAATCACAGCCCATGCTGCCTCAGTTGCGGCAATCGAGGTCACATGCATATTCATACACAATTATTAAGAAATATATACACAATATAAATCTTTTACTTTTGCCTGCATGCTTTGATGCTGTACAAACGTGGTTAACGAATTTTAAATTTGTTTGTTTGTGTTAACGAAAATACTACTAAGTTTATTTTTTTCAGATTTCCCCTTAGATTTCCCTGTTTTAACCGACTAACACAGTTTAACTTGAGATAAAATCCCCATATTTCGAGTTGCACCTCGAAAAAACAGATGGTTTTTTTCACTTGCTGTTTTCCTAGCAATATAAATGTTATTCACTTTTGAATGGGACATTGAACCAAAAAAAAAATCATCGATATTTAGTTATTGAATTATTTCTTCACAAATTATGCCCGCCAGACAATTCGCCTCTCGCAGGGCGTGTCATTTTGTGCACAAATCGAAAGCCCTTTATCAGAGGGCTGCAGACGCCCAAAATCGCAACGAAGTAGTATTTCGTTAAAGCAACACAACTGAAAATTCGTGGCTAAAAAAGAAAAATCAATTTCTAAAGCATGGGGTATAGCCTCGATCAATCAAGCCCCGCCCCAAGCCCCGCCCCTGACGCTTTGACCAATCACATATTTGTTGACGTGCGTGCACGTCACTCATCTCAATGTCCCTATTATGGTGCACGTGCGTATGGTTTGGCTTGCGCACGTGTTCGTGAACACGTGCGCAGTGGGCGGAGCTTACTATCTATTCTCCCATTGTAAGGGTGTGTATCAAAAAAAAATATGCAAACAAAATATTACGGAATGCCAGACGTAGTGTAACTAACATAGATTATAAAGTTATGGTTTGAAAGATACGCCTTTCCACTTTAAAATGAGACATCAAACTTCCAAATCTGATAATTTTTGACAGAGTTATGAGTAATTTTCCAAGAGAGGTCAAATTGACCATGGGACCAAGTTTTCAATAATTTTAGACATTGGGACTAAAAAAAAGTAGTAATTTCTTCTGTGTAGATATTTGCCCGGCCCACACAAATGTGTGTAGCGAGTAAACACAATTTTAAACACTCTCTTGCAATCACCTCATGCTAAAAATGTTTAGTAATACATGTAGTAATTTCTCCGGTGGGTCTGTGAGCAGTTTATAAAATGTTATAAAAAAGGGGGCATGGTACGCCAAATCAACCCGTGACGTCATTGAATATTATTGAGCGGCGCTCGAGGGTCAGTACTTAAAATTATTATGCATAGACGTCATATTTTTCGGTTGGACTGCGTCCCTCCAGCGCTATGTAAACACGCACTCGACTTTGGGGTTTTAAAGAATTCAGGATACAACTTGCCGCAGGCTACAACTTCTTAAATATACATTCTACCTGCGCTTGACAGTTTTCATTTTGATAGATATTAATATATCTTGTAGTATGAATGCTACATGTTCAGCTACGGGCGTTATACGCACACGAACGTACGAACGTGTGCACAAATGTCGGAATGTTTTTGCGCACATACCGGACATTTAATCAATATCACGTCTGTGATTGGTCGAGACACCTAAAGGGGAGGGACTTAATGTATCGGTCGACAGAGTAGCCACAACCAATCAAAAACGACTTCGTGCTTCGAGTTGGGCTCCATAAATTATCCTTTATAAATCGCACAAAATGTAAATTTCTTAGTGTACGATTTTTTTTTCTTCATAACAAAATACAGATTAACGGCATGAAAAATACTGAGCACAACACATAAGGAAAAAAATGTTCAAATCGGAAAGAATGTCGCATTCTGACGCCACTTTTTTCATCACTACATAATTACAAGGACAGTCAGTCATTGCAAAAATGTTTAAAAGACATGAATCTGGGACTGAGAAACATTTCCAATTTTGTTAGAAAATACTTTGAAAATGCACTCGACTCTCCACAGACTTTCTACAAAACCAAAAAAGTGGCGTCTGGATAGTATAGTACATTCTTTCCTCGAAATCTTGAAAATGCCTTAAAGAAAATCGAGAGGATCATTAAACCATCTGTTACAAATGCATTTTTATTTAATACAATATAGTCAGAAAATTTACCAGAAATTGCCTTTTTCCCATTCCAACAGTTTTAAAACAAACACACACCAAAAATTCACTATTTTAAGTTGAACAAATCATATTTAAAATCAAGTGAAAATCATCAACGTTTCGACTTTTAACACTTGGAATACTCCAAGAAAATTCTAACTAAAATACCAAAACCTGCCTCGTATACCTTGTCACCAATAAATAAGTATTTTTTTTTTACACGAGTTGTTTGTAAGATTGAACACTCTGCTCTTTGACTTTAATTTAAACAAAGAAAGACTTGCCACAACTGAAGTACAAGTACTGCCCTAAAATAAGTTACAAAATAACAAACAAAAAGCTAATTAAGCTGGTCACGTTTCCCGACAACAGAGGGCGGGCACTGTTGCTGTGATGTCACTTCAGGAAGACACTGTTCGGATCAGGATTTTGGGGTTCAAATTGTGAACCCAAAAATTAGTTTATTGAAAACATCTGCGCGAAAATTTGCTCATTTCAATAAAATGCTTAGTTGTCTTAAAAAATTACCTAATAATAAAGCCTTGATTTATTTTTAAGACCATGTTTTTCTGTTTACTTGAAACTACCTGTTTCCATGAAATGCTTTCGGTTATTTTCACAAATTTACGTAAAAATAAAGTCTTGATGGCAATAAAATAGTTTGTTGCTATAAATAAAAAGCACACAGAAGGTACAAGTTTCTTCCTGAAAAAATATCATCATTGATTTTAACGTTTGATTATACATCTCTATAGAAATGCATATATAAATTGATATATATAAAATTCATATCCACATTCAACACAAATGTTGTTTCCATCTTGAAAAACAAAACGAAAGACAACTGTTTATTTTTAATTTACTTTTTGTTAAGTATTCATAAAATACATTCATGTGCAAAATTTAAACTGGGTATCATTTGACACATTTTCATTCATTCAAAATTATTTATGTTGTGACGGAATCAGCAAGATGTATATAATAATATTGGGTTTTTCCCGTCACTGATGTCGTTTTATAATAAGACACGATATACTTACTGCAGTAGTGGTTGCTACTTTAGACTCGAACCAGCCAGCCGACCATGGCTGGCTCGGTGATCGAGCAGTTAAGACATTTGCACTAGTCGTGGTTCGAGTCCCACTCAAGCAGTTTGTGATTATTTTTCTCACAATCACTCGGGACAACACTGCGTATACAGTATTTAAACAAGCTCCAATTCGGGTGATTCACAATGCAGAGCGCCACCAATAGTTTGCCACGGGGAGTGTTAATTTTTCCCAGTGCATTGTGGGAGATGGTCGACAAATTCGCAGCGCGGGACATTTGAAATTGTTCGGTTTTTTTTTTCGGTCAGTAGTTTCGTAAGCGTATGATTCGAGTATATGTTTGCCCATTTCTTTTCTTTGTATCAATATGGTGATTATTGGCAAGGCGACGGAACGCTTTGCCCCAATCTATAACAAATTAGCTCAAGTGTCTACCGACACTCATTCAAATGGGCCATATTTTGTCGACCGTAAACTTGAAAAGTTGACTCTCCATGGCAAACTCTTGGTGGCGCACTGCATTGTGAATCGCCCGAATTGAGCCGAGATGCTGGGGGCCAATGAATGCATGTTCATGCATGAGTCACGTGACAGTGCCATGTAATTTCTGGAAGGAGTAGTGTTTCGAGTAAAAAAAAAAAAAATCAGGTTTTTTGACCCCAGTGACCCCATGATGACCTTTGACCCCAGTTTGGTCATGTGACATGTTGGGGCTGGACTGCTGATACTTTTGACAAAGTTTGGTTGAAATCTGTCGAAGTATGTAGGAGCAATAGACAAAGACAATGTTTGTTACTAACTAACGGACTTACGGGGAGACATGTTGATTCGTTCAGCTGCTATCCCGCAGCTAAAAATAAATCAGCTAAGGGCAAAACCAGACACTGAAGTTACATCACCCCGACACAAAATTCAATCTTATAAGTACTTTGGTTGCAGTACCCATTTCTATATCAGTTTCGGACTATCCAGCCGACCCCAGCATGCTCGGTGGTTAACATGTCTGCACTAGTACACACGAGGTGGTGGGTTCAAATCCCACCCGAGCCAGCCTGTAAAAAATAGCTCTTGCACAGGACGGAGTTCAAGACATCATTCAACAAACTTGACCGACAATTCTATTTGGTCTGGTCACCCATGGCCGCCATCATTGCACTGAAATACGACGCCGGGTTGGCAAGCAGCTTGGACGGTGTGTCGAACTCCACCAGCTGCGGAGAAACAGAACGATCGAAATAGTTTTATTCAAGACACATCATACATATTCATGAGCCAAGAGCATTACTTTCATTGGTCAATATTTGGACGGTGAGGTGAATCTAACTCCAACAGCTGAGAGAACAGAATGAGCAAAATAGTTTCATTCACATCTCATACATATTCATGAGCCAAATGCATTACTTTCATTGGTCAATATTTGGATGGTGAGGTGAATCAAACTCCAACAGCTGAGAGAACAGAATGAGCAAAATAGTTTTATTCACATCTCATACATATTCATGAGTCAAAAGCATTACTTTCATTGGTCAATATTTGGACGGTGAGGTGAATCGAAAACTCCAACAGCTGAGAGAACAGAATGAGCAAAATAGTTTTATTCACATGTCATACATATTCATGAGCCAAAAGCGTTACTTTCATTGGTCAATATTTGGGCGGTGAGGTGAATCGAACTCCAACAGCTGAGAGAACAGAATGAGCAAAATAGTTTTATTCACATGTCATACATATTCATGAGCCAAATGCACCTCTTCCATTGGTCAATGTTCTAATGCATCAGGGAAATAATATGTAAATTCTTCACAAAGTTTACGGAGAAGTAGTGTGAAAATATTTTTTTGTCATTTTTTTTTTTAAACTGTGAAAATGTATCTTCTTTTTTCTCAGCGCAAAGCATGCAGCTTTCTGTTGAAAGTGCAACAGTTTGATTCTAATCATTGTGAGAAAATGATAGTTAATTTCTTTGTTTCTGGAAAATTTCAGCATACTAGGCGCGATGATTTCACAAGATGCATGATCCTATTATTTACTTTCAATCAAGTGGGATATTGCATGATATTTTTGACAGTTTCGTTTCTGGATGTTTGAAAATGGTGTCTAGTACCTTTAACAGTCAGGTTGGCGTAGCGGTACTTTCCTCGCCTTCCACCGCTGTGACCCGGGTTCGAATCCCGCCTGGGCCAATATGTGGATTGGGTTTTCAGTCCCTGCCTGATTCCGTGGGTTTTCCCCAGAATATTGTTCTAGGGTTTTCCTCTCACCTCTAAAACTGTCACTTCTTCTCATTGTCTTCTCTCTACAGGTTTCTTCAGGCTTGCGAGCTACAGTGCCTAGGGTGCTTTTGAGGAATCCTTGGTTTCATTACCAGAAATGATTAATTATAATTAATTAATTAATGGATCTTTAAGTACTAACAGGAGGTTCTAGTATCTTTTCTTTTCTTGTTTTTTAATTTGAGTTCTTACCCTTCCGTCACTCAGAACCAGAATCCTGTCGGAGTCTAGGATTGTATTGAGTCGGTGCGCGATGGTGAGTATAGTACAATCGGTGAACGCTTGCCGGATTGTCTGCTGGACCAAACTGTCTGTTTCAGTATCGATGGCCGCTGTGGCTTCATCTAAGATTAAGATCTAGACAGATTGAAAAAAAAACAACTTTAGCATGTCAAACAAGAGAGAATTTCGTTAATCTTGCGTTCTCCTACTCCTAGTCTATGGAATATCCCCTGGACAGCGAAGGTCTGTGATATGCGAGCAGATTCGGTGATTAATTATGCAAAACAAGACAGCGTCTTGACCTCGAGATTCTGACCATTCAGCGGGCGCCTTCTATATCCAGTCCTCGGTAACCCGGTGTTGTATTACAAAAACATGGCATCCACATTGACCAATCAAAGGCTAAGTCCACATTTCTGATCTAACTGACGTCACAGTTTCCAGAGTCGACTCCGTTTGGCTGGCGCGCCTGATCGTATACAATTTGCATGTTGGAGTTTATCAGACTTTAGATCGTGGGTCTAAAAGCATGTATGTCCGAGTCTCAGACTAATTGCTCTTCAACAACAAATTTGAATTGTTTTTTTCTATTCATAAACTTTAACTTGCATGTTGTTTTTTTCAACCAAAACCTTTCCCTTTTCCTTTTTTGGACATCTGCAGCCCTTTTCAAAAAAGATTTTGTTTTGGGTACAAACAGATCCGCTTTGCGAGCAGACTGGCTCCCGGTCCGCACATTACGATACCGATAGTGGGGCAGGAACCAGCCCACTCGTGAGAACAGAATTATTGTCTGGCAGCCAACAATTCGAAATTGTAAAGTAAAAAATTCAATAACTAAACATGGGCCGATTTTTTTTGGTTGATATCTCATTTCAAAGTGAATATCTTTTATATTGTTAAAAAAATAGCAATTTCAAAAGAAATCAACTTTTCGGGATCGATATCTCATTTCAAAGTGAACGACTTTTGTATCGTTAGAAAAAAAGCAATTTCAAAAGAAATCAACTTTTCGGGATGAAATTAGAAAATATCACAGGAGACGCAACGTTAAAATCACAAGTTAACTGCTCATCGACTAACGGTCCAGCGCTAGATACAAGGAAAGAGCGCCCTCAAGTGTTGGGTAAAGATCGAATGGCTACCTTGCTGTTTCGGAGCAGAGCTCTGGCCATGCACAGCAGTTGCCTCTCCCCGACCGAGAAGTTTTCTCCGTTTTCGACGACAGGCGCCTCGAGTTGCTGATCGAGACCGCTGATCTGCAAGACACATAACAAATAGAGATCCTAATTATCATCATCAATTCATCAAGAATCGACCATCGGTGTTCGACTCGTGTGCCGTGGTACATGGGTTCGAGCCCTGACAGGGAACATGGTGCTTGTGTTCTTGGGCAAGACACTTTACTACAATTGATTCTCTCCACCCAGGAGAATGAATGGGTACCTGTGAAGGTAGAGACCAGATTGCACTGGTGCTTGTGTTCTTGGGCAAGACACTTTACTACAATTACCTCTCTCCACCCAGGAGTATAAATGGGTGCCTGTGAGGGTGGAGACCAGATTGCACTCGTGCTTGTGTTCTTGGGCAAGACACTTTACTACAATTGATTCTCTCCACACAGGACTATAAATGGGTGCCTGTGAGGGTGGAGACCAGATTGCACTGGTGCTTGTGTTCTTGGGCAAGACACTTTACTACAATCGCCTCACTCCACCCAGGAGTATAAATGGGTACCTGCGAAGGTAAAGAGACCAGATTGAGCTGATCTCTAGCTGCTGTGGAAAAAATGGTCTCGTGGCCTATTGAACAGGGGTAATAATTGTGAAGCACTCTTGGAATTTTCGTATTATACAAATATGGAATACTTTGAGTGGTGTAGTAAAACTAGCCTCTCGAGGTGATCCATGGACATTCTATTTTTCCCGAAGCGAAGCCGAGGGAAAATAGAATGCTCCATGGATCACCAAGGGCGGCTAGTTTTACTTCACCACGAGATAAAGCATTCAATATTTGTTTTATAACACTTCACCCACAGATTCTGCTTGGTTTTTTAATATTTAAATCTGAACACAGTTAGAATAAACTTCTATTTCAATACAAATTTGGTGGGAAACGTTATTCTCGCTTCGAAAACCACCCATTCACGAAATGCTTAAATCCAACTCTGTGGCGCGCTCTCTTGGGAACAATACGCGCTACATGCACACCAGCATGCATTTGCACACAAATACTGCGCCATGGTATAGTACTTTGGTTTGCTAATGGTAGAGTACTTTGGTTGCTACGGGTATTGTACTTTTGGCCGTGCACTGAACAATAGCAAAAAATAGAAAGTACCATGTGACTCGCTCTCGGCCAATCACGACACAGAATCTGTGGGTGAGGTGTTATAAAACATGCTATAGACACGCCGCATTATTATTAACACAAATTTCCTCAACTACTACACTGCTATAAAATCTTGGTCTAAAGATTAATTTGCAACCAAGATTTTTCTTAAACACTTCAAATTTTCGTGATTCCAAGCAAAAAGTCCCTGACCGTTTCTTTCATGTAAGTTTTTTCCAGGGCCTTCCATACTTCCTCGTCATTAAACTGGCCCGTTGGATCCAAGTTATATCTGGGAAGAAAAAAAAGTAGGGATCTTGGTTGAAACAGCACGTTGCTGATTGACCAGTGTCTTTTTGTATCATGATCCCTGGGCCCAATTTCAAAGCGCTGCTTAACAGCCGACTTTGTGCTTACCGAGCCTCCATCTATTTCATAGGGACCGTTAAGCAGTAAGTGCAGCAAAAGCACGCTTAACCCCAGAAGAAAACTTTGCTTAAATCAGTGACGTAACAATAGAAATCTCCATGCGGGCGCAACCGTTAGCATGAGATAGTGCTTAAGCAGCAGCATGATTGTCTGCTATAGTAAGCACAACTTTTTCTGCTTACTGTGAAGCAGTGTTATGAAATTGGGCCCAGATTGGTTTGAGAATGATAGAGGGTGTAGGGTTACTAGCCAATACCACGTGCTGACAAGCAGGGTATGTAAACGTGGGCACGTCAACTGCCAAAACTGGTAAGAATGTCATATTTTCTTCTTAAGTTCTGTTCAAAATGAACGAAAAACACAGTGTCATCCTAAATAAAAAAGACTGCTAGGGGCGGCAAATGTAATTTTGAAATATGATAAACACCTTCCTGGAAGTTAAAGAGGTTGTGGAATGCTCGAAGACATTTCCGTCATTTTTTGGGTATATGTAGCCTAAGGTGTGATGAAATAAAAACGACTATTGTTTCTGTCATAAAATGAGTACAAAAGGTACTTTTGAGAGCTGTTTTTCAAGTCCTGTCATGCCTGTTTCGACCCGAACGTGCAATTTGTGTAAACGTCGTCGTTGCGGGCAGCAAACAAAACACAGTAAATCGTGACGTAATAAACAGGACTCCTGATGCAGAGTAGCATAAACGAGTCCTGTTTATTACGTCACGATTTACTGTGTTTTGTTTGCTGCCCGCAACGACGACTTTTACACAAATTGCACTTTCAGGTCGAAACAGGACCTGAAAAATAGCTCTCAAAAGTACCCTTTGTACTCATTTCATGACAGAAACAATTGTCGTGTTTATTTCATCACACCTTAGGCTACATATACCCAAAAAATGACGGAAATGTCTTCGAGCATACCACAACCTCTTTAACTCTTTGAAAAACTGAGCTAGCCCTCAAAAAACAGAGGGGTCCTAAAAGTAACTGTTACCATAATTATAAGTTACCTGATCGTTCCTATAAACAAGACGGGATCCTGCGGAATGATGGAGAGTTTGGAGCGAAGGTCGTACAAACCGATCTGGCCGATGTCAGTGCCGTCGATCATAATGCTACCGTACGCTTTCTCAACGAGACGATAGAGGGCGACACCCAGGGATGACTTGCCTGCATTTAAGAAAAAAAATTAACGAGAACCTTATATACAGGGTGGATAAAAAAACAAAACCGAGATATTATTGCTAATTGTAACAGAAGTAGGGCACATGTGCATCAAAGGGAGATATCCTCTGTTAGGGTTGAATCTCCTCTTTAAAATGACACCCTGGTCATGTCATTACATTCACAATTGACTGAGCAGTGACCAAGTTTATGAAAGGGTCTATTTAGAGACTTGCGCCACTTTTCATGGTGAAATCTCTTTTTCCCCCACCTGCCTTGATTAGCAACCATAGCCTTTTACTCTGTGACAATTGACAACACAAAAGCCATAATTGTTTTCTTTGCTAGTGCTTTTCTTCAAAATGGTACAATGACTATACATGAAACTTTCACAAAATGTGTCAAAAATACCAGTCTATAACATATCTCATTTGCACTTGTTTCGATAATTGCTTCATATTTTTTAATATTTTCTTTAATTTGGGTCCAGATCATTCCGACTCAGCCTGTATATATATATTATCAAAGGGCAAAACCTAAGATTGATTATCATTTACATCACCCCGTCGCAAATTCATCTGATTAATAATACACAAACTTCAAAATTATTCAATGTTTGCCACAACAAAGTGCTGATCTGTGTTCCTGTGATCGGGGCACGTTGCCGATCCACTCACCGGACCCGGTCCGTCCAACGATGCCGACTTTCTCTCTGGGCCTGATCTCAAAGCTCAGGCCTCGTAAGACCAGGGGAAGATTCTGCCGGTACCGCATCTTGAGATTCCTGACCGTGATCCTGCCTTCCGAGGGCCAGGAGGACGGAGGCTTGGTGCTTTTTATCGTCCGCGGTGCTTCTTGCTGTAAATTCTGTGACCAAAAAAAAACACCACAGGAAAATCAAAATCAAAACTTAAAAGCAAGTCCCAGACTAGACTAGGTCAGTTAAAGTTTAAAGATGGTCAACTAAACTCCCTGTGAAATTGTTTTTTCCGGCATGCTGTCATTTTGAAGAAACATTCATAAATACCTCAGACAGTTTAGCTATTCCTATTGGTCGAGAGCCCGTCACGTGGCCGGTCTTAAACGGATGATAAAGACATGGCTAGCTGGTCTTAAACACTTTTCCAGTGTCACAATAAAATGTGGACTCCTAAAAATCCAGTCCCTCTTACCGCTTCATTGGTTGAACGTTCACAATCCTCACGTAGGCGTGCGCAACACTACAAGCGAGTCAGAGTTTTATAGTTCTAAATTCAAAACGCAACGCCCCAGGTGCGTTCTGCGTGACATCGCGCAGAACATGCTACGCGCGCGTCACCCTCCATAAAAGGGTTGTTTACATCTTACTCGCCAGCTGAACACTCCATTATTTTGCTAGAGGGATGTTTCAAAAAGCATGAAGTGAACTTGTTGAACAAAATCGGGATTTTTTGAACGAATTATTTGATATTTTTTTATGGATAAGGTATTTATGAATGGGAATAAATACGTGCTCGGTCGGTATTTATCACTCTGTTTAATACCGCTTAGAGTCTGGGTGCTGATAATTACCCTCGCCTCCGGCTCGGGTAATTATCAGCACCCAGACTCTAAGCGGTATTAAACGAGTGATAAAAACCTCTGGAGCACACATTTATTCCCTTAATAAAAGAAGGTCATTTCGACCCCTTATTTTGGAAATTTCTGTTAGTAGTTGGTTTGTAATTTGGTGAATCCGTGAATGGGTGCGCGCAAGCGTCGACATAACGCGCATACACGCGCGGTTGCTTTCATTGGTCGGCTCAGTGCGTGACATTGTGTAGCTGCAATCGGCTGAATGCGAACGGATTCCGGATGCTGATTTCGGGCACAATTCAAAACATGACTCAGCAACTTTTGAATCGAAAGCAAGACCCTAGAATATTGTTTTCTCAGAATATACAGCATTCACTAAGCTAAAACTTCATCAGGTTAGTTGTTAAGCACCGTTCTTTAGATTTTGAGCACTTTTGTTGCTTCATATGAAAAAAAACAAAAAAAAAACATGATGTACTCTGCCTTAAATAATTATTAATCCCCATTTGGCCTCAGATATTCACAAATGATGTGATTAAGCCCGAAAAGGGGTTTCCTTACCTCAATGTAATAGTTAATCCTTTCAACCGAGGTAAATCTAGCGTTGAGTTCGGCCGCCAGGCGCACCGTGTACTGCGATATGCCGATCAGCTGATTTGCGTAGCTGATGGCGAGGCCCGCGGTGGCTGCTGGGATTGACCCATGGGTCAGGACCACCAGCAAAGCTGTGGCGCCCGTCAAGAGAATCGTGATGAAGTCGAAGCGGATCGCCAGCCAACGATTGGTTAAATAGAAGAGGATCAGTACGTTGGTGCTGTCGTCCAACTGGACATGGAATCTAAAATGACAAAGAATTCCAAAAAAAATCTTCTATTTTTGGCACCTGTAACCGTCTGAAAAACTTCAATCTCTTAAACCACTTTGTGCCGGGATTATTTTTGCCGAAAAATTTGATTTTCGCAAAAGGCAAACTTTTCCAGCCAACTGACACACAGCCAAATGCCACAAATACTGATTCGCAAGAGTCATTTCAACAGTAGTTCCCCTGCGTATTCCCCCCTCCATCCCCACCCTCAGATCTCGGCCATCGAGTGACGAAAAATTATGAAACTCGGTGCATGCAGAGAACAACTTAATATGAACATGCCCAAGAAATTTCATGACAAGAGGTTAAAGGGTTTTGGAATTATCGCTAATTATTCATATGCAGCAATGGTAATTCTGCTTTGTGTAAAGCAACATATGTGGGGAAATTTAGTTTTGCTGCGCGGCAACCCATGGTCGGAACTTTATTTTCTTGGTATCCACAGATTCGCAAGACTCGAGGCTAAAAAGCCATGAAAGCTCGGGTCGGGAAAAACTTTTTTTTGCAAGGGTATCGCGGAAACAGTTGAGATGTCATTGCTAAGTAAAATTAGCGCCCTCTATAGAGATATAAACAGCGGAAGAAAGAGTTCCACACCTGGACATCACTTGACACCCCGTGTACAAACCCTAAGAGAATGGTCTGAAAAATTCTAAGTGTTTTCTCAGTAAAAGCTTCAATATTTACATCTCACATTGATTATTGTAACAGCCTGTTGTCCGGTTTGCCCAAGTCAAACATCGCTCCATTACAACGCATTCAAAACTCCGCTGCCAGAATGGTTACTCGGACTAAGAAACATGACCACATTACACCAGTCCTTCGGTCTCTTCATTGGCTTCCGGTTCACGAACGCATCATCTTCAAAACACTTCTCCTTGTTTTCAAAATTATCCACAACCTTGCCCCATCATACCTCCAGAAGCTCGTATCTACCCGGTCCACAGCCATTTCATCTACATCCCGCCACCTCCGATCGCATTCTACAGCCCATCTTCAGTTACTGCCTGGACCTAAAACCAAAACCCGCTATGGCGACCGTGCCTTCTCTGTGCTAGCCCCGAAACTCTGGAACTCTCTTCCCATCCACATCCATGAAACTGATTCATTGGACTCGTTTAAGACAGTACTTAAGAGCTTTCTTTTTTCACAAGCCTTTGATCAGTAAATTGATAATTGTACAAGAAACAACTGTGCGCTTTGAAACATGGTGGAAAGCGCATTATAAATGTTGTAAGTTATAGTTTATAGTTATAGTTATAATAGTTTCCCAGCTACATTTCAATTTTTAGGACAAGTTATCGCTTTCTGATGGCTGATAGGTCACTGCAGGGAAAAATATTGATATCCATGAATGAAATTCTTTCCACAGTGGATTGGATGACACCTGTCCCTACCTCTGTATAAACTCGCGCTGTTTCCCGTATGCGTGGATGGTGGGCAGGCTCTGGACCGTGGTCGTGATGTGCGAGAACCACGGCGAGCGCGCCAGGTTGTCAAACTTCTTGAGCTCCCGGACGCCGTGCCGGAAGAAGAAATTCAGGAGGAAGAAGATGAGGAAGATGATGACCAGCCCGATGAGGAGATGGGGAAAGACGAAGGTGACCGTCAGCAGACTGAAGAGGATCAACAAACTGTTGTTGACGAAAGGATTGATGGTGAACGGAAGGGTGACGTCCACTGCAAGAGAAAAAAAATAAAAACTTTCATTTGTTTGTGTCATTTATACTGGAGTATAAACTGGGGTTTAATTTGTGGGGGGGGGGGGCACAAGCACATAGGCAAGCTTCTTTTCCATAAATATTAAAAACATCAATGTTGTGTTTATTATAGCACTTATAGCAAAGGTCTCCAAGTGTTTCACAATTATTACCCCTGTTTATCAGGCCACGAGACCAGTTTTCTGCAGCAGCTCGAGAACAATGCAATCTGGTCTTTATCTCCGGTGTACCCAATTATACTCCTGGGTGGAGAGAGGCAATTGTAGGCAAGTGTGAAGGGCAAATACCTAATATTGATTTACATCACCCCGACACAAATTCATCTTGTGAAAAGTGCAGTAAAGTGTCTTGCCCAAGAACACAAGCACCATGTGCCCCACCATGGCACTTGAGTCGAACACCGTAACCATTTGATCACAGAGCTCCAACAAAAACATCTCTACCGTTGAAGAGGCTCGGAATGGAAATTCTCTGGTGGTCATGTTTTCTCCAGAAAAAAATGCTCGACATTTCGCTCTCATATGTACACAATGGTCGCACATTTTTGAAGCCTTTAACAAAATTGTACCAATCCTCATGTAACACGCTCTTCTATTGGCTAACAAGCTCCACATAAATGACCTCGTAGATCAAGCATCATGAATATTCAGTGTGTATGGACATGCCACACACAAAGTCTATGCAGACAATCTGATTGGTCGAAGACAAGCGCCAAAACAGAGAATGCATCTTTAGTGTAATAGGGAAACAAGAATTCGATACAGGCTCTACACATAATTTTATGACCAAGAAAATAAGACAAGCTACTTACGTTCATCTAAGTCTTTGGAGAAACGATTCAGAATTCTACCCAGAGGGGTGGTATCGAAGAAACTCATGGGGCTCAGGACAACTTTCTTGAAGACTTTCTTGTGGAGGTTGGAAGAAGCTCTGAGGGTCATCTGAAAAAAATTGACAAGAAATATTTGCTGACGGTACCATAAACCGTTCAATCCGTTGAAACAAAAACAAATTCTGTGCACGAGTATTCAATGGCAGTGAAACATTAAGGGTTTTCCCAACAGAGGGCTCGTACTGACCCTTGTGACCAAGGTACTGGAAAGTTAGCGTCGCCATAGTGGTAAGCAAAGATTGCACAGCCCCATAAAAAAAAATTGACCACCCCTTCAAATTTTGGCAAAAAATCCGATATAAGGGCGAGAGAGCAGATAGTGGTGGGAGCATACTGCTCAACATCATGGGAACATGGTTGAGTGACCACACTCTGTAGGGGTAAGCTAACATTGGTCTTGTCCCGAGACTTACCTTGGCTAAACAAAGCAACCAGGTAGTGGTGGGAGCGTACAGCTCAACATCATGGGAACGAGGTCGAGTGACCACACTCTGTAGGGGAAAGGTAACGTTGGTCTTGTTCCTAGACTTACCTTGGCGTAAACGAAGCAGCGGAATGCTATCACCGCAAGGGACCCGACTGCCGATAAGCCATAGACGAGTTGATAGACGTGCAGTCGTGGGTTGTCTGTGATGCTTTCACTGATCGTCGTCACATTGTCCACGGTGATCGTTGTATTCTGCGAACCAACGTCAACATTTTCATTAATTCACGATGCATTCTTAACCCTAGCCCTTTTTCATGCTTGTCTATGGGCTCCGTGCGCCAACAAAAGAGGGCGCCCTTTTACCTAGCAACGACGTCCCATGGGCGGGACATTTAGCCGGTTGACACGTACCGTTCCTTGTGCATGACGCACGTACACAAGGGAATTTGTACTATGTATATGCAGTGGTACATGGTACGGCCGCGCGTAGTGGCAAAATTGGAGTCAGGCAAGGCCAAGTTCGGGCAAGGACCATTAGTCGACTAGTGGTTGATTTGTGACGTACCTTACGCCTGCGCACTATAGCAAAGTGCGAACGTCTCTAGTCGAACGCTGGTCAAAATGTCATCGCAAAACGTCTGGATCCTGGCTCCCTGCTGTACGTTATGAACGCGCACGGCTATGGTTACCAGCGAAGCAACCAACCCCAGTAGGTTGGTTCCAAATAGTCGACTAGCGTAGTTAACCATCGTCGACTAGACAGAGTTCGGGCAAGCGTTAGTCGACCAATGGTTAACTATAGTCCTTGCGCGAACTTGCCCCAAGATGTCGTCGGTCGGTCACCCCCAACTGTGCTTTCTTTGCCGGTGAGGGGGTACCTGTGAACGGAGCGGATTTCTGCTGCTTTTTTTGTTTAAAGTTTTGGTTTTTTTTACTCACCCCACTACCGGCGTTCAGCCAATAACTCAGCCACCAGTTGGCGAAGACGGCAAAGCCGACCGACACAGCGTAGCACACGAACACCGCGACTGTCACCAGCAACCCGCCTGCTGATTGGACGTAACTGTTGATGGTTCCCATGGTGATTCCCCGGTCACCTGACTCCTCCTCCTCCATTAACTTGCCTGCCAAGAAAATCAAATCAAATCAGATCAAATCATATACGGAAACAAATTTATTGAATCAATCACTAGGAAGCTATGGGAGCATTTAAAGAAAAGAGACAGATTTCAGTTTTAAAAAAAGAAAGATTTCACTTAACCCTAAAAGGGCCATGGGGGGGGGGGAATCCGCAAATTTATTATTTTTGCAACCAAAGCTGTTATGACTTTTTAGCCTCAAGTCTTGCGCAGTCTTGCGCATCTTTTGCTGCACAGCAAAAAAAATTCCGACGCAATGCTCTGTGAAAACTGAATTTCCCCACCCATACGTCGTGTACACAGAGCACATTTACCATTCATACATATGAATAATTAATTAGCCGATAATTCAAAACCATGCAATTTCTTGGGTATGTTCATATTAAGTTGTTCTATGCATGCACTGAGTTTCATAATTTTTCATCACTGGATGGCCGAGATCTGGCTTTTGCTGTAATTTCAAGAAATGGATGGATTTGGGGGTTACCGGTAGTATTATATACCAAATATTGTTACACTGACCTGTTTAAAGTTTTGTGTTCATAGATGCTAGAATAATCATGAAAAAAATGTTATCCTTGTAGTCTGGTTCCCCGACCCTACTTCAAATGAAACAGACCAATTTATAGACGGGGAATTGTCAGCTGAGGGAACCAGACAGCTAGCTAACGTTCTTTAGCATTGCTTTAATGTTTCTTTTGGTAAATAAACATTAAAATTATGTTTTGAACCTTTTAAGTCAGAGGCTTCGTTGCAGATGTCCAAAAAAGGAAAATGAGGTTTTGTGGTTGGAATAAAACTTACAAGTTAAAAATTCATTAGTAGAAAAAAAATGAATTTGTTGGAAAGAACAGGGAATGCAACGTTCGGAAATCTGAATGTAGAGTTGCCACTCTTGTCCTACACTTATTGGAGTGTCTTGCACATGGCCGATATGAAAATGTAAATATGGGAAATATGAAATTATACTGAGTGACCTTTGTCCAATGAATTTATATTTTTAGATTGAAGTCAGAAGTGGCCGGTCTTTGAACTTTGATGGCCACCAAAAAAAAAAAAAAAAGAGCAAATAAATTGGGAAATATCAATGGAAAAGTTCAGAAAGATAACACACGTACAATGTACAAAGGTTGTCAGATAAGACCTGTTAAAGTTGAACATAGAAGTTCAACGAAAATAGTCAGCATAAAAGAAAGACACACAAATAGATATTTTTAAACTAAAGAACAAATTGATGTTGAAAAATACCAGCTAGCTGCACAGATTTGTTGTTCATTCTATCTGGTGTAGTCGATCTACAAAGTTTGGGCATTGGTTTTTATTATAATTAAATTTCTACAAATTTAAAGTACCGGCAGCAATCATGGAGGTTTTAAAACAACTACTTGGATTTCTTTTTCTCCCGTTTTGGTACTGCATCGAGTCTTTCTTCAAAAATTGCCGTGATTTCTTCGTGCCGACGTCCTTGCGAAACTTGAAAGACATTTCAGGGGAGGTGGTTCTTGTGACAGGGGGTGGTGCCGGGCTGGGCCGCAGCTTGGCCGTCCAACTGGCTGAGCTCAAGGCTACCGTCGTGACGTGGGACGTCAATCAGCAAGGAAACGAGGACACAGTGCGTATGATACGCGACAACGGCGGCGATGCGCGTGCGTACACGGTCGACATCAGCAAACTGGAGGACGTGTACGCCGCAGCGGAAAAGGTCAAAGGTGAGGTCGGGGAGGTGACGATGTTGGTGAATAACGCGGCGATCGGTCAGTCGCGACCGGTGTGGGAACTTCCTGATCAACTCATCCAGAAGATGATGGCCACCAATGCTACAGCTCACTTTTGGGTAAGATTGTCATTTTTGTCGATAAACAATCTCTTCAAGGGTCCATGCGATGAATTTTTCTTAGGAACATATTTTGTGCAACTTTCTGCCCCTCTTAAATGTATGAAAACCATTTGACATTCTTTTTTTTCATTTAATTTTATTAAAAAGTGCACTTCTTTAAACATTTCAAATTGTCCATGCTTTTCCGGACAACTGAGGGCGCTGTTGGTGTGATGTCATTTAGGAAGACACTGTTCAGTTAAGGAGTTTTCTGTTCAAATTGTGAACCTAAAAATTTGTTCATTGAAAACATTTTTGAGAAAAGTTTGCTCATTGGGTTTACTGCCATGTACTGACACAATTCTAAGAAATTAACAACAGCAAAATATCCAAAATTCTGGCAACTTTTGGAGCTGAAATAGCTGTAACACTGGGATTTTTCCCGAAATGACATCACACTTTTGCTCATGAATATGGAAATTTGCATTAGCATAAAAACCAAAAAACACCAAAATACCCTTGAAAATGGCAATACTTCAAATGAAACAGACCAATTTATAGACGGGGAATTGTCAGCTGAGGGAACCAGACAGCTAGCTAACGTTCTTTAGCATTGCTTTAATGTTTCTTTTGGTAAATAAACATTAAAATTATGTTTTGAACCTTTTAAGTCAGAGGCTTCGTTGCAGATGTCCAAAAAAGGAAAATGAGGTTTTGTGGTTGGAATAAAACTTACAAGTTAAAAATTCATTAGTAGAAAAAAAATGAATTTGTTGGAAAGAACAGGGAATGCAACGTTCGGAAATCTGAATGTAGAGTTGCCACTCTTGTCCTACACTTATTGGAGTGTCTTGCACATGGCCGATATGAAAATGTAAATATGGGAAATATGAAATTATACTGAGTGACCTTTGTCCAATGAATTTATATTTTTAGATTGAAGTCAGAAGTGGCCGGTCTTTGAACTTTGATGGCCACCAAAAAAAAAAAAAAAAGAGCAAATAAATTGGGAAATATCAATGGAAAAGTTCAGAAAGATAACACACGTACAATGTACAAAGGTTGTCAGATAAGACCTGTTAAAGTTGAACATAGAAGTTCAACGAAAATAGTCAGCATAAAAGAAAGACACACAAATAGATATTTTTAAACTAAAGAACAAATTGATGTTGAAAAATACCAGCTAGCTGCACAGATTTGTTGTTCATTCTATCTGGTGTAGTCGATCTACAAAGTTTGGGCATTGGTTTTTATTATAATTAAATTTCTACAAATTTAAAGTACCGGCAGCAATCATGGAGGTTTTAAAACAACTACTTGGATTTCTTTTTCTCCCGTTTTGGTACTGCATCGAGTCTTTCTTCAAAAATTGCCGTGATTTCTTCGTGCCGACGTCCTTGCGAAACTTGAAAGACATTTCAGGGGAGGTGGTTCTTGTGACAGGGGGTGGTGCCGGGCTGGGCCGCAGCTTGGCCGTCCAACTGGCTGAGCTCAAGGCTACCGTCGTGACGTGGGACGTCAATCAGCAAGGAAACGAGGACACAGTGCGTATGATACGCGACAACGGCGGCGATGCGCGTGCGTACACCGTCGACATCAGCAAACTGGAGGACGTGTACGCCGCAGCGGAAAAGGTCAAAGGTGAGGTCGGGGAGGTGACGATGTTGGTGAATAACGCGGCGATCGGTCAGTCGCGACCGGTGTGGGAACTTCCTGATCAACTCATCCAGAAGATGATGGCCACCAATGCTACAGCTCACTTTTGGGTAAGATTGTCATTTTTGTCGATAAACAATCTCTTCAAGGGTCCATGCGATGAATTTTTCTTAGGAACATATTTTGTGCAACTTTCTGCCCCTCTTAAATGTATGAAAACCATTTGACATTCTTTTTTTTCATTTAATTTTATTAAAAAGTGCACTTCTTTAAACATTTCAAATTGTCCATGCTTTTCCGGACAACTGAGGGCGCTGTTGGTGTGATGTCATTTAGGAAGACACTGTTCAGTTAAGGAGTTTTCTGTTCAAATTGTGAACCTAAAAATTTGTTCATTGAAAACATTTTTGAGAAAAGTTTGCTCATTGGGTTTACTGCCATGTACTGACACAATTCTAAGAAATTAACAACAGCAAAATATCCAAAATTCTGGCAACTTTTGGAGCTGAAATAGCTGTAACACTGGGATTTTTCCCGAAATGACATCACACTTTTGCTCATGAATATGGAAATTTGCATTAGCATAAAAACCAAAAAACACCAAAATACCCTTGAAAATGGCAAAACGAAAATTGAAAATAAGGTAAAATGGGACACAAAGGTGCATTTTCAAGGATTGCATTAAAAATATTACATTATATGGCCCTTTAATGGATCGGTTCAGAGTTTCAAATGTTTGACATCGAAAAACTAATCAGCCTCTAAAATGACATAACCTGAAACATTTTTAAGAAGAATATCGGAACTAAATCGATTTGCTCATTTTAACAGCTTCTGAAAGCTTTCCTGCCGTCAATGAAGGCCAAGAATCATGGTCATATTGTCACCGTGCTGAGTGGCTCAGTCAACATGGTACCCATCAGCCTGGGTGCCTATATCGCCAGTAAGAGTGCAGCGCTGGGTCTGCACCAGGCGCTCCAGGCCGACCTAGCCTTTGAAAAAAAGACAGGAGTCCAAACAACTGTGGCATTTCTGGACTTCATGGCCACGGACATGACAGTTGGACGCCTAAACTGTGGGTGAGAATTTAAGTGAAAAACCTCCTTTTCTACAACTGAACTAGGAGTTAAAATTTGGTTGTTTTTGTGTGTGCCTGTACTTCAACAAAATCTGACAAAGAGCTCAGTATTAGTGGCACATTGATCAACAATAACAAACATTAGTGTTGGGAGAAATCAGAGATTTCAATATCCGGTTACCCTAATTTTATTTCAAACCAAATAACGGATATCTGATTTCACTGGAAGTCCCATGCAGCTCACAGTCATGCCAACAAAACGTGACAAGTGAGGTGCCGCATGAAATGCCCTCCCAATGATTGGTCATATATGTCATAGTTTGCATGATTCAATGACCACTGGGCCTTAACAAAAACACTCTATAGAGCTGAAATGTTGAGAAAAAAAAATTCAGTGGAAACTCTCTAACATTGTACCAAGAAGACCACTAGCAAGTGAATGAAGTATTGCAGTTACATCACAGACCATGGAGCAAATTGGGGGATGTTCCAGTTGTTTTAGCCTGTGTCCTAAAAAAATGCAAGGCTTAAATATTTTTTTTTTCTTTGGTTTCGAACATCCGGTTTCCAAAATCAAAATCCGGATTTAAATCCCAACACTAATAAAAATGAAAACTTATACTATTATATTAACATTGTGGGCATTTTGCATCAATCTTTTTGCGGCTGCTCACATTTTGCCAATATTTAAATCAAAAACGTGCTATTGGGATCTTCAGTTGTTGAATTTTTAGTATATTCGGCATAGCCCTTGTATATATCTGTCAACAAGGATTCTGCATACTTGTAGCCCTCATGAATCTGTCAACAAGGTCCGTAACACTAACAGCAACTTTACTTCTATATTTCACAGGACTGCGAGTGTTCTACCACCTCAAGAAGTGGCACGGCAAATCGTTGAAGCCATCCGCATGAACGTTTCTGTATATACACCCGCCAGGCTATCCTTCATATTCTACTTGTTCAAGAAGTGAGTGGGCATGCTTATTTCAATCTGGCACCAGAAGTTTCTGTTTGAAGGTACAAATGTACCTTAGAAATGAAAAAATAAAAACATTGATGCCTGAATTCAAAGTTGGTCTTCCACAAAATCTCTATCTAGCCACTATGTTGAATGCAAAAGTCTGAACAGAAAAATTACAACTGGGTTTAGTTTCCTGTTGCAACGCATTACGGGATGGGTTAACTATGGGGGCGTTCGAGTAGCTCATCCGGGTCGACACGGGTCAGCCCCGTGCCGTTCGATTAGCTCTGACGTCATTCTCAGGTCTCACCCGGGTCAGCCATCACAGACCCTGCTTGTGCAGCAGAGTCACTGGTGGAAATACGTCACACGCATGCGTTGTTCATTCCCAGAAAGTGACAAATATGGCGGGCGGACAGCGGAAATCTCAAGTGGGCTTAAGCGTTTACATGTACTTTATTTGAAGTCTAAAGGTAATCATGTATTGAGTTTATTGCAACTTTTGAGGCAATAATTTCAGCCCAACTTTTTTTGAGAAATCTCAAACTAAGACCCAATCGGAAACGGTGTTTTGTCAGTTGCTACGGCCAGGACTATAGACATGATGTGAGGATCGTGATGGCCCGCAGTTGAGCGTTCGATTAGCCCGGCTGTCATGGCTGACCTGTCTGCCTTTACCCGTGTCGACCAGGTGAGCTAAATGAACGCACCCTATGTAAGGGCACTATGAAGTTTGAGACTGAACAACCGATGTTTTTTGTCTTATTCTCTTTTCCAGTTTCATTCCCACCAAGTTCTTCTTCCTGCTGTTTGAACTTGGTGGGGTTACATCGCTCTTCCTAGGCAGAACGGCTGATGGCAAGGCTAAGGAAAACTAGACCGCTGTTCTATGAATTGAAACTGACAGTCAGAGACATTCGAATGAATACACATTTCCTATGAGGTATTGTCACTCATGCTTTTGACTGAGTAGCACTGCGGAAGACAAGGCTACGGAAACCAGACCGCTGTTCTGTGCTTTAAAGTTGATACTCACAGTGTGAGAAAAATGCTTACTTTATCTTACTTCTACTGAAATCATAACTTGAATTAACTTCTTTCAATTGAAAGTGTTAATTACAAAAAAGTATGTTTGTTAATTTGCACAAGTAAATGAAGGATTTAATTTTGAAAGATGTACATCTACATGTTTAGTCAGTGCCTTCCAAAGTTTTCAGTTTTTGTTTTTTTGTTGGTCATTTATGCGTTGATGGCTCTATATATATATATACAAAACAAAATATGAACAATTTTATTGAATATTGTAATGCCCGTGTAACTGTAGCAAGGACCTCCTGAAATTACGTATGAATATTATTTTAAAATAAAAACAGTACTTTGAAACCAATTTGAAGATATTTTCTAGAGAAAAAAAAATGTTCTCGCGAAAAAAAAAAATTAACACCCTGCAAAATTTGGAAAGCAAATTAATTATTAACACCCTGCAAAATTTGGAATAATATTTGCAGTCCCAATTTTGCAGGGTGTTAATTTTTTTTTTCTCTGTTAACTTCTTTTTCAAAATGACTACTGGTGAAGATAATTAAGACTGTGGCAAATTGTGGATATGGAAAATCCTTGTCAACTTATAAATGTATCTCAACTTACCACTGTAGAATATCGTCTCCTCAGACTCAACGCCCCCGCCCAAGCTCCCCGAGTCCGCCGAGAGGACTCGAAGGAAGTCCAGTCGAAGGGCCAGTTTGTTCTTGACGGGCGTCGTTTCGGCACTGACAAACTTGTCGTCCTCGCTGAACTCCGTCTCCTCGTCGTCGTAATCGCTGTCAGCGTTAGCCGTCTCCTCCTTAGCAACCGCGTCCTCGTGGTCGCTAGGGAAGCTTGCGGTTGCCTCGTTGAGATGTTTAGTATCGTCTTCGATGTCTTCGAGATCATCGGTTTTGTCAACGTTCACTTCCAAGGGGTGATTGTCTAGTTCAGTTTCCGCAAAGCTCTGGTTGGCGTCGTCAGACTCTGAGATGACAATTCTCGGGATGGAGGTATCATCGCCGGTTTTCTCTACGTCATCGTGGTTGCTATTTGGCGACGAGCTTCGGTCAGCTTGAGGAGTGCTTTCGACAATGTCGGCATCAATGGAAATATCTCTATTTCCTTGATTGTCGATGTCTTGTAATGGCTTGCCGGAGTCTGTAAGTTCCTCCGTATCAGCTCTGGTCGCGTCTGGGTTTTCCTCTGAGCCGGTATCGCCGACGTTGACCATGCTACTTGAGACATCGCTCCCGCTTCCTTCTTCGATATCCTCGTCCGTGTCCTCGTTGTGAAACGTCTTGATGAGGTTGCAGTACTCATTGCCGTTGTCCATCAGCTCGCGGTGAGTACCGTCTTCCACGATACGCCCGTCTTTCATCAGAATGATGCGATCGCAACGCTTCAGATACTGGGCGGGGCGGAACCAGAAAATAAGCAGATTATAAGAATCGGCTACAGAAATTTGAGGTTCTGAAGGGAAATACTAGGCTTTTTGGAGACCGTTTTGCCTTCGGCGGGAAATGTTGATAGTTCCGCGTGGACAACTCATACCGCTCGGGAGGGGGGGGGGGGTGTTACTTTATGCAAATATCATATCATGACCCAATCAAAATTCCTGAATTCTATAGATCAGCAAATTGCAACTGTGTGAGAAACGGAGAGATCAAACTCACCGAGTGTAATTTGGAAATTATCATTCAAAAACTTGCGGAAATTTCTTTTCTTCAAAAATGGTTGATTGAGTTGCAAAGTCTGTATGGAATGATTTTTAAAAAATCAATAATTGACAAATTTTAGTAGTAGAAATAGAAAACTGCCACATTTTTTCCAATTTTTGGTTTGACTTTTCAGAAACAAGAAATGTGTGTTGAATTATAGCCACGCAATTTAGGTAATAATAACTTTTATCAGATATTTTATATCCAATTTTTTTATTATTATTTTTAAATAATTGGGAATAGTTTCTTTTTTTTACCAAATAATTTATTCCCAGTACAAGATCCAATTTCCTACCTGAAGTTGATGGGTCACAAATAAGATCGTCTTGCCGTTGAGGGCGCCCTCGATGCACTGCGAGAAGATATGCTTGCCGACATGCGCGTCCACGGCCGACAGTGGATCGTCCAAGAGATAGATGTCTTTGTCGGAGTATACCGCCCTCGCTAGGCTGACCCGTTGCTTCTGGCCACCGCTAATATTAATGCCCTGCTCTCCGATCTGGGAAAAAAGTTTGAGTTTGGGAAAAAAACAATTGTGGATAAGACCATGTGCCTGGGCCAACATGTGGATTGGGTTTTCAGTCCCTGCCTGATTCTGTGGGTTTCCCCAGAATATTCTTCTGAGGTTTTCCTCCCACCTCTAAAACTGTAATTTCTTCTCACTGTCTTCTCTCTACAGGTTTCTTCAGGCTTGCGAGCTACAGTGCCTAGGGCGCTTTTGAGGAATCCTTGTTTCATTATCAGAAATAATAATTAATAATAATAGTAATAATTTAAGTATTGAATAGTCCAACTCCTGGGCTGTCATTGCATAATTTTGAAATCCGCATGACTGTGATTGGTCAATCCATTCAAACCCGACCGGCTCTCACCTCGGTTTCGTCTCCGTCCGCCAACACATCCAGGTCGTCCCGCAAGGCACAGACACGGACGGCTCGGTCGTACAGCCCCTTCTGAAACTCCGCCCCCATGAGGACGTTCTCCCTCAGCGTCACGTTCATGATGCAGGCCTGCTGGGAGACGTAGGCGAAGGAGCCGTCTACGGCCACGCGGCCGTCCATAAGGATCATGCGACTCAGGACGGACTGCAAGAGGGAGCTCTTACCACTACCTATACTACCGCAGATACCCAAAAGTTGGCCCTGCCGAAACAAAACAAGGAACAACGTCGTTTATGACGGGCAGGCCAAGATGATATGCAGCAATTTCGACCAATATTTGTCAAGGATTCCATTCGGTTACCAGTTCCCCTCTACCAACATAACGAAACGTTAAAGCTAAGTGTGCTGCACGCGCCAACCCAGTAGGCTGTGTACATGTACAAGCGTGCGATATAATGACCGTACAGTGCATACATTGAAGATATGTGACCTGTTCTGTCAAAAGCAGATGCTTCTGGGCAGAGAATGAAATTGAGATAGGGCCAAAAACGCTGTGGGGTGATTTTTATCGATTTTCAAATTTTTGCATATTTGTAATCCTGAACATGTCTAAAATATATTATAAAAGTTTGAACCCCTAACTTGAACTCTACATATACTATTTTTGATGGTTTTGATAAGGAATATCAGTTAAAGAAATAACTGTTTTGTGACGTTCGTGGCCATTTTCTCCGTTTTCTACTTTTCGACACAATGAACTTCAAAATAGCATAACTCTGCCCAGGAATGACCGGTTTCAAAAATTAAACCACCTATTAAAAGGAAAAAAAAACAACATATGTTAACAATATGTAAAAATATCATGTTCGACCTTATGCCCAGAAAAGTCTGATTTTGACAGAACAGGTCACATATGATGTATGCAGTGAGTACATTCCACCAAATGCCCCATGTCTCGACCTCCATTAAACCATCCCTACAAAATACGGTAAGTTTGAACTGTACCATTTAGATATGTATGCTTTGTAAAAAAATGCCAAATTATGGCATTTCAAACTAAAAAAACCAAAAAGGCGACCTGAAATTTCCAGATATTTGAGTTGGTCGGGTGAGGACGAAAAAACAATTTCATTTTTTGGTCTTATCATGGGCAAACTTGTGAGTGTTTGTTTCGCAAGTCCTCAGACAGCACTAACTACCTTTTGCACATCCAAGTTGATATCAAACAAGGTCTCCATGATAGCAGCCTCTCGGTCTACCAGCGGCTCGGTCTCGCGTCGTTTGCTCGCCCGATCGCCGCCCCCTGTATTAACAGTCTCTTGGCCCCCTTGGCTACCCCCCGGGGGGTCTTCCGTGCCCTCCTTGGGTGCATCAGGGGTGCCGGTGGGTTCCTCTTTATCCCAGGCGAAAGTGGTACCCTTCAGGCTGAGTGCCAACTTAGGGTCTTCCGGTTTGTCTTGGAATTCTTCCAACTCGTCCATTAAGAGGAGCGACTGCAGTGAAGAAAAACAAATTGACAAATTGCTGTGGCTGCGCGGTCTGGGGCATTGAATTCGTGGTCTGCGGGTAATTCTGCAGGTTGTGGGTTCGAGTCCAGCCTGGGGTGATTGTGCGTGTACCCTTGAGCAAGGCACTTTGTCACTCATTGCTTCTCTCCACCCAGGAGTGAATGGGTACCTGTGAAGGCAGAGATGGTTATTGTGATTGATTCTAGCTGCCTTGGGCCGAAACGGCAGCATGGAGCTGCATACTCCCCAGGGAGCTGAGATTGTCTTTGGAATGTTTCATTGGTCCAATGATAAGGGGTAATAATAATGCACGCGCTTCGATGTTAGTTAAAAGTGCTGTATAAGAACCTGTCATTATTATTACTTGAGAATTGTTTTGGTCATGCATTTGGTAAACTTATTTCTGACTTTCACAAGCACAACTCTAACCATAGATCGCTTGAGCAAAGATAGTTGGTAAAGTCAAGTTTGTCACGAGCCAATATGGCTCGTCAGACCGGCGTTTATCTCCGGTTTCCTTGGCATGAAACAACGGAGAATATTTCTATTCCCCCTGGATGGGATGCTAGTCCATCACAGGTTACTCCTCAGCTGCAACGCAGAGGTCTGCGGTTCACATCCGAATTCAAAAATATTTTACTAGCTTGCCTGATTCCTCATCAGCTATCGTTGCAGAAAAGGATTTTTTTTTCTTCAGTTTATGGTTTCAGTCTGGTAAGACAGTTTTTGCTTCTTTTTTTTTTACTAAATATCTCACCTTTATTCTGGGAAACGCCACAAATGTTTCCGTCAAAGCTTTGATCGACAAAGGAGTCGCAATGATCATGAAGCGGATGGCGTTCAATACTGCAATGTAGGAGAACGCCTGTAGGAAATCAAGAATTTTTATAGACATTTAACATTTTCAAATTAGGTTTTGCCCTTCGCCGACATTTACACAGTGCATACTCAGTGTGTAACCTCCAGAGTGAAAGTTGGAAAATATCACTCGGGTTGGACTTGAACCCACGACCTCCTGCTTTCTCGTACAGATGTCTAACCACTCGACCACCGAGCTAAAATGTATGTGATCGGTTGGCTGGTTCGAATCTGATGTACATAGCAGCGGGTACCGCATTAACTATTCATAGTTTGTTTGGAACATTTCTGTATCCTCCGAAATCCTCCGTTTAGGCATTTGCCCCCCCCCCCCAAGTCCCCCCCCCCCCCCAGTTTTCTTCCAAGACTTTATCAACAAATAGATTAATTATGTTTATTTTCTTCGCTGTTAAGATTCATAAAATGTGGACAGATTTTGGCCCAACGAAAGCATTATAAACTTGTTACTTTAGACAGAACACGGCACGCATGCATTTATACAGCCGCAGATAGTTGGCAGCCAATGTCTTTGTACATTTGCTATATACACCGTTCTGATCTGATACACCGTGCCCTATGGAGACATGCACACAATAGGGAACAAAAGATTGTATACGTCTCCACAGGGCAATTTCTAGATGAATACGTCTCCACAAGGTTATCAGGAAATAGATATATGGATTTTACTCAAAAACTAGGAATTTCCAAGGTGGGTTGATCCATCGCAAATGGAAGAGTCTTAGAAAAGGGATATTAATTCCGAATTTCAGCCAATGAAATTAATTCTGGTTAAAATAAGAGCATTTTGAAACTGTACTTTCAAACTCGAAAACTTTAGTACACGAGAACAAAGAAATGCCTGCACAAGGATACAAATTTCAGTATGTATGCGGTTTGATACATTTCTCATTCATAAAAACGACCACACACCCAAGTTGCTCTGGTGGCTTATTTCCAGACCAATTTCTGACTGCCCCACAAAAAATATTTCCTTGCCCCCTCTCCAATTGCCCCATTCCCCCCCCCCCCCCAAAAAAAAATTTGAGTCTGGAGTTGCCACTGCGACAAGTGTAATATCCAAGGAGCTGAAACTTCAACAGTTTAAGTTTTGAAAATTTGTCTTCGGATCTGGAGTGGTGATATTATTGGAAAGGAACAAAATGCATGAGAAGCTAATGATCCTAATCGTCCTCAGTTCATAAAAATTATATATAAATGTTGTAGTTTGAAAATATGCAAGTTGAAGCTAACCTGAGCTGCGGTGATGTTGTAACCAAGCAGCGTGTGCAATGTCAGGGTCAAGATGGTTGACAAGATAGGCACAAAGGTCGTCAGCGAGTGGCAAACGGACTGGAAGAAACCGGCCTTCTCTAGCCACCCCTGCTCCTTATGACGAATATCTGAACCAAAAGGTTTTCAAATTGTATTATTACTCTTGAAAGCACGAATCTGCCAATTCCCACATCTAATCATCTCCACCCATCTCCACCGCTGGCTCCGCCTATATCCATCTGACTCCACCCATCTCCATCTCTGACTTCACCCATCTCCATTTCTGACTCCACACATCTCCACCCTTGACTCCACCCATCTTCACCCCCAAGTCCACCCCTGACCTCACCCATCTCTACCACTGACTCCACCCATCTCCACCCGACTCCACCCATCTCCGACCCGACTCCACCTATATCCATCCAACTCCACCCATCTCAATCTCTGACTTCACCCATCTCCATTCCTTACTCCACACATCTCCACCCTTGACTCCACCCATCTTCACCCCTAAGTCCACCTATCTCTACCCCGACTACACCTAGATCCAACTATATCCACCCAGGGGAGATGGGTGGATTTAGGGGTGGAGATGGGTGGAGTCAGGAATGGAAATGGGTGAAGTCAGAGGTGGAAATAGGTGAAGTCAGAGGTGGAGATGGGTGGAGTCAGGCGGATATAGGTGGAGTCCAGGTGGAGATGGGTGGAGTCAGGGGTATAGATGGGTGGAGTCAGTCCACCCATCTCCACCCCTGACTCCACCCATCTCCCACGCCTTGACTCCACCCATATCCAACCTCGACTTGGCCCATCTCCACCCTTGTCTCCACCCATCTCCACACTTGACTCCACCCATCTCCACTCTTGACTCCACCCATTTCCACATTTGACTCCACCCATTTTTACATTTGACTCCACCCATCTCCACACTTGACTCCACCCATCTCCATCCCTGACTCCACCCATCTCCACCCCTGACTCCTCCCATCTCCGTCCCCGACATCATGCCTTCTTACCCCCGATGCTAGCTTCAAAGGAGTCCTCCCACGCGTACATCTTGATCAGCTTAATGCAGTTGATGATTTCCGACATCAATCGGACTCGGTGGTCGGTCAGTTCTATGGATCGCTGGCGATAATGAGCAACAATCTTGGAAAACAAACCCTTCATATGCACAGAACAAAAAAATTAAATTAAAAAGAGCCATATCTGGGTCGAAAGTTGAAATGATTATACAATTTCTTATTCAGTAATACGCAAAGATTTCGATTTTCAATTCAAAAGTTGCCGAGTCGTATTTTGAACTGCCCCCTCTAGTGACGCAATCTCGAAATCAGCATTCCGGATATGATTCTCATTCAGCCGATTGTAGCTACATGTACGTGATGTGACATGTAGCGTCGTGTCAACGCTTGCACCCATTCACTGATTCGCCTAATTACTAACCAACTACAATGGAAAATTTGGAAAAATGTGTCACTTGACCCATCTTTGGAAATGGCCTTCTTTTATTGTTTTCTTCAAAATGACAGCATGCCAGAAGGAATAATTTCACAGGGAGTTTAGTGCCATTGCTATCTTTAAACCAAGTAAATTTTTTAACAATAATTTGGTTGGTTACTTTTTGGATAGCGGCAAATGGTCCAATCTACCTTTAACCTTCAACCCAAGTACACTGTGTGAATTAGATTATTACTCAGTGGGTTGCCATCGACGAAGTTCAGACAAATACCCTACCTGTAGGGGGTAGAAGACAATGAACACACCGGTTCCCAACAGAGCCGCCGGTCCGATCAGGTAAACGGTGTAGAATAGCGCCACGGCCGCTAGCGGGGGACCAGCTAAGGCATGCGGCAGGTACAGCAGCATGTCAAACATACGCTGGCCGTCGTTCGCACAAAGATTGACGATCTGTGCAGGGAAAAGAATCAAAAATGAAGGGACAAACATCATCAAACATAAACTTGTGATCATTTTGAGATCAAAAAGTTTGTGCAGAAAATACTGTGCATTCAATTCTTCTAACATTAAAGTTACATGGGACCATTTCTCTTTGCTGTTCTCTGTCGACAAAACATGGCCCATTTGAATGAGTGTCAGTATAGACAACTTGAGCTAATTTGTTATGGATTGAGGCAAAGCGTTCTGCCGCCTTTTACCAAATTGACCCAAAAAAAAAAGGGCAAATATGTACTCGAATCATACGCTTACGAAACTACTCAAGGACAATTTCAAATGTCCCACACTGCGAAATTTGTCGACCATCTCCCACAATGCACTGGGAAAAATGAACTCTCCCTGGCAAACTCTTAATGGCGCACTGCATTGTGAATCGCACAAATTAACTGTGAAATAACGCCAGTCTTGTTGCCATATCTTAAAAGGGTTGTAAGAATGCTGCTTATTAGGAGTTCGAAAAGCTCTGTGGACTTTTTAATTTGTGTTTTTTTTCCCCCCATTTTTCCAGAAATATATTTTACTTTGGCACAATTGCAGAATACCCCGCCACTCGATCTATGCACCTCGTAGCCAGCTACGGAGTCACGGTTGATTGCCCTCAATAAACCTACTCAGCGCTACTTGTATGTACTATGCGTCATGCTCCACTGCACTCCCACTCCGTATCCGCGTAGCCGGCAACAAGATAGTTGGTTTGGACTTGATATTTTTTCAGCAATCCCCATTTATTTTGTGTTGCTTCGTTCTCAAGGAGACCCCCACTCAGTATCCGCGTAGCTGGCAATGGAAGTTGGATTGTTTCTTTTCCAGTGATTCCAACCTCGTAGCCAGAGATTTTAGGGGTGTATTTCCGAGTGGCGGGGTATTCTGCAATTACTCCCTTACTTTTCTTGGAGAATATGTCATCTTTTCATGCTGATATGATTTGTGGCTCCAAGGATTTTTTGTTTGTTAATGGGTTTTTTTTTTGGGGGGGGGGGGGGTGTGAAATAAAACCTGAAATTTCATTGTCTGATTCTTGCCCCCTGAATACGAAGTCACAATGATAACATAAGCGTGGAGACCAACCTATCGCGAATTGGCATCAAGGCTATCACCAATGAGCAGTTTCAATTATACAGGAACTATTAGAAATTTAATAGGTGCATAATTTGGGCGAGTTACCTTGGGAAAATATGCTGGTACTGCAATATAATTATATAATTTGGGATGGCTTTGAGGGGGATACAAGAATATATTGCACGAGCCATAAAAATATTAATTTAAATACGAGTCGAAGACGAGTGCAATATTGTTATAGATATTATTATTATTTTTATTAGGCTGACTTGATCCGAAAAAAAATAATTGTCAAATTTTGTTGAATATTCTTTGCTTGCCGATAATTTTTATTTGTTTCCAACAAAACTGTAGAACTATGTAGAAAGGTGGACGGCTCCTTAGGATACAATTTCGAATCAGTAAAAGAATTGAAAAAACAGGCATGCAACTGGGAAGTCACAAAAAAAGAGGAAATTCAACTTTTTCCCAGACTTTGTACAGTGTTTTTCTATTTTCAATGGCACACATTGGAAGTGAAAAAAGAGGAAATCAGCTGATCCGGGAAAAGTTGCATGCCTGAGAAAATGGAAGAATCCCTCGGCCATCTTGGAAAATCTGCCATCTTGGAGAAAAAAAAGGGCTGCCTCCTTTCTTTCTAATTTCAAAAAGCCTGAATGAGAAACTTTTTTTAGTTGACTCGGCCTTAAAAAAACGACACTCACCTCGCCAATAGATAAACCCTTCATGGTCCGAAGCCGAATGGTCTTGTGATAGATTAAACAGACGGTGGCCGCCCGGGCGCGACCGCCGGTCCGTATGTTCATGTACCAACCATAACCCATGAACGTGACCAACACGACTTGGCATAGGACCATGAGCCCCGCCAGCTTCAGACCGTAGCCCAGGTCGGCCGTCTCCTGCTGGCAGTACTCCAACAAGAGACGGACCAGCACAGCCTGCATGGGAGGATGAAATTGGAAATTTCTACCGCGTTACTTTTAAAATTTCAACTAGTATTTAGGGCTGTCCATTAATATACAAATAACGAATGTTTGTGAGTGCGATGGTAAGAATAATTTCATGAGGTGACAGATTGAATGTTCTATTCCACGAGGCGAAGCCGAGTGGAATAGAACATTCAATCTGTCACCGAATGAAATTATTCTTTCCATCGCACGAACGTAAAACATTCGTTATTTGTTTTATACAACACCTGAATAAATTCTCGTCATTTGATTGGTAAATTATAAACTACAATTTATTTTGATTTTAAGGATGTTGAACTACCCCTTCACGAAAATGTTTGAACCCAACGCTGTAGCGCTGGCTCTTTGGAACAATACGCGCTACGCTGAACGCGCACACCAGCATGCATTTTGCACGCAAATACCGCGTCATGGAACAAGCGCAAAGTGAAACGGTATAACGCATGGGTATAACGCATGGTTGCACCGTGCATTATACCGAATAATAATATGTCACGTGATCTACAATTCACCAATCAGATGACGGGGATTTATTCAGGCGTTGTATAAATTCAAATAATTTAGTATTTGATGCTTACAGGGTTTGATTTGGGGTTGTTTTACGACTTAAAGGGAATGTACATCATTGGCATTTGCTGTAATTTTCAGAAATGAACTATTTGAAGGGTTTAATAGATCAAACATTGTTACACTGACATGTTTGAAGTTTTGTGTTCGAAAATGCTGGAAAAACCAAGAAAAACAAAAATGTTTAAGTAGTCTGGTTCCCTGACTCCACTAAAGATAAAATGAATCAATTTATAGATGTCGGAAAATTGTAAGGTAAGGGAACCAGTCTAGCTGGCCTGCACCCGTTCATGAACATGTAACCAATAGCAAACAAAATTTGGACTGAAAAAAATTGCAAATTTGGAGCAGTAGTTGAAAAATAGTTAGGTTTTTCCAACGGTGGTCGGCCGACCACCGTTGGAAATACATACAAAAATACAATTTTCTTGAAAACGACTTGACACCAGGTGCCATAATTTTACAGGATGCTTGAGACTGTCATTTCCCAACATCCTAGTAAGGTATTTCGTAAAAACTTGGTAGTTTTATTTTTCGATGTTTGCAAATGTTGTATATTCCCTTTAAAGGTGATATACAACATTTTCAAATATAAAAAAAAAAAATTATCAAATTATTATGAAATACCGTATTTGACTGAAAGTGAATAATAGCCATGTCCGAATTACTTGTTTATGCGGCCACTTTCAAGCCATGGCCTAGTACATGTAATTCGGAAACGGCTATATATAGTCTCAAGCATCCTGTGAAATCATGGCACCATGTGTGCTGTCCTTTTTCCCCTGATGTCTATAAATTGCTTGTTCCGTCTGAAGTAGGGTCAGGGAACCAGACTACAAGAACAACATTTTTTTCCTTAATTTTTCCAGCATCTTTGAACACAAAATTGAAAAAAAGGTCAGTGTAACAACATTTGCCACAAAATACTAACCCCCAAAATTACAGCAAAAAGCAAATGTTGTATATATATTACTTTTAACCCTAACCGCCCTGAATCCTTGAAAATCCTCTTTGCCAAAGTGGAGGAATTTGGAGGATTGAGGTTACATGGCAAAAGTGCGTTACTGATTTCGTAGGAGGCACTTCGTCAAGGTCTTGGGCCACCCCTTGTGTTGTTTTTGCTCAGCCATGCATAAATATAGGCCTGGATTATGCTTGAAATCCTCCATACTGCTCCAGGATGTCACTGGCCGAGCCTCAACATATTGACAGTCACTGCCGCAGGATTTTGCAGGATTCAGGCAGTGGTCACCCCTCCACGGACCATATTCAAGAAATAATGGAGGAATTTGCAGGATTGAGGCTATATGCTATTTTTCCACGAGGCCAATGGGAGAATTCTGCAGGATTGAAGCTACATCCTAGCAAAAAGGCCTAGGGAGTTAACGATTTGTTATGCCCTCTTCATAATGGCTTTTATGGTCGGTTGCCTTTATATTTTTGGCCTTCTGATTAACCGAGAAACCTACTCACCGATGAGATGCAGTTGGAAAAGATTGCAATGAAGGAGAACAGACAACTGAGGAGACTCCGCTTGGCAAGAAACCAGAAATAAACGCGAGCTAAGGAAGCCTTCTCTGGCCCGCGACGTTCCAACTCCTTCTGCCAAAGATGCTCCAACCTGAAAAAGAATTGTTTTTTAACTAGAGTTCTCTATTAATCCATCTCACATTTTTTTTCTGTGGGCGGGTAAAGCAGTTTCATGAATAATTCACTAGAATCGATGAGAAATATTATGTTTATTCACGAGAAATGAACGATGATATCAACACCGTTGTTTTTACACACCCCCAATAGTCAGTCTTGTTGGCGAAATCGCGGTGCTGTCCGCAAAATAAAAAATGAAGAATGGAGAAAGAAGGGGAAAGGAAGAGGGAAAAGGAAAAATGGACAATGTAAATAATTAACACCGCTGCTCAAAACCAAGCAAAGCTAAAATCTGGTTCTGTAACCCAAGGCAAAAGATTGTACATTCTGTCATTTCGGCACAAGCTGCCGCGCGAGATCGCTTCATATACAGCGGTTGACAGCTACAGCTGTGCAACACACAAGCACGTGCTCGCTCGCACGCAGATACAAATTGAGCTGATTCTTAGTGACGACCAAAATCACGGATCAAGCTAAAGAGGGCAAATCTCGAAAGAGAGACAAGCTACAGTTTTGATGTGATGTTTGTGATGTAATATATCAACTTTGATGACCCATCCCATCTCCCTAAATACGAGCACATTTCATTCAAAAAGTCAGGGGAAAGTGGCCAGGAAATGCCTCAGATTGCACCACAGAGCATCTAGAATCCAAACATTTTCCGGGGCCCTTAAGCGGGCCATGGACCACACGCCTTCAAATATTCGAACTGGTAAAAAGATTTTGAAATATTTGGTTGGTGATCGCCTACTCGAATATTTGGTATATTCTGGACTAACCTATTTTTAAAGCCGGAGTCCATCATTTGCAGGTATCCAAAAAAGTAACTGGCGTAATTATTGTTGAAAAACATACTGGTTGAAAGATAGTAAGTGGACTAAACTCCCTGTGAAATTATTCTTTCTGGCAAGCTCTCATTTTGAAGAAATCAACGAAAGAAGGCCTTTCCAACGGTGCGCCTTAAGAAGCACCGTATGAAAATTTAAATTAGTAGTTCGTTTTGTTGTTTGGCGCAGCGCGCACAAGCATTGGCACGACACCTAGGCGCGCGCGGTTGCTATAATTCGTCGGATCAGTGCGCAACATCGGGTATAGCTGCAATTCAAAACAATTGATTCAGCATCTTTTGATTTGGAATTGAGATCCTAGAGTGCTGGTTTTTCTCGGAATATACAGCTGAAGCTGAGCTGAAACTTCATCAGGTTAGTTGTTCAGCACCCTTCTTTAGATTTTGAGCACTTTTGTTGCTTCAAACAAACAAAATGCACAATTTACAAATGATGGACTGTATCTTTAATCCAAAAGATCAGGAAAAACAAATTGTGGTGATTCTGACCTGTCGCAGTTATTTTTTGCGCTGTCGTACGGTGAGCAGCTGAAAAGGTCTTCCTTCTCCAGCGTTCCCTTCCAGGATTTGTAGAAGACGGGCGTCATCCATGAAAACCAGAGAGTGGAAAGGATGTTAGCCTGATCCATAGGACAGCTGTCTGAGTGTAGCCTGTAGGAGTCAGGAACCAAGACACAAATGAAAATTCAAAAGAAAGAAAATTGATTTTTTGTTTTCATGCATCTGGTGAACAAATGGGGCTTGATTAAATAAAGTCAATATACAACTTTGGTTTTGCTGTAATTTTCAGAAATGGATGGATTTGGGGTTTAGTATTTCATAGCAAATATTGTTACACTGACCTGTTTAAAGGTTTGTGTTCATAGATGCTAGAGAAACGGAGAAAAACAAATGTTGTTCTTGTAGTCTGGTTCCCTGACCCTACTTCAGACAAAGCGGAGCAATTTATAGACGTCGGGGAATTGTCGGATCAGGGAACCAGACTAGCTGGCTCGCACCCGTTCACCGATGTTTAACCGATTTTCAAACAAAATGTGGACTAACTAAAGTTTGAAAAGTCTAGGCAGTATTTGAATTTTTTTCCTACAATGGTCGGCCAACCATCATTGGAAACTGAAATAAAAAAAATTTCACTTTTCTTGAAAATGACAGCACACCAGGTGCCATGATTTCACAGGATGAGACTATTTTTACTTACAGTCAAGTAATGTATTTCATAATAATTTGGTACGGTTTTTTTGTTGTTGATGTGTGCAAATGTTGTAAATTACCTTTATGGTAATTTACAACATTTGCACACATCAACAACAAAAAAACCAAATACTAATCCCCAAATCCAAGTAAAAAAAAATTAAAAAGATTCTCATCAGGGCTTTTTGAAAAATTGAGGGTGGCCCTTTGTTATCTTTTTTCTTCAAAAATGGCATTTTGTCAAGATGGTGGATTCTTCAATTTTTTCAACTCTTTTGATGAAACTTTTGTGTCAAAAGGAGCCATCGCCTACAACTTTTTTACCAGATTTTGACTTTGTTTATAAAGCTACAATTTTTTTTTCTTTTTCTAAGAAAAAAAATGAGGCGGGCTGAAAAAAGGAAGCAAGTGGGCATGAGAAATGTTTTTGACTTTGCCTATTAAAACCAGAACTTTGCATGGGCAGAAGCGATGATATCAGTCGATCTGGAAAAATGTTGCAACCTGAAACCACTTTTTTTCTTCATATATCATCTCAATGAAGGTCATTCATTGCAAAAAGGATGATAAGACATGAATCTGGAACTGAAAAAAAACATTTCCAATTTTGTTAGGAAAACTTTTCTTGACTCTCCATAGACTTTGTAAACGACCGCTGAGGTGGAGTCAGGTTGCAACATATTTTCCGCCAATCTTACCTGTGGCGTTTGGTTTGTGCCTTCCGGAAGAATTTCTGTAACCTCCGAGTCTTGAGCGGCTCTTTGGTTGCGACTTTTGGCTCGTCAAAATGAGCATCGTCTTGCTGTCCATTTGGTCTGGTGCCCTGTCTCTCCTGCATAGGACTGTCATGATTGCTGTGGTCTGTAGTCGTGGATGGCATGGTTTTTTGTGTTTGCGATTTGGCTGTGATAAAAGTACACCGAACACAAACGCAGATGATAACACTTTGTACATATATGTTGGGCGCGATCAGCCAATGTGCGTGATCGGTCAATCACGCTGTGCTATCGGTCCTGATATGCCTCACGATCGACCGATCGCGCCCAAAATATGTGCATGACCTCAAAATGGTCAGTCATTGAAAACCATTTAGTTTAAAAACAATTGAAATTGTTTTCTTCTTTTAATATATCGTCAGACCCCCTAAAGCTACGCGGTCCTTTTTCTATGCATTTTAATACCTTCAATTTGTGTGTGACAACGCGCGCCTATGCAAGCGTTACCTGCGCAGATAAAGAGCTTTCAAAATGCAATTAAAATGGTCTCCTAACTTCATAGGGCAAGCAGTTCTGACATTATTTCAATTTTCAAAGTTGCTTTTTTTTGCCTTAAAATGATGCTCGATTTGGCTGAAAGGCAAGATTACCATATGCGAAGTTCACTAATTTTCCTCTGTATTGACTAACAAGCCCCCAGATAGCAACTTCATGTCATCAAAGTCAATTTGAGCAGTGAGAAAATACAAGCATTTTCTTAGAAAACACTTAGAATTTTTCAGTCCAATCTCATAGGGTTTGTGGGTGTTGAGTGAACTTCGTATGGAAATCTTTCCAAACGCAGATATGCAAATAGCCGTACAAAAAAAAGCCGTACAAAATTTCGAGTTTTCCATAGGTTTGTGCACAAACATGGATGCGCCCATCAGGCATTACTTTGTACATTGAGTTAGCACTCTAGTAATTCAATATAGCTCTATGGGCTCAGCTCAGCTCACAATCGACATGCGACAATTACAATGAATTAATTTCAAGTCCAGTTGACAATGACATGCATGGTTGAGAAATTTGTGCACAGCTGATGCTGATGATCCGCTGCGCCGTGCATTTAAATTACTTACCTCAGCACCGTGCACGTTATTGCATTCCTTCAAGAACAACAAACAATCTAGTAGTACTTAGATCATCACAATCACGGAAGTTCTGAAAATGCTGCAATATTCTGTCATTATTGCTAAATTTTACCATGGAGGAAAGAACTAACTCAGTGATCACTTTGCTTTCTTTTCTGCATACTGCCCTCAACGTCCAAGAGTGGTTAGTTCACATGCGGAAAACAAAACCTGTTGCATCACGCGTGCATGGCCCTACATAATGCAGTGTTATGTCACATGCAACTAAACTTTACGCAAGGGCCAAAACCGCTCAAAAAAATTCCGTGTTTTTTGCCAGGAAACCATTTGGGGTTTTTTTTCGCTGCATGGAAAGCCCGAGGTCATTAAAATGCAATGATGTAACAAGCAAAAAAAAATTACGTAAAGTTTCTCATAGCATTGGGAAAAAAGTCCCTGACCCCATGCTTGATGATGTTACTTAACTAGGCTAAAACTTGCAGAATAAATAGTGTTAATTGTAACCGGAACCGGCCTAACCTGACCATTTTAATTTTGCGTTTTATCCTTCAAGTTGAGTTCAACGACGAATTTTCTTTCAATACAAGCAATCAATACAACAATACCGACCTCGTATTTGCCCGTGAAAGTGAACACCGAGATTCAGACCCCTGATGGAACGCGGGACAAAATTTGTGACGAGCTTTCAGTTGGTGGGGAAAAATTAGGATTTAATATACCCAGTGGCGTAGCCACCGGGGGGGGGGGGGCGTGGGGGGTGACCGCCCCCCCCCCCATGAAACCTTGTCGCCCCCCCCCCCAGTCGCCCCCCCCCCCCCCCCCCCCCCCACTGAGATTTTGAGTTTCTAACAAACATTATCATTGATCTACATGACGCCATGGGCGTCAATCCTTTGGGGACAGGGGGACTGGTCTCCCCCCCCCCCCCCCACACTTTTTGAAGGGTGGGGGACACAATATCAAATGTCCCCCCAGATTTTTGAACTCGTGTCTCATTTACAGGGCCCTATTATGTACTACAATGTATCTTTTGCTTAGAAAATATTGGTTAAGGTGGTCAGAAATTGCCTCAGATAGCACCACAGCCTAGAGCATTTAGAATCCAAAATTTTTCGGGGCCCTTCAGCGGGCCCCGAACCCCACGCCTATAGCTCAGAATTCTGGTAGCTGATTCAATGACTCCAACCTCGAAAACAATGTTCAAAAAATTTTCTTCAATCCTTTAGCTGAGAAAACCTCGTAAATTATGTTTAAATTATTATCTTTTGTGCTAAGATAATTATTGGTTAAAGTGGTAAGAAATTGCCTCAGATCACACCACAGAGCATCGAGAATCCAATTTTTTTCGGTGCCCTTCAGCGGGCCCCGAACCCGACGCCTGTAGCTCAGAATACCGATAGCTGATTCAATGACTCCAACCTCGAAAACGTTGTTCAAATAATTATCTTTTGCTAAGAAAATATTAGTTAAAGCAGGGAGGAAAGTGGTAAGAAATTACTTCAGATCACACTTCAGAACATCTAGAATCAAATTTTTTCGGGGCCCTTAAGCGGGCCCCGAACCCCACGCCGTAAAGGGCTTCGCGCTTCGCATCAGTTCTGATCAATTAGGTATGTCCCCCCCCCTTTTGAGAAGCGATTGACGCCCCTACATGACGCCCCCCCATGAAATGTTCCAGCCCCCCCCCCCCCCTAAAAAATTCCTGGCTACGCCACTGAGTGTACCATGAAGGAATATTCCTCCATGATTACACAGTACAAATGCCTGAATAAATCCCCGTCATCTGATTGGGGGGTCGTTGATCACGTGTCGTTGAATTATTCGCCCTAAAAAAACAGAAGTTCCATTGCACGGTATATGGAAGTTGCAGTGCACCGTCACACTTAATTGGCGGCTCTGACCAATCAGATGACGAGGATATATTGTATAGAACAAATAATGAATGTTTCACATCGTGCAACGGTAATAAATAATTGGCATTCGGTGGCAGATGGAATGTTCCATTCCACGAGGTTTCGCCTCGTGGAATGGAACATTCCATCTGTCACCGAATGAAATTATTTATTACCGTTGCACGATGTGAAAACATTCATTATTTTATGCAGTGCATAACCCCAACAATAATGCTCGGGTGTATGATTTACGTGAACATTTCAAATTTTATGCGACCCCGCGCGCAAGCCAATTGGAGTCGACTTTAGAAATAATAGTTGGACTAACATTGAGGGCGCTACAACAGCAAACCGTTAACTTTTCATCTCCTTCTAACTTTTCTTTTTCATCAAGAAAAGAAATTAAGGACGCTTCGGGCAGTGTATATCGTAGTCCAAAAACAAAAAAAAACACTTTTCTGACCAGCATGGGGGGGGGGGTCTTGTTAAAATAACTGGGTGCAGGTTTGGATGAACAACATTCACAACACAGCTCGTTAAAATTACAATATATTTTTTATTGACAGTTATCTTTCCCGGCCCATTACCTCAACTTCCTCTTTCTCGTGATGTATGTTGCCTTTTTATTAAAAAACCAGGAAAACAGGAAATTCTTAAAAATGTTTCTCCAACAGTAATTGGAAATGATATTGTCAAACATAAAAGTTGAACTAAACTTGAAAATGCAACACACATATCTTCATATTTCAAAAACTGCATTCTTTTATCTCTCAACACTAGGCAAATGAAGAAAAACAATTTTGTTTTTAAACAGTATAGCAGGATCAGTCAATCCACAGTCACTCTTGATAGCACCAAACAATATAACTATACCAATTGATTAAAAACAGAATTGAACAAAGAAATTGACTGGAGCGGGGTTTGAACCTGCGACTACCGGATTACCGTTCCAGTGCTCTACCAACTGAGCTATCCAGCCATACATTAGCGCTTCCCCAGCTTGCCAATGCTTCCCCAATTTGCCAATGTCCTTGTTCAACTATTGCTTATCATTTTAATACTCCAAGTTATCTTTTCTCATTAGTGCACATTTATCATCTTCATTCAAAATGTGGAAAGGGCTGCGGTTGGGATTGGAATTAGGCTGGCTATTGGTCATCATGGCAAGACCTAAAAAAAAGACCTCATTTATTTATTTATTTATTCATTCTCATCATGTAAAAACATGAAACTTGTCTCCTCGTTCTGCACACAAATATAATGTACAAAACTTAAAAACTTCACATTAAAAACCGGAGAAAAAAAGGAAAAAAAAATATTACATAAATGTACAAATAGGCGTAACAATATAAGAACACTGACAAGAGTACACGTAACCAGAAATAGAACAACAAATTTAACCTAATTAAATAAATAAATAAAATATCTGGATTGATAGAGCTATTATGTATAAAGACAAAAAAATATAAAAAATTGGCAGGAAACAATGGCAAGCTGGGGGGAGGGGGGGGTATAAGAAAGCCAGGGGGATATGAGCGGGGAAAAAGGAAACAGGGAAAGGGTTGAAACTTACATGTACGAGGGGTATAAACACACACATTTACATCACGATTTCAAAAGCATTATCTACTATAAGTCTAATTAAAAACACGAGATTGCCCTGGGTAAAAATAATAATAGTTTAATGCTAAAGGGCAAATGATTCCAATCCCAAACAACATCAGCTTTTTTCCCCCCACAACATCCAGGATTTTCCACAGCTTACACAACACAGCACCGAAATCCATTCAGGCAAGGAACTTGGTCACAGTGTCCAGAAATGTTGTTGTGATCAATTGACAATTGTGCAGCCGTATGCGTGACTGAGATTAAATGAAACTCATAGGGGTTTAGGCCAAGGACTCGGAGTATCTGCACAATAAGCCATTTGCGAGTGACCTATACCCTTTGGGATTTAAATTTGAAAAACATCTGGTACATGACTTGCTCAGAATGCTTGGCACATTTTAACTTTGAATTTCCAGACCAAAGACACTGTTAATTACATGATTCGGGGCAAGCTCTTGCATAGTTACGTACAAGACGCTCATTGTTCACAATGGGTGAGAATGGCATAAAGACACCAGACCATGCCGGAGCTGGGGCTTGCTAGCATAAGGCTTGTCCCGAATCTTGGATATAGTAACAGTCTCTTTGGTCGGAAAATGCAAAGTTAAAACATGCAAAGCATTGGGTTAAGTCAGCGTTCCAGACTTTATTCAAATTCAAATCGATCTATATTCACCTTTGACATCATAACATCATCCAAAGTTCTTTGGTAAAAAAAAATCTCTTTAGAAAGAATTATTAGAACGCCATAGCGAGCCAGCCAGCCATAAGCACCATTCCACCGTAAGGAGTAAACTTGTTGAGAGTCTTTGATCCAGACAGAGCAGAATAGTAGCAGGTTCCACAGAACCCCAGCATTCCAAGGAAGAGTAGGACGCCAACCTGTAAATTACAACAAAAAAAAAGCTCGATCAGAAATATCTCGGGCTGCGGGCCAACGAATTCGAGTTCATGCATGAGTCACGTGATTGTGCCATGTAATATCTGGAAGGAGTAGTGTTAGAGTAACAAAAATCAAACAGTTTTTGACCCCGCTGACCCCAAGATGATCTTTGACCCCAGTTTGGTCATGTGACATTTGGGCTGTGCTACTGATACTTCTCATGTGTTCTCATGCAGCAGATTGCAACTACGTGATGTCACGCACTGAACCGATGAATAATAGCAACCGCGCTTGCGCGGACCTATTCACGGATTTGCCCAAATACAAACCAACTACTAATGGAAATTTCCAAAAAGTGTGTAACTTGACACATCTTTGGAAATGACACTCTTTTATTGTTGTTTTCTTCCAAATGACAGCATGCCTGAATGAATAATTTCACAGGGAGTTTAGTCCCATTACTATCTTGAAACCAAGTAAGCTTTTCAACTATAATATAGTCGGTTACTTTTTGGATAGCCGCAAATAGTCCACTCTACCTTTAAAATTCCCATTTCTTTGTTTTCTATGTGCATTGTACAGCAAACCTTTATGTAATTGTAAAGGTGCCTTTATGGTAAAACCTTAACAACTGAATTTAAAGAGACTTTCTAGAGACCTGTAGTTGTACTCGGACTGGGACCTGGAGTGCTCTGAAACATGCAAAACTAAATCAGGCCAACTTTACTCACTCTTTAGACAGTAAATTTCTCCAAAAATGTCCATTGGGCAAAGAAAAGGTCCTCAGTATTTCACCAACCAAGTTTGCAGACTCAATTCAATTTTTAAAGGAAACATTTGTTTCAATATTTTGCACATGAGAGGGAAGTCAAGTGATTTCAAAATGAGGCTAAAAGACTAGACCGGTACATGTCCAACCATGGTCCAACTATTTGAAAAGACTGACCTCTTCATTTAGTGTCGTTAGTCTGGTGGCTGACTATGGAGAAATGTGTAGTAAATAGAGACTAGTTCCCGGTTCATACCACATGTTTCTTTTGGCACAGCTGATTGATGCAGTACTGAAGTAGTGTTGGACTGGTTGTTTCAGGTGCCAGTCTATTTTCTTGTATTGCATGTTTTCAAAACCTTAAGTTTTGGGACTCTCATACACAGTATTGAGAGTCCCAAATTTTCGGACTAAGTTGTACTCACAACTGTTGGATGTCTAGTCATAGGTACAGCTAGCAGTGCCAGGGTGTGTATAAAGTGATACCTGTTGGCGGTTTGAAAAACCTAAAAATTAAACAAACAGTTGAACAGTTGAAATTTCCCCCGAACTTTTGACTTTGCTCCAAAATTCTGCCACTCGAATTGTGACCCTGACACACTCTAGAACTCATATCACCCTGATTTTGCAGTCTCTGCATTGGCTCCCTGTTGCTGACCAAATTAAGTACAAACTGTTACTGCTCGTTTTTCATTGCCTGCACGATTCAGCTCCTGACTACAGCATAGACCTATTAACTCCATACAAGCCATCCAGGCGATTGAGATCTTCTGATGCTTCTTTGCTTGTTGTCCCTCACACTCACAAATCTTGGGGTGATCAATGATTTTCTTACGCAGGTCCTCATCGCAGTATCTCATCGCTTTCTGAATTTAAAGTTGCCCTGAATTCTGAAGACCTATTTGTTTCAGATCACTCAGAATATTCTTGTTTAGTTCAATATAATTGTTTTGTTATTTCTGATTTGATATAATATTTTTGTTTTGCGCCTGACAGAAATTGCATTGAAAAACGATCATCCTTTTACTAAGGAAATAAAATGTGTGCTTGGCCGAATTTAAACACTCTGGATAGTAACACCGGTTGATGTTTGGATGATCATGGCGCAATACAAAAATATTGAGCGTCATTTATGATGGATACCGGCGCGTTATAAATTACCGTTATTATTATTATTATAAATAAATGAAAAAAAGTCAGCAAATCTCCTAGACTCAGTAATTTGGGCGCTAGAAGTTAGAACTCCTTTTTCCCCCAACTTTTGACTTTGGTCAATCGTTTTAGTTAGTACTAGCTTGCGTAACTCCAGCTGACATGCTCATCAGGAATCCACATGAGCATGTAACCTAGAGGTACTCAAGCTGAGTTAGTACGACCGACCAAACTCACAATCCGACACTGGGTCTACAAATCTCTGAAATAAAGAATAAGATTTTATTTAATTGTTTAATTGCATATCCTCTAACTGAGATAACAAATCTAGATTTTGTTTTATGTAAAAAAAAAAATACCAATGGACAAATAGATGAGCTCCTTTGTAGATCAAACTTAATGATGTAACATGCAGCATAGATATCATGCATGGGAATCATTATCTTTTACTTAACCTCATAAGTTTTGTCATCAACTCTTTTCCTCAGACCTAGCAAGACTCTTTTCCTCAGACCTTTTTCTAGCAAGACAAAGTCGGAAATGTAAAAAGGTTAAACAGAAATTACAAATAAGAAAATCAACTTGCCAAAAATAAATTAAACATTTTTGTCATTTTGTTTATCTGTTCGGGAACGAATGTTGCAACCTGGCACTACTTCAGCGGTTCTGTACAATGTCTATGGAGATTCAAGAAAATGTTCAAATCTACAATGTTTTTTTAGTCCCACTCCTAACCCCACTAGTGTGGCCGCGGTATGCTGCGCTGAACCTCTGGCCACACACCGTGGTACCGCGCACTACTGAGGGCGTTTTCATAAAAATTCAGGGCAGTTTCTTACATATGGTCGTATTCTATGATGTCCCATCTATCACTTCTGGGATGCTTAGGTATAATGATGTTCAATTTTCCGAGATATTCTTGAATTTTTCTGGAGCCCATATGCACTCGTGAAATGTCGTCTGGTGATGGCAGCCTCTTTGAATGTGACAAGAGATGACCTCAAGCTGTGATGTCGCGTTTATGCAAATTGCTTGTCGAGCGAGGGCGCGAGTTGCAAATGCGACGGCTGTTTCCTGTGCCGTGGATCCTGAATAGAGATCAGTGCACGTGGACCCAGACGATAAATACTACAGGAAACAGCCGTCGCATTTGCAACTCGCGCCGCCCTCGCTCGACTAGCAATTTGCATAAACGCGACGTCACAGCTTGAGGTCATCTCGTCACATTCAAAATGGCTGCCATCACCAGACGTTTCACGAGTGCATATGGGCTCCAGAAAAATTCAAGAATATCTCGGAAAATTGAACATCATTACACCTAAGCATCCCAGACGTGATAGATGGGACATCATAGAATACGACCATATGTAAGAAACTGCCCTGAATTTTTATGAAAACGCCCTCAGTAGTGCGCGGTACCACGGTGTGTGGCCAGAGGTTCAGCGCAGCATACCGTGGCCACAGCTATCCCACTCCCAGATTCATGTCTCATCTCATTTTTGCAGTGACTGACATGACTGACCTTCATCAAGGTCCAGCTAGGGCTGGGCCCGTAGAATGATTAGTAACGAAAATTGTGAAGAAAGGAGTTGTTAAAATTAAGATTACCATGTGATCCGTATGCACCAAGAGCTACGGCTAGAAACCCCGAAACACCAGCAATCCTGATGAAAATTTCTGCTGACCGCAAAATTGCCATAATTTTAATTGTACCCAACAATTGTGACACTAATGAAATTTCCCAGCTCAGAAAAAAAAAATAACACATCGCATGGAAAAGTCCGGTCATGATCCCAATGCATACTAGTAGTACGTAACGGGGAAAACTTGTATTTGTTTGGTAACCAGACTAATTTGTATGCGCGTGATGTATCATGTGACTTATCAGGTGACTTGTTGGCCCCTACCATTATGGCCCCTTTAGAAATTGCGGAAATGTGAACTAATCAGCTGCTGTTTTTCTTAATACAACAATGGGTTACCGAAGACCCGATAGAAGGCGCCCGTTGAATGGTCAGAATCTGGAGGCCAAGACGCAGTCTTAATTTGCATAATTAAGCGCGAATATGCACGGTATCACGTCATAATCATAGCCGCTTGCTTTGAAATAGACCTTTTTTTTTTTTACCAATAAATCATAATTATGCACGCATGCGCATAAATGGGCCTGGCGGCAAGAAGCGAAAGCGGTCCATTGAAAATGTACAGGGACCAAATATCGGTTAATTTTCTCTCAATTATTTACCAATGATTATTTTTTTGTTGCTTTTTTATTCAGAAAAGCCTCTAAAATCGTCATAGTCATGACTTTTTGGCCTAAGTGGTTTTTTTGGGGCGCAGAATAAAAACTTTTAAATTGCTTTCGCCCCATGCGCAAGAGGATGAAGGAAATTAGCAGGGCTGGCTTCACCATCGTTGAACCCAGTTACGCCAGAAAATTATGTCTATGAAGATGTTAGGGGCTTTTCTAAATTAAAAAAAAAAGCGACAAATACTGCAGAAATTGAGAGAAAATGACCCGAATATTTGGACCCTAGGCTCTGTACATTTTAAATGGACAGCTTAAGCGTCTTGCCGCGGACCCATTAATGCGCATGCGTGCATAATTATCAACATATTTGTAAAAAAAGGTCCATAGACTAGTGTTCAAGGCGATGGCACGCAAAACTATCCAAACCTCAAAATATGAAGACCACTTGGGAATCTACCGCATGCATGCGTCGTCGTGCAGCCTGAGGGGGAAATACATCAACGTCATTTTCGATGATTGTAAGCGAAGGGTGGGGTCGCAGGATAAATGTATGATTCTTAAGCCTTGTGAACGATTATGACATCATTCCAATCCCATGGGTATGTGGTTTGGGTTCAGGACTGTCAGATCCAATTCAGGCGATTGCACCTCTGAAAAAATGTAGACTTTATGTCAGTGTCTCCCAGGGTTTAACATTTAATGAAAGAATAATTCTGGCTGAATACACGATAAATGATATATTCTATTAAGTACATGTAAATTAACATTGTGAAGGTGATGTGACTTGACAATATGTAGCGGCCTGAAAGGCTTAAAATTCGCCCGAAACAGAATGTTTTTATTCAGAAATTGGTTACCAGGAGAAATGACAAAAGACTATTTACGTTAATGTTTTTAGCTGGTTCGCGTCAGTGTTGTTTGAAAAGAGACAGTTACAATTCGGAGGGAATTCACCAAAGAGGGGGCGGGGCGGGGGCTGAAAAGTTGCAGGGGTATTAAAGAAGGCAAATAATTGAGCACGAAATGGCTTCACAAGGCAACAGCCAAGATGCATGGTATCTTCGAGGAAATAGTTTTGTGTCCAAATTTGAAGGACTCTTTTTCACACTACCTCACAATCTTCAAGGTTGAAGAAGAGTTGAATAGGCCCGAAGGCGACCAATTTATTCTCAATAATTTACAGCGGAGCGATATCCGGGGTTTTCAGCCTATATAATGTTATGATGTAAAAAAAAAAAAATATGTCGCTCCGTCCCCGTCAGTCCATCTTTTAAAGTCTTGTTAACACTGGCGCTCAAGTGCGCCTCTCTTCTGGACCCCCTCACCGCCCCTCCCCCATAGAACCCCTGCAGTTTTATGCCTCTGACAAGCTGGATGGCCGAGGAATGCTTCGTTTTGTTTGGTGGAACTTGAATTTTTGAAGGGTTAGAGCCGCAACGTGGTGGGAAATGGAGGCGCCTCACCCAAAATCTTTGAGTGATTATAACAGAAGAAATGAGGTGTCAAAAGAATATTGATTATAACATCATTGAGAATTCCAGCAAGGTGGCTATGAGTGCAGGGCATTTTCGAGACAAAGAGAAGTTTGTTTTTGTAACTTTGCATTAGTGAAACACTTGCACCGTAGGTATACTTCCTTGTCATGCTCTTGCCATGCACGCTAAGTGAACGTGACATTAATCATCGGGAAGACATGCAGTTGACTGATGTCAAGACTAGTTTTAGTTGACGAGTACCAAAAATAGCCTGTTTTTGGTGGCTGGGCTAAATTAAATCACCCGCGAAGGGCGCCGCGAATCCTGCTTAGAACTTCAGGTCCAATAATGATTAAAATTACATGGGTTACAGCTTGTTTAAAAAAAAAAGGGGAAAACTGGCTCACGATTTCTGAGTTTCTCTACCCATAGGCCTAATCACCATTGCCGTCAAATTTTGAAGACTTCTGGCAACCAAAACCGAAGGAAATATTTATGTCGTAATGAAGACAAACTTGATCGGACTCGGCGCCTGAAAGTCTTGGATACTTTTTTTTTTAAAGGGCCCATGAAGTGAATTTTTCTTAGGAACATAGTTTGTGCAACTTTCTACTCCTCTTTAATGTGTGAAAACTATTTGACATCCCGTTTTGGTTAATATTATTGAAAACTGCATTTCTTGAATAACTTAAAATTGTCTACACTTTTCCGGATATTGAGGGCGCTGTTGCTGTGATGTCATTTTAGGAAAACACAGTTTAGTTTAGGTGTTTTCTGTTCTAATTGTGAACTCAAAAATTGTTCATTTGAGAGAAAAGTTTGTTCATTGGCTTACTGCCATGTACTGACACACAACAACGAATCATAAAGAAAAGAAGATTTACGACGGCGAAATGTCCAAAATTCTGGCAACTTTTGGTGTATAAACTAGCTGTAACATTGAGCTTAATTTTCTGCCTGAAAATGCATCACGCTTCTGCTCATGAACATGGAAATTTGCATTAGTATATAAACCAAAAAAGGCATCAAAATACCCTTCAAATGGCAAAATGAAAATCGGGACAAATGGGACACAAAGGTGCATTTCAAGGAATGCATTAAAAATATAAATACATTTCATTGATACCTAATAGGCTGTGTGTGCAGATATATATCCGAGAATACAAACTTTACAAACGTTTGAAAAGAAGACAAACATTTAAAAATGAGGGAGTAAGAAAAAAATAACAGATTGGAAAATCGTTTCAAATGATCTTCCCTTTAATATTAAAACCTCACTGAAAAAAAATAGCTAAAACTGCCCTTTGTCTCTAACTTTAAATAAAAGTTACACATCTTTAAAAGAAGTTTAATACAGATCCATTCAGAGAATCGCTGTTTCCTTTTTTAATGCCTTTAGACGGGCAATATTACGGTTGACTCAGTCAGCGTTACATGTGAAAACGGAACATGGGGTCGGGGGCACCACCCCAACACCCCACCCCACCCACTCGAGGTTGTGCCCCCTCCCACTTCCCCCCCCCCCCATCCTGGCAGTGTGAAGAAAAGTTCCCCTGCAAATTACCGCTGTAAAATGGACCTTTTATTTCATTTCAAAACTTGTGGTGTAAATAAAACGCCGTTGATATCTATACAGGACCATAGCAGTGCTAGTGGCGGGTGCAACCTTCCTCCTCCACCCCCGCCCCACCCCAACCGTTCAGCCGCTGACTAATGTTATGATACTATTAAAATGGGACCCCAAACAATTATAAAGTTCCTATTTACTCAGAAATTGCCTTAGAACGCAGGATGCATTTCAAAACTTTTCGGGGGCGGGGGCAAATCCTCGGACCCCTAGCAAGGCGTCATTTCGGCATCAACACCCTTCACATCAAACTCCCCCCCCCCCACCCACCCGTTTCCTGAAAGCTAGATCCGCCCCTGCCGGGATAGTGGATACTTGGTTCTATTTTGCAATCTTTTGCCAACCATGTACACTCCATCGAAGCGATATCTCTGTTTCTGTAGATTAAAATTGCATACCTCTCTTTTTGGTCACCAAATTTACAAGCTTGAAGTCTGCTCCGAATTTCGTCTGGTGTTCTGCGCATTCTGTATGATGCATATGGTGACAGACTGTTTGGTTTCCCTATCTCAATTTGGATTCAGGGAACCCAAACTGACAGGTCGGCAACAAAACAAAGTCATTATCCTCTTAAGCTTAAAGCATTAATGTCATTAGAACCTGTCATTAAAGACACCTTTTGTGAAAGATCGGAGTCCACAGACTTACGAGGCCCGGGACGCCTACACAACGGGGTGACTTGGCGGCGCTGTGTCCCGCTAAGTCTCGAGCACTGGATCCCCCACGCCGGTCAATTCTTACTAAAGTTTACAAAAAAAAAACACCAGACGGTCTGAAGCTGTGAGCTTTCCATTGTGTGAATTCTTATGTATCGCGCACTGGGGCCACAATTTCGTGGTAACTTATTGTGATAGATTTGAGCAGAAATAAAATTGATGCATTGCCAAGGGGGGGGGGGTGATAAAAAAAAGTGCAGACCTTGTGTCGAGCGTAGACTGGCTCCGCGGTGGCGTGTTATGGCGACACTGACATCCGCTATGCTTACGCCAGTCTGGAATCCAGACGACGCACGCGCAAGCTGCACACGCACCCTGAGGTTAATAATTCAACTGGGTAGTAAAACACAATTACCCAGAATGCAAAGGGGAAAAAATCCAAAGTGTCGTCTGCCTCATTCTAAGGCCATTTGGAAATTGGATGCCCATCGCTCTGGACTTATCAACTACGGTTCTCTGTCGATCTGGATTTACTAAATGCACTTTGGATTTGAGAGTTTTGTCACCGGAACCAGACATTTGCGCAAAGTTGGAGAGTTTTCTTGAAACTGTTCTGCACCACCAAGTCCACCGTGATTCCGAAAAGGTATGTGCGATGAGTTTAAAGTTCATATTTGCTTTGAAACCGCTTTGGTTGTGGTTAAATTGTTTGTGTTAAATTGTTTGTTTGTGCGCATAATTTTCTCCTGATAATTAAACATGCCTTCTGGGATGAAAATTGCCCTTGTGCGTTTTGAGTAAGTCGCTAATTAACTTGGGAATAAGCTAAACTATGGAAACTCTCTCTGCAAAAAGCTGGTCGTATGATTTTTTTTTTCGTTTGGGATGACTCTCTTAAACCATACTTAGATGTTTCCTGCCTCCGTTATGGTTAAACTCTTGATAATGATCCATTGCAAGTTTTACTCGAAACTTTCCCAATAATCATTATTTCACACATCTTCCTATATTGGAAAGTTGTCCCGTTTACACAGTGATCAGCTTGTAAAATTAAATCCAAGAAAATAATTTTCTGTATCCATAAAGAAAAAAAAAGTACGGATGAAACCAGATGTGCACAAAACTCTCACTTCCACAGATGTCGGCTGTGGTGTTTTATTAGTCCGCCGAACTCGGGACATCGCTACGCCAGCCAGACCCCGTTAAAATTGATATACCTATCTGTCAAGATTGTATATGGAAGCCGTCTAATTCCACTTGTACGGGTGGCGGTCAGGCTGTCTCGCGAGCCTGCCTCTGGGCCGCGCGGCACGGCGCGGTGGCAGCGCCGGCTGGTGGTGGCGGCTCCTCGCACCCTGCCACCCTTATCTGTCAAAACATACAACGTGCACCGTGATGACGAGAAACTTGTCACGGACCATCACACAGCCAAGTTGACTTGTGTGTGATCCAGGGGTGTGTTAAACCCATACACAACATCGCTGCGACTGAAAACTTGACTACCATTTATTATCCCATTCCCCCCAGAATAATGTGCCCCCGGTGACTGTTTCATGTTAAGAGTCAAGTAATGGTGCGCGTAAATAATTGTCCGCGCCGCCATCTGAACCGACTGTCAAGCACTCCGCCGCGTGTCACAGCACTGTTAGATCAACGATAAATCATCCAACAAGAGTGTTCGTATATTTTACAAGGGGAACATTGTAAGCATTGACAGGCAAGCGATATTTTGGAAACAGGACCCGCTTGAAGAAAAAAATGCCAACTTTGCATTCAAGCTTTCTGATAATATTAATACGATAATTAATGTATTTAAGAAAGTGAAAAACGGTAACTTAGAAGCAGTCATCAAAAACAATGAAGGCGTCATCTGCAGAGCGATTATTTTTTTCGAAATAACAGTCATGCAAAAACCAGTAAATAATTATGTAAACTTTTTTTCAAATGAAAGGTGTACTGGAACTTATCATATTCTTCTTTTATCCATTCTTTAGGCCCTATTTAATTTCAAAGTGAGAGTATTTATAGTTATAACATTCTTTTTCTCATGGAAACAATCCAGACTTTTTGTTTCTCGATCGTCACCGTACTCAATTAAATGTAATCTTGTAATCTTGTAATCGAAAAACACAATTTTGGAGTTGCTTTTTAACCGTTTGTCTTTACATTTTTCAGAGACTACACCAAAATGTCGAGTTTGCTGTCCCTACTCATCACATCGTCCCTTGTGGTAACCATGTACGCTACGCCATCAGGTACCAGGCGGCCTCGAAATGGTGAGTTTGACCATGGTGTAACCAGAGTGTTACCACGGCATAATCAGGGTGTAACCATGGTGTAACCTTGGTGTAACCACTGTGTAACCCCGGTGTAACCGCGGTTTAACCACGGTGTAACCGTGGTGTTACCGCGGTGTAACCATGGTGTAACCGTGGTGTAACCCCGGTGTTAAAATTGGTAAAGCTGGCGTAAATATGGTGTAACCTTTGCAGAACAACAGTGTTAGTGTCACTGTTTTGTGTAACCGTTATGTTTAGCCAAATTGCAATTTTTTTGTTAGTGTTGGCCATGGTGTTACCAAATTCAAGGGCAACGCTGTCAATTTGTTGTGAATAAAGTGTGGGCTAGTGGTTAGGGCTCGTGACTCATGATCAGAGGGTCAGGGGTTCGAATCCAGCTGCTGGTCATATGTTGTGTCCTTGGGCAAGCCACTTCACTCCCACTTGCCCCTCTCCACCAAGGAGTATAAAAATGAGTACCGGCGCTAACTAAGAGTAACCTGCGATGGATGCAGTAGAAATATTCTCAGTCGTTTCATGCTATTAAAGGAAACCGGAGATAAACGCCGGCCTGATGGGCCACATTGGCTCGCGACAGACTTCACTTTAACTTACTGAAGTCGCCAGCTCACAAGTATATCAATCAATTCATTTTGTACGTACAGGTGACGGCACCAATGCAGTACTAAGACTCTGGACACCTTGCTTTCTTTATTGTCGTTGAAAACCGAAATCACCGCCGCCAAGTGAACAGCAGAGATTTTGTTTGTCCTCCCTTAAAAAAAACCCCCACACGTCCCGTCTTTTTGATACAAAAGGGAGCAGACTCCTGTGTCAAAACAGATGTATTGACATGTGGTCGACAATTGGACGGGGTGTATAGTGGGGCTGTAAACACTCGATTCTGGAGACTTTGGTATTGTTGCGTCCGTGCTTTCTGCCTCTAATTCGCTGGCAACTTGCTGTCTGGTGGCGGGAGTTGGTGACCCATTGTCGGTGGGGGGATGGGGAGGGGGCGGGTGAAATTGACAGCTTAAAGAGGGATGGTGGTCATTCAGAACATAAAGTGGCACCGGTGCAGTGTTAGATAGGGCTCTGACGTCTTGGTGTTGAAGTCACCAGTCACAACTGTCACTGAGACTAGAATTTCATTCGCCAGTCTCGCCTCGAAGGGGTGCCGACTCATTTTCCGTAAAACATGAAATCCACCTCGTGCTTTGTGGTTTTCTAATTCGAGCATCTCACTGACAGTCGGTGTGTATTTACAAGGAGATATGTAAACATTCTTTGTCTTGCACAAGTGCTTCCAAATTTTAGCATTTTTTTAGCTGTTGACAGACCACCTCGTGAGACCATTTATAACGACTAGAAAAAGAAAGTGTTCTAGGCTTAAAACAAACAGCGAGTGCGAGCGTTGGGTCCGTCGTGGCGGGCCGGGTTGAGAGTACCGCGCCGGGGCTGCTAGATCCCCGCGGGCCGGGGCACACACACTTCACCCAGGGTCAGCTGAAGTGCCAAATTAGCGGTTTTTATACCCGGGCCCCCGATTTTCACCCGAAATCTGGGCTAAACGGGGCACCGACGGGTCTCCAGAACCGAGTCTCTAGTACTCTTGTACTTCAATAGCCCACTTGCGTTGGGGACATATTTACGACTCGGGGAATTGTGTGTGTATCGTTCGCGTGACATTAAAAACAAAAGTAAAATCGGTCAAGAAAATAAACCTTTTCGTGGGGCTGTCGTCAAACACTGAGCACGCGATATTTTATTCGAGACTGCTGTCGAATTGTCGAAATTCAAGCCACATTTCGAGTTTCATTCATATTCACGCCTATATGGATTATGCCCAACAGCTCAAGACTTAAGAGAATATTGATATTATTTCGAACAAGATAAGAAATGTCCATGCAATCCTATGGCGAAATGGGCCTAACTGTTCTAGTTTAACAAGACGCAAATTAAAGTTGGCATATAAACGTGTTTTTTTTTTCTTCAAAATTTCGATTTTCTTTTCCGAACGAAGTTTAAAGGAATATAATGTCTAAATTGGCTTGTTTGTTTTTGCAGGCCTTTATACAGTTTAAACAAGTGGTTTTAAATGGCGCGCTCCAGTTCAGAAATTGCGCACACTATTCAGAACGAATTAGAAGCGTCCCGCTCTTATTTCAAAGTTAAACTTTATTAATTGATTACTTGTCGTGGGCCGTTTTTTTTTCGTGCGATGTCTCATTGGAAAGCTCTTTACTAATGTAATGCTAGAAAATGATCAATTCAATTTGAAAATCTATTTTTCAAGGTGCCACAATTTTATTTTATTTATTTCTGGTAATGAAACCAAGGATTCCTCAAAAGTACCCTAGGCACTGTAGCTCAAAAGCCTGAAGAAACCTGCAGAGAGAAGACAGTTAGAAGCATTTACAGGTTTAGTGGTGGGAGGAAAAGCCCAGAAGATATTCTGGGGAAAACCCACGGAATCGGGTAGGGACTGAAAACCCAATCCACATATTGGCCCAGGCAAGAATCGAACCCGGGTCACAGCGGTGGAAGGCGAGGAAAGTACGGCTACGCCAACCTGACTCCCCAAGGTTGAGCACGTATAGGCCCCACACCAACTTTTACAAACCACATTTGCTTTTTCAACATTTTCTTCGAGGTGATATAAAAAATAATGGCCGAGCCAAAAATATTCTCCAAATTTACGTTTTCGTCTTCCGTCTTGGAGACAAGACATCCTAATAGGCGCGCCAGTCGGTCGTAAAACGGATCCATTAGCGGACGGGGAGCCCTTTCCTGTTATACCCAGCCTGACGAAGGTCAATGGTTTTTCCAAATACATCTGTACCCTGTGTTTATGCAATCAAAATTACGAAGACAAAAGGCACCAGACTCTTGGGTCTGCTCTCTGTCTTATATGTGATTTCTATTAAGTGATCCAAGATTGTATAAATCCTAACATATAATCGACCAATGAGGAATGAACTCAGTAGATGCAAAATAATGATGCAACGAGAATTTCTACGACTCCTTTTTTGACTTGTAAATAGCATTTTACTAAGCAAGACAACTGATGAAAGTCTGCAACGACTGTTTCGAGTATCAACTTTCGTCGATCAAAATAATACATGCAGTTTTAGTCTTTGCGGGAACCAAACCCACACCACTTTTAATAACAATGTACTTTCATTAATGAACTTTTTTTTTTAATAACAAACATTACCAGTGCTTACGTCAACACAAATTCCAAACTTAAGTTTACAAAGACAAAAATGTATGGAAATGAAACAGTCGTTGGCAACGATAAGACGATACTGCAATCCGCATCAGTCTATTCTGGGCGGGCGGGAATTAGTTCATTAAACAGCCGCCCGGCCACAGAACTCATCAGCTATCTTCTATAGTACCAGTTATTGCATCCTGTCTCGATTGAATCTTCAAATTCCCTTCAAGAGCCGAGGAGAGGAGGGGAAAAAGAGCGCCAAATATGACAGATCTCGGTCAACCAACATCGTGGGACAAAATAAATCCACGAAAATTGAAATTGTTTTTTTTCTTCTTCTTCTTTTTCTCCTTGGATGGAGATTGCATCTGAAGGAGGTATATAATCTCAGGGTTGTGTTACCTTCTCCTCAAGGCGTCGTGTATGACCCGGATTGGTGGTTCTGTCTTTCTTCTGCCCTGCCTATTCCTCCCTCTCCATCCAACACTCGTTTTAATTAATCTTCGTAAAGTGGGCCAGCCTTTTTATATTTTCCACTTCTTCTCCGCGTACCATAACAAACTGTATGGGATGCACTTAGGCTCTGGCGCCCGGAGTACCCGGTCCGTGTGCCGCGATTTCAAGTGATGGCTGTCATCTTAAGTTGAGAGACAATTTCCCGGTCCCCTAAAACCGCGGGAGTAAACCATAAACGTTGGTGGTCAAGACGGTTATACTGAAGTCTTGGAAGTTCTTACGATTCTCGGTATACGGTGCCTCTGTGCTTCGTTTCTTGACCTCAGATTTTGAAAGCTTGTGTTGATGCGAAATGGATATGATTTTATGCGCGTGTTGTATACAACAGTGTGATGTATCGTGCACTAAATGGTGACCAAATGGGGCTGGTATTTTGACCAGTTTTGGTCGACACCAACAGCCTACAATTTTAGCAAATTTTTCCCAACAAGGTTGTCAATATTACCCGAGTTAACGAGGTAATTTCACACTAATGTTGGTCAAATCCAGTGTTTTACCGAGCGTTTTCAGTGTAGAAAAAAGGGTGTGATCTTTTTTACCTTAACAAATAATTGTGATTCTCAGTCTGTAACGATGTTGATTGATTTAGGTAGCTTTTCAATTTGTTAATTTTTAAAATAACACTGAAATAAAGCCACACACTATTTCTTTTTTGTATGACGAGTATTAATGCACGGGTAATGTATCGTAAGCTTTGTGTTTTGTCAAACTTTAAAGGTATTTGTATTTATTCCAAAAGTAACTTCCCGAAATATCAGAAAGCTTAGTTGGATCAAAGCTCGTACTGTTACCAAACAACTCGTAAGATTATACTGTTTTCCTTGCCGTCATTTCAAAGAAAATGTAGGTGATTTCCAACGATCAGTCAATTGGTTCAGTTTTGGAAATAAAGAGTGTTATGAACGAAATCGTGTCTCGTGATCAAAAGGTTGTGCATGGTTTTCCCCTGTTTACTCGAAAAATGTAATATACACTAAGCTGAAACTTCAACAAGTTAGGTTTTGAACAATCTTCTTTGAATTTTGAGTGGTGTTATTATTATAAACGAACAAAGTGCATGCAAATGATACTGTAATTACGCCTTCAATTATATGCCTTTTTTATTTGGTTGTATCTCCAACAGATGTGTGTCAATTCGGCAGCACCCAGTACGTTGTGGGAGATACCTGGCACCCCTATTTGCGCCCTAATGGTATCGACTACTGCATTCTGTGTTCGTGCCACGCAGCGGGGCAGGTTCGGTGTGATGGTAAAACGTGTCCGCAACCGACCTGCGCACATCCCCGGCGCGTCCAAGGAAAGTGCTGCCCAACTTGTGCATCAGGTCAGGATATTTCTTAGAATGAAAATTTCATCCAGTTTATTGGCTTGAATTTTCACGCCGATCCATATTGTGACTTTTTAATAGATTCCATTAAAAATCAAACCAACTGTCCATTTTCAAGTAAGTTGCTTAATGAATATTCATTTAGAATTTGAAATAATCACCGTGCAATCAATCAAAGTCTCTACATTTTACAATGTGCACAACAACTTCATTAAGAAACCGTAGGATTATCCAAATTATTATTATCGATAATCCTCCATCATGAATATTCATACATAGATTTTGAAACGATCACCGGCCAACCAATCACAATCCCCAAAACTGTTGCCAAATGCCACAAAGCAGCCGATTATGATCCCCTATCATGAAATATTCATTAACAGAATTTGAAACCACCACCATTCCACCAATCACAACCCCCTCAAAGTTGTCAAAACCTCAACGCCCCAAAAGGCAGCAGATTATCATGATCCTCTATCATGAATATTCATTATATAGCAGGGTCAAATCACAACCCCTCAAAGTTTTCAATACAACAACACTCAAAAAGGCAGCCGATTATCATTGATGATTTTCTATGCTCATGAATATTAATTCACAGAGTTCGAAACCACCACCGTGCCACCAATCACAACTCCTCGAAGTTGCCAGTACAAGGGGCGGGATTACAACCATGGCGAACTCTTCACGGCGACTGACATATTTCGCTCCAGAAGAGAGGATCAATGCGTACAATGTAGCTGTTCGGTAAGATTAATCTATTAAACTGTACTCACTTTCCAGTTTAAAAAAATCGCTTCTTTGTGCCTCTAATTTATCTAGCTCCCATTAAAAAGATTGGCTCAACCTGTGACCCGAGGTCAACACGCGTGCGCAAGACGAAACGTATATGCATTTATGACGGCATGGACCGTTTTACGGATAGATCGGAAGTGTGCAGTAACGACATGCTGCGCGTTGCATCCTGGGACAGTTTTCGGTACGAACGGGGATTTTACACAGTGAAAGGTCCCACAATGCAGCGTAAATATATCTTTACTGCACATTTCCTGTCTGGCGGCTATCCGTGAAGGGTCTATATCGGAAATCTAACTTGTGACACTTCGTGAAAGAGATAAAGAGGCGCCCTAGGAAAGGCTGCTATGGAACAAACCACGTTACATGCAATGTCACTTTTACCTAATGTTTTTTCATCATTAACAGCACAATTTGTCATGGCGAAACAGTTTTTTTCATCATAAGCTTGTAGTTCCCAATACCACAATCTCTTTCCCACAATACATTGTCGATATTACTGATTGTACACAAACGGAAAGTGTCCCTATACTTTTTACAAGCGCTGTGGCTTTTAATTTTTTGGTATGAAAAAAATGGCGGCACGTTTGTGATTTTTTTTCAAAATAGTCAGGAAAACTGCATCCCAGGAAACCATTGAAAAACCACATTGTCTAAGAGCCAGAGTAACGTCAAAATATGTGCTATTTTATGTGGCCTCAATTCTGATTTTGTTATCAAAATTTCATTTCTTCATCATTTCCTTTACTTTCTGCAGTCAGGCAGGGTGTACTGTGCGCTGAGGACCTGTCCCGACGTGCCTTGCGTCAACCCAGTCGTGTTACCAGACTCCTGCTGCCCGGTTTGTCCGACAAGAGGTACGTGCGCCTTTCTAGGAATATCAAACTGCCCCTATCGTCTTGCTAGATAGTTGCAACACTGGAAGGTATAGATCTTGTGTGTAGCAGCCATCTTAGAGAGTACCTTTTGTTATTTTAATTCAGTAACATGCACAGCAGGTTCACTTATGTATATCCTAGCAAAACAAAGGCATTGTCCTGTAATATGGCAGCTATATACATACAAGGTCTATTTCGTTGGTGAATACTGAATTCTTGTGAACAACTTCTTGATAACCAGATTTTATCATCTCAATACAAATCTCCAAATCAATAGTTTTATCTTCCAAAAAAAATATGACTATTGCACAAAAGTATACGTAAAACCTCGCTTATGAGTAAATTCTCGGTATTTCATGATCCGTACTGCAAAAAGACGCCAGACGATCTCGACAAGTTAGTTTGGTAATACTGATGATTAGTTTTTACTCACAACTATAAGGATCATTACAGAAGCTGAAGCGCCAACAAAATTATATTTTTTATTCAATTTTTCCCCATCGTAGCGACGGAGGAAGATTACGACGGTGAAGATCTTCTCGGAGGTAACGCACTGGACGGGTCCATTGACCTTTCACCCGATGAGCCCTCGACTGAAGGATCGTTCCCAGCGGAGAACACGGCCAGAGTGCATCCCGACGAAGACGAGATGAAGGCATCCGTGCTCGATCCCAGCAGATACGGTGAGTTACGCGCGTTGGCAGTATGCAAAGTAGCGCGCGGTGCTTTGTGATTGGCCAATTGTTTACAACGCTTTGCACTGATTGGTCTAAAAATCGGCAAACCTATTTCGTGGCGAGATACGCGCGTCGGCAGTATGCAGAGTATAGCGCGCGGTGCATTGTGATTGGTCAATTGTTTACAACGCTTTGCACTGATTGGTCTAAAACTCAGCACTCATTTCGTGTTGCGTTTTGTCAGTAATACGACCAATCACAGCGTGGAACACGAACTCTTGCGACTGCGTTCTACACTGACCACTGACCATTCACTGCCTTTAATAATTCGAAAACAAAGAGTTTACGTCGACGTGGAAAGTCTCAAAACGGATACCTTAAAATTTTGTTTGTCAAAATTGAAAAAAAAAGGCAAGTGAACTTCAGTGTATACTTCAAAAGTTTTGGGTTACAGCAGAGCTGTCACTGCATTAAACTGATATTTAGGATGTTTTAAATCTTGCAGCACACAACGAAATCTGTGATAGCAAGTAAACAAAACATTGATGGAACGAATGGACTTTAGTCGCTCTTACTTTGCCGGGGGGGGGGGGGGTTACAGGGAAACCATCAAACTCCCAAAACTGAAAATGGCATTGACGAGAAACAATATCACGCGCTGTGGGCTAAAACCTGACAAACCTAGTTTCGTATGAGCATTCCCCCCGCAACGTAAAATGCACGCGGTCGGTGTCAATACGCGTGCCACAATACCAACATGGGAACATTATCGCCATGAAAACCACACTGCGGACATACGTCATCAAATTGCTATGTTCGTTCCGAAGAATTTGATGTGACTGTTCTCTCTATATACGGAGAATTATTGACAAAATAGTATTTTCCCCCCACGTGTTGTTTTGATGTCGACTCGCCGGGAGCATTTAGGGGAAAACGGATGCAGGGGTACGCCAAATGACATTGACGAGCTAAAAATGCAACCCTAAAAACAAACCTCGAAAGAAAAAACTTAAATTTAAGCCAGCAACAGGATAAAAACAAACAACCTGTCAAAACTCTAAGCTTTGTTAGCTTTTCCAATTTTGTTTAATTCGAATTTAAATTCTGCATTATAGCCGGGAGGTGGAATGTCGGTATCCCGAGTTGGTTTGTCCACCGCGTGAGAATAAAACCACCACACAAGATTGACAGATCAAAATTAGAAGGCAGCAGTCCATAGTTGGAAGTAAAATACATTCAAGAATTGTCAACAATTTTAAATTAATTTGGTTGTGACCGCATTCAGTTTCAATACTTTGGAGGCATGTGATTCCCTGAAGGTGGAACTGGGCGAGGGGTGGGGGAGGTGGGATGGGGTAGGGTGGGGGTCTGTGGCGTCCTTGTTTTCTCCCCAACTGCCCGGATGATTTCGCAAAGGAATAATGAGGTCTGAATGTCGGTTAACCAATCAATTCCCCTGTCACTTTTCATGTCATTCATAATCACACAAAGTAGCGGTTGACATTCGATTTATAGATAAACCACAAAAAATACCGAAAACTAAAAAAAAAGGAAAACATTTTACATGTAAAAACTTCTCGGAGCATAAAACTGTCAGATTATAATTACCTAGGTGTCAACAGTACCACTGTAGGATGGTTGGACTGCCCCTCCTACTCCTAGCTCCGCCCACCACTTACAGTAAGTTGAGAGTCCAATGACATTGATGACCCAACCTAGTTAATCTAGGGCCGGTGTAGCGTAAAAGTTGGACTTGAGTGTGAAATACAAACTTATTGGTTGTATTGCGCATGCATTGGTGAACATAATCGGACAGTGACACGTCACGTGTTAGGGCTTGAGTCCATATATGGTGAATTAGACCAGATTTCATAGGAGTCAAAATTTCATGTGACACCGGAAACATTGGAAACTTGTGTCAGTCGCTTCCATAGGGACATGCGTAAACTACAACTTGTACAAGCGGTATAGCTGAAGTAATTAACGTTCTTATATTATAGACTAATTCAAGCACGCAGTCATTTCTATCACGAAGGCCCCCTTTAATGGCGAAAGTTATTGCGCTAGCTATTGTTCAGATAATCCATCATATGGCAGTAGCTTTGCACAGTGGCTTGCACAAAGCTTTCGCCATTGAAGGGGGCCTTGTGTGTTATGACTTGTTCGAAACCGATTTGTGTTTTGCCAAAAAAAAAATCGCACAGGTTCGACAGCAAACTTGTTCCACAACTTTCTTTCCTCTGCCCCGAGTTTTTCTACATTAGTCATCACTGACAGTTGACGGCAAATAATGTACCATGATCGGATCATCCTTTCGCATTTCCGGACTAATTTGCTGTACATGCATATCGGATTTAGTATCGGGAGGCGGCGGGGGTTAGCTCGGGCTGACTCACTACAGGTGTGTGGCAACGTTGGGCTTTTATTATAATTATGAAATATCAAAAGAAGGCGGGTGGATTTTATGCCATCACTTCTAAATTTTGTCATCACGTACAGTGACAAGTTACAAATTATGAAAACGGCAAGAAAGCGTAATAGACAAATATAAAAAGCAAGTAAATAAACAATGACAAAATTGAGGGGGGGGGGGGGAGATGAAATTGAATAATTTCAAAATAGTCTCGGATTTAAACATCAACTCCGACGGAATGTACATAAAAGAAATACAAGGGACATTTTGCTTTTTGAGAAAGATCTCACCGGGATATCGAATCATCAGTTCCTCTAACTTTTTATGACGAAAGTAAAACTGCGCCTTACATGAAAGTAGAGACATGTCAAGTTATTTGTTCGTCTCTTTTTGGTCGATAACTTAGAAGCTTTGTTTGGGCGACAGTAAGTCCGAGAAAGCCTCCAAGTCCGATAGCCTGGCTGAGCCGGGTTGTCAACGCGGGGCCATGTGAAGGGTTTGGCTGGCCAGCCTCCGCGGAGCCGGGCAGGTGTTGGGTGGGATCTCGGCGGTGCCGAGGTGGCCCGTGGTCGGCGCCGCGCGGTGTGCTCGGTGTTGCTGCACGGAAAAGTACAATCGTGTGTTTGAGTTGATGTACTCTGGTCTGTGAAGGAAGGAATTGGAGTGGGAGTGGAAGTACTTGCATAATCCAGAGTGGATTTTGGTTTTGTGCCGGTTCAAATTTGACATCCCCCACTTACCCCAAGTTTTGGGCTGTTTGCGACTGTTTTTTTTTTTTTTAAGTTATAACTCCGCGAAGAAAATATACTCGATGCAATTCAGATAAAAAATGTTCGCATTCAACGATAAAAGAAGAAAAACAGATATTAACTTGGAAGAAACAACGAACTTGACATTTTTGTTCTGCCCTGGCCATTTAAAGGGTCCATCAGATAAATTTGTCTTAGCACCACATTTTCTACAATTTTCTACTCCTCTGAAAATAGTGTATGAAAACTAGTTGACATCCCTTTTTGGTTAATTTTATTGAGAAGTGCACTTCTTTAAATATTTGAAACATGTCCATGCTGTTCCGGACAACTGAGGGCGATGTTGCTGTGATGTCATTTCAGGAAGATAATGTTAGGGTTTTTCAGTTCAAATTGTGAACCCAAAAATGGTGCACACTGAAAACATTTGCGAGAAAAGTTTGCTCATTGGCTTTCTGCCATGTACTGACACAACATCGAATCACCAAAGAAAAAAGAAAATCCAGGACAGCAAAATATCCAAAATGCAGCTTTTGGCGCTGAAATAACTGTAACATTGAGGTTTCTGCCGGAAATGACATCACACGTTTGCTCATGAATATGTTAATTCACATTAGCATAAAAACCAACAAGGCACCAAAATACCCTTGAAAATGGCAAAACGAAAATAGAAAATCAGGTTAAATGCAACACAAATGTGCATTTTCAAGGATTGCATTCAAAAAAATTACTTTGCATGAACCCTTTAAACTCGAAAGAAATGTGTGTACAAGTGTGGATATGTAAACCACGAAACTAAAAACATGAGCGACTCGGACGAGTAAATTACACTTCAACCCAAATTATATTATTTTTTAAGGGGGGGGGGGGGGTTGAAAGACTTGGAGGGAGAAATAATTGAATGAGTGTCAACCAAAGTTCATGATTTACGCAGCGAAACTGGTCCTCACACCAATCTATGAATAACATTCCACAAATTTCTGGGAAAAAATAACTTCCCCAAGTGGCTGCACTCATCACAGAATATGTCATAAACAGTTGCGCTGTGCGGGTATTAGGCGCCGTCGCGGGCATACTTTGCATACTTGTCTTCTCAACAATGAGTGGACGCCATTGTGTGTCGAGGGGGGTTTTGGAGTTTGTTCGGATGAATAAACAATACAGTTCGTTTGTCGCATATTATTAGGTGAAGGGTACGGTCAAAGGCTATTCTCGTAAATACTCGACGATATCGAGAGGGAAAAATGTCAAAAATGTCGGTATGATTTGCCGGACACAGTGTCGTCTTTGATAAAAAGGTTAACGCCCTTGAATTTATGTGGCAATATCTGACAATCACAAAAAAATGTAATTTTTTAAATCTTTTACAAGAATGGGTGAAACCCCATACTTTTTGTCTTTGAATTATAGCTACGTTTGCTTCGAATTTCTTTAACTTCTGGCGATGCATACCACCAGAATTTACAAATATTGGAGTGGTTTTCACCATATGTTTTAGTCAACAATGATATTTTCCCAACATTGGAACAATGACTTGCCCATCAACATGGCTGCTAACGAACACCCTACATGTGTATGATAGCCGCTAATGTCCATTTTTTTTCTCTCAACAGTTTGTGTGTCTAACGGCAAGACGTATTACGAGGACCAAAGCTGGCATCCCGTGCTGGTTCCATTTGGGCGCATGGACTGTATTCTCTGCACCTGCAAGGTACGTCACAGGCCTCCTTACCCTTTTTTTGCATTGGGCGTGGTTCTTGGCCAAAATAAGGAGGGGGAGGGAAGCTGATGAAAAATTCTGAGAATAGGGTTTCTCAGAAATGACAGAAAATCAGAGAAAAATCAGTTTTGTTTGTGTAGACAAAAATATCCTGCTTAACACGTGGGGGTGCAGGTTTTTTAAAAACAAAATTGGGGGGGGGGGGGGAAGGGGTGGTCAAATTCTTGTTTACAAAATATTTTCTTCTAACGGAAATGGGGAAACCCAGCCTTAGTACATTCAGAAGGACAAAGATATTTTTTAAGGATGAAAAAAAAAAAAGACAGATTAATACATGGAGAGTACTTAACAAACAAAATGGAAAGAAAACCTGTATGGCTGTCTATATCAACAACTTTGTTTACTGAATTTAAATTCTTCTTCGAAATTGAATTATTTTTTGTACTTGCAGCGTGGGGAGGCAGTATGTGGTAGGATGCGGTGCCCTGATGAGGAGAATTTACCTTGCGCAAACCCCATACAGCACAGGGGTGCCTGCTGCAAAGTGTGCCCAGGTAAGAACTGTAATGTATGGATTGTTGAAGTTGCGTCTACCCAACTGAGAATTCTGGACCAATTAAGAATCTTTGGAAAAATAGCATTCAGCAAATAAAAAAAGCAAAAAACAAAAACCAAAAAATGTATTTTTTTTTTTATTCTCTAAAGATTCTCCTCTGCATTGCATCTGTAATGCTGTTTACTTGGACAGATCTTTCACTCATAACCAAAAAATAAACTGATCAATGTCAACAAACATTTACATAAAATAACAAAAAGCAATTGTTCAATGTTATCCACATAAAAAAAGGTGGAAAAAATGGTGTTTTACGATCCCCCCTTATGCCACTAGTCATGTACCTAATTATAATAATGCAAATAACTGGTAATATTCACTGAATAATTCATGAATAATTCATTTTAAATCATGAATAATTCTCCGCAGATGTACCGTCTCCGTCCACTGGTTCCTCTGATGAGAACCCTTCCGAAGTCGAGGAAAATGACGAGACGCCGCTTTGTCTCCGCAAATCCGAGACGATCCTCCTGCACGAGTTTACCCCGTACTTGGTGGAGGGAACCGACAATCTGTCCGACTACCAGTTCGTGGTGGAAGACCTCGACACAAGGATGTTTGAGCTTCACTCTTGGCAATTCAGAGAAGGTGATTAGTGATTTACATATTTTGATTTTAATACTTTCTGGTATTAACGAAAACAGAGGATTCTTCAAAAATTTAATTAAATTGATCAAATGTTTACGAAAATTCTGCCAAGACTGAAAGGGTGTAAAGAAAAACGATGAATTAAGCGCAGCAGTTTATTACTTTAAAAGGAGAAAGTTTTTAGACCAGCTCTCTAATCTTCACTTATGATTTCACTTTCAACAGGAATTATTTCCGAATTTCAAATCGAGACTCTAACCGAAGACGAGTATCTCCAAAAACAAGAGACCAACAGAACAGGCTGGTACCAGCTGAGTGGGGCTTCAACACATCGTAAGTCAATTGAGAAGGCAGGGTTCTATGTGAAAAATAGTTCTCCCCTGCCTCCCCTTTGGTGAGAGTAAGCCCGCCCCTCCCAACAAATAAAAATAAACTGCACATGTTAAGTACAGGCAGAATAAATAAAGAACTACAAAACATAATATTGATGGACTGTCTAGCCCCATCCACGGACCCTCTACACAAGGATAAACGACTTCACCAAATTTCTGGATAGATGCGTGATACGGCCCTTGCGCGTCGTGCGTGCGCAAGACTTGGCGCACAACTGCAGTCAAATTTCTGACGGGTTTCAACAAGATTTCATGTAGAGCGCCTGTAGCTGTCGGGGATTCATGGCTCCTGTGCATTGTTCTACATGTTCTATGCGTTGTTCTATGCACAGACGCGGCATATAACGCATGTAGACAATCTGTTCCGTGCATTTTGTACACAAGCTCAGATGAGTCGTCTATCCTTGTGTAGAGGATCTGTACCCCATCCCATGTCCTAAATTTTGTTCCAATTTATTAACCTTTGTTTCTGGAGCGACCAGAATTGCAATATTCATCTGATTTTCATTACCCCTTTCCCCCCTAACTTTTACCAGATCGACTGCAGAAACTGAAACGCAAAGAGCGGAAACTGGAGAAGACGTGCGCCTCCAACTGTCAGAGACAAGTGGTCAGACTGACACGGATGCTCAGGCCCAGACAAGTGGAGAGAGGGGTGGAGTGCACCCAGGAACCCAACACCACACCCAGGCAGAGGGGTACTGTTGTACCCACTCGGGGTTGAGAGGGGGAGGGGCATTCCGGCGTATGACAGGTGTCAGAACAATTATTGTTGCCAAGGATTGCTCCACAGTGAAATTTCCCAATACATGATTACCCGACTCCGCCATTTGGGGGGAGTGCACCCAGGAACCCAATACCACACCCAGGCAGAGGGGTACTGTTGTACCCACTCTGGGTTGAGGAGGGAATTGGGCGTATGACAGGTGTCAAAACAATTATTGTTGACAAGGACTGCTCCACAACTTTTCCCAATACATAATTACCCGACTGGCCGACTCCCCGTTCAGGGGGAGTGTACCCAGGAACCCAATACAACACCCAGGCAGAGGGGTACTGTTGTACCCACTTGGGGTTGAGAGGGGGAGGGGAAATTGGGCGTATGACAGGTGTCAGAACAATTATTGTTGCCTAGGACTGCTCCTCAGTAACATGTTCCTAGTCATTGATTACCCGACTCCCACATTTATAGGGATTGCACCCAAGAACCCACTTCGACACCCAGGCAGAGGGGTACTGCACCTTGTACCCACTAGGGGTTGAGAGGGGCAATTGGGCGTATGACAGTTAATGTTGCAAAAGCAAGGACTGATCCACAAGTGAACTTTTCCAACACACTTTAAAGAAGATAAGACTTCTCCTTCTCCCCGTCTTGGGGGTGTATCCAGAAACCCAGTGCAGTGGAGACATAGTTATCCCCAATCGAGGTTCAAGAGTTGCAAAAAGGGCAAAACCCATTCTTGGAGGGAAGGAACCATTGACAGCCAGCATTTCCCCCCACATACTCAAACTTTACTCAAAAACGGTGTTTGTCCACTTTTCTTCCTCCGGGTTTGAGTGAACACCGTTTGCGATAAAAATCACAGAAGAGGAGAAATTGTCCCAATTTGGGTTGAGAGAGGGGCGATGTGGTTAACAACTGCTGTAAGGACCTGTTCGGCCAATGACTGGTTTAAAATGAACTTTCCAAAAATTGTCAATTTATAAGAAGATATTTGGTATGAAAGGCTTCCTTTTTTCCCCACAATGCACTGGTCGCTATAGAAACCCAGCCTTGACTTTTCTACATGTTATTTTAGAAACAAATATCAACAAATAAATTAACAAACACTTTTTCAATGCACAATAAAAAAATGAAGGGGTACAGTTTTCCAAGGTACCACAAACTTACAACCAGAAGTATCTACTGTTTTTGAATTGGGGTGAATATTTCCGGCAAGGGGTACCACTAAAGGGGTACCAATGAGTCTTAAAAACTGGAAACATATTTCAGATAATGAGTTTCTTTCCGTAAAAAAAACCTCAACATAGAATCGAGATGCATACAAGTTCCCTCTGTAAAACCTCCGAGGTGGTTCCACTAAATTTGATAAAATTTGAACATTTTTGGAGAAGATATGATCATGATCCCCTTATTAAACAAAGATGTACTTTGTATATATATATTTAAAATTTTAGACAAAAAGCCTTTATACGCAGTATTCAACGATGAAGGAAATGTACATTGAAATGTATTGTCTATTTGTGAAAAAAGGATGAAACGAATGTTTCATTTTCATAATATATTATTATATACATATTTAACTATATAACAATGTAGAAATGACTTAAGTGTAACATTTAACTTCAAATTTTTTGCTACTGACATGAACTGCATGTGATTGTGAACGTTTTTTTTACATTGAATGTGTGTAGTTGGCGTCTCACTGCCCCACAGGGTACAATGTAGCTGTGTATATTATATATAAATTAATAATATAGCATATTCATAATATCTATGGATATTAGGAGCGGATAGTTGTATCTGTGTTTTCCAATGTCTAGTTTTCAGAGCAATGAGAAGAAAAAAAGATTGACAGCAAACATGAAAGGAAACTTTCAATTCTTTCAAGTCGAGCACGTGCCATGATGTTCCTTCAGTCTTGGCCTACAAGTATACGGTTAATTTTTTGATCCAGCTATTGTTTCCTTGCGGTTTCGGCAAATCGAATAGCTGTATTTTGTTGTTGTCAGTCGGTAAATACAAATGATTCCAAAAAATGAAGTAAAAGAATCCTTATCTCATTATTTTCACCAAATATTTTTTTTTTGGGTGCTCAAGAAATTATCTTTTGCCTTAAAGGTATTATACAACATTTGCTTTTGCTGTAATTTTTGGATGGATTTGGGAGTTAGTATTTTATAGCAAGCATTGTTACACTGACCTGTTAAAAAAGTTTTGTGTTCATAGATGCTGGAAATACCAAGCAAAAATACTGTTTTTGTAGTCTGGTTCCCTGATCCTACTTAAGACGAAACAGAGCAATTTATAGAAGTGGGGGAATTGTCAGGTCAAGCAACCCTCTTGCACCCGTTCAAGATGTGCAACCGATTGCAAAGAAAATGTGGACTAACTACGTTTGGTAAAATGGGGGCAGTATTTGAAAAAAGTCAGTTATTTTCCAACGATGGTCGGCCAACCATCGTTGGAAATAAATACGAAACTTCCACTTTTCTTGTAACTGACAGCACACCAGGTGCCATGATTTCACAGGATGCTTGAGACTAATATTCACTTACAGTCAAGTAAGGTATTTCAAAATAATTTGGTTTTGATTTTTGGTGTTTTGCAAATGTTGAATATTACCTTTAAAGGGAAAATACAACATTTGCAAACATCAAAAAATAAAACTACCAAATCATTTTGAAATACCTTACTGGACTGTTAGTGAATGACAGTGTAAAGCATCCTGTAAAATCATGGCACCTGGTATACTGTCATTTTCAAGAAAAGTGGTATTTTTGTATCAATTTCCAACGCTGATCGGCCGATCAGCGTTGGAAAAAACTGGCTTTTTTAAAATACTGGCCCCAGTTGACCATCGCACTTGTTTGCAATCGATTACACACCTATGAACGGGTACAAGCCAGCTAAACTGGTTCCCTGACCTTACAATTCCCAAATGTATGTAAACTGCTCTGTTTCTTCTTAAATGGAGTCAGGGAACCAGACTACAGGAAAATGATTGTTTTTCTTGGTTTTTATAGCATTTTCGAACCCAAAACCTCAAAAAAGTCAGTGTAACTATATTTGCTATATATTTCCAACCCCCAATTCCATCCATTTCTGAAAATTACAGCAAAAGCAAATGATGTATATTCCCTTTAACCGAAAAAAGCCTTCATTTTCATCTAGCAATTTTCTATACACAACTGAAAAATCTCATCAGATTACCCACACAACGATTGATTAAACGAGCTACCGAATAATTGTCACAGGCCTACTTTGGTCTGGCAGTAAAAATGAGAAAAAAATAAAATTGTGAACACAATTGCTCAAGGTACAACTAGATATAAAGTTGTTTATTAATATGAAAGGAAAATCATGAAAACAAATCCTGATATTTCATCACATGAATGCCAGAATGTACATACATTTGAGAACTTACAACGAACAAACAGGGGTGCATTCAGTTAAACAACTCATTTAGAACGAGAGTTTGAATTCCATCTGTTTTTGACGTTTACAACTAAAAATTGACAAAGAACGAAATGATCACAAGCTTTTCGGGCTTGAGTAGGGTTTTGTAAGTCTGTAATACCCAAGTGTTCTCAGTAATGCCAAGGTGAACACATTGTTTGATATTGAAAAGCACAAAAAGTTGTACATTGAAAAAATAAAATGAGCTGGAGTAAATGTAAAGAAAGAATATTTTTTGGTGTATTTTGACTTCGGTATCTGTAACTTGGTCATCCATAAACAATTTGTGAACTCAAGTTTAATATATTGGAGCAAGTTCGCGCAAGAACTATTGTTAAGGCCAAAAAAAAAGTCTCCGGTTTCTGGTATGGAGCTTGCCCAAAAAGTGGTGCGGCGACGCGGCTTTTTTTTTTTTTACCTGATTTTTTTGCTTCAAATGTCGGCTGATGACTGCAAATGGTGCCCGACTAAACTTAGTGCAAATATATGGGAGTCCAGAGAGGCCACATAAAGCTTATTCTCGACCATAACCCAATCTAAAAACACGTTAAAATTGTGCAGCAGCAAGATTCCAGTCAAACCAGTGAGTTTGGCGGTTTTGAGACATCATCTTTCATTGAAAAAACCCTTTTTCATTTTGCCGACGCGCATGGCTACGGCGACGCGCGCGCATACCAGAAACCGGAGGCTTTTTTTTGTTGGCCTAACGGAAGTTTGACTAAGTTAGCCCGAACTCTGTCTAGTCGACGATGGTTGACTACGCTAGTCGACTATTTGGAACCAGCCTACTGGGCCTGGTCACATCGCTGGTTATCAGTAGCCTCGTTTCGTTACTTAAGTGCAGAGGGAACCATTGACGAGAGATTTAACGTAGCGAGTTGTACTACCCGCAGGTTTCGCTCGTACCCCGCCCTGCAAACAGGACGCTGGGAAGGGCTGATCTCTTTGTGATCTCATTGGATAGATTTTGCGTGACCTGTGATGTAATATGCAGCACACGGCTGTTTATCATACGTAGCACGCGCTAGCTGCATGCAAAGGTCATTATAAGTTACCCAGAATGCCATAGGCACTCCCTTCACAAGATTCTGTGAAAATTTCGATATTTCAATATGATTCATTGATTGGCATATCAATATCAAAATATTTATTAAATAATCGAGTAATATTGATATATTATCGGTGCTTGAAGTTCCCATCTCAGAATTTAGCATAAGTTAATACTTTGAGCAATAGCTGAAAAAAAAAATCACATTTTATAATCTTTATTTATTATATTGAAATAAAGTTACTAAATTGCTGAATAAAACAGCGATTTTCATGTGTTTGTGCCTAGAATATACCCTTGATTGCTCAAAAGTATTAAGGCATATATACAGCTGGATCTGCAAGGTCTAAGTTGTGCAAAGGTTCTTGAGTGAAATGTACACATTGTGTAAACAAGAGCCATTGCTACTCACAGTCAAGATGTCCGCTAAGCTTCCTTGTTTCCTCCCACTTTACCGAATCTCTGCCCCTTTCCCCCTCATTTCTTCTTGAAGAAGCTCATCAGCGATCGCTGCTTCGCCTTCCCGCTCCCCGGAGATGTCTTGCTCTTCTTCTTGCCCCCCTCCTCCTCCCCGCCGCCCGTCTTAGCCCCGCCCTCTTTAGGGCTGGGTTGAGGAGGAGCGGGTGTGGTCTTTTGGTGGGCGGGGCTTCGTCTTCGCTCACGTCTGTCCAGTCACTTTCATACACCTTTTCTGTGACTGTGAACAATAATTTTGAAAGGAAAATCAGAATCACTTTGATAAAAAAAAAAAAAATTTGCGGAACAAACTTGAAATTTTGTTTTCATATTTATGATTTAACTTCTTTGTGAAACAGTTAAAATTTATTATTTTGAGGTTGAACAAAGAAATTGACTAGAGCAGGGTCTGAACCTGAGACCTCCAGATTGCCGTTCCGGTGCTCTACCAACTGAGCTATCCAGCCCTATGTTGGCGGTTCCCCAATTTGTAAATCTCTTTAATCAAGGGGCGCTAGTCAGAAGCCATAAACCCATATATGCCATGTAGCCAGGGATCATGTCTAAAGTTAAAATGTTAGCAAATTAGCAACGGGGATCACTCAGAGACGAAACGGTGTTTTATTACAAATTTAAGAAAATAAATAAAGAAATAAATAAATAAAATTGAAGGCCTACCCATGCAACCATCTTCATCTATGGTCGTTTTGTTCCGGAGCACCCGTTTCTTCCGTCGTCTTTTGCCACTGCTCGGGGAAGTCGTGGTTGCCTCCTTCTCGCTCGGTCTGGGTGCGTGCGAGGACCCGTTGGTGACGCTTTCCTCGTTATCTGAGGTGTTCATGTCGACGGGTGCTGGGGAGGGGTGGGCGGGATGGGGCTGTCTTCCATGTCTGAAACGAAGGAACAAGAATGATAATCACACCTATGCCGTCTCAGCGGGCACTTGAATTAAATGACTCATGAATTCGGGCGATTCACAATGCAGTGCGCCACCAAGAGTTTGCCACATAGAGTTCGTTTTTCAAGGCCACGGTCGACAAAACATGGCCCATTTGAACGAATGTCTGTAGAAAACTTGAGCTAATTTGATTGGGGCAAAGCGTTCTGCCGCCCTACAAAAAACTCCATATTGATAAAAAAAAAAGAAAAGGGCAAACAGATACTGGAATCATACGCTTACGAACTTTCTTGCCGGAAAAACTAACAATTTCAAATGTCCCGCGCTGCAAATTTGTCGACCATCTCCCACAATGCACTGGGAAAAATGAACTCTCCGTGGCAAACTCTTGGTGGCGCACTGCATTGTGAGTCGCCCGAATTGTGGTTAGTAGTGGCTAGGTCTCTGACAATTGCAACTAGATGGGAAAATGCCGACAACAGATATAGCCATAGCTCCGAAAACCCAGTCTTGCCCAGGAGATAAAGTCGACCTGGTATTATTTACTTGCCAGTCAGTGGGAAAGGTATAATTTTGGGGGCCAAACCATCCTTACTCGCAACAGAAACTGAGTTGCGAAGAACGCAGCTACAACATTGTCAAGCAACAACATATGACCCATGTCTGGCCACAGAGCACAGCCAGATCGAAAGTGTGGTGATTTTTGCTGAGGGAGAAAAACCGGAGAGCCCGGAGAAAAACCCTCATGGCACAGGAGAGAATCAACGAACAACTCTACTGACACATGACCCGAGCAGGGAATCGAACCCGGGCCACAGCGGTGAGAAGCGAGTGCTTTACGCTCAGCACCACCTATGTCACCCTTTCACGTGAAGTGTTTTAAAACAGTCTGGTAAGAGATTGCTATATTTGTGATGACTTACCGCTAAGCTCATCTTCACTGCTACTACTACTGACATCTTGCTGTATGATCCGCCTTCTACGTTTTGTCGACTGTCTTTCTCCTCCTACAACAAACAAAAATAATCCAACATGTTTCATGTTCAAATGAAATAACTACGTTGTGGTAGATATAGGACGTTACGCGTTTGAAAACTACTTCACACACGTGATAAAAATGCACTGAATCATGGCATTCCAGGTTATGTGTATTGTATTATAAAGTATGAACCGTATTTCGAGCCGTAAATAAGTCATGGAATTGTAGGCTCTATCTCAGCGCGGTGACAGCATCAGACTGATGCCACAAATAACTGCGGTAATTTGATTTATCTAAAACAATAGCGTTGGTTTTTCACCCAAATAAGCCAATATATTCACTCAACTGATGAACACACACACATTTTTGAGAAATGTTTTCAAAGCAACATGTGTGCGACTGGACTCACGACTAGCACCCAAACAGCTCGATTTTTTCGGAGTCAAAATTTTGAAGAGCCTGGGAATGCATATTTAACAGAAAAAAATATCTGCTTACCAGAATCCGAGTCTGACACGTCAATCTTGGCAGCTTTTCTCTTAGCCTTGCCTCCAGTCTTCAAGTTCTTTTCAGCCGCTAGTGCTTTGTCATGTACGCCTGATGCTGTCGGGACTTCTTGTGCTCTGTGTGTTGTCGTTGTTTTTGTCGTCATTTCCCTGGGTGGGGATTTCTCCTCTTTCTTAGGTTTGGCCGTGGAGGGTCGGTTCAGGAATGCCATCATGCCGCTTTTGGGTTTACCGCTGGGCTGGGGTCAAAGAGATGACGTAGTGACACAAAGGTCAAAGTTCATAGGTCAAATCATCAGCATTTTGCATTTTTGGTCGAGACCTTGGGCAACAGATCCTTTGCATGCGGGCACAAGTTTAATGGGTCTGGTTACCATAAACAAACAATTCCCACTTACTGTAGCAGTAAACTCCATGCTTACGGTAAGCGTATTTCACGGGATTGGCAACGCCTTGACCAAGGCTATTGTTTGATACGACTGCAGAACACATGGATACAAACTCACTTGTTTCGGTTCCTCTTTCTTCACTCTGGTGGGCTCAGCTTCTTCCTTCCTGTCGGGTCTGTCTGTCGCGCCTTTACTGCTCCCAGCGCCGAAACCACCGAAGGACGTAATCTGGCCCTTCTTGGCCCTGCCCGCTGCGCCTCTCTGGGGATCCGGCTTGAGGCTCTCCACGACGTGCTTCTCCGCGCTGCCATTCATCTTCGGTTGCCGCTGGCTGCTGGTGTCAGAGGCGGGATAGGCTGAGCGTTCTCCTAGATCAGCAAGCTCCTGGGGCGTTCTTGGCTTTGCCTCGGCGCACTGGATCGCACTGAATCTTTTATACAATCGTAATCAGATCAAAACATTATAATTGTTCGTAAATGCGCCGATAGGGTTTTATTTTTAATTTTGACGGGTTAGTTAAAACCGATGAAGAACGTGACGTACTTGTTCGGCTGTCGTATGTTGTCCTTGATGATCTGATAGTCAGTCACATAGAGGCTGTTTGAGTCCTTCAGCGTTGCTTTCTGTACGCTGTAGACGTGCTTGCTGAGGACCCGCGCCATGGCCGCTTCTGTCTCTGTACAAAAGAAGGAATAAGGATCCGGTGAAGAAAAAAACATTTGATGTCGTCGTAGCAAACGTCGCTCCATGGCGGGGTTTGGAGTGTTGCAAAAATATTAAGTTACGGCAAGAACTATTGTACAAATTTTGTACAAGTGACCTCAAGAATCAGTTTTTGTGGTGTTTTGACTTCATTTTTATAATATATATATATGTTCTGATGAAATCGGATAACCGTTATTCGGTCTGAAAAAAATTAGGATTTTGAAATCTCTGATTTCTCCCACCACCAGAGGAAATAGCAAAAATTGATCAATTTACTTTCCAAATCCTTGTCTGCGACCACCACGACTTTGTTGACGTTGACTCCATTGTCTGCTGTCTGAACACCACTCAACAGGTAGGTAACGCTGACGGACTGTGACTTTGCTTTACTCTGTTGTCGTTGGACAAATGTTTCTAACATCCTGTCGATGGAAGCAATTACAAAAAAGAATCGATAAACGATGATGGAATTTGTGTTGGAGTGACAGAAAATTACCCTAACCGCCCTGAATTCTTCAAAATCCTCTTTGCCAAAGTGGAGGCAAAAGTGCGTTACTGATTTTGTAAGATGCACTTTGTCAAAGTCTTGGGCCGGACCTTGTGTTGTTTAGGCTCAGCTGTGCTTAAATTTAGGCCTGGATTATGCTTGAAATCCTCCGTACTGCTCCAGGATGTCACTGGCTCTGCCTCAACATATTGACAGTGATTGCTGGAGGATTTTGCAGGATTCAGGCAGCGGTCACCCCTCCATAGACCATACTCAAGAAATAACGGAGGAATCTGCAGGATTGAGGCTATTTTTCCATGAGGCCAATTGGAAGATTTTGCAGGATTGAGGCTACATCCTAGCAAAAAGGTCTAGGGGGTTAAGAACGCATGCGACATGCGCGAGAGCATGGCACCATCTCAAAAAATGTCACCGGATTAATTTACTAGCCTTTTGGTCAATTTAATACAAGTGGAGAAATTCTACATAAAAATAAATATTAGATCCAACTTTTCTGAAAAACAAACAAAAACAAATTGTAACTAAAGGATATCCCCTCTAGGATCTGGGGTAACATAGCAACTTCGTCAACTTGATATTTGACCAGGTACTTACTGTTTAGCTTGATTGACATGCACTGACAGGGTTTGACTCAACCATCGGTAGGTCACCTGAAAGTTTGAAACAATCATATAACATCAGCTATGGCTATCAGAAACGTTTTGCAAGTTTTAGTCAAGTGTTTTTTTCTTCCAATATTTTCGCAGGGTGCTTGGACTACACCATTTCTGATATGGGTGTGCAGAGGTAAGAAAATGATCATGTATGCAGATTCACATGTAATGAATCCGTTGAATTATATTATAGGGTCTAATGGTAATGCTAGTATCACCACATTTCGATGTTGGAATTAACGCAAACGTGTGCAAACGAACCTGGAAATTACACACAAAAATAGACGTCTCAGAAAGGCGGGACTTCTTTTCCATCACTTTAGTTTAATATCTAAAATTAAGTTAGTACTAATACTAGGGTAAATAAACTAGGCCTAGGCCTAGTAGGCCTACACAAATAAATATTTAAAAAAATGTGAAATGTGAAAATCAAAATTTGACAAAGACAAAGTTCTACATTTTCGGATAGGGCCTACATCATGTTCCAATTGTGGCCAGCATTATTTACGGAGGATGTTCAGTAAATTAGCTACAGTTTATCGGGCTAGGGATGGAACGAAGTGGAATGGGGCGAAGTGGCAATGGGGCGATGTGGCAATGGGGCGAAGTGGCAATGGGGCGAAGTGGCAATGGGGCGAAGTGGCAATGGGGCGAAGTGGCAATGGGGCGAGGTGGTTACGGCGAACTGACAATGTTAACTCAAATGGGCTGATGTGATGGGGCGAACATGGCGAAGTGGAACGGAGTAGAAGTGGCGTCTGGACACTACATTCTTCTCAAAACAAAATTGGTTTAATAAATGATATTTCAACGATATAATAGGGAGTTTTACCACTCTGTCTTCGTCGAAAATAAACTCTTCCAAGTTCTCCAAGTACATATCGCCCGCCATTTTGTCACTGTTCTGAGAACTGGATTAATCCATCGAACGAAAGGAGGATGTTTCAGTAATATTGACCAAACTTTGTGACGTTCCGCATTTAAAGCTATGCGTTCTAGAAACAACGAGGGCGCTTTAATTACTGCTTCCAAGCGCGGCAAGTTTTGACAGCAAATGGGGGCGTGGCCAGCTTGGGAAGGGGGTGGATATGAAGGGAAAACGGCAATAATTAGCACAAATTAAAATATGTATACAGACAACAGGGAAGTCTTACAGTACCAGGAAACTTCAGTGGTTAATTTTGAATGTTTTCAAAAGGCTGGGTTGAGTCGGAACTTCTCAATAAGACTTTAAAGGGAATATACATCATTTGCTTTTGCTGTAATTTTCAGAAATGGATGGAATTGGGGGGTTGGAAATATGTAGCAAATATAGTTACACTGACTTTTTTGAGGTTTTGGGTTCGAAAATGCTATAAAAACCAAGAAAAACAATCATTTTCCTGTAGTCTGGTTCCCTGACTCCATATAAGAAGAAACAGAGAAGTTTACATACATTAGGGAATTGTTAGGTCAGGGAACCAGTCTAGCTGGCTTGTACCCGTTCATAGGTGTGTAATCGATTGCAAACAAGTGCGATGGTCAATTGGGGCCAGTATTTGAAAAAAAGCCAGTTTTTTTCCAACGCTGGTCGGCCGACCAGCGTTGGAAATTGATACAAAAATGCCACTTTTCTTGAAAATGACAGTATACCAGGTGCCATGATTTTACAGGATGCTTTACACTGTCATTCACTAACAGTCCAGCAAGGTATTTCAAAATGATTTGGTAGTTTTATTTTTTGATGTTTGCAAATGTTGTATTTTCCCTTTAAGAGAAATCATTTTAGAATGCAAGTGATAACTTAGCCTTGGTCATGCTCTCGTCGTTATTCGTCCCGTACGCGGTCAATCGTCGGCATATACCCTCACGCGCTATGCACATGCTTGTAAAAATAAAGCGCGAACAGCGACCTCACGCGGCCACTATTTTTATATGCAAATCAGCAGTTGGGGACGATCGAGAGCCTTGGTTCAATCGTCGGCAAAAGCTTATGTTTTTCTTTATTTTGCACTGGATTTCTAGCGCACGACCTCGTATGCGAATACAGATAAGTGTAGGCGGGGCTATATGTGGAGTGTCCAATCACACCTTGATAAATCCGGACGTCATCAAATTATTTGCAGCTATTCGCCTTTTGCGGACGTGACAGGAACCACAGTTTTTGTGCATTGGTGCCGTGTGCAGAGACACACAACGTGTACGTGTATGGATTATGTACGGTGCCACGTTTCACTATGCAAGTTTCCACGCAACGATCGACCAATAAGAAAACGACATTTAAGGTCAGCTAAGGCTATTAACACAATGAGCACCACCCCCAAAACCTCACATGGACGATTGAACCAAGGCTCTCGATCGTCCCCAACTGATTTGCATAAAAAAATAGTGGCCGCATGAGGTCGCTGTTCGCGCTGTATTTTTACATGCATGTGCATAGCGCGTGATATATGCCGACGATTGACCGCGTACGGGACGAATAACGACGAGAGCATTGACCAAGGCTAGTGATAACTTTTAATAAGAAATAGTACTTATGATTTAATATTTTAATGGAATTAAGAAATCCTTTGCTTTTCAATTGAAAACAATGCGTGGGTTAGTTTTCCCCCTTTTTGTTCCACTTTTGAAATAAAAATATTTATTTACCTAAGAAAATTAAGGGTAAAATACTCATTGTTCATAAATAGTTTCCAAGAAGTCAATCTTTTGCCATCATGACGTTAGATTCTTTGACTAAAATTTCAATTCGCATAAAACGCTCTTTCTTTCAGTACATGTTATGCAGCTGCTTCCCCCGACCCCCCCCCCCCCCCCGGCTCCGCCCCATGCACGCAGCATGGGACTTGACTAAAGGCTACCATAATGGCAGTGGCCAACAAGTCACCTGACTAGTCACATGATGCACCACGCGCATACAAATTAGTCTGGTTACCAAACAAGTACAAGTTTTCCCCGTTACGTACCACTAGTGTGCATTGGGATCATTACCGGACCGTTCCATGCGATGAGTTAATTTTCTGAGCTGGGAAAGTTCTAGCCCGACTGCGTCTGGCCGTACAGTACTATCGCAAGCTCTGTAGTACGGCCAGACGCTGAATGCTTCCAAAAAGACTGAATTTTTTTGGCCGCCGATGCAGCGATTTTGCTACATCTTTCGATCGCAATTATCTTTTCATCCAGGACACAAATTTCCAAAGTTAAGGTTTGTAGTCGTAGAGCAACTCATACCTTTTCGAAAAAACGTTGTTTGGTCTCAATATTTTCATCTATCTGGCCACAAGACGAATTTCAGTCATCAGATTCCACAAATATCGTCCCCCATGCGATCCCCCATGCGATTTCAAAATGGCGGCCGCGCTGTAATGTATGCAATATGCAGGCGCGCCCGCGCAAATCATGAATATGCATAAACAGTCTGTGACGTACGACCTCGTGTTTTTGGACGTACGGCCCCGCCGCACGCACGTCCAAAAACACGAGGTCGTACGTCACAGATTGTTATGCATATTCATGAGTTTGCGCGGGCGCGCCTGCATATTGCATACATTACAGCGCGGCCGCCATTTTGAAATCGCATGGGGGATCGCATGGGGGACGATATTTGTGGAATCTGATGACTGAAATTAGTCTTGTGGCCAGATGGATGAAAATATTGAGACCAAACAACGTTTTTTCGAAAAGGTATGAGTTGCTCTACGACTACGAACCTTAACTTTGGAAATTTGTGCCCTGGATGAAAAGATAATTGCGATCGAAAGATGTAGCAAAATCGCTACATCGGCGGCCACAAAAATTCAGTCTTTTTGGAAGCATTCAGCGTCTGGCCGTACTACAGAGCTTGCGATAGTACTGTACGGCCAGACGCAGTCGGGCTAGGAAAGTTCATTAGTAAAGTGTCACAATTGTTGGGTACAATTAACATTATGGCAAATTTGCGGTCAGCAGAAATATTCATCAGGATTGCTGGTGTTTCGGGGTTTCTAGCCGTAGCTCTTGGTGCATACGGATCACATGGTAATCTTAATTTTAACAACTTCTTTCTTCACCATTTTCGTCACTAGTCTAGGGCCGGGCCCGTATTCGATCGCCAAAATGTTTGATTGATTGGTTTAATAATAATACTTTAATAGGCATTGTTGACTTTGATGTAGTGTTATGTTAGGCATGTTACTTGTTAGGCCTGCTGCTCGAACTTAGGATTAGGAAAGAATGTTGCAACATGACGCTGCTTTTTGCTTCATAATCATATATCATCTCAATGAAGGTCAGTCACTGCACGTGCACTGCAAAAATGAGATGAGACATGAATCTGGGAGTGGGACAAAAAAAAACATTGTAGATTTTGAACATTTTCTTGAATCTCCATAGACTTCATACACGACCGCTGAAGTGGCGTCAGGTTGCACCATTCTTTCCCGAACGGATAAACAAAATGACAAATGTTTAATTATTTTTGGCATGTTGATTTTCTTATTTGTAATTTCTGTTTAACCTTTTTAAATTTCCGACTTTGTCTTACTAGGTCTGAGGAAAAGAGTTGATGACAAAACTTATGAGGTAAGTATAAAATCATGATTCCAATGCATGATATTTACGCTACATGTTACAACATTAGGTTTTATCTAAAAAGCAGCTCATCAAGTTGTCCATTGGTTTTTTTCTTTTTACATAAAACAAATTCTAGATTTGCTACCTCAGTTAGAGGATACGCAATTAAACGATTAAATAAAATCTTATTCTTAATTCCAGAGATTTGTAGACCCAGTGTCGGATTGTGAGTTTGGTCGGTCGTACTAACTCAGCTTGAGTAACTCCAGAATACATGCTCATTCCTGATGAGCATGTCAGCTGGAGTTACTCAAGCTAGTACTAACTAGAAAGATTGACCAAAGTCAAAAGTCGGGGGGGGGGGAAGGAGTTCTAACTTCTATCGCCCAAATAACTGAGTCTAGAGATTTGCTGACTTTTTTTCATTTATTTATTCAACTGTTTGTTCAATTTTTAGGTTTTTCAAACTGCCAACAGGTATCACTTTATACACACCCTGGCACTGCTAGCTGTACCTATGACTAGACATCCAACAGTTGTGAGTACAACTTAGTCCGAAAATTTGGGACTCTTAATACTGTGTATGAGAGTCCCAAAACTTAAGATATTGAAAACATGCAATACAAGAAAATAGACTGGCACCTGAAACAACCAGTCCAACACTACTTCAGTACTGCATCAATCAGCTGTGCCAAAAGAAACATGTGGTATAAACCGGGAACTAGTCTCTTTTTACTACACATTTCTCCATAGTCAGCCACCAGACATTTGTCACTAAATTAAGAGGTCAGTCTTTTCAAACAGTTGGACCATGGTTGGACATGTACCAGTCTAGTCTTGAGCCTCATTTTGAAATCACTTGACTTCAAGATAGTAATGGGACTAAACTCCCTGTGAAATTATTCATTCAGGCATGCTGTCATTTGGAAGAAAACAATCCAAGAATGTCATTTCCAAAGATGTGTCAAGTTACACACTTTTGGAAATTTCTGTTAGTAGTTGGTTTGTACTTTGGCAAATCCGTGAATGGGTCCGCGCAAGTGCGGTTGCTTTTATTCATCAGTTCAGTGCATGACATCACGTAGTTGCAATCAACTGCATGAGAACACATGAGAAGTATCAGTAGCACAGCCCCGATGTCACGTAACCAAACTGGGGTCAAAGGTCATCTTGGGGTCACTGAGGTCAAAAAGCTGATTTTTTTACTCAAACACAACTCCTTCCAGATATTACATGGCACAATCACATGACTCATGCATGAACATGCTCTAGTGTTTCAGAGGCAACAGTGGCGTGGGTTCGAGCCCAGGCCCAGAGACACTTGTGCCCTTAAGCAAGGCACTGAACCATTATTGCTTCGTCCTTCAGATGGGATGTTAAGCTGGATGTTCCGTGTCTTGCATGTAAAAGAATCCAGTAACACTTATCGCTAAGAGAAAGGGTTTGCCCCAGTGTTTCTGGCCTCCTAGTTATACTCCCTTGTGGAAGTCCTTTAGGAGAAGAACCAACCAAGTACCAAGTACGTGCTTTCATTGGCCCGCAGCCTCCGAGATATTTCTGATCGAGCTTGTTTTTTTTTGTAATTTACAGGTTGGCGTCCTACTCTTGATTGGAATGCTAGGGTTCTGTGGAACGTGTTACTTCTCTGCTCTGTTTGGATTAAAGACTCTCAACAAGTTTACTCCCTATGGTGGAATGATGCTTATGGCTGGCTGGCTCGCTATGGCGTTCTAAAAATCTTTTCTAAAGAGATTTTTTTTTTACCAAAGAACTTTGAATGATGTTATGATGTCAAAGGTGAATGTAGATTGATTTGAATTTGAATAAAGTCTGGAACGCTGACTTAATCCAATGCTTTGCACGTTTTAACTTTGCATTCTCCCGGCCCAACCAAAGAGACTGTTACTATATCCAAGATTCGGGGCAAGCCTTATGCTAGCAACCCCCAGCTCCGGCATGGTCTGGTGTCTTCGTGCCATTCTCACCCATTGTGAGCTATGTACTGATGCTGAGCGTCTCATACGTAACTATGCAAGAGCTTGCCCTGAATCATGTGATTAGCAACAGTGTCTTTGGTCTGGAGAATTTAAATTTAAAGTCATGTACCAGATGTTTTTCAAATTGAAATCCCAAAGGGTATAGGTCACTCGCAAATGGCTTTTTGTGCAGATACTCCGAGTCCTTGGCCTAAACCCCTATGAGTTTCATTTAATTTCAGTCACGCATCTCTACACAATGGTCAATTGAGCACACCAACATTTTTGGACACTGTGACCAAGTTCCTTGCTTGAATGGATTTCAGTGCTGTGTTGTGTAAGCTGTGTAAAATCCTGGATGTTGTGGGAGGAAAAAAGCTGATGTGGTTTGGGATTGGAATCATTTGCCCTTGAGCATTAAACTGAGGTCTTGCCTTGATGACTGATAGCCAGGCAAATAATTCCAATCCCAACTGCAGCCCTTTTCACATTTTCATGAAGATGATAAATGTGCACTAATGAGAATAGATAACTTGGAGTATTAAACTTGGAGTATTAAAATGATAAACAATTGTTGAACAAGGACACTGGCAAATTGGGGAAGTGCCAACGTAGGGCTGGATAGCTCAGTTATGGTAGAGCACTGGAACGGCAATCCGGAGGTTACAGGTTCAAACCCCCGCTCCAGTCAATTTCTTTGTTCATTTTTGTTTTAGTTAATTGGTATAGTTATATTGTTTGCGCTAGTGACTGTGGGTCGACTGACCCTAATCTTACTGTTTAAAAAAAAGAAGATTTTCTTCATTTATTTAGTAGTGTTGAGAGAGAAAAAGAATGCAGTTTTTGAAATATGAAAGTATATGTGTATTGCATTCTCAAGTTAATTTAACTTTTATTTTTGACAATATTACCATTTCTATTTACTGTTGGAGAAACATTTTCAAGAGTTTTCCTGATTTCCTCTTTAATAAAGACAACAAAGGCGAAAGAAATCACAAGAAAGAGGAATTTCGGAGCCTGTAATTATGGGGGAGAGAAGTTTCAATAAAAATGTATTGTAATTTTAACGAGCTTGTGTTGTGAATGTTGTTTTCATCTAAACCCGCACCCAGTTATTTTAACAAGAAACCCTCCCATTCTGGTCAGAAAAGGTTTTTTTTAGACTACACAGTGCCCGTAGCATTCTTGGTTTATTATCCCGATGCCAATGAAAAGTTAATGATCAGAGAGGAAGCTAACGGTTTGCTGTTATAGCGCCCTCAACGTTAATCCAGAATAATTTCTTTGCTGTGGACATGCAACCGGCCAGGCAGATGACTCGAGATCTGGGCCCATTTTTACTAAATATTGTTGGAGCTGAGCTAAATATCGTGGGATAATGAAGTGAGTAAAGAAATGGGGACAATAGTATCTTCATATCGTTGAACAATTGATAACTATGAAACGTTTTTACGGCGATGTCGAACAACTAAGGGGGCGAATTTTGTGTTATTCGAGTTGGTTCTAGACAAGTCGCCCCTCATAAAGTTGCACGGTGACTGGCTTAAGTTTGAATTCAAATGAAGCCCAGCCACTGAACTGATCATGATCTAGTATTTACTCCGAATACTAGATTTCCTTTTTTATTATGACACACTGTGCGTACTATTTTCTAAAACTTAACTTAACCCTAAAGGTGCCGGGGGGGGGGGGGGGGGGGGAGGGTGGAATCCTCCCCTCCTCAACATTTTCCGCAATAGCCTTGAACCTTTTTTTTTTCTCGTGACCTGAGCTGTTCTGACTTTTTAGCCTCGAGTCTTGCGCATCTTTTGATAGGGCGTACCAAAAGCATAACATTCGGACCACAGGTTGTCCCGCAGCAAACAATTTTCCCCCCGTGAAAACTTAATTTCCCCATAGGCCCCTATACGTAGTGTACACAAAGCAGAATTACCATTCGTGCATATGAATAATTAATTAGCTATAATTCCAAAACCCTTTGAATTGACCTATAGCCATGAAATTTCTCGGGTATGTTCATGATAAGTTGTTCTATGCATGTACCGAGTTTAATGATTTTTCGTCACTCATTGGCGAAGATCTGCAGAAGATATGCTACCTGACAACAATTGTCCTCCAGAAAGAAGCAGCTACCGGTACAAAGTCGCACTACGAGCTTCAGTATGAATGGTGTTATTTTTGTTATTTTCCCACTTTTTTAAACATTACTTTTCTTATTTTTTAACACCAGCCCGCTAACTAACGTGAAGAACATTAACAAGCTCAACGACATCGAGGCCGAGTTGGGTGTTGTAGGGAGCAAGACGTCATGGCATGAGCAGTACAAAGACAGCGCTTACGTCTTCATTGGGGGCTTGCCCTTTGACCTGACAGAGGGTGACATCATCTGCGTGTTTTCTCAGTAAGTGTTAACTGTTTGTATACATCCCTTTTGTTTGAATTCCGGCAATTCACAATGCAGTGGGCCACCAAGAGTTTGCAACGGAGAGCTCAGTTTTTACATTGCATTGTGGGAAATGATCGACAAAATTCGCAGCGCGGGACATTTGAAATTGTTACAATGTAGTTTTTTTGGTCAGTAGTTTCGCAAGAGTATGATTTGAGTATATACGTTTGAGCTTCTCTTTTCTGGTATTTTTTGTAAGGCAGCAGAATGCTACATGCCCCAATCTACATGTCTAACGAATTAGCTCAAGTTGTCTACTGACACTCATTCAAATGGGCCACGTTTTGTCGACCATAAACTTGAAAAATAGACTCTCCATGGCAAACCCTTGGTGGCGCACTGCATTGTGAATCGCCCGAATTGTCATAGCCATTAGAAGCAGTAGAAAGGCATTGTTGCTTAAAAAAACTTGAAAAATGGGGATGTTTAGGCCAAGGGAAAAAAAAAGTTTCTAGTCTGATGAAAAGTGGGTTAAAAAGACACTCCACACAATATTTGTGTATAGCCATCAGAAGTAGTACAAAGGCATTGTTGCATGAAAATGAGCGAAATTGAGATGTTTTAGACTGGGCATCTGCAGGGAAAAGTGAAAAATCATCAACAAGAAAAATTCAAGTCCAGACGTCTTACGAATCGTTGACCGTTTCCTTCCGTCGCACGCAGGTACGGGGAGATCGTGAATATTAACCTCGTTCGGGACAAGAAGACGGGCAAGTCCAAAGGCTACTGCTTCCTGGCGTATGAGAACCAGCGGAGTACCATCCTAGCGGTGGACAACTTCAATGGCATCAAGGTATTTACGGCCGAGTTTTATTTTTATTTCACAGGCAGGGAATAACAGAAACTGAACGAGAAACGGGGTTTTTTTTGTGTCGCCTAAATGAGGTTTGTGGAGACATTAACCAGTCTTAATTTCTGTATGTCCGTAGACCCTTATGACGGTAGACCCGTACAGTTTTCTAGCCAGGCATCAAATAGCGCTAGCACCCGCTACGCTTTCGGAGATAAACGCTACGCTTAAATCGCGCCGCTACGCTACCGCTACGCTATAAATTTTGGTTGGGAAAAAAAAATATCTGCCGTTACCCGTATGTATGTTAAAGTTTTTAGAATTGTTCTCATTTCCCAAATATTCGCCCGAATTCCATAAAACTTGGACACAAGGGATATTGAATAGCTAAGATAATGTGGGATATATTTCAGGTCAAAGGTCGTAGGCCAAAGGTCAACTGAGGTTCATAATGATGTAATTCACATTTTGGGAGGAAAGTTTGCAACATTTGTACATGCTTTCGTCGATTTTGATGAAACTTCCATGCAGTGACCCTTGGGTGGGAAGACACAATTCTTCATCGGATTACTGAGGTCAAAGGTCATGTAGGGGTCGTTACAGGTCATTGTTCAAATACGCTTCAAATGTTTCTTTGTCTATACAATTGGATGGAGTGATCCTTGGGTGGAGGTTCATCACATGTCTTCCGATATTGGAGGTCAAAGGTCATCTAGGGGTCATTTGAGGTCATTTTTTTAAAAACCTTGTTTAAGAACACAAAACATATAGGGATGGACCACGGAAAAAGACGACACATGCGATCTGCGGATCACTTGTTCTCAATTTCTTACTTTTTTTCGCGAACAGCTTTTGGGTCGTGTGCTGCGCGTGGACCACGTGAGCAGTTACCGTAAACCCAAGGAAGATGAAAACGATGACGACGCCACAAAGCAGCTACGACAAGACGGATGCGCTCCGAGAACCCCGTCTCCGCCTCCGTCTGAGAACGACGATGTAGAAGATGATAATCCGGTTCCGAAAAAGAAGGCCAAAAAAGGTGGGCTTCACAGTAATGATTTCGAATTACCACATGCAGTTGAATCTCATCGACGCAAACTCGGCTACAACTGAAAAGAGGAATTTACCATTATTGCCTAGGAATAGTTCAGACCAAACCATCGCTAGAATAAAAAAATTGAAATACTGCCCCCAAGTGACCAAGTTTAGTTTAGTTTGCAATCCGTTACACATCCGTCGATTTGCGTCGAGAAAAATGCACACATGCATTTTCAGGGTTTTCTCAAAAAGTGTGATATGTACTAAGCTGAAATTTTAACAGGTTAGTATTTTTGATAAGCTACTTCAGATTTATTGTATTTTTTCTTGAATTGGCTAAAAGGTTTTGTTTTATTTGCAAGTGGTGTCAATTTCTTTTTAAGGTATACCACAATTTTATGTGCTATTTTATGTGTGGTAGTGTTTGTTTTTAATTCAGCAATTGGGCCGGATAACCGACGAAAGTTTTTTGACTTGTTTCGAGTGGGGTCCCTTGGTAGAAGAAAATTACAGTTTTAGTGGTGGGAGGAAAATCCCAGAATGATATTCTAGGGAAAACCCACGGAATCAGGCAGGGACTGAAAACCCAATCCACATATTGGCCCAGGCGGGAATCGAACCTGGGCCACAGCGGTGGAAGGCGTGGAAAGTACCGCTACGCCAACTTAACTCCCCAATGCAAGTTTTTGTTATCGACGGCCAGGAAGGATCCACAGATTTGATAATCGACACGTTTCAAAACATTCTCCCTTTTTTTCCCGCCCACAGAACACAAAGCCAAAGCCAAGTTGCATCACAAGAAGAAAAAGAAGAAGCAGAAGAAAGACAGCAAGCACTCGTCGAAGTCTCGCCGAGATTCTTCCGATTCGGAGTCGAGCCAGTCCGAGACAGATAACTCACCACAGCGACCGGTGAGAGTCAAGCAAGAAGTGGACCGCGGTTACCCAGACTTTAAGCCCGAACGCAGGGAGCACAGTTCAAACGGTGGATACACCAGGCATCGGCAAGATGAATTTCCCAAACAGCAGAAAGAGAAAAGCTGGCCGAGAGACGAGGGCAGAATGGATCGGAGAGGAGACAGCTCGACGGATAGGGAGCAAGATACCCACAGACAACGGGACAGGGACAGAGCGACAGATAGAGATCAAGACACCCACAGGCAACGGGACAGAGCGACAGATAGAGAGCAAGATACCCACAGACAATGGGACAGGGACAGAGCGACAGATAGGGCTCAAGATACCCACAGCCAACGGGACAGGGACAGATTCAGAAGCAATCAGCACGGAAGTGAAAGAGAAGAGCATACACGGGCCGACAAGGACACGGACAGATGGGGCGATAGAGGGTCACAAAGTAGGGAGGACAGACACCCAGACAGATGGAGTGATAGAGATGACGAGATGTGTTACGAGAGGGATAGAACAAGGGACAGAAAGGGAGAACGGGGGACAGATCAGTGGGAGAGTAACAAACAAGAAACCAAAAGGAAAACTTCGCCACAGGAACGATTCGGAGAACAGAGCAGATACGGCAGAACAGACGCCGCAAGAAATGAGCACGGAGAAAATAAAATGAAACGCGACCGGTCAGATGAGCGGAATGAGAAAGACATGCGTCGGGAAAGGGATTCATATCGCGAGAGAGGCTCGTATCCCGACAGCAAGAGTGGACACAGAAGTGTGAGATCTGACAAAGGGTCACACAGTAGGGAGGACAGACACCCAGACAGAAGGGGTGATAAAGATGACGGGAAATACTATGAAAGGGATAGGAAGGGGGACTATTATGAAAAGCGAAGTCGTTAACAGGACCAAAAGAAAAATGGTGATCAGGCTAATGTTGTGCAAACCCTACCCAAAACCGAAACTGACCCGACCCGAAACCGAAACAGTTCGGAAATTTTGCGCAGTGCAATATTATTGTAAAATTACTGTGCCTGGCCGATACGACAAACGTCAACCCACCGAGCAAATGTGCATGTGGTTTGGGGTCTAGGAGCCTTCACTGTACCAAACGGTATGCTTCTTTACTGAGAGACGACAATTTTCACGCGATTTGGGTAACTTGAGGCACAAAAGTTTACACAGTTGCCGAACCTAGATATTCAGTTTTGGTTCGGTTTCGGGTCAGTTCGAGTCGGACTTTGCATGGTTTTTGTCAGGTCGGGTCGGGTGTGGGGGTAGGTGGTAGGGGGAGGGGGGTTGAACTCACACCTTTCCCCAATACGGCCTGGTAATATTTGGAATTATAATGAGTCGATCCAAACTGTTACTTAGATCATCTGTTGGAGCTAGCATCTTGGAAGAAATGAATTGAAATGATTATTTAGTTTAGATGCTTTCGATTGGAAGAAATAAATAATCACATCCTAAAACTGACTAGTGTCTCCTTATATGTAATGAATTATTATTATTATTTATTCGACCAGGACAAATCTTACAAACAAATATGACCCAAAACAACATACATGAACATTAAGGAAAACAAAACAATTCCAGACTTAAAGCCAGAGTCCATCATTTGCAGCTATCCAAAAAGAAACTGGCGTAATTACTGTTGAAAAACATACTTGGTTGAAAGATAGTAAGGGGACTAAACTCTCTGTGAAATTATTCTTTCTGGCAAGCCGTCATTTTAAAGAAATCAACGAAAGAAGGCCTTTCCAACGGTGAGTCTTAAGAAACACTGTTGGAAATTTCCGTTATTAGCTCGTTTTTTAATTCGGCGAAGTGCGCGCAAGCGTTGACACGATGCACACGCATGCGTGGTTGCTATAATTCCTCGGATAGGTGTGCGACATCGCGTAGCTGCAATCGACAATCGGTCTCGGACGCTGAATTCAGGCCCAATTCATAACATGATTCAGCAACTTTTAATTTGAAATCGAGATCCTAGAATGTTGTTTTTCTCGAAATATACAGCTGAAGCTGAGCTGGAACTTCATCAGGTTAGTTGTTCAGCACCCTTCTGTAGATTTTGAGCACTTTTGTTGCTTCAAACGAACAAAATGCACAAATTACAAATGATGGACTTGTACCTAAGAGATTACAATTCCAAGAATGTTACTGAAAAGTTTCTTTGTCATCAAGTCATCAATGAGAACTGTTTAAACCCACTGGCTCCATAGGAAAATGCATATGTAAACAAAGTGTGACGTCATCAGTACAGAGGGTTATTGTATTTACACAGGTGAGTAACATTTGGGCGAAGCCTTTTCAAATGGGATTCTTTTGGGAACTTAAGCTGGGGCCCAAAGTCGAAATGAAGCCAGGATTTCATAAACGCGCACTGACGTCACGGATGTGTAATGGCGATGTCGCAATCGCGCTGGACTGGCTCCCTTACTCACAGGACTGCACTGAACATATGCTGTGACGTCTGGGAAGCTGACTCATTTCCTATAACACAAAAAATAATAGGCCCTTTTTATCCCCGTGATATCTAACGTTGGAGGGTATTTTCGCCGGTGGAAGTAATCCGCAAAATCCTTCAAAATGCTAGTCTTCTTGGACAAAAACTTTGGTAAATATTTTTTAAATGGTATTGGACTTCCCGTTATTATGGCTATGGTTGTTGTGAGAACTCTTAAAGTTTGTTTAAAATCGAGAAATAATAGGCCTACGTCATGGTTGGATTTTTGTTGAATCGCTGTCATTTTTGTCATGTCTGTGTATGTTGTACTTGTTGTAGGATCATGTTGTTTAGGATTCTTCTACCTGAACCATTTTTTACAAGCTCCGTTCATCAATCAAAACCCAGCCCTCTTGCCACAAAATTAAGCTCACTGGGGAAAGAATGTAATATCCAGACGCCACTTCTTAAGTTCTTTGGTAGCCCCATAAATGTGGCCAAGTTTACTGGACTAGCGTGACTAGTCTAGGCCTACCTCCGTAAATATTAAAACTAAAAGGCCACACTTCCACCATGACCATGTACAAAAAACATGTTGAACTTTGTCAAATTTTGATTTTCACATTTAGGCTGAGTTTGTAGTATATTTTTGCTTTAGAACAACATGTAGAAGCATACTCACGCTCTTTATCTGTTTATAGGCTAATCAGAAAGTGCTGCCTTTTTCAGATGTTTAATTTTCGTGAAATTTCATGTTGAAATTTTGATACGCAAACGCAACTCCCATTCATTTGATTCAGTTACGGAGAGATGAAGGTTTTTACGCCACGCACTTTAGATCAGGCACAAAAAGTGCGCACATAGTTGCCCAAGCCAGATATTCATGTTTTGTTTAGTCGTTTCGGGTTCGGGTTGGTTCGGTGCGGTTTTCCTGGAACTATTTTTGGGTCAGTTCGGGTCGGTTTTAGGGAGTTCAGATCTGTTTCGGATGGAATTTGGTTTATATCTGTAATGTTTCGGGTCGGTTTGGCCTGGCCAACCCGACCCGATGCACAGCACTATTGCGCGCTGAATGTGACAATAATTTAACTTTTCTTGTAGCAGTCATATTTCTGTACATTGAACATTGCCAAACAGAATATTATACCTTTTTTTGTATTAATTCTTTTTCATTCTGCTTATATTTTTGTTGTTGATAGCTGATGACCACAAGGAGCTGTTTACTGATGTCAACAAGTTCACATTGATAGACGACGTCATTTATGAAGTGGATGGAAAAGTAGGTCCAAAAGTAGCAAAAGTGTCGTTTGATTTAAGAGGATGAATTGTGTCGAGTTTGTAGGCTGTACCCAGCATTGTTTGTGTTGAGTCACGCATGACTGAACCCTGTGTTATGGTCGATATCATCCGCTCGATATCATCCGTGCTGCTTCTGAAATGTCTTCGCCACTGCCTCAATCGATTGAGTGACTGTTAACCCTAACCCCCTAGGCCCTTGTTGCTTACAACCATCCTCAATCCTCCAAAATCCTCCAAAATTTTTCAACTCCGCCTAAATTTTTCAAAATTGTCAGACAGTCCTGCCTCAAAATGCATTCATCCTCAATCCTCCAAAATCCTCCTCATCCCAAAACTTTGCACTCGTGTTTAAATGAAGGATAACCAACGCCACATCCTTCAAAATCATCAGACAGTCCTGCCTCAAAATGCATTCATCCTCAATCCTCCCAAATCCTCTTGTGCTTCATTCACCATTCATCCTCAATCCTCCAAAATCCTCATGTGCTTCAATCACCATTCATCCTCAATCCTCCAGAATCCTCATTTGATTCAATCACCATTCATCCTCAATCCTCTAGAATCCTCCAAAACCGCCAGGAGGATTTTGGAGGAGTGAGGTGGGTTAGGGTTGGTCGCCCCTCCACTGAACAAATTCAAGAAATAACGGATGATTTTGGAGAGTTGAGGCTGAATCCAATTATTGTTACATGGTAGCAATTGGAGGATTTTGCAGGATTGAGGATGGTTCCTAGCCAAAAGACCCCAAAGGATTAGGGTTACATTTTCTGTGTTTGCTTTTCTTTTTGATACCTTAAAATAATTCACCATATTTTTTAAGTTCAGTGTGTTTTTAATATTTAAAAAATCAACTGTATTTTTATACTCTTTATCCCTAACCATCCCAAATCCTCCAAAATCCTCTTTGCAAATTGGAGGAATTTGCAGGATGAGGCTACATGGCAAAATTGTGTTGCTGATTTCGGAGGATCCACTGTGTCAAGGTCTTGGGCGGACCTTGTGTTGTTTATGCCTAGTGTGCATAAATTTAGACCTTGATTATATTTGGTATCCTCCGCACTGCTCCAGGATGTCACTGTCTCTGCCTCAACATATTGACAGTGATTGCCGGAGGATTTTGCAGGATTGAGGCAATGGTCACCCCTCCAAGGACCACACTCAAGAAATAACGGAGGATTTTGTGGTTACATGCTATTTTTACATGAAGGCAGTTGGAGGATTTTGCAGGATTGAGGTTACATCCTTGCAAACATGCCTGGGGGGGGGGGGGGGGGGGGGGGGTAGGGTTAAATATCAAGCCAATATTTGCCAGGGATAAAGTAAAGATTCCAAGCTTTAAAATGGTATAAAAATAATGGCGGTGCGTGTTTTCGTGCCGACGCTAGAGTTTCGCCAAACGGGTATTTTGGGATGCGCTATATACTGAACTTGTTGATCAAACTGTTGTCATTTTTGTTGTTGCTGCTGTAGACTGTCACCGAAAAATTTGACAGCAGTGCAGTGAATACCGGTGCCAATGCCTCAGCAGAAGAAGCCGAAGAAGGCGCCGAGGACGGAAGCACGCGGGGACCAGACTTCGTCCTTGCCTGTCGACTCAAGAAACTAGACAATCCCTTTTCCAAGAAAGAATATCTCACATACCTAAAGAACTACCTGAAGACGTGAGTGAAAATTTGCCTTTTTGTGAACACAAAATGTACGGTTATACATGCTGCAAACCTTTCGATAGAGAGTATCTTAGGAGGCTTCACTGGCTTTTCGGCTTTAAGTTAGGGGCCTACTCCCCAGCTGCTGCTGGTACCCATTCACACAAGTGGAGGTGAAGCAGCTTGCCCAAGGACACAACATGTGGCCAGCAGCTGTATTCGGACCCCTGATCCTCTGATCATGAGTCACAAACCCTAACCACTAGGCCACACTCCCCTACCGTTACTCCCCAGCTAATGCCGGTACCCATTTATACTCCTGGGTGGAGAGAGGCAAGTGGGGGTGAAGTGGCTTGCCCAAGGACACAGCATATGGCCAGCAGTTGGATTCGAACCCCTGGCCCTCTGATCATGAGTCACAAACCCTAACCACTAGGCCTACTCCCCCACCGTTACTCACCAGCTAATGCCGGTACCCATTTATACTCCTGGGTGGAGAGAGGCAAGTGGGGGTGAAGTGGCTTGCCCAAGGACACAGCATATGGCCAGCAGTTGCATTCAAACACCTTCCCCTCTGATCATGAGTCATGAACCTAACCACTAGGCCTACTCCCCCACCGTTTCTCCCCAGCTAATGCCGGTACCCATTTATACTCCTGGGTGGAGAGAGGCAAGTGGGGGTGAAGTGGCTTGCCCAAGGACACAACATGTGGCCAGCAGCTGGCTTCGAACCCCTGGCCCTCTGATCATGAGTCACAAACCCTAACCACTAGGCCTACTCCCCTACCGTTACTCCCGAGCTAATGCCAGTATCCATTTATACTCGTTTTGTTGGTTTGAAGCAACAATAGTGCTCAAATTCTAAAGAAGGGTGCTGAACAGCTAACCTGATGAAGTTTCAGCTCAGCTTCAGCTGTATATTTCGAGAAAAACAAACATTCTAGGATCTCGATTTCAAATCAAATGTTGCTGACCCATGTTTTGAATTGGGGCTGAATTCAGCGTCGGAGACACGTTCTCACTGAGCCGCGCGTCCGTGTGCATCGTGCCAACGCTTGCACACACTTCCTATTGAAGAAAACGAACTACTAATGGAAATTTCCAACGGTGCTTCTTAAGACGCACCGTTGGAAAGGCCTTCTATTGTTGATTTCTTCAAAATGACAGCTTGCCAGAAAGAATAATTTCACAGGGAGTTTAGTCCCCTTACTATCTCTCAACCAAGTATGTTTTTCAACAATAAATACGCCAGTTATTTTTTTTGGATAGCTGCAAATGATGGACTCTGGCTTTAAATATTGTCTGTAGAATTAGTAACTGCAAAGGTTTTTTCCTTCTCACAGGCTGGACTTCCCAGAAGATCAGAAGAAGGAACTCCAGGCCAAAATCCAGAAATACATGCTCACCAACGTTTTCCCGGATAAGAAGAAGTTTGCCGAATTTGAGCAGTACGTAGCCGAGGAGTTGTTCGTTGATCTGACGACGCAGCCGTACCCCATGATCTGTTTGTTGAATTACCGAGAAGACACAGATGCCCCGTATATGGTGGTTTTCAAGCACGGCTGTTTGGAACAGAAGCTTTGATGCCATGATGGGGATATTCTCCACGCACTGCTTCAGACCAGAAAAGAATGTGAGTATCGAGGACTCAGAAGGCTTCACAAATAGGTTTTGAGATCGAGTGGGTGGGGGGGGGGGGGGTTAACAAATTCATGAAATTTATGGATGATTTTTATACTCGCACAATTTTACCGTGATTACGTGTGTTGGGGATTCCTGAACACTAAAACCCCAACGGCATGTTTCGTTGGAATCTATCAGGATGGGTACAGTATCCCCAAACTGACGGTCTTTTTTACATTGGGTTGGCACACCTCCAGAATCAAAGTCAGAAATATGTGTGTGCCGTTTCCCATATGTGATGCGATCAAGCTACACGAGTCGTTTGTCGGGAATTTTCATTTGGAGATACAGGCCAAAATAGGGCCGCTTCATCACATCACTTCATCACATCTCTTGGTGTTCCGACTTCCATAATTTGTGAACTAAAGATGGTATCAGCATGCAGTTTTCAAAGCAGTAATGCTGAGATTGTGCTCTTTTCAAATCTGTAATAAAAAAAATTTGGACCGGGGTCGACAAATGACTCATTTAGCTTGATTGCATCACATATGGTGTTGGAATTACCAGGATGGGTATGGCTCCTAGTAAATCATGCTAGGGAGTTGGGGTTAAAGGTGCATTTTTTTTAGAGTTTTGTTGTCAACCAGATATCATATCTAATGCTATGGTGTTTCTCTCTTTCTTTCTCTGTTGCAGTCATATCTATTAAAGAGCTACAGCATCTCCGAATGGTTAGGTGACACAGAATAAAACTTGGATTAGACATGTAATATGCGATGTAATATACAAATTAACCCACGAATCCACCACCCCTTTCTCAACATAAATTGTATTTGTGTATACTAAACACTTGTATTTTGATTTGAAAGTGGGTAGGTGGTATTTTGTCACCTAATTACTGGAAATTGTCCGATGTCCTGCAGCAAAACTGTGAAAAGCCTTTTTTGTTTCCTTCCGAATCCAGACCGTATCTTAAATATGCTATTTATTGATAAATTTTTACCCCCTCATAATCAGAGTACATTTCTGTGAATAATTAAGACATCATAGACAAAGAAGTGTATGAAACCAGCTGGTAAATGCTGATGATCGTTCGGCAAGCGAGGTTGGATTGTTGTTTTCGTTTCAGTAGAAATTGTAAATCATGAAAATTTGTGTCTATTGGGTTTCAGTTGTACAGTGGAACGCCTCTATAACGAACATCACCGGATCAACAAAAATTGTTCGTAATAGCGATCGTTGGGTATGGCGATTTTAAGCTGCTGGTGCTGCACTCTGGTTATGACGTACAAATAGTACCCTTCAGAACTTTAGCTTGCACGCCCTGGTAGTTACTGAAAGACGACTTTGAACACGTGCCGACTATTGAATTATGTAATTGCGCAGTTTTTTAATTTACTACCTACACCAACTGGTGGCTTTCCCCTCCTATTCCTTGAGGAAATAATAACCACTTGTCGCTCTTCTGTGGACATTTTTCAACCATAATGTTGGGTGCGTTTTGTACACAAAAATCAGGAGCCAAGGACGATGTTCGGTATAACGGTGTTTGGTGTAGCGACGTTCCACTGTTCTACAATTGTCATTGGTATGTTATCTTCTAATTGCTGTAGTTTAATATCTGCGCGGCCAAAATATATACATGCGTTAGTGAATCAACTCTTCATTCAATTGCTTTGAGCAATACTACCTCTAACTGCTCGATGTACCATGAAGCTATCGGAATTGACCTATCGCGGTAGAATCGCGTTAGAATCACGTCAACGCAGCATGTGAAATACTGTCCAATTATATGATATACAGTTGGACTCCCAACAGTTGGACGAAGCTTTGAGCCAAAAATAACATTCAATGTGCACCATGATTTTAAATCTGCATAGTTGTACATTGTATAGCCTTGTGGTCCGTAATATACAATTCAGCATACATTTGAGGATTTATTGACGTTTTGATGAACGCAATTTTCATCATGTATTTATTATATTAAGAAAGGATTTAAAAAATGATGGCCCAGTGGTACGTGAATGCTTGTGTTTTAAACCCTTCGCTATAAATAATCGTCATGTAAGCTTAAGTTCATTTGGAATTGCTGTCATTTAGGGCTAATATATCACTCTGCTATGAAATAAAATCTTCATTTGAGAAATTGATCTCAAAATATTTGCAATTACATGTGTGTTTTCTTTGTATAGTTATTTGTATTCATGTTAATAGCAAATGTCCTATTGCAGTTTTTCCCTAGCTGGGCCCCATAATGACTCGCTATATCCATTGACATAAGCAATTGTATAAACAGTAAGCCTTTGGCTAACTGAAAAAAAAATACAACTTACAAAAAAAACTTTTTGGTTGGGGAAGGAAAAGGAGCACTATTAGTATTTTGGTGGGGGGGGGGGCACCTGGGGGAACGCCCCCCCCCCCCCCAATGCGCCACTGACTCTACAGATAAGTGGTCATCTTCTAAATCCCCCCCCCCCCCCCAGCCCTCGGGGGGGGGGGGGGGGACTGGTTCTGCCTGTATTTGGGATGGGTGGGGGATACAAGACACTGGATTGAATTTAACTCGCTAAAAAACACTCGACTTTACTTAAAGACAGAGATAAGTTGCTCTGTTGAGGATGCAATTACTTGCAACTGAGTAACAGCTTACAGAAATTGTGTTCGTTAAATTTTGCGGCGAAGTCATTAAATTTTTGGAAAGCTCCAACCACCAAATTTTAGCTTTTTATGTGTAATCTACACGGAATCTTGCAGGGAAAAATAGAATAATAATGGCTTTTTGTCTGAAAAAAGCGACAAAATTCTAGGTTTACCAGTGGTTATTGTACACTTTTCCTTTTATTTGAGTAGGGCGCCAAACAACTGAAAACAAGAACTACGCGAACTTGGCTCGTACTCGAGCGCGCGCGCGCTGCGTCCAGTGTTGAGTAATAGCGCCCTCATGCGACACAAACAATCTCGGTAAATTCGGTTCCTGGCTGTGCCGCATTTTTCCGACGTTCTGTTTTCAGTTTCACTTCGAATTTACGTGTCCATATCTTATGGTAAAATGGCCGATAAGCACACCTTAATGGAGGAGAAGATCTAGTCGAAATTCCAAAGACGGTTCTGGTGCTGCGCAGTCTGCCAATAATAGTGAGTTAGGCCTACTGTGTTAGAAATGTGTTTTCTTTTCTTTGTGGAATTGTGTTGCAGTAGTAGGCCGCCTAATTCTATCATTTTAATGCACGTTGGAATTAGGGCCGAGTTGACCAAACCCCTTGATTTCGTTTTTGTTTAATAAAAAGGCAGATAACTTAGGAACAAGGTTGATATTCTGGAATAAAATGTTCGATTTATTAAAGTTTGATGGCTAGTAATTACTAATCTCGTAAAGTTCTCGTAAACAAATAATAACAAATTTAGAACATCAAAACAAGAATTTGTCTTTGATTTTGTTGGCACCCGCTAATCGCTATGATTTTGCATGCTTGTGGCAAGCTGTTTGTCTCATGACTAAAATTGTTGAATTATGAAGTGCACACGTGCAGTTGAAATAGCAAAAAGTCTTATTTGATAAGGTGAGAAAAAACAGTAGCTCATATTTATCATATTTCATTCTTGCCAAAATTTCAAATTGTTGACTAAAGTGACCATCATTGTGTTCTGTGTTTGAAAGGTTACTCCGTGTAATGCGACGCAAAGTGACAGTGGATAACACAAAGGCAGCCCCGGACTCGTCGGAGAGTCGACGACCCAGCGTCTTTGAGAGACTCGGCCCTGGGTCATCAAGGGAAAGTGCGGTAAGTCTCGCAGAATCTCAGAAAGTGGACTAGACATCAGCTCGTGCGCCTCTCTTTAAGGGTGTGCATTTACGGGTAGTAGGGAAATTGGGTACCCGACTGAAAAAAAAACACGGGTACCAGTTAAAGAAACCCCATAATTTCAATATCAGAAGTTGCTGTACAGAATGTCGATAGGTCGACACTAGTAGCTGTGGTCCAATGGTTACGGTGTTCGACTCATGTGCCGTGGTACATGGGTTCGAATCCCGACCGTGGGAACATGGTGCTTGTGCTCTTGAGCAAGGCACTTTACCATTATTGCTTCGTCCTTCGGATGGGACGTAAAGCCGTAGGTCCTGTGTGTTGTGTAATGCACGCTAAAGAACCCAGTAACACTTATTGCTAAGAGAAGAGGTTTGCCCCGGTGTTTCTGGCAGTGGCTGCAATATGACATAATGGGTCTCATATTTCTCATAAACTTTATTTACCTTTCTTTAATAATTTACATAATTTCCAGTGCCTTGAGTACCTAATTGTTGGTAGATACGTGCGCTATATAAGACTCTGTTATTATTATTATTATTATTACATGATAATACTACCACATCGGTGCGTCACAAGATACAAGTGTGCACAGCAAGATATAAGAGTGTAGCTTTACGGTGTAAATTACATTTTCAAAAAGGTCATAACATGAATCTGTTTCGTTTATCCATGGAGCCTGGTTTTCATTTAGAAAATTGTCCATGATCAATAGCTTAACCCTAACTCCCTAGGCCTTTTTGCTAGGATGTAGCCTCAATCCTGCAAAATCCTCCAATTGGCCTCATGGAAAACTAGCATATACATAGCTGCCAACTAGTACGATTTTTTCGTAATTATTACGAATTGTTTGTTAAATTACGAAAGTACGATTTGCCAATAAAACATTACGAATTTCCCATTTTCTACCTAACGAAAAAAAAAAAATGTAAAGTATCGTTTTTGACCGAAAAACTTCTGGCGAAATGTTGCGATAATGGATGGACTGGTGACAAGTCTAATAAGAATGCAGTCAAGCACCTGATAGACATCAATACATTGTGCGCAGTGGAGTACTTGAGGACCAGACTAAAAATATTTTTCAATGGTGTGTCATTTGTGTGCATCTCGTGGATGTGTGGTTGTGTGTACTGTATGTGTGAGTACTTTTCAATGACGATCGTGAGCACATTTAGTCGCTTATTGCCGGGATGAGACCCATCAGTGCAAGATATTAATCATGGAATTTAATAAGAGTATGGTTGGAATAATTGGTAATAGAGTTTGAGTTTGTCACAACGGACAGAAAAGATAAATCAGCATGCGTTTGCAAGGTATGTTGGCGGGATATTTCTATTGCATACGGTGGCCATAGATCATTGTGTGTAAAAACACGATACGAACTCGAAACTCAACATCGATAGCATGCATCTCCAAAAAAATATGCGCACATGTTATTGATGTTATTATTTATTTGACTTCAACAAACAAATACAGACATTAAAACAAAATTAATTTAAAAAAAAAAATAAAATATATAATATATATATATTTCTGCTGATGAGTGCCTTATGGTACGAAACAGTCTGTCCAGAAGAGAGATATGCCAAAGTTTGTTTAACTCATATTCTGAATTTATTGCATATATATATATATATATAAAATTATCTTTTGGCCTACAGTACATTATTATTCACAACAAGAAGGGTATGCACATGTATGTGTACATGTAAACCATGTAACTGTACTCGATGTTGGTAAAGCTTTTGATAAAACGAGAAGTTGAAAATGACCGCGCGGGTTGATTACTAATTGGGATTTTGAAATGTTGGCAGCTATGCATATAGCCTCAATCCTACAAATTCCTCCGTTATATCTTGAATATGGTCCATGGAGGGATGACCACTGCCTGAATCCTGCAAAATCCTCCGGCTATGTCTGTCAATAGGCTGAGGCAGAGGCAGTGACATCTTGGAGCAGTGCGGAGGATTTCAAGTATAATCAGCTAAATTTATGCATAAACAACACAAGGTCCGGCCCAAGACCTTGACACAGTGCGTACTCCGAAATCAGCAACGCACTTTTGCCATGTAACCTCAATCCTGCAAATTCCTCCAATTTGCAAAAAGGATTTTGGAGGATTCAGAGCGGTTAGGGTTAATTGTTTATTTAAAAAAAAATTGTTTGGACTATTGTTTGGGGCTTGTTAGTCAATACAGAGGAAAATTAGTGAACTTCTTATATGGAAATCTTTCCTATGTTAATCTTACAGCGAGATGCTGGCCGTGGGGAGCAGGGTCGTAGCTGGGCCCGAGAAGGCAGTTCTTCTTTTGGAAATACGTCACGCTTCCAGCCGGGACAAAGAACAAGGTACTGCCTTGTATTTTTTGCTTCCACAAATGTGCACCAAAATAGTTAAAGAATCCCTGCAATGTAATTTCATACAATGTATTTTTTGTAATGCAATCGTTGAAAATGCACTGTTGTGTCCCACTGACCTTATTTTCAATTTTAGTTTTGCCATTTGTAAGGGTACATGTATTTTGGTGCCTTTTTTGTGTTTTTTTTATGCGAATGCAAATTTCCATATACATGAGCAAAAGTGTGAAACCTTGATGTTATTTAGCACCAAAAGTTGCCAGAGTTTGGATATTTTGCTGTGGTGAATTTTCTTTTGTTTGGTGCTTCGTTGTTCTGCAGTACATAGCAGTATATATGTATGTATACATGCAGATCTCCCAAAGTTGTTTCTGTCACTTTTTTTAAAGGCTTTTGCACACAGCTGGCCATATTTACATGTTAGTGGAAACATTGCAGCAATGAAATTACATACCGAGTTCGTCGGTATATCGGTAACATTCGGTGTTTTCAAAAAAAAAAATTGTTTCAGTCCATTATTAAAAAATACCAGGTTTGCTTTACCCGCTAAAGTTTGTTTCATCACAAAGTATTTAAATTTCCATCTGAGATTCTATTGTTCCACGTGAAATTTGCCAGATCTCCAGAAGCTGAGCCAGTAGATCTGCGTCATCGTGTTGAGAGTAAGCGGGCAGAGAGAGAACGCGAACGAGATCGTGAAAGATCCCCCTCCTCATCTTTATCTCCGCCCCTAAAGGTAGGACCCTTCTTTCAAGCCCCCACCGCCCCAGCCCCTCCATCCCCTCCCCCCCCCCCTTCCATGCATCACCTCCGAAAATCCCAAAATGGAATTGCCAATTTCTACGTTGCTAATAACCCTTACCCCCTAGGCCCTTTTGGCTAGGAACCCTTCTCAATCCGGCAAAATCCTAGATTCAGCCTCAGTCCTCCAAAATTATCTAATATTTCTTAAATTTGTTCAGTGGAGGGGTGACCATTGCCTCAATCCTTCAAAAACCTCCAACAATCACTGTTAATGGGTTGAGGCAGTGCCGATGACTTTCAGAAGCAGTGCGGATGATATCAAGCATAATGCAGGGCTCAGTTATGCACGACTGAACATAAACAATGTTGGGTACAGGCTATGAACTTGACACAATGCATCCCCCAAAATTCAGCTGCACTCCTCCAGAATCCTCCACGATTAGGCCCCCTCCCCCAAATTATTATTATGTTAAGTTATTGAATGCAATTCTTGAATTCCAGGACAAAATGAAATACAAAGCACACCGTGCGAAGGAGACGTCTTCCGAGCGGAAGCACAAAGCTCAGGGGTCAAAGGTCACGAAGTTGGCGGCGACCCCTTCCCCGGAGGCCAGCGATGCGGACGAGTGGGGAGGTATCGATGGGATACCTGCGGCAGGTGAGTGTAAGTAAAACGTAAGGTCTGCCCAGAGCCAGCATGGCCCATTAGGCCGGCGCTTATCTCCAGTTTCCCTCGCATTAAACCATTGAGAATATTTCTATTCCCCCTGAATGGGATGCCAGTTCATCGCAGGTGACACCCTAGCCAACGCTGATACATATTTATACTCCTGGGTTGGAGAGAGAGGCAAGTTGGGGTGAAGTGGCTTGCCCAAGGACACAACATGTTGTCAGTAGCTGGGTTCGAACCCCTGACCCTCTTACTCATGGACCCTAACCTGGTTACACCCCAGCTACTGTTGGTAACCATAATCTTGGGTGGAGAGAGGCAAGTTGGGGTGAAGTGGCTTGCCCAAGGACACAACATGGTCAGCAGCTGGGTTCGAACCCCTGACCCTCTTACTTATGAACCCTAAACCAGGTTACACCCCAGCTAATGTTGGTACCCATTTGTGATCCTGGGTGGAGAGTGGCAAATGGGGGTTAAGTGGCTTGCCCAAGGACACAACATATGACCAGCAGCTGGGTTTCGAACCCTGACCCTCTGATCATGGGTCATGAACTCTAACCAGGTTACATCCCAGCTAATGCCGGTACCCATTTGTACTCCTTGGTGGAGAGAGGCAAATGGGGGTTAAGTGGCTTGCCCAAGGACACAACATGTTGTCAGCAGCTGGGATCGAACCCCTGACCCTCTGATCACAAGTCACGAACCCTAACCAGGTTACACCCCAGCTAATGCCGGCACCCATTTGTACTCCTGGGTGGAGAGAGGCAAATGGGGGTTAAGTGGCTTGCCCAAGGACACAACATGTTGTCAGCAGCTGGGTTCGAACCCCAACCTTTAATCGACCTTTAATCCCTTCGTCTCGACAGATGATGACATGTGGGACGACGAGGCCAGTCTGGACTATCGCCAGGCGCTCACCCTGGAGATGAAGCGGCAACAGATACAAAGAGAGCTACAACAGATGGAGGAAGAGGAGAACCAGGCCAGGGAGCAGGCAGAACACATCCTGCAAAAGGAGGTCAGCCATTTGTGACATTCCCTGCCTAAGGCCAAAAAAAAAAAAGTCTCTGGTTTCTGGTATGCGCGCGCGTCGCCGTAGCCATGCGCGTCGGCAAAATGAAAAAGTTTTTTTTTCAATGAAAGATGATGTCTCAAAACCGCCAAACTCACTGGTTTGACTGGAATTCTGCTGCTGCACAATTTTAACGTGTTTTTAGATTGGGTTATGGTCGAGAATAAGCTTTATGTGGCCTCTCTGGACTCCCATATATTTGCACTAAGTTTAGTCGGGCACCATTTGCAGTCATCAGCCGACATTTGAAGCAAAAAAATCAGGTAAAAAAAAAAAAAAAGCCGCATCGCCGCAACACTTTTTGGGCAAGCTCCATACCAGAAACCGGAGACTTTTTTTTTGGCCTAAAAGTACATGTTGCAGTTTGTACAGGGTCACTGGCATTCTCAAACTTTGATCCGTTGTAAATTTTGTCATTTTTATATTTCGTTAGTAAAACAGTTACAGATTGTATTTTTACATTCATTAACCCTAACCGCCCTGAATCCTTCAAAATCCTCTTTGCCAAAGTGGAGGAATTTTGAAGATTGAGGTTACATGGCAAAAGTGTGTTACTGATTTTTGTGGGATGCATTTTGTCAAGGTCTTGGGCCGGACCTTGTGTTGTTTTTGCCCAGCCATGCATAAATATAGGCCTGGATCATGCTTGAAATCCTCCGTACTGCTCTAGGATGTCACTGGCCAAGCCTCAACATATTGGCAGTCACTGCCGCAGGATTTTGCAGGATTCAGGCAGTGGTCACCCCTCTACGGACCATATTCAAGAAATAATGGAGGAATTTGCAGGATTGAGGCTAAATGCTTTTTTCTGCAAGGCCAATTGGAGGATGTTGCAGGATTGAGGCTACATCCTAGCAAAAAGGCCTAGGGAGTTGGGGTTAATCAATCAACTGAGTAAATCGAGCCTGTTGTTGGCAACAGAAGGTTACTTGGTACTTGATCCTATATGATTTCCCTGAGTCTGGTAACCCTTCTACTTGGTTTTACAAACAGGGATCTGATGATGATGGGGTAGGGTCCTATCGCTCCTCCCATTCCCCCTCCCCAGTCCGAAAGAAACACCCTAAGAAGAAGAAAGGACGCAACAAGGCTGAGAAGCGACGTTCCCCCACCCCAGAGGATCCGTCTCCGCCCACAGCTTACGCCGGCAAGAAACGCAAACGGCGCAAGTCCGAGGATGTGACAAAGTAAGTTGAAATAAAAAAATGTCTTCGAAATAGAAATTCTGAATAAGTGTTTAACAGGTTGATGTCCGAGGCGACTTGACACCCTACTGAAAATAGCCAATTCATTTACCAATTGGAACCAATTCATTTACCAATTGGAACCTATGCATTTACCAATTGGAACCTATTCATTTACCAATTGGAACCAATTCATTTACCAATTGGAACCTATGCATTTACCAATTAGAACCTATTCATTTACCAATTGGAACCAATTCATTTACCAATTGGAACCTATACATTTACCAATTGGAACCTATTCAATTACCAATTGGAACCTATTCATTTACCAATTGGAACCAATTCATTTTCCAATTGGAAATTCTGACCTTTTCTCAATTGGACCAATTCAAACCAATTGAAACCATTTCAATACCAATTTACAATTGCTTTCTGTCTTATTAACAGGCAAGAGCGGGATGCATCTTCTGAGCATCCCCCGAAGAAAAAAGGGGGAGGGCCTGGCCACTCCCCTCGAGGGGGCAAACCAACGGCAGCTGCACTTCGCCCTCGCACCCCAAGCCCTAGACCTACCAAACAAGGCTCCGACAGTGACGCTACCCCCCAGAAATATAAGGGCAAAGCTGAGATGGGGAAAAAGTCCAAGGAGAGGGATGTGGCGAAGAGAAGGTGAGTAGAAATCCAGGGGGTGTTTGTACTCTGTGTCATCCTTAATTACTGCAAAATTCTGGATAGAATCTCAATCGGCCATTTTTTTTTTTTTTTGGAAAATGAGGGTGCTTTTACGTGTTAATTTTGGGGTACTGTCAGAGGTGAATCTCAGGTGCACATTGTGTTTCTTATTCTGTGTATTGGTCACGGCTAAATGTGTTGCTACCACTCTTCATAAGTGCATAGAATAACCCGTTACCTGATGCCTTTTAATTTTCTTCAGGACTTTCTCGGGCAATAAAAGCAGCGATGACGAAGCAGCCCCTGCCAGACGCAAGCCCGCCCGTTCCCCTACACCTCCTGCCCAGTATCGCAAGATGACCCCATCCTCTAAGCGTCCTCGTTCTCCGTCCCACTCCAGGAGCCCCTCGCCAATCAAACACAAACCCAAACACTACGAGACGCCCCCACAGAGGACCACCAGACGACGCCCTAGCACCCCCAGCCCAGCCCGGTCGGGTTCATTCCCACCCAGGGAACACTCGTCCCAGTCCACCTCAAGCTCCACTCGCTCGGAGTCGCCACGCAGGGCAACGAGGAAACGCCCTCGGTATCAGTCACCGTCGCCGGTAAGGCAGACCAAACAGCCGTCATCCTCACCGCGAGACCGTCGCGGCCGACCTAAAAGCCCTCCTGTCCGGTCACCACCCTCAGGCCGGGCCGGGGCCAAGAAACTACTCCAGCGAAGTATGTCGCCATCAGGCTCACACGGGGCCTACTCACCTGCCGTCAAACGTAGATCCCCATCTCCAAGAGCTGTCAGAAGGCCGTCACCCTCGCCCACTCAGAAACAACCACCGGCTACGTTGTCAAGATCAAGCAGTGGCTCAAGAGATAACGTAGGAAAGAAGTACGCTGACAGACAGAGTTCTGGTGAGAAAAAAATCATCATCTGCTTTAACATGCCGTAAAAGTGGTTACGTCATGTGACACCGCGGTCACACTTCGCCCGAGGTGATGTGTCTAAACAAACGTGGCTTACGTATCAATGCCCATTTTTTCATCAATTTTCTTTCAGAAAAAAAAAAAAATTACAGGAATGCATCACATTCTGAGTGATAACTGCAGTCAGCAACGAAGCACTGTCAAATTTTCCAGTCTTATTTCTTCTAAATTTCAAATAGAAAATGTTCACTTAAATCGCTCGTGCAAACCCTATGGTAAAAAAGGCGGACGAGACATTGTTTGGACACTTCACTATTGGCGACGACTCTGCGTGACGTCACACTTCTACTGCGTATAGAATGTAAGGGTGTTCAGTATTGTTGTACAAGGTGAGTTGGAACGATCTAGACCCAAATTAAAGAAAATCGCTACCCAAATTAAAGAAAAGCGCTATCAAAAAACCACCCTGACCTCGGTTCCATGGTTCAACAAATTTTGGTTGAAATCGCGTACTGATGTGAAGCAGTGTAATAACAAATAAAAACCTAGTCATGGTGACTGACTCACTTGAAGTTATTGACACAATTAAAAAAGGCAAAACCAATTCCGTGTGCAGACTGGAAAATGAGCCACTTCAATTAGAATGGCATAACTCCTCACCACAGCCACTTATTTGAAAAATTCAAAATTCCTGGGGAAGACAAGGTACTAACCATTCATATGAAACACTCAGTTTTTTTCTCAATAAAGTCAATTTGCCACCAAAAACTGGTGAACTTGGGTCCAGATCATTCTGACTCACCCTGTATTCTGCACAGCTTCGTTTGCATGAGAGAAGAAAGTTAAAATTTTAACCACTAATTAACCACTTTTCAAAACAGTTGCACTATTTACATTCCAAATGAAAGACAGAGATTGCATATTTTACATCACATAGAAAAGAAGGTTATGCCGGATGGAAAATGATGACTGATGGAAAATGATGTATGTTTTTCACAGATTATCAAGGTCAAAAAGGGCATCCAAGTGGCATATATCCACCAAGAGGCGACGGTCGAAATGACTTGCCGCAAGCAGACTTCCAACAACAATCCAGACAGCGGTCAGACTCGCGCTCAGACCCCCGAGCAGATGGCAGAGCACAATCCAGAGGGCAGCCCAAGACCGATTCCCGCGGGTACCAGAGGGGCGACGTGAGAGATGACCCACGGGGTGCCGCCAGGGGAGACACAAGAGGAGATACCAGGGGTGACCTGAGGAGGGACTCGAGAGGGGCAGATCCAAAGGCTGACCCAAGGGGCGATCCCAGAGCTGACACCAGGGGCGATCTTAGGGACACTAGAGGAAACCTTAGGCAAGAAGGCAGGGAAGACCCAAGAGCAGATGTAAGAAGAGACCCAAGAGGAAACCCTAGGGGTGATCCGAGGGAGAACCCCAGGGGAGATTCAAGGGGAGACCCCAGGGGAGACCGAAGGGGTGACCCAAGGGTAGATCCAAGGGTTGACCCAAGGGGAAACCCCAGGGAAGACCTGAGGGGAGACCCAAGAGATGCAAGGGGAAACCCTAGGGGAGACCTAAGGGGAGACCCCAGGGGTGATCCAAGAGGAGAGCCCAGGGGAAATCCAAGGGGAGACCCGAGGGGGAATCCCAGGGGAGACCTTAGGGGATATCGAGGAGGAGATCCCAGGGACGAGTTTAGGGGAGACCCCAGGGAAGATCCAAGAGGAGACCCCAGGGGAAATGTAAGAGGAGACCTCAGAGGAGATGTCAGGGGAGACCCAAGGGGAGATCCAAGGGGAGACCCAAGGGGAGATATCAGGGGTGGCCTCCGGGCAGACCCCAGAGCTGATCCAAGGGGAGATGTTAGAAGAGATCTGAGGTCAGACCCTAGAGCAGACTCCAGGTCTCGAGTCGATCCCAGAGCGGATCCTCGTTTAGACTTGAGGGGTGATCCTAGGAGAGACCAGCGGGATGACCTTAGATTGGACCCAAGAGCGAACTTGAGATTACCTCCTCGGGCAGATCCCAGAGCAGACCCAAGAGTGGACCTCAGGGCTGATCCACGGTCAAGTCAGAGACCAGACCAAGAACGGGAATCTAGGGAACCTCGGGGACGACAGCAGCAGGAGCGAGAGTCTCGTCGGGATGAGTGGGAAAGGAGCCGGAACAGTGGCAGGAAGGAATTGGAGGATATCCCAGGGAGAGAGCAGCAGTTTGCAAGGTTTGTCCTCTCTCAATTGGATGCTTGTTTATGTAGAGGCGTAGCCACAAAACTCTTGAAACCCAACATTATCATATCTAGAAATAAATGTACTCAGTCAAGAAACTGATGAAAATGCTTGGCTTGTGATGTTAACAAACATTGAACTTTGAATCATTAACTTAAATTTGTTTGTTGGATTTTAGGAATCGCGGACAGTCGTCGCTAGACAGGCAGCGTGATGTACCGAGATCAGACAGCCTGGATAATCGCCGGGTGCCTAAGGCCAGCCCAAGCCCACTGGGCCGAGGAAGAGGGCCTAATGCTGGCAGGGGACCTGAACGGGATCCTGTCATGGAGAGAAGGGACAAAGGGCCAGAAAGAGGCAGGGGGCAGACTAAAGGGAGAGAACCACCACCACTAAAGGGTGACAGGGGACTTGATCCAGGGAAGGGTGATCAAAGAGGGAGAGGCTCTGACCGTAGTGGAGACAGAGGAAGGGGAAGTGAGATGGGTAAAGGTCCAGACCGAGATAGGTTTCAGGAGAAGGGTAGGGAGCCACAGAGGGGTAGAGATGGCGATCCTCAGAGAGACCGAGGCTCAGAGAAAGGACGGGATAGTCGAGGAGTAAAAGAAGGTCCAGATCGTGGTAGAGCTCAAGAGAGGGAAGGCTTTGCCAGACAAGCTGATCCAAGCTTTGAGGAGTCCAGAAGATCAAGAGATAGCTCAACTGACAGCCACAAAATGGACAAGCAGAAAGGGACTGAGCAGCAGAGGGGGACACGCACAGGTGGGCGATCAGATGCTGTGAGACGAGACGGGTCTAGAGACAGACGAGAGGATTCTAGATCTAGAAGGGGGGATTCCAGGGGTTCCAGCAGCTCTCAGAGGGACAAACCCAGTGATCAGGATAAGAGGCTGCGGTCCGAGAGGTCTTCTGAGGGGTCATCACGGGAGTTGCCAAAGCAGCCCCAACCCCCTGGCCGAGCATCTGATTCTCCAGCCACAGTCGGCAGTAGAGGTGATCGTTCCCGTTCCCAGGAGAAGTCATACTTGGATCGAGATCAGGATCAAAGGACCGCCGCTTCTCCACCAGACACCAAGGCAGTTGAAGCGCTTTCCAAAAGCTCAACTCAAGATAGCAAGGAGAGCACCCCGCTCAAGGAGAGCTCCCCGGGCAGGCCCGCTGAGGAAGTCTTCAGCGACTGGTCGGAAGGCGGAAGCGATGAGCTCCTCAACCAAAGCCCACCGGCGGAAGATCCACCGAAGTTGCTGCCTTTCCCGGCAGACCCTGCTGCTGCCACCAAACAAGACCCATCTGTGGAACCATCCAAGAGAGACAGACAGAGGTCGGACAGGCAAGACAGGCGATCCGATGATAGAGAAAAACAAGAGGGCTTCGAAGGGAGATCTTTGCGGAGCCAGAGCTACGGCAGCAGCTCCAGTCGATACAGTTCTATCAGCTCAGACATACCGGTGCAGCCAGGTTCCGCTGCATCTCTGGATCCAGGCCCGGCCCTTACCCAGTCAGCACTGGATCAAGAGGAAGTAAACTCCACTTCCTCAACCAAGGCGCCGAGTATACCTAAAGAGGGCAAAGTTTCAAGAGAAAATTCAAGAGAAAAGGATTCCCAAGACAAGAACAGTAGTAAGTATGACTTCCATTTTTTTTTTCAACCACTCTACCATGGCATGTGGAATTTTAAATATAAAAGAAATAACTTAAATTTAAAAAAAATCATATCCACCTCCAGCATTAAACATCAAAATCTTACAAATTTGAGAATGTGTTATCAAAGGACATGATCACTATCATGTAAACAGATGCTGTTTCACATCAAGCAATGTCTGTATGGCTTTTTTTTTTAGATTGGGCCTTAATTGATATTGAATAAAGGAATCCATTTTCTCGCCTGTAATATGCAACATTTGCTTTTGGTGTAATTTTCAGAACTGGACGGACTTTAGGGTTAGTATTTTATAACAAATATTGTTACGCTGACCTGTGTATAGTTTTGCGTTCAAAGATGCTGGAAAAACCAAGAAAAATAATGCTTTTCTTTTAGTCTGATTCCCTGACCCTACGTTAGACAAAACGGAGCAAAAATAGACGACGGGAGTTTTCAGGCCAGGCAACCAGACTATATGGCTTGCACCCATTCACAGTGTAACCGACTGCAATATGGGAAACTAAAATTTGATAAATTTGGGGCAGTATTTGAAGAAAAAATAATTGTTTTTCGTTGGAAATTGGTAATAAAAGTCCACTTTTTGTAAAAATAAAAGCACATCAGGTGCCATGATTTCACAGGATGCTTGAGACTATTATTCACTCACAGTCAAGTAAGGTATGTCATAATAATTGGGTGTTTTTGTTTGTTGATGTTTGCAAATGTGGTAAATTACCTTTAACTAGGCATCCCACCTTCAAGGGAGACGTCGGTCAAGCGAGAGCAAAGTCACCCCTCTGACATGTACGAGGTGATCAGCGACGACGAATTTGATGACATGTTGGACGACGGAAAGAGAGATGTGAGCAAGCAAGAGGAAGAAACGAAACCTCAAGAAGGTAGGTTGATCTTGAAACGAGGGAAGGCTATCCCGGTAGGCCGAAGACTTTTGTCCTCAAAGGGAAAGATTACATACTTGAACCCTAACCCTGCCAGACGCACCACAGTGCATCTGGTGGAAAAGTCTGGTGCTTTTGCATAAACGGCCAGTTCTGAAATGATGAGAGCTAATCTCGTTGAACAATGCCACAGTTGTATCCTGCTGCATTTTAATGACCACAGACTCTCAAGGCAGTTTGGCCTTGAGACTTTTGACCTGATCGATCTAGCTCAACTGAGCAGGCTTGTCATTTAGACAAGTGTTGGGTGTTGCTGTGTTGCTGGCAGGGTTTGGTTAAAGTTATATTTTTGCATTTTCTTGTTTGAAGCAACAAAACTGCTCAAAATCTCGAATGGGTTGGTAACAGCTTACTTGTTGAAGTTTCAGCTCAGTGGATACTACACGTTTTGAGAAAACAGAAAATGTTTGCCCAGTTTTGGGGGTCTCATAGCTTAAAGGGAATATACAACATTTGCAAACATCAAAAAATAAAACTACATGTACCAAGTTTTAACAAAATACCTTACTAGGTGTTGGTAAATGACAGTCTTAAGCATCCTGTAAAATTCTGGCACCTGGTGTGAAGTCATTTTCAAAAAAATGGTATTTTGTATGCATTTCCAACGGTGGTCGGCCGACCACCGTTGGAAAAACCTAACTATTTTTCAACTACTGCTCCAAGTTTACAACTTTTTTCAGTCCAAATGTTGTTTGCTATTGGTTACATGTTCATGGACGGGTGCAGGCCAGCTAGACCGATTCCCTTACCTTACAAGGAACCAGTCAAGGAACCAGACTACTTGAACATTTTTGTTTTTCTTGGTTTTTCCGGCATTTTCGAACACAAAACTTCAAACATGTCAGTGTAACAATAATTGATCTATTATACTAACCCCTCAAATAGTTCGTTTCTGAAAATTACAGCAAAAGCCAATGATGTACATTCCCTTTAAAAAGCTCTGCCTGTGGTAATTACAAATTCCAGGAAATTACAAATGTTCCTGTGTGCCTTATAGGCACTTTTAAAATTTCAGCATCATATCCCGGATATTTTTTTAGATGACGCCTAAGCCTGAATGTTTCCTTCTTTCCAGACACTCAAGCAGACCTGACAGCGGTAGACTGGGCCAGCCTCATGTCGCAAACCTCACTGCTGCAAACCCAGTCCAAACCCAGCGGGGAGTCCGGGTCCATACTGGACAAGTTCCGGCCTGGCCAGGTCCTGGCGCGGTTGGGCGTGTCCAGGGCGCTGGCCGGTCCCGAGTTGATGGGGGAGGTGGAGAGAGTGTGCCAGCAGGCTGCACAAGGTATGAAACTAACCCACTGTCACTTGTGTTGACCTATCGCCGTTTGCGAGTTAGCCACGCCCCTTAGACAACCCTACGGAGTTTTTGTACACTAAGTTCTGTTTGTCTCAGATTTTGCGCGTTCCGCGTCCATTTGTATTTCATGTAATTGGACAATATTTCACAAGCTGCATTGACACGATCCAAACGCAAATCCACCGCGATAGGTCAATTTCATTATTTGCCATCAATGCACAGGATAATGATACATATATTTTGGTAAAGTCGAATTTTTAAAGGGGTAATGCGATGATTTTTTTTTCTTAGGAACACAATTTGTGCAACTTTCTACTCTTAAATGTATGAAAACTAATTGACATCCATATTTTGTTATTTAAAAATGCACTTCTTTTGACCTTGAACATTTTCCCATGCTTTACCGGAAAACAGAGGGCGCTGTTGTTGTGATGTTATTTCAGGAAGATACTCTTTCATTTATGATTTTTTCTGTTCAAATTGTGAACCCAAACATTTGCTCAGTTGAAAACATTTGTGAGAAATAGTTGCTCATTGGCTTACTGCCATGTACTTACACAACAGCGAAGAATCAAAGAAAAGAAAATTGATAACAGCAAAATATTGAAAATTCTAGCAACTTTTTGTGCTGAAATAGGTTTAACATTGAGGTTTCTGCCTGGAATGACATCACAGTTTTGCTCATGAATATGGAAATTTGCATTAGCATAAAAACCGAAAAGGCACCAAAATACCCTTTAAAATGGCAAAACGAAAATTAAAAAATTAAGGACACAAAGGGGCATTTTCTAGGACTGCATTAAAAAAATTACATGGCATGGGCCCTTTTAAACGGTGTTCTAAGTTTTATTTTCTTTTTTAAATCTGGAATCTTAGAGGAAGGATCCACCATACAGACTCCAGTGTTTGAGAATCAGCTGGGAGCGTTCAACGCCTCGGCCCAGAGGAAGCTACGCCAACGAAAACACCTACTGACCGACATTGGGCCCTGCCGACGGGCCCTGTGTGCCCGGCGGGACGTCATGATCCGTAAACAGCTCGGCAAAGTCGACAAGGTAGGTCAGAAGTTGAGTTGTAGTTGAGTACAAGCTCTAAGAAATTACTGGTAGAGTCTACACGATCGGCAAACCGAGCATTATAAACTAAACGCCGCAAAAAAATGGAAGTCCACACGCATTGGAGGGATCATAAGTTTGAATCTGATCATCTTAAGATGACGTCATTTACCGTAATTTCCTGCGGATAAGACGCGTCTTATCTGACTTTCTAGACCACAAAAACATCGCTGCGCCTTATCTACAGGTGCGCCTTATCTGGTGTCGCTTGAGTTCAAAGTGACGGTCTTTGTGTGAAGAATTCTTTCAATGCCGCAATCAATAATGCGGTCAACCAAGGCTCAACTCTCCAGACATTGTGACCGTATTTTCATTCCAACAATGCCGCGATGTGTTGATCCCGCCATGATCGTGCTTTCATTCCAACAATGCCGCAATGCGTTGATCCCCCTATAGTGACCGTGCTTTCGTTCCAACAATGCCGTCATACAAACGTTTTTCTCTGTGGCCGTTTTTTCATTCCGAAAATGCTGCAATCAGAATTACTTAAACGTTTGGAAATCGCATTCACTCAAGTTCTATTGTGTGAACGTTGAGGGTGTTTATTGTACAGGATATCTTCGAAGTCTGCAAGCCTGAAGATCAAAATGAAAACAGTGCGAGTCGGTAAAAGCGGCTCAGGAAAGCGTACTTCCGTCCCGAGCGCCATGTTATGCATACAGAGACCGCACGAACCTCAGTGCACGTGTGGCCGAACATTTTGTAGAAACACGCTGCGGTGTATCATCAAGTCCGAGCGGTAAAATCTCGTTAAAATATATATTTCAACGGACAAATACATACACAGAGAAGAGAGATCACGTTCTGAGAATTAATTTGCGGAAATTCTCTTTCTCCACCGATGTATGTTATTTTCTACGATCCAAATTCGTCCTGATACGCTACTGTAGTCATGCACGGAACATCATGGTCCGGTACCGTACGTAGGCCGTAGTCACTGGTTCCTGGCCCACATCATAGCTTCGATTCTGTAAGCATGCGATGGGAACCAACGAGTACTGATGGCTCTGCTGCCGCACGGAACATCGTACAGCGGCATGGCTTCGACGACGTGCATCACAAATGCGTCAGAATTACAGGCCTTTTCGTCAAGATTTAGCGTGCCAAGATGAAATAATATCGTGTAAACGATTATGTTGTGCATGCAAATGGCGTGTGTAATATTACTGTGCGTATCGGCGGCTGAAAATGTGATCGGCAATTTGTTTTCTGTGTACGGTGAGTAATTATACTGACACTGTGACAGCTCGGTTACTTCTCCCACGCGGTCTGGGTAAATTTTCCCGTGTCGAAAGTCCAAGTGCGGACAGTGGTCACATTTGACCATTTCTCATTTTACTATCGTCTCGGTAAAACCTTCCAAAAAAAAAGTCCAGTGCGGACACGGCTTAATTCATCCTCCGAATAGTGTGATCGTTCTAAGGCAACACAATGGCCCCTTTGTGGCGATGTACCGACACCGGGTGACGCCTGGTGTTCTTCTGTGTGCGGTCAAACATGCGTCTTATGCGGCGGTGCGCCTTATCTGTTGGCGTTTGAATTTGTTTTGGGTGATTTAAGGGACCTGCGCCTTATCCGCCACGCGCCTTATCCGCAGGAAATTACGGTATATTATCCTTTGGGGAATTTTGTTATCCCCTTTTTTTATCTAATTTTTGATATTCCGTTTGCTACCAAAGACTGTAAATCTACCAAAGACTGTTAATCGTCCAAGATTGACAACGGTTTATGAAAAATGATGCAGCTTGAAAACTTGCTAATTTAAAGATTACGCGAGAAGAACTTCCTGAGCGTAACCCCACATGCCCGTAATTGGCCCCTATCGACTGCACAGTGCCTCCAGTACCCGCGTACTCTTTAAATTTGCAACTTTTCAAACTGCATCATTTTTCATAAACCGTTGTCAATCTTGGACGATTTACAGTCTTTGGTAGCAAACAGGGCATCAAAGTGTAGCTAACAGCATTTCCCAAAGGTCTATATAAATGACGTCGTCATAAGACAGTCAGATTCAAAATCATGAGGATGATTGATCAGTTGTTATCATGAGCATCTTTTGTTTCTGTGCGTTTTTCGTTTCTTAGCCGGAACCAGACCAAGTGTTCTCCACCAGTCTTCTTGATGCGGAGCTCTTTAAGCTCAATGTCCAGCTCTTCAGGGCAGGCAAGAAGATGGGTCCGGCACCAGACCTGACCGCTGCTGGCGTCAGCGCGCCACACTCGGAGCGTTCGTCACCGATCGCTGTGTGCACGTGAGCGTGCTCAGTGCGCGGTCTAGTGAGAACTACTCACGACTGGACACAAGTTTACGAGTCGACTGGCGAACCTTGATCGTCAACTGATTTTGTTGAATTCTGAAAACTTTTGTGACTTGTTTCTCGTAGCCATTTAAGGCACTCTCTATAGGGTTTCCTTTAGTCTTGTAACTTTTGTTTACATTCTTCAGCAGAGTCTCCTGGATGTGAATCAAGTGATTGGGAATCTTGACACTTCTGTCCATGAGCAGGACGCTTTACTGCAATTGCTGTATGAAAGCTATCAGGATTTCCTTTAGTCTTGTAACTTTTGTTTACATTCTTCAGCAGAGTCTCCTGGATGTGCATCAAGTGATTGGGAATCTTGTCCATGAGCAGGACGCTTTACCACAATTGCTGTTGCAAAGCTACCACAGTCATAATCGCCATGACTGGTCGCGACAGGAATCATGTAGTTTTTACTTGGAACTATCGGCCTGCTAATCAGGGGTAACAGAATTGCCTACTGATTGAGATTAACATGTATCCATTTCTAATTTAATGGATTATTTTAGAATTTTAAGGCCCGGCTGTAACGACTGGCAGAATCCTAAATTTTATAGAGTAGTAATGTAGTTGGCTGTGGTTTTATATCTTTTGTTTTTCAATTGTTATAAGCAAACTTTCGGTGTTGGTTCATATGCTTAAACGTTAAGAAAGTTTGCAAAAATTGTGAACTAGCCGGAATATTGTTTGCTGGTAATTTTTTGTTCCGTGGTTCGTGTCTTTGGTCACTCCTGTTTTTCCGTTGCCGCATAATTTTCACAGATATTACCCTCCCAGTTCAGTTTACACGTCAGCGTTAGGGACTCCGAAGCACAAGTACGCCCTCAACGGTTACGAAGGGAGAGTTTGGGGAGATCACTGGGAGGACATTCTAACGCATTACTGACGACGTGCAACTCTCACGCAGAGATGCTGTGGGTCTGTGTAGTTCAGAGTGAAATTAGTCGTGCGTAAATTCGAAAGCGCATAACCCAGTGTGCGCATGCGGTGTGGTCCGCCCACTGGGGCTGTCCAAAGTGGTAAAAAGCGCCCTCTATTGTTCACGAATTGAGTCATACGCTGAGAAAGCGCCACGTCACCTTCTCCCAGGCCTGGCTCACTTTCCTCGAAAATGGTTCACGTGAGCATTCCATAACGACAAATTTGACGTACGTTTAACACGCACGATCACAGATAGCAATTTTACATCCTACTTTTACAGAACATTTTCACAACTTAGTACCTGAAAATGGTTCACTGTCATTCGGCAAATTGTCACCACACCAGTTACAACCGCAGCTTATATTTCACGTCAAAACAGCTTTATTTGCGTGATCGAACCGTGAAGGAAATATTTACCACAAAACGTAAGTACTACTTTAGTATCATTGACAGATTGATGCAAATATGAATGCATTATTAACAGCGATTATTTCTAATGTAATGTTTGTCTCAAACAACTGCTGCCATTTGTATTCGGTGTCAGAGATGGATCGATACATCAAGACAGCTTCCTGACGTAATGACCTTTCGGGTCACACCAGCCTGGCCAATCAGATGGCAGGAATTGGAATGTGGCATGTTTTAGCGACCAATGAAATCACGGCAGCTGTGAAGGAATTGCCTGTGTACGGTCTGGAAGATTTTTTTTTTTAATGTCTCTACTTTAATTTCACCCTTGAAATTGAGAAATCTCATTCAAAAGTTGCACCAGTTTTTTTTGTTTTTTTTTCCCTTTTTTTTTCAAAATAGAAGCTGAAAAATACCATAGTTATTGTTTTGGGAAAAATTAATCAGTGTTTGATACAATAAACAGGTTGGGTTATTATGGAAAGAGTTATGTCTGCTTTTTTTCTGCTGTTACTTTTCCGATTGGCCCAATGTCATTTGGCTGAGTAACAGAAAAATAATTGCTTTTATAGCAAATTCATGTACTTTAATAGCAAAACTTAGCGTGGGACCAGTGATATGCAGTATACATAGCTGCCAACTGTTACTAATTTTTCGTAATTATTACGAATTGTTTGTTAAATTACGAAAATACGATTTGCCACTAAAACATTACGAATTTCCCATTTTCTACCTAATGAAAAAAAATAATACTTGTAAAGTATCGTTTTTGACCGAAAACTTCTGGCGAAATGTCGCGATAATGGATGGACTGGTGACAAGTCTAATAAGAATGCAGTCAAGCACCTGATAGACATCAATGCAGTGTGCGCAGTGGAGTACTTGAGGACCAGACTAAAACTATTTTTCAATGGTGTGTCATTTGTGTGCATCTCGTGGATGTGTGGTTGTGTGTACTGTATGTGAGTTCTTTTCAGTGACGATCGTGAGCACATTTGGTCGCTTTTTGCCGGGTTGAGACCCATCAGTGCGACAATTTAATCATGGAATTTAATAAGAGTATGGTTGGAATAATTGGTATTACAGTTTGAGTTTGTCACAACGTCCAGAAAAGATAAATCAGCATGCGTTTGCAAGGTATGTTGGCGGGATATTTCTATTGCATACGGTCATGACGGTGGCCCTAAATCATTGTGTGTAAAAACATTGATACGAACTCGAAACTCCACATCGATAGCATGCATCTCCAAAAAAATATGCGCATATTTTATTATTGTTATTATTTATTTGACTCCAACAAACAAATACAGACATTAAAAAAAAATAATTAAAAAAAAAAAAAAAAAAAAAAAAAAAAAAAAAAAAAATTAAATTATCTTTTGGCCTACATTACATTATTATTCACAAGAAGAAGGGTATGCACATGTATGTGTACATGTAAACCATGTACCTGTACTCGATGTTGGTAAAGCTTTTGATAAAACGAGCAGTTGAAAATGACCGCGCGGGTTGATTACTAATTGGGATTTTGAAATGTTGGCAGCTATGAGTATACATCGCATGGCATCGTGACCGGTGGCCTGTATTTGCCAAGTGTGTGAATATATCCCCCAAAACACTGGACTTCCTCTGTATATAAAGCCATGGGCGTCAATCGGTGGGGGGCGGGGTGACAAGTCCCCCCCCCCCACCCCCCCCCCCAAAAAAAACACACACACTTTTTAAAGTGGGGTATAATATATCGTTTGTCGTCCCCCCCCCCACACTCTTTTCGTCCCCGAATAAAAAAATATAGCCAACATAAGCTCAGAATAGCTGATTCAATGACTCCAAACTTTAAAATAATGTTTAAAAGATGACCTTTTGCCCACAAAAATTGGTTTAAGTGGTCGAAACTTGCCTCAGATCGCACCACAGACCATCTAGAATCCAAACAATTTCCCGGGTCCTTAAGCGTTATGTAATCTTCAGGGGAAATTTGGAGAATGCTCGTTTGAAATGACTTGGGGATTTTCTCAAGGTCATGGGTCATGCACCTTGACGTCTTCGGGCAGACATGGTCCAGGTTTACAAAATACTCTTGTTTTGAAAACACCATTTTGATTATTAACACAAAAGGTTTATTTACTATTTATAGCCAGTTTACCATTCAAAATGGAAAGGGAAAGCTTGAAGTAATCTTTAACACATACATTGTACACCTGGGGAGCTTTAAAAAAAGAAAAAAGTTATTTTATTATTTATTCGTGGGATTTGAGTCCTTCGCAATTCAAATAAACAGTAACTTGTAATTTACTAGTGATGAACTCGTTCACAATGCTGGCTTACCACGACATAACATTAACAACACACAGGACCTCCAAAAGATACCGTAAAAAAATAAAATTTAACCCTAACCGCCCTGAATCCTTCAAAATCCTCTTTGCCAAAGTGGAGGAATTCGGAGGATTGAGGTTACATGGCAAAAGTGCGTTACTGATTTCGTAGGATGCACTTTGTCAAGGTCTTGGGCCGGACCTTGTGTTGTTTTTGCTCAGCCATGCATAAATATAGGCCTGGATTATGCTTGAAATCCTCCGCACTGCACCAGGATGTCACTGGCCAAGCCTTAACATATTGACAGTCACTGCTTCAGGATTTCGCAGGATTCAGGCAGTGGTCACCCCTCCATTTACCATATTCAAGAAATAATGGAGGAATTTGCAGGATTGAGGCTATACATGTATGCTATTTTTCCATGAGGCCAATTGGAGGATTTTGCAGGATTGAGGCTACATCCTAGCAAAAAGGCCTAGGGAGTTAGGGTTAAAGATAATATACAACATTTGCAAGCATCCAAAAACAATTTTTTTTTTATGAAATACCTTACTTGACTGCAACAGTGCAAGTGAATAATTCCCCAAAGTCAACAAATTGCTCTGTTTCATCTTACGTGGAGTCAGGGAACCAGACTACCAGAACATGATTGGTTTTCTTGTTTTTTCTAGCATCTACGAACCCAAAACGCTAAACAAGTCAGTTTAACAATATCTGCTATAACCATCTAATCCTCCAAATCCATTTATTTCTGAAAATTGCAGCAAGAGTAAATGTTGTACATTCCCTTTAAAGTGAGATAGTTTTTATGTATGGTTAGAAAACCTTTCCATCGAGGAAAACAAATTTATTTGTGTGTTTTTTTCAAATAAACTTATTGTTTTTAGACGACTACGGCATCCCACAAAATAATGTACGTCTCATTTTTTTTTTTACAGCGATTCGTCAACAACACGCACTTTCAAAATGCAAAGAAATTCTCAAACAATAACGACCTTGTTTTGTATTTTAAACAAAATCACACAGAGCAGTTTCTTTGAAACACATTAGTAGTTACATCGTATTTAATTTTTAAAAAAAGAAAAGAAAAAATGGGAACTACATCAATTAATGATTCGAAATCATTGTCGAAATAATAAAATACATACATGTACATATTTATGCATATATAACAAAAAATATAGTGTGGAATATTAGAATACCCAATAAACAAAATTAATAGTTTCTCGTCCGGGCTTTTTGAAAAAAAACGAAGGAGGCAGGCTCTTTTTTTTTGTTCCCAAGATGGCGAATGAATTCTTCCGTTTTCTCGCCTCTTTTGATCAATACAAATTTTGTCCAAATGAGCCTGACACCTTTCTATACAGGGCGAGTAAAAAAACGAAACCCAGATGTCAGGACCATTGTTTTAGTGAAGTTCTGCGAGCAGCACTTTCAAATTCCAGGATATGAAAGCCCAGTTCATAAGCTTTCTTTTAGTACAAGAATCATTCAAATCACTCATGTACTTTTCAAGTTGCGGAATTTTAAACACAACCACCGTTTTAAAGTTCTGTCCACGGATCACAAAACAGTTCAGTGTACTTTCAGCAAAATGAAAACAAATCACATAAGGATGTGTGTGAATTGTTTTTGTTTTGCTGAAAGAACGTGCACTTTTTTTGTGATCCGTGGACAGAACTTTAAAACAATGGTTGTTTAAAATTCAGTAACTTGAAAAGTACATGTGTGATTTGAATGATTATTGTACTAAAAGAAAGCTTATGAATTGGGCTTCCATATTCTAGATTTTGAAAGTGCTACATGCAGAACTTCAATAAAACAATAGTCCTGACATTTGTATATAACTACAATTTTGTTGGAAACAAATAAAAAAACAATTTTATTTTCAAAATATATAGGAAATGTATGATTTAAAAAAAGAAAGAAAGGGAGCCGGCGGAAAATAGAAAGCGGGCGGGGACGAGAAACTGATTAATTTTTTTACTTGGCCTAAATTGTACAGTTACAGCTTATACGGTGCACTAAAAACAAAATCTTCTAAACTGCAAAATGGCATGCATGCTGATGTGCCGAGCAAGCTTTCTTTTTCTGACATGCTATTCTTTCAAATTCAATTTAGCAAAATAACAGAATTTCATGCGAAGAATGTACTACTGAACGAAGATTTATTTTGAAAGTTCGATAGTGGGTTGGACAACTTTTCCCGAACCACAAATGGTTATTGTTTAAAGAATGGAATGTCAGAAAAAAAAATTGGCCAGCACTGGAAAATGCATGCCCTTTGCCGGGAATAAACATATTATTTTATTTATACAGCTTTTGGTACACATTTTAAATAACACGTTACGTGGTACTGTATTAAATATTTATATAACGCATCGTTGAAAATACACATTACCGACATATAGATCATGTGACTACAGTAGCTTCTAAAGGACAGGCTAATTTGCATATTTATTTGGCAGTTATTTCAAACACTGCCATCATGTGTCCAGCGACTACATGCGAGACACCCAAATAATTTCAAGGAACGAGAATTATTATTTCTACTGGAGTAGTAAGGAAGCCGACAGTCAAATTATCGTGCACCTATTCTGTTTTGTCTACTTTTAGAAATTAAAAAAAAATAATACATAACTTATCAGCAATTATGTTAAATAATTCATGACTCTTGGGGGAGGGGTTATTGGGGGAGGGGTTATTGGGGGAGGGGTTAGGGTCAAAAGGGGAGGTACATGGAATTTTTAAAAAAGTTTTCTTTCTTGGTTTGGGGTAGTTACTTATGATCCCATTTCTGTCTTATATTTTTTGCTAACAGCAATTTTAATTGGGGGAAACAGCAGATTTGCACAAAGACGGAGTGAACATCTTTTTCCGGGGGGAAGCCTTTTAAAGCAGATTTTGAGTGTAGGCGGAGTTAGCGATAACCCCGCCCCCTTTAGACCCCTCCCAGCTGTGCATATTAATTAGCTTCAAAATACATTGATATAAAACCATTTTACATAAAGTGCAGCATATACATGTTACATAGTGAGAACCCGGCCACACGATTAATAATCTACATGCCAAGATAAAGGAACATTTTATAATCTGGTTAAAAATTATTCGTCTAAATAATTACCATATTCTAAGCATCTAAATGGACCTTCTCAATTCCTTCTTTTTTTTTGGTGACAAAAAGACAGAACTTTTTTTTGGGGGGGGGTCACATAGCTAACAAATCAGGAAGACCATAAGCTTGTATTCTGTTGATTTATTTTCAAACTGATAGTGGTGGGAGAAATCGGATATTTCAAAATCCGGTTATCCTAATTTTTTTTTCAAACCGAATAACGGTTATCGGACTTCACTGGAAGCTCCCATCCAGCTCACAGTCATGCCAACAAAACGTGACGAGTGAGGTGCCACATTGAATGCCCTCCCAATGACTGGGTATAGTTTGCAGGATTCAATTAACGCTGGGCTTTACAAAAACACTTCAGAGCTGAAATGTTGAATAAAATGGATGGCAACTCTCTGATAAGTCGAATGGGCAGGCTATTCCTACACCAAGAAGACCACTAGCAAGTGGGTGCAGTTACAATCAGAGACCATGGAGCAAATTCGGGTGATTCACAATGCAGTGCGCCACCAAGAGTTTGCCATGGAGAGTCCATTTTTCAAGTTTAGGGTCGACAAAACATGGCCCATTTTGAACGAATGTCGGTAGACAACTTGAGCTAATTTGTTATAGATTGGCGCATAGCGTTCTGCCGCCTTACTAAAAAACACCATATTGATATTAAGAAAAGGGCAAACAGATCCTCGAATCATACACTTTTAGGAAACTACTGACCGGAAACACAAGCAATTTCAAATGTCCCACGCTGCGAATTTGTCGACCATATCCCACAATGCACTGGGGAAAATGAACTCTTGGCAAACCCTTGGCAAACTCTTGGTGGCGCACTGCATTGTGAATTGCCCAAATTGAATAGAATTTTGTGCACTCTTTTGGGACCTGCTTTACTGTTTGGTGTTTTTTTTCCGCTGGCGGAATTCAAAAATTCATCTTTGGATTGTTTCAGGACCAGACTTATTTTTTTCAAATAAAGAATATTATTAATCTGAACATATTTGTATACACGTAATTTGATTTCACAAAAAAACACAATGCACTGGCCAGTGACTTTAATGCTTTGGCATACAAATATTTAATGAGAATATTTTTGTATATCTACAAGCAGTGAATATCCCAGTTAAAAATGAAGGTTTTGGACAATTGTAGCTATGTGGCAGTAGAGTTATACTTTCATGAGTTTTACGAAAGTTTTCCCCCATAACAGAGTTTATTCTGATAAGGCCAAGTAAAAAAAAAAATTGTTTCTCGTCTGGCCTTTTTGAAAAAATGAAGGTGGGCACTTTTTTTTTTCCCCAGGAATTTCCAAGATGGCCAATTTTCCAAGATGGCGGATGGAAACTCCAAATTTTTGACTATTCTTCTGATGCAAAATTGTGTCCCAAGGAAACTTTACCCTTTCTACATAGCTACAATTTTGTTGGAAACAAATAAACAGACAATATATTGACAATATACAGTCGACTCTTGCTAAAGGGAATATACAACATTTGCAAACATCAAAAAACAAAACTACCGAATTATCACGAAATACCATAATGTTAGTGAATGATAGTCTAAAGCATCCTGTAAAATCATGGCACCTGGTGTGCTGACATTTTCAAGAAACGTGGTATCAAAAACTGGCTTTTCTCAAATACTGCTCCCCTTTTATCATCTTAAGTTAGTCCGCATTTTGTTTGCAATTAATTACACACCTATGAACGGGTACAAGCCTGCTCGACTGATTCCCTGACCTTACAATTCCACGACGTCTATAAATTGCTCCGTTTCATCTGAAGTGGGGTCAGGGAACCAGACTACAGGAACATGATTGTTTTTCTTAGTTTTTCCAGCATCTACGAACACAAAACTTCAAAACAAGTCAGTGTAACAATATTTGCTATAAAATGCTTACCCCCAAAATCCATCCATTTCTGAAAATTACAGCAAAAGCAAATGTTGTATATTCCCTTTAATTCAAACACTGTTAATACACATTCTAATACAAAAAGCCTTGGTCACGATTGTGCATTCATGTGCACAATGAATAGGACTGGCACTCCACTTCGTACAAAATTCTGATATAACAAACATTTTGCTTGGTCCAGCTGAGTTTGTATTTTAACAAGAGTCCACTGTATGAATATATAAATATATGAATTTAAATTTTAAAAAGTAAAATTTAAAAGGCGGCGGCGGGAAACAAGAAAGTGGGCTGGGACGAGAAACAGGTTTGTTTTTTTACTTGGCATAATGTAGAAGTTGTAATTTATTTCAAGTTGAGCATTTTTAAGCAAATGCCTCTTGGAAACCTCAACTACGATGAAAAATATTTCTTGAGCTCGTGCCAAATTTGTACTTACATTTAATACTCAATGTAAAGTTCATTTTTTTTAACCCCAACCCTCATTTTCGTCTAGGATATTCAGACAAACATACACGACACAGCTACAAATTTCACAACCTTTGCTCCGTCCCCTCCAATTTTTTTAATTCATGTTTTAAAAAGTTTTCATATAAAACTTGATCCCGAGATTAATATTCACATGCCTTTAAATACTCAGTCTCAAAAGAAGAAGCCAAAAAAGGGGAAAATTAAAGCCTAAACAACGCGAGAACTGTTACCATGCTTAAAATAGTGTTAGTAGTGCAAAACTAATAAAGGAAAATAAAGTGTTTTTTTATTTATGGTTGACTGTTGAAGTACCCATCCAAAATAACCCCCTTCCCCCACCCCCACCAAAATATAAAACAATTTACAATATATATTTGGGCATTTCATACTGACTTCAGCAGTTATAAAAGAATGAATATAATTGGTGCAAAATATGTCACATGACAGAGTGCAAATATGTGTGCATTATTACCAATAATAAACCAGTTCGGTATCTCGTTGAAGTATTCCAGGTCGAAGGTCATTCGGGATAAAATCGCTGACGTCATGTTATGCGCGATGTTACGCAAATGCCCATTCTGGTCGTTATTAGCGCGTGAGCGTCGTGCGACCGTCTCCTTGCGCGTTCGCACGCCTTCGACAAGCGATCAATTATCCCTCCTGACCCATGACCCATATAACTATGCAGTTGACATACCAAACTGGATTATTCCAAATTAGGCCCAAAAAAATAATAGTTCTGCTTCCGGTTTCCCTACCTACCCTATTCTGACAGCCCCTACCCTAATTTTTTTTATTGGAAAATGAGAAAAAACACCCAAAACCATCAATTTATACCTTTTACCCTTGACTACACGCAGACGCCTCCATATGATCGTACACAAAAAAAATTGGCCAAAACAAAAAATTTCCCTACCTACCTACCCTATTTTCGAATGCCATGTAATCGGAAGCAGAACTATTTTTTTTTGGCCTTAACAAAAAGTGGCCCCGAACTAGCATATTAATAATAATAATAATAATAATAAATTGTAACGTACACTTTCCAGTTTTGAGCAGTTAATAGTAATTCTATTGAATCAATTTTAATAATAATCAATCAAAAGCATATCCCGTTTTATTAATAAGAAGACATTTTTTATAATACAGCGTTTTAAACTAGAAAGTTTTTAAATTTATCTTACAACGAAAAACGGGCAGAGGGAAATTGTACAACTCCATATGTTCAAGAGACTCACAGTAATTCCTTGGCGAGGGTTGGAGATCAAAGGTCAATAGGGTGGCTACATGAAAGGGTTGGTGGAACGTTGCGCCTGGGGCTGTTGACCGAAACCGTCCGCCTGACCCTAAAAAATTGAGACGAAAAAAACCAAAACAATTTACTAAAACCTCCGCAAATTGAGAGAACCGTGTTTCATGTTCAATATCTGGTATTAAAATACAATGTAATAATAAGGGAATAAATATGTGCTTGGCTGGTTTTGATGATTCCCATCCATAAATACCGTTTGGTCAAAAAGTCAAAACAAGTCAAAAATTATAAATTTTGACACAGAGATTTTGTGCCTCACGCGAGCAGTGCTAAAATAATCTCCTTATATGGAGATTGGCATGCGCGTGGTGCGTACTGTGCGATATGGCGCAGAACGCAGCGGCGCAGAACGCAGCAGTGCCAGAAAAAAGTGTTTACAACTAATCTGTGTTTTACCAACCGTTTAAATCCACCCACGTGACGGACTCGAGACCAATAGGAATGGGTAAACTGCTCACGCGAAAGATGCTATGTCTTTGTGTACACTCAGAATAAAATAAGTCGTGTGTTTTTCGCGCCATACGCGTGCAACCTGTACGCAAATGCGGTCTAGCCCCTACATCGCAACTCTCAAAAAGTGGTCCAGAGAAGCGCCCTCAATTGTTTGCGCAATATGACTCGTATGGCTATATGGTATGGCAATATGACTGGTGGTCAACTAGCGTGGCGTTCAAATTAAGTTGGTCAAAACCATGGGTTGACAGAGTCCTAAGTACCTACCATGAACGGGTTATGCTGTTGTTGCCCCCATCCGCCAGCCCCCGTCGGCATGCCTTGCTGTTGAGCCCCGAATCCCATGCTTCCCGTCGCGCTCTGCGGTGCGCCCACCGTGCCGTGAGCTTGGAATCCACCCCCGGCCGGTTGACCCATACCCATGGGTTGCATGGCGTTCATCCCCGGTTGAGCCGGGGCTCCGAAACCCCCCTGCATGGCCCCGCCGAACCCTGGCTGGTTGAAACCCTGGCCCGCGACGGGCTGCGTCGGGGCGCCGAATCCCGCCTTCATGCCGCCCCCCATTGCTCCGCTCCCGGCCGGGAACCCCGCCTGGGGTTGCATCCCGAAGCCTGCCCCCATGCCGGCCATCTGTCCTTGCCCAGCGCCCATCTGTCCTTGCGCCGCGCCCGCTGGCATGGGCTGCATACCCCCGAACCCGCCTTGGGCGTGGAAGCCCCCGCCTTGGGCGTGGAAGCCCGCTCCTTGGGGCTGGGCGAACCCGCCGTTCATCATGTTGCCCGTGGTACCCTGGGCGCCCGGTATCACCTGGGTGGCGCCGAACGCCCCAAACCCACTGGTCTGGGGCGCTGGTTGGGAACCGAAGCCGCCCATGCTGCCAGTATAGACAGGCTGTGTGTTGGTTAGTCCATGCATCCCAGACGATATACTGGACTGCCCGCTAAATGGATTTGGTCCTATCGGTAAAACAAGCGGGAATAAATAATTTTTGAGATTCAAAAGACAGAAGTTAGGAAGTCATATTTTAACTTATGGTTCCTTGCACAAGGAAACAGTTGGGTTGTCAAAACAGTGAGGTTTTTAAAAACAGGGATCATATCACGTCAGCAGCCTGCTCATTTATATGAAAAATTACTTGTTTGTTGAGTATTGAACTTCACAATGCAATCAAAGCCCCCGGCAATTAACCTAAGTTTTAACTCTGCCAATTAGTTCAGTAAGTTTTGACTAAAGTGCAAGATGTAAGACAAAAGTACAAGTACAAGAGGTAAACGGAAAGAAGCATAGGAACTAATTTGTTCCCAAACATGTAAAACCAATACATTGTCCAACTTACCAGATGACATGAGTCCGCTCGTAGTTGGCTGCTTGATGTTTGTATTACTCCCCGGTCCCCAATCGATGCCGGTCCCACTCAAGAGACTAGCTCCGCCCCCTTTGCTTCCCCCGCTCCAGTCGATGGTTCCACCCGACGACGAGGACCCCCCTCCCCCACTCCAATCGATGGTTCCGCCCGATGACGAGCCCCCGCCCCCCGACCAGTCAATGCTCTTGGTCCCTGTGCTAGCGCTGGCGCTGGCGCCGTCCGTCCCGAAACTGGAGAAGATGGCGTACTTATCGGATGAGTTGACTGGTTGAGAGGCCGCGCTGCTAGGAGCCGACGTGGTAAGACTGAGGTTGAAGAGCGACTGCGCCGTCTGGCCGACCGCGGCGTTGCTCCCCGCGGCCGCCGGGGTTAAGGTCGGGGCCGCGCTGAAGGCGGCAAAGCCACTGCTGGCCGGCTGGGCTGGCGCGGGGGCGGCGCCGAAAGCGTTGAAGCTCGTACTGCTGGATACGGACGATGCGTTGACGTTGGAGCTCGCCTGGGGTGCCGCCTGACCGAAGGCATTGAAGCTACTGGATGTGGGGAATGCCGCTGGGGCACCAAAGGGATCAAACGCAGCCGGTTTGTTTCCTGTAGTGAGGGTAACGTTCACAGAGGGAGTTACAAACTATTCCAAAGACTGAATTGGAAAGTTTCATATTTGAAACTGAAATGACTTTATTAAAAAGTAAGTTTGATGTTTGACATTTGACAGATTGTAAAGAAGTAATTTGTAAAGAAAAAATGCTAGCGGATATTCGTCAAAGGCCTTAATCTATCTTATATTCACAGTCAGAATAATTAAGTTAGGAAAAAGAGGCAAGTTTGTTAAATGTCACCAAAGTTTACTGGGGTGACTTACCTTGAGCCGCTTGACCTGAAAATGCCTGGCCAAAGTTTGCAAACCCACCTGATGCTGTAAGGAAAACAAAAAGAAAAAGCAAAAAATGATAGAATTTGTTGAAGAAATGCTAGCATCTTAATATCCAACCCGAAAGGGAATGTGAACCTTTACCCTTTTCTCACTACATTTGTTAATGACTTGGCTCTCCCCAGAACCAAATTATTTACTCAGTCGGGGGCAATTCATTAGAGTGTGAAAACTGGACCACAAATTGAAAATACACTTTTTTCCAACCCAGATTTCACTGCCAAGAAGTGATTAAACTCAAGCACGTTGTGTGTCAAGTTTGTTCCTTGAATTTTACTCTTTTGTGTGATGCAAAAATACGAACATTATGCCTGTTTGTTGGTCTGGTCATAGTTACCAAACTGCAAGCCATATCAACACTTGACCAAATGGCACTCCATACCTCAAATTGATTGTGGCTACTTCTGAAGCACCTTTCTTAAATTTTTGTAATGGTAACACTATGAAAAAGCTACACCATTTAGAACGTTTCCAAAACACTCTTTTCAGTGAATAAATCTGTGTTAAGGTCCCTTTTCTTATACTTTGATTTTTGCTTAAATGCTTTTGGAAAATTTGTTAAGGGATTTAGAATTGTTTTTGTTTAACTTTTAAATGTGTTAAAGTCAAGTCCCTAATTTACGTATTGGTCTGAGTACCGACTACCCACCGGGAGGGTTAATATAGCTCTATGAATTTACCTGCCGACGCAGCTGCCGTTTGTTGTTGTTGTTGTTGTTGTTGTTGTTTTTGTTGTTGTGGCTGACTGAACGGGTCACCACCCAGGTCCCCTAGTAGATCCATGGATGGTTGCTGTTGGATTGGCGCTGATGGTGTTGATCTAACGGTAGCCTGTAAGGCGGGCCCCGGGACGGCCCCCGGCATCGGTAAAGAGATCTTAGCAGCTACCTTGGTGCTTGGAGGTGAAGAGGACGATGTTGACAACGTCTGGTTGAATGAGGACAAGAAAAGATCTGTGAGGACTTGTGATGGACTTGTGGTGGACTTGTGATGGACTTGCGATGACTTGTAATGGACTTGTGAGGACTTAAGGACTATTGAGGACTTGTGACAGCTTGTGAGGACTTGTGAGGACTTGTGACAGCTTATGAGGACTTGTGAGGGCTTGTGAGGGCCTTTGAGGACTTGTGAAGACTTGTAATGACTTGTGAAAACTTGTGATGGAGGCGTGAAGACTTGCAAGGACCTGTGAGGGCCCTATGAGGACTTGTGAGGACATGTGATGATTTGTGAGGGTTTGTGAAGACTTGTGATGGACTTGTGAAGACTTGTGATGGACGTGTGAGGACTTGCAAGGACCCATGAGGACCTGTTAAGACTTGTGAGGGCTTCTGAAGACTTGTGAACACCTGTGATGACATGTAAGGGCTTATGAGGTCTTGTGAGGGTTTGTGAAGACTTGTGAGGGCCTAAGAGGACTTGCAACAACTTATGAGGTCTTGCGAGGACTTGCGAGGACTTGTGAGGGCTTCTGAAACTTGTGAAGACTTGTGAGGACTTGTGACACCTGTGGGGGCTTATGAAACTTGTGAAGACTTGTTGGGATTTGCAATGACCTTTGAGGACTTGTCAGAAGCTGTGCGTACTTGTGAAACTTGTGAGGACCTGTGAGGACTTGCAACAACTTATGAGGTCTTGTGGGGACTTGCAAGAACCTTTTTGAGGATTTGTGAGGGCTTATGAAACTTGTGAAGACTTGTGAGGATTTGTGAGGGCTTATGAAACTTGTGAAGACTTGGGACTCGACTACAACACTAGCATGACAAATTCAGCATTTTCTTACCGTCTTCGGTGAAATACTACTCGCCACCTGCCGGAGCGGTGGCTGAGCCTCCGGTGTGCTGTTACTGCTGTTGTTGAGCTTGACTTGGCTGGGAGGGACGTACCATTTCTTTCTCTCGTACTTCTGCACCATGTAATCCCGGACTTTCTGCTCGTCTTTGGACTCCAAGGAGGAACCTCGGGAGTTCTCCAGGCCCAGCCACGTCTGTCGGCAAAACTGCGAACGGGAGATCGAAACCGTGGATGAAATTATAACTCTGACATGACTAGGCTTGCACTTAGGATGCAGGGGGTCGTGGGTTCAAGTTACACCTAAGTTAGCTTGTGAATTTTTTGCTTGCGAGCCCTCAGCCAACACGGAGTACAGTGTTAATGAATTTACGTCGGTGACTAAAGGCAAACCAAATATTGAAGACTAGGTCTGCCTGGACAAGCCGAAGGTTTCAGTTGAGAACATTACATGTATTTATACTCCGTCAGTCAGTCAGTCAATTTAGTCAGTGACTCTGTCAGAGGCATTAACCCTCACTCCCTAGCATAATTTACTAGGAACCGTACCCATCCTGGCAAATTCCAACACCCACATGGGAAATTGTACACACACACTGTTGGACTTAGTTTCTGGAGGTATGCCAACCCAAGTGTAAAAGACCATCTGTTTAGGGGTACTGTACCTATCCCAACAGATTTAAACAAAACCTGCTGTTGAACTTTCATGGGTTGGGTTCGGTTAGGGTTAAACTGGCCCTTCGTTTCCAGCAAAAATATATACCAACTGCTTTGTTGACATTTCGGGGGGAAAAAACCCTGCATATTTGACCAATTTCATATTGCCAGAGGCCCATGGTCCATGGCAAAGCCTTGGTATGTTGCAAAAATGTCTAAGCAGTGAAGTTTATAAGGTTTACAGGAAGATAAAATGATAAAAACGATTTGAATTTCCAGGGGAAAAAATAGACAGGCACCATGAATGTGTGTTGAAAATCAACTGTTTTTGCAAAAATGTCTACGGAATGAAATTTGTACAGGATTAAAGACAGAAAAAAAAATACAAAATAGATTTGAAGAAAAAAATAGACAGGCACCTTGAATGTGTATTCAAAACCAACTTATCTTGCATAATGAAATTATCAATAAAGTTACACTTTAAATTATCAGTTAAAAACTTATCAGCTAACATTTTCTTTTCACTTTTGATTTTTCCACAACCAGCAGGTTTCACGAAAGAGGAAAAGATTGATAATTAACTCCGACACTCTTTCCAAAAAACACACAAAGTAAAATAATTTTACCAAAACCAAGGCATGTCAGACTTTGAACTTTTGTTGGTGCTTCAGACAAAATTACTATCATAGATAATTTGTTCATCGACATAAAAATTTATGGTACCTGAACCCTGTACGGAATTGATATGAATCCTCAGGAATTTTAGGACACTCAATAAAAGGCATACTTTTATCCAAATTTGATTTGCAGTAATAAAATAACGCGGAATTTTTGCCTCACACGATAAGTAAAACAGTGTAAGTAGGCAGACAAATGAGTGAGAATCAACTATGCTGCACATATAGTCCTGTTTTACTATACTCTCGAGGACAATGCTTTGTGTTTCCCTTTGTCCCTGTAATATAACACTCTCCCATAGACTAAGCACACAAACTTACTGCACAGGACCCTTTCCAACAAAAGACCCAACTCCCGAAGACTGAAAGGATCCGTTCTCCCTTTGTGCGTCGGTCGTCGGGGATTTTGTAGAAAACATTCACATGTGCAGGAACTATAAGTTTTTAATCACTTATTAAATTTCTGAATGCATTACGAGTATTTATCTTCGGGCAAACTTGGAACCTGATTGGTCGATCCTTGGCAACAACCCACTACGTATTATCCCACATACTGCCATGACTGTGGCCATACCACTCCGCAAATTGCGCTTTTCTGAGATGCGCGCGCCATTCCTGCTGTACGCACGTGTAATAGGAACACTGAAAAGTTCGTGAACAGCGTGCATGCGTGTCATCCTTACATACAGTGCGTCAAGTTTGCTGGAGTATGCATTTGTTAAATCCCATTAGCGCTTGTGCCTTGTGGAACACGGAAAATACGTGCATTCCCGCTCCATTGCTCGGAATACCCAAACTACAGTTGCGACCATTGCTATCTAGATAAGGCCAAAAAAAAAATAGTTCTGCTTCCGATTACATGCCTTTCAAAAATAGGGTCGGTCGGTCGGAAAAAATTTTTTTTGCCAATTTTTTTTATGCAGATTGAATGGGGTATTCAATTATATGCGAAGTTTTAGCCTGAACTATTTCTATTGCACTACGAAAGCTATACACGAAATGACAACAAAAAGTGAGTAAAACCTACCTTTAATTATTGTCAATATATTTACGTTCGATAATTTCAAAAAATAATGGAAAATTCAGGCCGTTCGCACCATATGCACAACGCTAGTCAAGACGCGGGGAGCTGGCCAAAACTCCGAGGTGTGTGATGCGTGCGTGTGTGGCGAGCGGCCCACCATGGGCCGTAGAGCTGTTTTTACCGTCAACAATTTCGGAAAACACGCGGCATGTATCACTCCAAATACGAGTAGTGCGATCTCAAAATGAACTCTTGAACACAGAAAATATATACACAGACAAGCTAGATCAAATCTGTGATTTAACTTGCAAAAATGTTCTTTCTCCATCGGTGTTTTCTTGGCATTTTTACGATGTCGAATCCGACCAGTTGACAGTGGCCTGCACTGTACTGATAGCGTGCTATCGGTCAAATCACATAGCTAGCTATGGACTGGTTACCGCATTTTCATTATGTCTGCCTGCGCGGCGCGGCGGGAACCAGTCGTCGCCACGTGATTATAGTCACCGTGCGTGACATCGATTTTGCGAAGTAGTTATATCGCGAAGCGAATTTGTAATAACGGAGGTTTCTTTTGAAAAAAAGCGAATGTAAGTAAGAAAACAAATAAATACAAGCATTTTTGGATGCGAAAGGGTTGTTGAGAGGTATTTTGTGAAGACAGAAAAGACAGATTTTATAAGTATTTATTCAATTTTTTTTTTTTGGAATTGCCGATAAAATTTTTAGGGTCGCAGCCTAAAAATAGGATCGGTCGGGTAACCGGAAGCAGAACTATTCTTTTTTTGGCCTAAGGCCAAAAAAAAAAAGTCTCCGGTTTCTGGTATGCGCGCGCGTCGCCGTAGCCATGCGCGTCGGCAAAATGAAAAAGTTTTTTTTTCAATACAAGATGATGTTTCAAAACGCCAAACTCACTGGTTTGACTGGAATTCTGCTGCTGCACAATTTTAACGTGTTTTTAGATGGGGTTATGATCGAGAATAAGCTTTATGTGGCCTCTCTGGACTCCCATATATTTGCACTAAGTTTAGTCGGGCACCATTTGCAGTCATCAGCCGACATTTGAAGCCAAAAAAAAAAAAAAAACCAGTTAAAAAAAAAAAAAAAGCCGCGTCGCCGCACCACTTTTGGGGCAAGCTCCATACCAGAAACCGGAGACTTTTTTTTTTTGGCCTAAGACGTAATGATTTATATAACAGATTAATTTGTTCCCATCAATATCAATTTCAGATATTTTACACCAACCTCGTTTCCGTGTTTCTCCAGGAATTCTATCTCTTGTGTTGAGAAACTCGTCATGGAAATGGACTTCACTCGGTGGGGAGGATTCAGCCCGCGCCTGGAAGAGTACGGAACGGGAATAATTCATTGGATTTAATAAGACCCTGCTCTGTGTCATTAAAAGTTTTATCAATTCTTACTTTTACCAAAGTTGATCTTCCATCACGATAAAATCTTAACCTAACCTTCCCAAATCCTCCAAAACTCTCTTTGCAAATTGGAAGATTTTGCAGGATCTGGGCTATGCAGCTAAAATGTGCGGCTGATTTTGAAGGATTCAGTGTGGCAAGTTGGGGCTTAAAAGTGACGAAGACAATAACAAAATGCAACGCGAAAATAAAGATGGCGATCACCGCGATGTACCGTGAAAGCGTAATGCGCGCTGAGCTGAATCGCACAGCACCAACCGTGAACTGCGAATGAAAATTGTAATTTTTACCCGTTCAAAATTACAAACATGTGTGTCATAAGAATTGAGAGAAGTGTGCTTTAGGTTGAAAAGGTCATTTTTGTACAAAAAAAAAATTTCTTGACTCTAAATTGATCAAAACTGTTGATCGAAACTACATCATGTATAGAGTAAAGAGTGGCCTGTAACTTGCAAGTTCACGATCGCCCTAGTTATTGCTGGTTCAACCATTCTGAACATTGGATCATTTGCATATTCTAAGTAAATGAGTTATTCAGGTAAACTGGCATCGTTTCTAAGGTAAACATACGCCAAAATTTAAGTCAAAGACGTGTTTTTCAAGATGGAAATGTCTGACCGGCAAATTTCGCAAACCACCCACACGATGATGCATGGCAAAAGCGTGTGCGTGTGCCGTGCAATCGACCCAACCCTCCCACCACCTTTCACCTAAATCGCGGCGACTTACAATATTCCGCTGCATCGAGTACACACGAAGGAACCCACTGTCATGTTGACATATGTGGGGCCCCTCTGCTCGCAATCGAAGCATTTCTTGTTGTCCGGTTTCGTCCCCAGTTCCCGAAGAATCTTGAGATGTTTGTCATCTTGCTTCCGCTTGGTAGCCATGTTGGATATGGGCTGTGGCCTTAATGAGATCAGACGTTGGCGGCGCTATTCACATTTAGTGGTTCACGATTTTTGTTGGTTTTGCCTCCTATGCATGCAAGGGCGGTCTTGTGAATCGAGCAAAGCATAAACTGTAAATAGTCTTCAAATGCAGCCAATACTATGGAGCAGAAAATTAAAACAAAGCTGTTGATAATCCAGTGCATTAAAATATTACAATATTCATGCTCCCCCCCAAAACATTTTTTTTTCAAATATTGGAGATTTTCAAAGAGATCATCAGAAAAAATATCAAATAATTGGTGAATTTCAAAGAGATCACCAGAGTGGAGAAAACAGTCTTATGAGAAAGTAAGATTTGAGGCTTTGCATGGTGGAGATACTAAATAATGAAAAGTTTGCGGAAACACCATGTGCGAATAATTTCTCAACTAAGAGAATGGTTCTGAAAAGAACCAGAGGTATAAACTCGACGTTCCGGTCAGTATGCTCTGACCGTCTTCAGGAGAGTGCCTAAACTCTAAGAAAGTGAATACTTAATAAGTAGCAAAGAGAGTTTAGGCACTCTCCTGAAGACGGTCAGAGCATACTGACCGGAACGTCGAGTTTATACCTCTGGTTCTTAGTTGAGAAATTATTCGCACATGGTGTTTCCGCAAACTTTTCATTATTTATTTAGTCTTATGAGTGGCGTACGTAGATGACATCATTTACATGATTTTGCTGACAGGGGTCCAGTCAAAAATGTAACAAATTCAAAGTAGAGAAACCTGTGAAATACAACGACATTTTCAAAACTCAATTCGGAGGTATGGAACTCCGCCTGGCCCGCCCATTAAAAAACGCCACTGCCGATGTATGTGTATGTACCAGGGTGACCGTAAGGTCAGAGCCAAATGCTGCTAAATGTACATCAAAAATCTGTCAGATTTTTCAAAAATCTGCCAAATTCCCCAGAATTACTCGAGATATACTATAAACACTTAAAATCACATGCAGATTGGTAGTATTGCCTTAATCAAGATTCAAATTACATAATAAACAATCTAGTCACACAAAGATGTGAAATTATTGGTAAATTGCGGGAAAATGCGGATCCGACCACGACGAAGTCCGTTTCCCAGTGAACCTCAGCACCGAGACCAGCCAACCTGTCCCATTATGCAAGGGTTAATTGTTTGAAAGGATTGAAGCTTTTTACAACAGAGTACGTACACTTTGTTTGTGTTCAAATTTGCTGTTTTTCTGTCAAATAACCATTTTTGCAGAATTCTGCCAGAAATCTGCCCAAAAAATCCATTTTGTCAAATTTTCTGTCAAACTCGTTTTTTAACAAACATTCTGTCCAAGTTAGCCGAAAAATCGGATAAAACGGTCACCCTGGTATGCATACTACATGCGGGATAATGAATCTATTATGCCACGTGGTCATGATATGAAAAGAAAGAGCGCGCGGCTGATCGGTCCACGCTATTATAGTTCATTCGTGCTTATTCAACCACGCACAATTCAGCCATTGTACGCGGATATAGCGGAAATTCAGCGAATTCAACGCCACAATAACCTACGTCTCTGCCGCGACGGAACGATCAAAGTCCACTCCGTTCATGCACATTAATAACCGGCAGGTCATTAATTTAAGGCTGTCAAAGTTTGAGCAGAGTTTGACTACAGTTTCTCAAGTTTACACGCAGGTTCGGCCATCGGACTGTTGTCTCATGCATATGACTTGCGCCGTGACGTAGCCACACGCCTTTTGTCCAACATTGTTGTTGTCGATGTGGGTGGACAGTGCCCTTCTCTAGTCGTCTAGGACCAGTGACCAGTCCCAATAATGGAGGAAGAATCAGTGAAGAAAACTCAAGGCATGGAGGAAGGTAAGGACTTTACGAGACGTGTTTCCCGACGTATATGGAACTGGCTATTGTGGAGGAAAAGGGTCCGGGCAGTGGCGTTGTGGGTGCCGAACTTGCCCAGTTTCATGTCCCCGACTGAGGCCAAAAAGGGCGGGGATAATGAGTATTATGCATAGAGCAAGGAATTGCTCTATGGTGTGGGTCCAAGGAGAAATTCTCCATGATAATCCTATAGACAACTTTCAGTCGATATCTGCCGAATTCCAATGTCAATTTCTGTGTGAAAGCATTTCGGACAAACTTTCGCCAAATTAATTTCCTCTGAAAATCCTACAAGACAACTTGGCATACATAGATCAGGCATTTGAATTGTCCTGTATTTTAACCAAGTAAATTCTGAGAGTAAATATCAAGTGCAAAAACAGTTTTCAAACACAAATTTTAGTAAATTTAGCAAGCATTGCTGTGTGGCATTCAGTATAGGAAGTCCAGGATTAAGGTCTACAACTGATCTGACCATGGAGGTCATGAGAATTACCTCAATGGCCAGACCACCTGGTCATGCTACTACATGTATATAATGGTCATAATATAATTATAGGTGTACATGACGTGTTGTGTGTACATCGATTTCATAATAGGCATGCTTGCGTGTAGCCCCATAAATGTGGCCTATTTACTGGACTGCCTCCGTAAACATAGGCCACACATCCACATGTACAAAAATCGTGTCGACGGAGCCAAATTTTGATTTTCACATTTAGGCTTAGTTTGTATGTTTTTTTTGCTTTAGAAACATACTCACCCTCTTTACAGGCTAATCAGAAAGTGCTGCCTTTTTCAGATGTCTAATTTTTGTGAAATTTCATGTTGAAATTTTGATACGCAAACGTGTAAAAATGAATCTGGAAATTTCACGAAAAATATACATCTGAAAAAGGCAGCACTTTCTGATTAGCCTGTAAAGAGGGTGAGTATGCTTCTAAAGCAAAAAAAACATACAAACTAAGCCTAAATGTGAAAATCAAAATTTGGCTCCGTCGACACGATTTTTGTACATGTGGATGTGTGGCCTATGTTTACGGAGGCAGTCCAGTAAATAGGCCACATTTATGGGGCTAGCTTGCGTGTACACAGGTTCTAGCAGGAATTCAGCGCCATGCACAATCGATTGATGATTACGTCATAACCTTGCGACACGTGTTTACCAAAGGCCTTGCTTTGTATGCATATTTAATCCGCCGTCACACCTACAATTGAGCATGACATGAATTGTATTTGGGAAGATATACAGGGTGAGTAAAAAAAAACGAAACCCAAATGTTGGGACCATTGTTATAGTGAAGTTCTGCAAGCACAACTTTAAAAATCTAGGATGTGAAAGCCCAATTCATAAGCTTTCTTTTAGTACAAGAATCATTCAAATCACTCATGTACTTTTCAAGTTACAGAGTTTTAAACACAACCGCCGTTTGAAGGTTCTGTCCACTGATCACAAAAAAAGTTCAGTGTTCTTTCAGCAAAACGAATACAAATCACATAAGGATATGTGTGTGATTCAGTGTGAATTGTTTTCGTTTTGCTGAAAGAACGCACACCTTTTTTTGTGATCCGTGTTTACCAAAGGCCTTGCTTTGTATGCATATTTAATCCGCCGTCACACCTACAATTGAGCATGACATGAATTGTATTTGGGAAGATATACAGGGTGAGTAAAAAAAAACGAAACCCAAATGTTGGGACCATTGTTATAGTGAAGTTCTGCAAGCACAACTTTAAAAATCTAGGATGTGAAAGCCCAATTCATAAGCTTTCTTTTAGTACAAGAATCATTCAAATCACTCATGTACTTTTCAAGTTACAGAGTTTTAAACACAACCGCCGTTTGAAGGTTCTGTCCACTGATCACAAAAAAAGTTCAGTGTTCTTTCAGCAAAACGAATACAAATCACATAAGGATATGTGTGTGATTCAGTGTGAATTGTTTTCGTTTTGCTGAAAGAACGCACACCTTTTTTTGTGATCCGTGGACAGAACTTTAAAACGGTGGTTGTGTTTAAAACTCCGTAACTTGAAAAGTCCATGAGTGATTTGAATGATTCTTGTACTAAAAAGAAAGCTTATGAATTGGGCTTTCATATCCTAGATTTTGAAAGTGCTACATGCAGAACTTCACTAAAACAATGGTCCCAACATTTGGGTTTCGTTCTTTTTTTGACTCACCCTGTATTGTTGAATTTCTACTCCTTAAATTTGTATGAAAACTTAACAATCTTTTTTTTTGGTTAGTCTTAATGAAAAGTGCATGATTATGTAATTATTTAAAATATTCCATGATTTTCTGGACATTAATGAGGGCGCTGTTGCTGTGAAACTGTGAACCCAAAAATGTGGTTATCATGAACAAGTTGTGAGAATCTGCTCATGAGCCTTCTGATAATACTGAATCAACAACGAATCACCAAATAAAAGAAACTTGATGATAACAAAATATCTTTAAAAAATCTGGCAAATGTGTAGCTGTAACACTTGAGTTTGCTGCCTGAAATGACATCACACTTCTGCTCATGATTGTGGAAATTCGCATTAGCCTGAAAATATACCAAAATGCCCTTTAAAATGGCAAAATGAAAATGTTAAATGAAACGAATTGGGATACAAAGGTACCTTTAGGACTGCACTATAAAGTTACATTACAAGCCCCTTAATCCGTAATCTCGTTTAGTTCTGTATTTGATTGCACAAGTTGAATTTTGAATCCACCTCAAATAATACCCCGATGACATTCATAAAAAAGTAAAGAGTTTCCGGTGCTAAAATAACATTGATTTCCTTTTATGTTTTGTTGTCTAACAAAGTTAGCTGTATTTGTAATTATCCTCAAAAGAGGTTGTTATTATAATCTTTCTTTCTTTATTTTTATGTTTTTTTACAAAATGCAGCTGAGATGACTAAACCAACCAACAAACGAAGGAAAAGGGGCAGTGTCCAAGATGAAGCTCGAAAGGAGACTAAGGGGGATGACGTCACCAACAGTGACACCGGCGACAACCCACCAGCCAAGAAGAAGAAAGTATGGCCCGCCAAATACAACAAAGGTCCCTTTATTTGCGCCTACTGCAGCAAGAAATTCCGAGGGCTTCTGGATCTGACGCGCCACGAGCGAACGCACACGAACGAGAAGCCGCTACTCTGTCCGGAGTGCGGCATGGGGTTCGCCGGCGACTCGAGTTTACGAGTTCATCTCATGATTCACCGAGACGATCGGCCATTCGCCTGCCCGACCTGCAAGGCGGCTTTCCGCAGCAAGCCCGCGCTGAGAGAGCACATGGTCGTCCACACGGACCTGCGTCCGCACGTCTGCAAGATCTGTGGCACTGGGCTGCGTCAGAGATCGTCGCTCAAGAAACACATGCGCATCCACACGGGCGAGCGGCCGCACAAGTGCGAGATATGCGACCGGGCGTTCAGTAAACTCGAAACCTGCCGGCTGCACCAGCAGCGCCACGCCGACCCCAACAGCCGGGTCAATCGGATCCCGAAGGAGCCCCGGAGGAATCGGAACAGGGTCAGAGGTGGCCGAAAGTTCCTACCTCAGAGGGTGAGATGGGAAATCACGCGGGATCTCTGCCGGCAGGTCGACAACTCGCAGACACCGGCAGCACCACTCACAAACCTACCGACTAACATGGTGTCCGTTACAACGCCTCTCAATATTAGTCCTTTGACAGAAGGCACTTCGATGACGTCAGGGTCAAATACTAACCACGTGACATCGAATACACCAGCCTCTACAGGTTCAACTGTACCGACTGGTGACACGCGTAACGGGTCCTTGACGCCCAGCGTTGTGCAGGCGGCAGCGAAAAGCACCAACGGCACAAATGTCGCCCTCAATGGCCCAACACTGTCGAATGTCCCCACAGCGCCGATACAGGGCACTCAAGTCTACGTGGCCCCTCCTTTCACAACGCACGCCACTTCCTCCCTTCCCGGTAGCATTATAACGTCTGATAACGTCACTCCAGTTGACTTCCATAAGACCGGCGGACGCATGCCTATCCAGACGCTTACCTCCGATTCGCCCGTCTTGGTCAATGCGCGGCAAGTGGTCACGTTCCAGTTCACGCCATTTATGGTCATTAAGACGCCATTCGGTGACCTCGGCAGTAACACTGCCAGCTCAGAGACTGCTTCATAACAAGACAATCTGCCTCTGTTCTAATCACGATATTTGTTTGTACCATTATGAAGTAACCAGTCACTCATTGCATTATGACCGCCATTTTGAACTAAAAGTGAGGCTGAAGGTCCACACACAGACTTATATTGGGTGCGTTCGTTTAGCTCACCCGGATCGATAGGGGACAGCCCCGTGCCGTTCGATTAGCTCTGACGTCATACTCGGGGCTCACCCAGGCCAGCCACCACAGACCCTGCTCGTGGAGCGGAGTCACTGGATGCGTTCGTTTAGCTCACCCGGGTCAACACTGGTAAGACGGGTCGTCAGCCATGAGGCCGGGCTAATCGAACACTTAACCGAGGGCCATTAAGATCCGATGCCCTGAGCCGTGGCCGTAGCCACTGACAAAAGATTTCCGCTGTCTGGCCGCCATATTTGTCCGTTTCTAGGGAATGAACAACGCATGCGTGACGTACTTCCACCACTGACTCTCGAACGCACCCAATGTATAAGGTAATCAGTCACCATTGATCTCCACTATACGTACAGTCGAGTCTCGGTAATACAAACTCGTTCGGACCTAGCCAAATTTTTTGTAATATCAGAATTTTGTATAAAGAGGAACATCAGTCCCATTCATTGTGTACATACATGCCCAGTCGGGACCAAGACCTTATTATAACCAGAATTTTGTATTAACAGAGTTTGTACTAACGAGAGTCGACTGTATTATGGAGATCAATGTCAGTCATTCATTGCACGGGACCGCCATATTGAAACTAAAAGCGAGGCTGAACGTCCATACAACAGACTTTTGTGAAGTTACACGTCACCACCGAGGATGTAACGCGTTCATTGTGCGAAATACCAAAGCGCGATTTGGAGCTTGTCCCATTAATTTAAAAAACTGTTTTTGGTTCTGACAATAGTGTTCTGGTGGCTGAGAGTGTATTCTGTATTATTTAGTTTAGTAACCCTGCTTATACCGTTCTTAAAGATACAAACAAGGATTTCCCTCTAACTGCGCCTCAGCGCAAAATGTCTTGCTTTTAATCAGCCGTGTTTTTCTTAATTAATCTCAGGGTCTTGGAATTCGTATTACATATTTTTCTTGTTGCAAAAAGTTATTAAAAATAGACATTTAACATTTTGAAGTGGTTTTATTGTATTTTTGTTGTTTTGATATGTTAATTAAAACTAATGTTTTTTTCTGCAGTATTAGTCAATCGAAGAAAAATAAAACGCGCTTTGAGGAACAGTTTCTGCTCTTTGTAAAGTGATTTACAAACGGGAAGATTTGACCGAAGTTCACGTGTCAGATAATTGTTTTGTTATTACTATTTTTATTATTACTTTTTTGTCTTTATTAGTTTATTTATAACCCAATCCACATACAGTGGAACGCCGCTATAACAAACAGATAACACAGAAATTGTTCGTAATGTCGATCGTTTGGTATTGCGATTTTAAGCTGCCGGTGCTCTGATACTCACTTTTCAATAAATAGCGCCCTTCAGAACTTCACCCTGTACGCCCTGGCAGTTTCTGAAAGACGACGTTGAACTCGTGCCTATTATGTTATTAGTAACACAGAAATGGGTAGGTTTCCCATCTATTTTTTGGAGAAATAATAGCTTATTCGCTCTACTGTTGTCAATTTGTCAACAGCAATCATTCGGTACGTTTTGTACGGTATAGCCGAATGTTCGGTATAGCGGTGTTCGGTATACAGTCGAACACCTTTATAACAAGGTCACTTGGGACTTGACAAATTACCTTGTTATAACAGGAACCTACAGTAACAGTATTGGAAAACAAAGGGAAACAAAGAAAACACGAATTCGTTGGCCCGCAGCTTCGTAATACAATGTGGAGTATAAGAGAAAAAAAGTGGAAATTCCAACGCAGAACTTGTTAGACCTTTGATAGTGCAGAGTTAGAGTGGCTCGTGTGCAATGATTCGAAGAAAAGAAAATTGAATGTGAAATAAAAAAGTGGAAATTCCCAACACGGAACTTATTGAGAGTTAAAGTGGCGGGTTTCCTATGAAAGAACTGGCGGAAATTGTGCAATAACTATTACTGGCCATATGGGTTATACATGTAGTATAAAGTACGCTTGTACAAAGTTGGATGTCGGCACTTCAGCATAAGATCAAGACAAGTAGTGTGTGGAGCTACGTGACATCAAACGAAGTTCACGGTGCTGTCATAGTACAGGAGAGATACAGGTAGGTAACGCTGTTTCCATGGTGCGCTCGCTTTGTTTGGCATTTGTTACTTTTAGGACCGTTTTATATCTAGGCCTATTTAGAAGAGCAGGTCCTTATTATCCAATAGCACAGTAGGCACTAGGCTTAGGGCCTACGAAAGATTCGGTGGCCTATGAAACTGAATTGAGGGCCTACGAAACAAACCACTGTGTGCCAAGATGATTCTAGGGCTACCAGTTTGGCCAGGCTTGCTTAGTACAGCTTTAACATCAACGTTCAACATGAAATGTGTGCTGGTGCCTCAGGGCGCCTGCATAGGGCCTTCGGAACACGTACTGGTGCCTATGGCTTATATAGGGAACACTTAATCCAGCCATAGATCCAGCCTTGTAGAAGGGGAAGTTTTACTCAGCCTCCGAGAACTTGGTTGCTCCGTAAAGGATCAGAGACCGCCGGCTCCCGCGACGTCCGTGGAAAAATGTCAGGGGTGTCTTCCACCGGTAATTGAGTTTTTTTCCACAGGAATGGCCGTCGAGTGTGCGCTTACTCGTTGATTGCCAGGCCGCCCTCTGTGTTGCCTTTTCAGTCTGCGAGTCAAGGCTAAATGGCATTCTATTATGTCTTTTATTAACTCACCTGACCACGCCTTATGAGGCCAAAATTTGTATTATAATACAGAGTTAACAAACCAAAAGTATATGATGTAACATGATCGGCATTGAACAAAACAAACATACACACAAAAAAAGTACGTGCGGTTATTTTGTTTTGTTACAAGCATTGCAAGATCGAATGTATATGTATCGCACTCCCTCAATGATACCGCGGCATTTCCTCATATTAGATACGAAACCGGAACAGATATATTGATTGCATGCATAGAATAAACATTTCCCCATGCACTCGATATAGTTGGTGCTGGTATATTCCTTCAGGAAACGTAAACTTGGATGGTAACCAGACTCCAATTGCCTGTGTGAGGTCAGTGTAGGTTAGCCAGTTGCCGGAAAGTCTAAATCCCTTGATAAATTCGATCTTGATTTCAAGTCGGTTTGGTCGAGTGGGTATACTGAGGCTTCAGTACACAGTGGTGAGTTGGTCCGGTATCGACGCCATGCGGCGCGCTAAACCGACAAAGTGGCCGATGGGCGGCTTGAAATGAAGTCCAGCATGACTGTAGATCTTGTTTCAGTTACTGTAGCATATCTAGCTGATGTATAGGGCACGTGTAACTCATCATCATCTGTGATTCATTCAACAGACATAGTGTCGGATCATTGTCGGCGAAATGAGAACAAAACAAACCCTTCCTATACAGGGTGAGTCAAAAAAGCGAAACCCAAATGTCGGGACCATTGTTTTAGTGAAGTTCTGCATGTAGCACTTTCCAAATCTATGAAAGCCCAATATATAAGTTTTCTTTTAGCACAGGAATCATTCAGATCACTCATGTACTTTTCAAGTTGCGGAATTTTAAACACAACCACCGGTTTAAAGTTCTGACCACGGATCACAAGAAGGTAGATGTTCTTTCAGCAAAACGAAACCAAAACACATAAGGATGTGTGTGAATTGTTTTTGCTGAAAGAACGCATACCTTTGTAAGCCTACAAGCTATCTATTTAGAATTCTGTATTGCTTCGGTTTGTTTTATTTGATTGTCATATTTTGCTTTTGTTTCCCGTGTGAAGGTTTCGAAATCGAGTCTATAGCAACCCCCGGCATCTTTCATCCAGTCATGGGGCAGTTCCTCCTGCTTGGCTCCGTTTGCCTCTTCCTCCCGTTCCTCGCCAGTGGTCACATGATCCACTATCGGTCAGCTGACCCGTCTGCCTCCTTGCTCAACAGCCAGGCGAGAGGGCCGACCACGTCTAACATAAGCGACATCTTCGTTGGAAGGTGTGAAGAGCACGTGCAGTGTCTGCAACAGGACCAGTGTAATACAAACACTACGTTGAGGTCAGTGTGCACATAGGCCTATTAGTGTTAATTAAACACTCTTCTGAGTGTTGCTGAAGTTGAGCTGATCAGAGCTAGGTTAGGCAAAGTAAAAAAAAAAAAACAAGTTTCTCGTCCCCGCCCGCTTCCTTTTTGGAGGCCGCCTGGATTTTTTTATTATTTTTTATTTTTGAAAAAATGTAGTAGAAAAACACCGCAAAAGTCTACAAATTCATCGGAAAATAAATACCAATACCAATACAACTCTAAATGACACTGTAAATATGTTCAGTTCTCTTGTCCAACTTGTCTTTCATCTTTAAAAGTGTCTTTGAACAGTGGAACACCAACGGTTGCAGGAAATTTTGAAAAGGCGGTCATCTTGAAAAAAAATAAAAAGCCCCGCTTCCTCCCTTTTTTTCAAAAACCCCGGACGAGAAACTATTTTTTTTTTACTCGGCCTTAGTTGAGAAGGAAAAGAAATGGTGCGCGTAGTACGAGACCCATTTATGCGTCTCGGCAAATTTAGCTGGTTACTATGAACTGTCGTGTTGGAATCACGATGTTCGAAACACATTTAATTCCCAGAGTGCCTGAATCGTTATTACGTTAAGCCGATTTAGCCGTTATTAGAATTTTGTTTATTGTCGTGTCTGCCTTGTTTTACTGTTACATATTATTTGTAGATTCTATATTATTATTAGTGTTGTTTGTCTTGTTTTGTCTTGTATTGTTAGGCACATCCACCACAAGCCTCGGCTTTTTGGGATGAATTGAATTGAATTGAATTGAAACCTCGTATTGTTTTCCGACCTTATTTTTCGGTGACATGTCTTCGGTAAAAATGAAATCCGACTCAGGATGTCTGCATAAGTAGATGTATTCATGATCACGACCCGGAAGTATATTCATAATTTTCCACAAATGCCTGGTACGTACAGGGTGAGTCAAAAAAAGCGGAACTCAAACCCCAACATTTATATTTCATATTTAAAAAAAATATGTGGCACCCAAAAAAAATTATGACTGGAAAGCCGATTTCATAAGGTACTTTTTGATTAAAAAATTACTGAAATTGGTCCATCCGTTCAGAAAATATCACCATTTAAACAAAATGACCCTAAAACCTGTCTCGTCCAAAAAAAGTGAATTCAAGAATCGTCGTCGCAATTGTCTTCAAACATCACCAGCGATAAAATCTCAGTTTTAACGTTAAAATATTCAACAGAATCCCTTTGAAGGCCCGTCCTTTAAAAAAAGTAGATTTTGTAAATCGTAATGTTTGCCTAACCTGGGTTGTTAATAAAGATATTGTGTACTACAGTTGGTGACAGTTGTTAAAACAAATATTCTGTGTCATTTTCTTTGTTGTTCCAAACAGTCAAAACATACAATGAATTGTTTTGGGGTTTTTTTTGGACGAGACAGGTTTTAGGGTCATTGTGTTTAAATGGCGATATTCTTTGAACGGATTGAGCTATTTTCAGTAATTTTTTTCATCTAAAAGTAGCTTATGAAATAGGCCTTCCAGTCATTATTATTTTTGGTGCTACATATTTTTTTTTAAATATGAAATATATTTTATGGGATTTGGGTTCCGCTTTTTTGACTCACCCTGTATATGCACTACAAAGCGAAAGTCAAAGACGGCTATTGAGCTAAAACGGAAAAAGAAACACACACTTACATTAAATGCCATATTTTTTTTGTAGAAGGGATGTGCAGATGACGTCATTGGAGCGCGTAAACAGTGCGTGTACTCACTGGCCTTGCGATTGCCAGTCACGTGACTGTACTTCCTCTCCCAAGAACCGAATTACGTTGAACTTTGTTGGGAAGAACACAAGGTCACGGAAATAAAAAGCAGTCTATGAAGGCAATTAAAAACGGGTCTTGCAATAAAAGTATACCGACCTCTAAATTGCTGTGCTCAAGTGCGCATGCGTGCGTGAGCCAGCATTTTTTTCTAGACAGTTCTGTCAAGCACTTCCTTCAGCATTACTATAATTCCAGTAAATGTACTCTTACGGGACTATTTTTTTTTCGTCATAAATTATTCCTTAGCAAGACAAGGTAGATTAAAGACGGTCTCTTGTGGAGGTTTTTTGGTTTGTAATGCAGTCGGACGCATTAGCCTCGTGTAAGGACACACATGCAGGCCTTACACTATAAACCACTGTTTTATCAATCAACAGTCGGATCAGATAATTGACCACAAAGACCGTTTCAATGTCTCCCTCATGTCACAACTCCTATTTAGAGGCAATATTCCTCCGCCAAGGAGGTTATGTTTTCACCAGCGTTGGTTTATGTGTTGGTTGGTGGTTAGTGTGTTATTGTCTGACTCAAAAAGTTCTAGACGGACGCAACTTTGATGTAAAAATATGGACGACGCACGGGCTGTCGTGTTGTGTAGACGTACGCCTAAAGGCTATGCATTCTCGGTATCACTATACTTTGTGGGAGACACTGCTCTGGTTTAATCAAACTAAATTTTGGTCGATTGTCGACTTTGTTATATTACCCGGGTCACTTGCAGAATGTTCACTTTTGACCCGGATCTGTAATCAGCCGAAAGGTTTCCTTATCCTTATGTAAATGTGATATTTTAGCGGACTTGGTTGCTTGTTTGAGCTGACACCAAGGACAGAAGTCCGGATGACAGTAGACCTTTTAGCCCACATCAACCGAGGATCAGCACACTTCCTGTATGCTCCGTTAAGCGTTTCTGTGGAGTTTTAAAAGATAAATAATAAAAGTAAACCAAAACAACAACGCACAAACATACAGCTTCGCCTTACACACCTACTGTGGACGTTCCTATGTATTTTGATACATGTAGTTCAGAAAAACAGGATATACTTTTACTCCCACTATGAACACTCTTCCAACCCAAATTATCATGATTTCCTTGAGTGTTCCTCTTCATTTCGCGACCGATACTAACCCAAAAATGCCTCTAAACTTTTTTCCAGAGAAAGGGAAACCTAGTGTGGACGTGTGCAAGTCCACAAAGCGTCCACGCTTTCTGCATCCAGTGGACCTCTTTTGTTCACAGGTCCACAAAGAGTAGGCCTATTTAACACACACAAATTTAGCAACACAACACCTTCGAGTGTTGACCCACATTGTCCCTCTTTTGTTCGTACCATCTTTTTAGGAAAACCTCCCATATGTTTTGTACACGATCGACAAGTGTGGACCTTCGGGAATTGTGGACCCTATTGTCCTCTGTTGTTCTACGTCCCCTATTGAATGCAAGACCAAACACACCCACTAACACATGTTTGTTCATGGTGTAAATCGAAGATTCCCTATTGTTCCTCATCATCGATCTTTTGTTCATCCTTTTTTTTGCAACAGCTCACATAGGTTTTGTACACGTTTTCTAATCGAGGACGTCCTCGATTTGACTCCTGTCCTCAATGACACAAGGATGTTTCACATGTGTGTCCTCGATTGCACACGCACAGGTTTTCATTGTGGTCTTAAAAATGAAACTGTCACAATGTTCATGTGGATAAAGTCAAATAATCATCATTTTTTTACAGTAGGGAAAACAGCTGGTTAAGGTCTTGGTTTACATTTTGTAACTATCGTCTTGTTCCTACACTCTGTCTAGGGGTACATGTGATCAGCTATGGGGGACTTTCGTGGATGCGTTTGCCTACAAGGATCCATGCCAGGCCGGTAACGATGACTACGATGCCGTCATAGCTGCAGCAATGCCTCACGCGAACAAAGACGAGGTGACGTTACTATCATAACGAGGCTTAAATACTACACGGGTCTACTCCTATGAAAAAAAATCAAATCTAAAAAAAATGAAGGCGGACTGACGTTGCAATCTTGACAAGATCTTCAGAGGCAAAATGACAGAGATAGAAGAATAAACGTATAGGGACTCACAGGCATGCAGGTTTGGGAAGAGAAACACAAAAGAGGTGTTAATTATGGGGAAGGACCATTTTGGGTGAAGATCAAAGGGAAAGGACTAGCAGAAGAACAAACTAAGGACGGATTAAATAGGGGACAGACAAAGTGGGATTAAGTGGGTATGGGGCGCCCCCAGTGTGAGTGAATAGAAAGGAGTGGATGGACGAGCACATAAAAAGTACCGAACGCCTTTTTACTTTATCTATATACTTTCTTTGCAGTCATTGTTTTGGTCTGGTCTCCCGAAACTGGCCCTGAATAACGGTAGGGTCACCGGCAGGTACACCATTCTAGAGGAAACACTTCCGGGTTATATCGCCAATGGCCTGACCTGGTGTGGTCAGACGGGTGCTCCTGGGATCAACTACAACACCCCGTGTCCTTCAGCTTACAGTTCAGGCTGCGCTAATGAAACCATGTATACGTTCTGGAGGGCTGCTTCTAGAGCTGTAAGTTGTTGTTTTATTAGCAGGTCCCAGAGGGCCAGCTAGCCTGGTATCTTTTGGTATCATGTTGTTTCACCTAGCATGCAACAGTCGTTGAGTAGTTCCAACAAACAAGATGTAGCCCCTACTTGAGATTTCTTTCTCTCTTTGACTTTAGTTTGCTCGGCAAGCAACAGGGACAATCTCTGTGGCTCTGGACGGCAGCAGAACAAACCCCCCCGCCTTCAGAAACACCAGGTAAATGCAATAAATACATGAAACAGTTACGTAAGTTGCGCCTGCGCACTGATATTAACGTTGGAGCGCCTCCAGTCACGTGACCCTGGCTCCCTGTTATGTATTATGATGCGCACGGCTATGGTATCCAGCGACATGAATCATTTTCTCCAAGTGCTCACAGATTTTTCGAACTGTTTGGCCACTTTTATTGGCATTAGGCCTACGTCATATTCGCGCATGCGCGATTGCATGAAGACAATCACATGATAGCATCCAGCATCGATTTTTCTTCTCAAACCTATTGTCTACAATTTTAAATTTGAAGTCACGTTTTATGATCAATGTTAGTCATCTTATTATTAACGCACTGATGATATCTCTCTTTTTTTTAACACAGTACATTTGCTACGAATGAACTTCCCAATCTGAACACTGCTGCTGTAACACACGTCAATATCCTTCTGGTGTACGACATCAGTGTAAAAGGCGACAACAGGAGGTATGTCTTGACGAAGATAAAAATCGGCACAAGTCCATCTCGGTCAAGGATATATCAAGAATGATTATGTCATATATGTTAAATTGGCCAATCCGTTTTCAAAATTACGGTGCCGATGTCATATGAAAATCGGACTCGTATGAAAATCGGACTCTTTTTCCCTTTTATTGGTTAAACCCTCTCACGTGACCGGTCCCTCTCCGGACCCTATGTGACCGTTCCCTTTGTACTATGTACACACAGTGGCCGCGCTACGCGTCCGCGGCAAAATATTGCAGTCAGGCAAGATGGCGTCGGTCGGTCACCCCCAACTGTGCTTTCTGTGCCGGTGAGGGAGTTTTCTACCTCGCAAGGTCATGAGGCAAATATCTATCCTGTTTGATTTCTTTCGCCTCTTGAGGCAAAAAACAACAACTCACCCGGTCAACCCGAGCTACTACGTGCTGAGAAAACGGCCTCGAAGACTTTTTGCTCAGCACGTCCGTAGCTCTCGTGTGCGGTGGGCTTTACCTATCAATGTCAAGACCAAGTTTCATGAACAATGGACAAAAGCGAAAATGATTAACCTAAATCTTAAATCTAAAAACTTATTGTTTCCCTGTTGATGTCACTGTTATTAGGGTCCTGACTCTGATTTCTCTTCTTCTTCTTTTTGTCAGGGCGCTGTGTGATAAAGGCAGCATCAAAGATTTGCAGACGCTACTCACCGATAGAGGTTTCACTTACACTTGTATAGAAGGTCCGCGGTAAGTTAACAAAGAAAAGAACAAGCGCGAGTGCACAATGAGCTCAGGCCTGGTTCCGGAACTTGCCTCACTTCAAATGCAAAATAGACGCGCATGCGCATCGATCGAGACAAAGGTGCGTGTTCCGAATACATTCGCCAAAAGTGCATTTACTGACGAAGCATTGCATCTGGTCAATGTTTGGTCAATCGGTAGTTATATTTTATGGGAAACGTAGGGGGTCCGTTTTTGGTTAATTTTCCGGGGACAGACCTATCGACCGACCGACGGACCAAGCCTAAAGTAAAGGTGGTCCAGCGTGCACAAAAGTATATTCAATTGATTCATAATCGATATCAACTGGAAATCTTTTCATGCATGTGGTCTACGCAATGGGATGGATTTAGCCCATTCATTATTATTACGGGATATTCCTATACAATAGCACTGCCCGGCTCACAAGTGACAGTCATTCAGTGAGCCAGTCAGTAAGATATATATGTGCGGGCTCAAGGCTTGTCTTCTAGGACCTGTACGGGTGTAACTTGAACGGATGACATGTGCCGCAGCAATGTAAAACAAAAAAAGATCAATAGCAATTTTCTTGTAAGAAAAACAATAACTATGGCTTGCATATTTGACCTGGAACCGAAATTCTTGGTGAACTACATTATTTCCACTCAGTGACTCAGTCATATGTGAGTCCGCAAGTCAGTCAGTCGGAGGACAATGGGATTGTAAACCAAGATTAAAATGCAAGTCTAGCCAGCCCACATTCACTTTTCACGTTATCGCCACGTACCAAACAAACACTGACCACAGGACACAAATGATCACCATGCAGATACTGAGGAAGTTTACAGTGTAGATCCTATTCAGGGTGCCCGGATCCGCAACCCGGATGCACTTCCCGGATTTTTTTAAGTCAGGATTCTCTCACGTTTCCCATCTTCTCTACTTTGTTCCGTTTGACACATTGCAGTGGTTTCAAGTTCCTACAGTGTGCAGGAGACCCGGACAACGCTCGATGCGTCGAAGCGTGTAGCTTCGCCGTGATACCGAATGCCAGTATTGCATTGGTCCTGGCAGCGAGTCTGTTGATTAAACTGGTGACTGGAGTAAGAAACTAGTTTGTGGACGGAGGCCTTTCTTGCCCACTGATGGTTGATTTTGTTTGAAATTATTTTGCAACGATTTAGTCTTGAATTAGAATGAAATTCTGTAGTTATTAGAATGAATCGCCGAACTCACTACATTTCTAGTGATTAACAAAAACCTTAATTCTACCAAATCAGATCGCCATGATCGACCTGAAATTGGGTGTATTTTTTTAAACATAGCGCCCTCTCTTGAACAGAAACTTATCAGTTTGAGTTGAAGTTTCACGTTGTTAATGTTGCAAGACTTTGCTGGGTTTTTTAAAATTGGAACTATGTTGCACGACTTGTCTGTTTTGAATAGAAATGTACCAAACTGTTTTTACTGCAAAGTTAATAATTTGTATCTCTGTATAGTTTGTGTTCTATTCTTAAACAGTAAACATTTTGTATGATATTTTGTATGGGGAGGGGGGAGTAGTTTACCTATAAATAGATAGTCGAGGCCGAGAACCACATTAGCATACTACATGTGTAGACGTTTGCAACTACATGTAGTTGCCAATATAGGGGTAGAGGTAGTAAAGATTAGAACAGTATAGTATGACATTTTACACCGAATATATATTTTATTCAGAATATGGTTATTTTGTTTGAATAAAAGAATAGCCTTGAAGAGGCCAAACAGCCGTACTTTTATTTACTGCAACATGCGTCACAAAAGGTTTTTACGTAACATTTACCAACACATTGAAGGCAAACAGTGAAATAATCTCAACAGACTTTCACACTCCCATTAGACATTCAAGGAACAAAAGGAATTTTCACAAATTGAAGAGAATTAACTATGCAAAGCTAAGAAGTATTTTACATTCATAATACCTGAGACAGTTTACTCAGTCATTCCTATTGGTCGAGAGCACGTCACGTGGCCGGTCTTTCACGGTTGATAAAACACCGGCTAACTGGTCTTGAACACTTTTCCAGTATCAAATGAACTGGAACTTTTACTTTTGTACTGGTTGAACGTTCACAATCCTCGGCTAGGCATGCGCAATACTACCAATGGGTCCGTATTTCATTGTCCTAAATTCACACGACACTGGCACAGCTGTGTTCTGCGCCACTTCGCACAGTACGCGCAACGTGCGCGCAAATAAGGAGTTGTTTACGACTACTCGCGAGAGGCACATACCACAACATAGCTAGAGGGTTGTTTAAATAAACATGAAGTCAACTTATTGAACAAAATCGTTTTGTTTTGACTGCTTGACCGAAAAGGTATTTATGAATCGGAATAAATATATGCTCGACTCGGATCATTATCAGCTCCAAACCGGTCTTAAAAATAGTGTTTAAAACCGGTCAAGCACATATTTATAGTCCCTTATAATAGCACTTTACAGTCGACTACCCCATCATCACTACTTCATATATGTTAAGAAGTTCATTCCTTGTTAATACACGACTTCCTTTACTAATTAATACAAGTTAGTTGTTTGCTTTAACATTTCGTACACTTTCGTACACTTAAACTTTCATTAAAAGGTGCGAAACGCCCGATGATAATGATGTGCATGGTTGAAATATCACATTTATTTAAAGCAATTTCACAAATGTATACTTAAATCTAAAACTAAAAATTAAAAAGTGTACGTATAGATGTGCTTACATTTATTGTAGAACATCTTAACTTGCGTCAATATAATCTTCGGGACACAATCATGTCTGTTTGTGCCACCCAACATGGCGTCATTATACAGCGCCTCCATTTTGATCAAAATTTCGGCTTTTTCACTCTACATCGGTTCGTAATAGCAATAGTGAATGATATGATTGATGCCGCCAGTGTCGTAGGGATGACTTCCGTGGACTTCGTTTGTGTTGCCAATGTCTTCGTCATCCCACTTGAACCATTCTTGAGACACATTCAGACCCCGTACCTCTTGGCACTGGGCGGTGAAAGCGAAGAGATAGAACGGGGAGTGAGTCGGTAGAGCGATGGGTCGGCTCGGGTCGCCGTCGGTCATGCAGCAGTACTCCACGCGGGTGTTTTTGTTGTACTCCCCCGATGGTACGGTCCCACCGACTTTGTTTGCGTTCCCGGTGTCTTGATCGTCCCATTTGATGTATCCAGAGGACATATCTGCACAAAAAAGTGCCACCAAAATTTAATGCGGAATTTTGTCAATCAGTTATTGGAATGAGGGCAAGTCACTAGAAAGTCGTGGTTTTTTTTCTGGCAGCGCCTGCAATACTAGCTCGGCGCAGTGTGTCGTATTATCATGGCTGGGTTCGACGGTTATTGGAATCGACGTACACGCATTTTGGGGTAGAGGATGCACAAACCGTCCCCGCATGTAAGTGCGTCACGCTTTGTTTACATGTGCATTTCCTATGGGAGCCACGTATGGACACCAGCCAATATATATATATAGTCCCCACCTGGCTCCCATGGGAAAGTGCACATGTAAACAGAGCGTGACGTCATTATGTCTTAAGTCCAGTACCGACTTGATTTCTAGTCTATCAGTACCTTATACACACCCACAACGTTTACACACCTTTTGGGCAGACGTCATCAAATTTGAATATGCAGTACTGCCCACGTGGCCAATGGGCATCGCCGTTGCTGACACGCCCCACTGTCTTCATGCAGAAGTTCTGCTGCATGTCGTTGTTTGCGTACGGGCCTTGGAGGTGGAGATTCTCCGACCATTCGTTACTGGGACCAAGGCTGTTCTCCGTGTCGTGAAAGCGGAAACCAGTCTCCCAGGTAAAACCTCCATTGGTCGGGCAACCAGCGATGGGCATTGGTAAACCGTAGGTACCCAACGGCCAGCTGAGTTTTGCTGGGAAAAACAACAACAACAACGTAGTATTTTATATGGCGAAGTTACAGTTGCCTAAAATGACCTAGAACATTGAAGCTTTATACTGTGGTTTGTGATGTCCATTTTACGTGATAAACAAGTTGTAATCACAAGTCAAATCACACAGATTAATCGCGTGTCAGTTCAGTTGAAAAAACCCCAGCAGATTTATGATGGCAAGCAGTAGTGGATATAAGGGGGCGTTCGGGGTTGCCACCCCCTTGTTCAGACGCTGTTAAAATGTATACTAGCAAAATGGGGCCAAATGATACAATTTGGCTAAAAGTTCATAGCCTTAGAATGGGGGAGGGAGCATTCCCCGGACCCCCTATAGCGGTGGCACGCCTTCACTGAGTTCACTCAAATATCAACCCCATCCCCCTCCGTGCATGCGTTTCCTGAAAGTTAGACCCGCCCCTGGCAAAGGGACATACGCCTCTGTTACTGGATGTGCAGTGAGTTTGCGATGACTTGTGACATGACGTGTGATAAATTTGGTTCTCTGCGGTTAGTGGGCGTTCCATTAGGCCTAGAGCCTAGGGGATTGGTCAGTATCAAAATGAGGGGAATGTTGCTCATTGTTATTTTTTAGGCAAGGTATGCACCCTTGTAGCCTTGTCTGTGCTATCACTGTTTATAAACAAAAATACCGACCAAAACCTGCTTGTTACCACATATAATTAACTCGATAACAAGCATATTGGCGGCCATTTTTGAAAAAGAATTGTAAGGCCAAAACAAAAAAGTCTCCGGTTTCTGGTATGCGCGCGCGTCGCCGTAGCCATGCGCGTCGGCAAAATGAAAAAGTTTTTTTTTCAATGAAAGATGATGTCTCAAAACCGCCAAACTCACTGGTTTGACAGGAATCCTGCTGCTGCACAAATTTAACGTGTTTTTAGATTAGGTTATGGTCGAGAATAAGCTTTATGTGACCTCTCTGGACTCCCATATATTTGTACTAAGTTTAGTCGGGCACCATTTGCAGTCATCAGCACACATTTGAAGCAAAAAAATCAGGTAAAAACAAAAAAAGCCGCGTCACCGCACCACTTTTTGGGCAAGCTCCATACCAGAAACCGGAGACTTTTTTTTTCGCCTAAAAGTGATACCACTCAAAAATCTGCCACCGCTCACACTACACAGTTATCACACATTTTCCAATTCTGATGTGTATACCTTGCCAAAAATTGCTATGAGTATTGCTCCTATCGATCATTTGATACCGGTGGCCCAATATTTGGACCGAAGCTGATAGCCTACATATTGAAAAGCTGATAACAAGGACACACCATCTTGAAGCATTAAAGATTATGCATAAACGCAGTTTCTTTTCATGAAAAGATTAAAAGTACCACGCAGCGGTTCGCAAAATAATTCAACTGAAAATTTAATGTTGAGAGCTCTCTCACACTCGGTGATTGTATCCATGACAACCTTCCATCCACGTGGTTCTTAAAAGGATCTGTCAAATCATGACATTTTGATTGCTCAGTTACTAGGCAACCAGAGCAGGAATAATATCCGTATATTGATTATGGACTTACCTTACCTAGAGTGAAGCAAATAATGACGTGGGACATTTTGAAAGCAGACTAGTAAAAATCCAACTGGCCATTTTTCTGGTACTATTAGGGTTTTAGAAGAAAGACGTTTTACAGGCGGTGGTAAATCTCCCGCCATTTTGCTTAGTTCTCCCTCTAAAGAATTAGTTTCATCAAATTGAAATTCCACATTCGTAAATCCTCTACTTACTAAAAATAAATGGCAGTAGCGAATGTTTGGTGACGTCACATGAGGTTCCCCCCATACAAACAGTAGTGAAGAGGGGATATTTGTACAGTATTAGGTAATAGTGTGCATGATTGTAGGCTTTTATCAGCACTCCACATTGAAAATATGATACGAGCCCCCTTCCCCCCTCCCCCAATTGAATTTCGGAGGCCTAAGTATCCGGAGAAAAAAAAACCCGGTCAAGCACGCCTCCCTGCAAAAATGTCTGGATCCACCCCGCTACATTCCCGGCCAAAATGGTTGGGACACTTCCTGAGCCTGCCACGGTCACCCACTCCCCCGCTCCCCCGGTCAATGTTGTTCTCTCCAGCAATAAGAGACAACATTGAGTGGGGGCCGGGGGGGGGGGCAGCGAGATTTGGCCAAGATTGTAGCCCCCCCCCCCCCCTCCTAAAATATAGGCTCTAGAACTGCGCCTGCCACCTACCTCTCTTTTCCTTTGGACAAATTGTTCCAGATTTCAACGCCTGATCACTGCCACGACCAACACACTGTGAAAAATTGAAAACGAGAAATGATCGTAAAAAAATTACCTACCGAGCCATTTCGAAAACCTTGACTCAAAAATCTGACATGTTTTTTTCATTTCATTTCATCATGGTTTATCAACAAATCACGAATAGCAGCCACAGCTGAATTGCACGTGATTTACATAAAAAACTACGTTTTTAAAAGGTAATACCGTGTTTATTTATAATAAAAAAATATGACATTAGATATATAGATATAAAAACATTCACATGCTTTTAACAAAACCAATTTAGTCATTTACCATTCAATTTCAAAGTTTTGTCACCCTTTTTAGTCACCGGGTCAAGAATATTCGTCATTACAGATCAAATCTGTCTAATAAGCTGTTGCCGAATGGCAGCATTCAGAGATCAAATTCGTCTTATATAATTCAATTAGACGACTTTAATTTCGGAATAACACGATTCGGCGTAGACGAGACGAAATTGAATACACCGGATCGAAAAAGTGTGCTCATTGTTTGGGTTTGTTTGCACTAAATTTGAAGTTGTCTGACAACAGACGAAATTATACATTGAAAGTGCACTAAATCGATGTTGCTGGACGAAATTTTGAAAAGGGAGCATTCTTCAGAAACACACTCTTGGAAAAAATGGTCCGGTAAACTTATTCTTTATGATGGGACTTGCGGTTTTGCCGAAGTCAATTGAGCGTGATCGGCTGACTGATAAGGTTTACGCACAAACCCCTCGGCCAGTGAGGAGTTGCATAGAAAGCTGGCCGAACCACTTTTTGTGAGAGTATGCCGGTAATGTTAAATTACGGAAAGACGTATAACAGACATTCAAAAAGGTTGCAGGTAAAAATCATTTATAGTTTCATTTAGGATAAGAATTATACAAATGTTAACAGATAGGGAATGAGTTTTAAAATTGTACAAGATGTGTGGCAGTCAAATTTATCTTACTTGAAATAATGAAATGTAGTATTAAAATTACGTTAAAACTTGTAAAATAAAAAGGTTACAGGCACAAAATCATTTCATTTCATTTTATTTAGGAGTAGATTGATTGACACTTAAGTTCTGGGACTTTATTCGAATGTCTTAGTGTTCGTTTCATTTTTGAAGGAGAAGGGATGAAATCCTTAACTTAGTTTGTTTCGATTTTCTTTCGATGAATGATGTGCATAGAAATTCTCTTCTTTGTTTCAAGCGGGGAACCGAGCTCGCATAGCATCTCAGAATAACAGGGCCTTGTAACGTAATGTCTGTAAACGTTATACATTGTATAGATTTTACCTGACTGTGACTGTGGGCGTACACGAAGCCACGCTTGAGGGTGAGGCATTCCGGGGCGTCGTAATGGGTGACGTTGTTCAACTCGCACTGGCTACTCCCGGTCGCGTAGTTACACGAAACGCAGTGCGGCTGAAGCTCGCACGCGTCCCAACACGACTTGTGCGTTTTGGTGGCGGCGATGTTGTTGAACGCGTGCCCTGTTAAGCTGTAACCAACGATGACACACCATGGCGCAGTCGGAGGGGGCACACGTTCAGGGCGGACAGGCCTGGCTCCGCCCGTGTCTTTACTTTGATGGCCTCTAACTACAGGGTGATTAAAAAAACACGAAACCCAAATGTCGGGACTATTGTTTTAGTGAAGTTCTGCATGTAGCATTCTCAAAATCTAGGATATAACAGCCCAATTCATAAGCTTTCTTTTAGTACAAGAATCAGTCATATCACTTATGTACTTTTCAAGTTACGGAATTTTAAACACAACCACCGTTTTAAAGTTCTGTCTACGGATCACACAATAGGTGTGCGTTCTTTCAGCAAAACAATTCACCATGCGACATATCCCTATGTGATCTGTTTTCGTTTTGCTGATAGAACACTTACCTTTTTTGTGATCCGTGGACAGAACTCTAAAGCAATGGTTGCGTTTAAAAGTCCGTAACTTGAAAAGTACATAAGTGATTTGAATGATTTTTATACTAAAAGAAAGCTTATTAATTGAGCTTTCATATCCTAGATTTTGAAAGTACTTCATTCAGAACTTCACTAAAACAATGGTCCCAATATTTGGGTTCCGTTTTTTTTACTCACCCTGCAGTGTTGTAATCGCAAGAATGAGCAGCGGCCCAGATACTTTACGAGACATGGCGAGCAACTCCCCCGCCATGTTGCAGAGACACCGGCTGTGGGCAAAATGACGTCTGTCTGTGACGGCCGTAAGCTTGAACAAGACAATCAAGAGCTCAGAAAATAAACGCGACCGTGGCCTAAAATTTAAGCCACAATAGGGATTGAATGTGTTTACTCCGCTGTTATGGAAACCGAGCTGCTTCTGACGTGTAGCTGGCAAATAAAGAATGAACCCACCAAAGAGGAAACCGTGGCGCAAATTTGCTAGGAATTGATGATCTCACAACTGCAGTCACAGACCACAATCGTGTAGGGTTGGCACTGATTGGATAAAAAAAAGGATGCCCAATAGGTTTATGGAGGACGCCCACTTTTTCTAGTCGACTCCGTGAGATCGCGCAAGGCATGATGGGAAACCACATGGCGCAGCAATATCTCGTACCCATGGGAACGAGGTTGATAATTACCTTATTCACGAGGAAGCCATTTTTAATCGTGTTCCCTGAATATATATTATAAATTGTAACTGTTGAATGGGATGGTGCCAGACTATTTTATGTTTGAAATGCACTTTTATTTCATTGCTTTCATTTCTACTCGCAACTTCCCAAAATGAAGCGTTTGCCTCGCTTTCAATTCAAAATGGCCGACTAGTGAATAAAGTCTATTACTTAGCTCGCAAAAGATATTGGAGTATGGAACACCATATGAATAGTACCATGCGAATAACACTAGTGCACTTTTGTGTCATTTATGTCATTTGTAGGTATCTGTTTCGTAGATATCTGTTCATTCTATCATCTTCATAAAATATGTCTATAATTTCAATAGACTTTACTTGTGACAGATTGAAACCACTGTTTCCGACTGGATAGCGCTTCGACCTACGCGTGTGCACATACCGCGTCGCCCCAATAAACTCATAGCACCCAAAAAGCTGCCACCGCTGCAATGCTTTTACATATTTTCCAACTACAGGGGTGAATACCTTGGACAAAATCACAATGAGCATTATTCCCCTCATTTGATACCGACCAAACCCCCAGGCTGTTGAAAATTGAAAATAATATTAAATTGAACATAAAAGTGCATTTTCAAGGATCGCATTAATAAATTACATTGTACGGCTCTTTAAGTAATGGTTGAAACATTGAAGTTTCTGCCTGAAATGAAATCATACTTTTGCTCATGAATATGGAAATTCGTAGTAGCATGACACCAAAAAGGCACCAAAATACCCTTCAAAATAGCAACACGACAATTGAAAATAAGGTCAAATTGGACACAAAGGTGCATTCTCAAAGGATTTGACTTGACCTTCGATCGACTAGAGGAGTTTAAATAAGGGACTGTTTCATTTTCCCTTCGTCTCCAACTTAACTCTTATCAAAATAACCTTGAGTTGTTTGTGCTGTAACAGCTTGACACGTACAAAACGCACCGCATATCGTATGCCTGACCAAATCTGAAAATTGGTAAATTAGTAGGGCGAGGGGGCCAATAATTAAATTGGTTTTCTGTCTAACTGATGTTCATTGTTCACCGCGGCTGGTTCCGTTGCGGCGAATTCGAATCAGCGTCAATGGTTTCCATAGAAACGCGCTATTATTGATACGCCTTGCTAGCATTTCGACGCTGGGAGTTGTGTGTTGTGGAAGGGATTTCATTCGTACTGAACCGGCCAAGACAGCAGCATGCCTTTCGGATTATTGATAATGTTTGGCTGGAATATTTGGTTTAATCCTTCAGTCCTGCTGATCGCTTCACTGTCCGGGATCAAGGCCAGTCGTGGTTTAGGCGGAGTGACCACTTCGCTGGAATGCGAGTCGATCTCGGGCTGGTGCAGCGTCGTCGACTTCGCCATGACGGGGCGCGTTTACCGCAGCACGCTGGCCAGCTCGCACCGGCTCTGCTGGGGCGCGTGTGAGGTCCAACCACGCTGCCTCTCGGCGAACTACGCCCTGCAGAACGGCACGTGTGAACTCCTCGATGCTGCTTACTACGATCATTCGGATGACATCAGGGAAAGGCGTGGCTGGGTGCTCTCCTACTCTCGAAATAACGTGAGTTGTTTTGTTTTCTTAATCTTAAGATGATTTTTTTTTCAATGGAAAAAAACTTTCTATACGCCCTAGATGACAACTTAGACTGCAATGACGAATTGAACCATGGGCGTCGCGAGGGTGGGTGGGGGGGGGGGGGGGGGGGGGGCAAGGGTGGGTGCTTAAAAAAACACAGCCGGGGGGGGGGGCAAGGGGACGCTTCCCTCCCCCGGAAAAGCAGCACCCCCACCCCCCAAAAAAGAGGGGGGAAAAGACGAGGTGCGAAGACATATTGCTGTTAATTTAACGCACATTACAACATGTGCGTCCGCGGGGGTCGTCAATATGGGTGGGGCGGGCAAATGCCCCCCCCCCCCCGCCACCCTCAAAAAATTCTAAATTGAGAACATGCTACAGAAAGTACAAGAATTTTAGGAAATAATATGATTTGCCCCCTCCAGAAAAAAATCCTGGCGACGCCCATGAATGGAATTATACAAGGCAATTCTCTTGCATTGACGAAAGCCGATTTTTTTTTCCACCAACAATAATGAATACTGCACATTTGGCGTTGCGATAAAATATATTATTTAATAAAAAAAATAAAACCGGTAAATGATGAAAAACAAATGTGACTGAGCTGATAATATTGCCACTTGCCATTTTGCAGTACAGTGGGGAAAAGCCAAAGTTTGAAGGGGTGATAAATTTGTCTTGTTTTCCGGTGTAGTAATCCGTAAACATTCATTCACTGTACACACCTATAGGATTTTTTAAGCGTTCATTCACTTGTCACACACCTGTAGGATTTCAAATGCGATTTTCTCGCGAATCAGTTTTACAACTTCAAGTGAGTCGGTGGTCTATATTTCAGATACCGAAATCAGCGTCCCTTAATGTTCTATACCTCTTGTTCGGCAGGATCCAGACGTATTAATATCTCAATTCTGTAAAAGAAAACCCGACTTTAAGCTCTTTTTGTGGTGACAAGTCACAAATATGAATATATTACGAATCCAATCATCCGAACGAAGCAAATGTAGTCTTCAGTTTGAATTGGTGAGGGGGAATACAGGGTGAGTAAAAAAACCGAAACCCAAATGTCGGGACTATTGTTTTAGTGACGTTCTGCATGTAGATGTAGCACTTTCAAAATCTATGATATGAAAGCCCTTTTCAAGTTACGGAATTTTAAACACAACCACCGTTTTAAAGCTCTGTCCACGGATCACAAAAAAGGTGTGCGTTCTTTCAGCAAAACAAAAACCATTCACACACATCCCTATGTGATTTGTTTTCGTTTTGCTGAAAGAACACTTACCTTTTTGTGCTCAGTGAACAGAACCTTAAAACGGTGGTTGTGTTTAAAACTCCGTAACTTGAAAAGTACATGAGTGATTTGAATGATTCTTGTACTTAAAGAAAGGTTATGAATTGGGCGTTCATGTCCTAAATTTTAAAAGTGCCACATGACAAGAACTTTACTAAGACAATGGTCCCGACATTCGGGTTTCGTGTTTTTTTACTCACCCTGTATGTTCATAAAACTTATAGGATCGATTTGATTGCTTTCGATGGGAACTTTAAAAAGCACGTTATGTCCTCTATTAAAAGCAAAACCAATTACTGGAGAATGAAGATCATGAAAGGACAATTCGCAAAATGTTCCATTTCATGTTCACAGACTCTTGGGTGCGGACGACGGCCATTGCAATCGACTCATCAGGACAAAGAGTCAAGTGGTAAGTGTGGTTAATCGCAGTTTGGGAAATAAGTTCAATTTGAAGTTGAATCGTATATGAGGATAAAGAGATCGACTTCCGAAGACTACTTGATGTAATGCACCTTGTCAAGAATCCCCCACCCCTCCCTCCCCTGCCCCAGGTTTTATGTCAGGGTTTAGTCACTTTTCTCAATCCCAAGGGTGGGGATTTTGGTCTCATACGAACCCCCCCCCCTTTCCTGAAATTCAGATCCGCCCCTCAAACGTCGTGCCAATAACGTCAGCACCGTATAGGCTCTAAATAACACATCAAAAGAAATGCAAGATGCATGATGCCTGACAACAAAATATGACGCATAAAATGCATTAGCCACGGTTGCTGTGGTACCGGTATACCAACACAGAGCACCTCACACGTATTGAAGCTGATATTTTGCAACACTGAGTCGGTCAAAAGGAGGGATGGGAAGTATTGTCAAGTATCCTTGACTTTTGCAAGCTTGATTAGTTTTAATAAAGGCATAACGTTGGGGGAAATTGATTGCAGCTTCTTCGCCTGTTTCCCTTCATTATTATTAATATTATTATTATATATTTTTTTTTAATATTAATAATGAATACATTTCTAAAGGCCTGTCATGGCCGTGCGGGTAATTAACTGAAGCAAACTGCATCCCTTTAACCGTTTGTTTTACCTGCTATGGGCATCTTGCGTCCCTTAAACGTATGACCTTGGATGAAATTACTGAGATACAGCCAACCAGAAATGGCCAAAAAATAATAATAATAGAATAAAAACACTATAAGACTGAGACGCAAATTATGCAACTTTATAATGTCCTGCCGTTTAATTGCTTGTAGTGAAATCCCATGGTATCGAGCAGTGCGCTCTCAACCTCGTCCCCAGTGCTTACTTTATTTCCAACCTCGTTTTCAATAGTAAGCCCTGGATAGGAACCTTTCTTCCTGTATCCTGATTCGATATCGCAATTGGCTAGTAATGGATTTATATCGTGTAGTTGGTGTTGTTATTTCCAACGTACAGTACGTGTTTTCAAGTTAATTATAAAGTCTACGCCTTCTGAAAATATTCCTTTTCCTTTGCTCATATTAATATGAAATGTGACACTGCATATAGGCGGGATAAGATTGTTACATTTAAACTTGTGAAACAATCGTGTTTTCGGATCGACGAATTGATTTTGTTTTCACCCCAGACACACATACAAAACAAACGCTAATGTAACGCACAGGCATGGCACCAGACTATTCCTCATTTGCATACGTGGTGAAAATTGTGCACAATAATCCAATACCAGGGTGAGAGAGCAGGTAGGGGTGGGAGCATACATTGCTCGACACCCTGGGGACGAGGTTGGTATCCCCCCCCCCACTACCTACTCAAGTTTGCGTCACCCTCGTAGCCTCTGTACTGATGACGTCTCACTTTGTGCTTTCTAATTGGAGCATGGTGGTGACGACAGTTTCGTAGCCTAATCGAAAAGCGCACAAGTAAACAAAGTGTGGCGTTTTCGGCACGGAGGCTTTTTGGATCATTTGCATGTTCAAAAATCTTGCTTATGTATGCAAATTAGGGATAGTCTGATGCCTAGCTGTGCTTTAAATAAGTGTTTGTTTTTATATGCGGTGTCGGGGGTAAAAACAGAATCACGGGTTTTATTTAAGGTAAAATGTTACAATCTTATTCAAATAGGTAGTACCATTCAGCAAAATGGAAAAGGGTGATTGCATTAGAGGTGGAGTGGACGTAGTAATTCACATTGAACATTACGTAATACACGTTGTAAATAAAAACACAATATAAATCCATTACTTGATATTGATGTATCGAATCAGGACACAGGAAGCAAGTTTCCCACCAGGGGTTGGAACGAGGTTTGACATAAAGTAACCCCTTGGAACGAGGTTGTTAAAAACAAGTTTTGACGTCTCCTTTTTTTAAACAGTCAGGGCGCCCTCTTGTGGGAAAGGTCGAATTCTTCCCCTACGCCATAGACAATAACCTGGTCATGGGTAGATTTTGAAATGAACGAATCACTCATTTCAAATTTATTTGTTGACGACTTCTTTTCGCTCCTTTGAAAGTTCCAATTTTGTTCAATAAATGAAAGGTTACCTGAGCGTGTCTTCTGTGCTAATTTAGCGTAAGATATTATTCAGTCATGCCAGCAATGGAGTTGAATAATTGATTGCTCACTGGACTATACAATTATTTCACAATACCTTTAAATATAGTTACCTCCGTATAATGACGTCAACCGATAAAATGTACAAATTAATTTTAGTATCATTCATTGAAAAAAAACAGTCGGGTTATCTATTTACCAATTTTAGGTTTCCATTCCATATTCCATTAAAACAAAATGTCGCTTAAACATGAACTATTATGAAGTGCCCTGGCATTTTCCATCAGAATGTTTGTGAGTGCGAGAGTTTGAAGTAAAAAGTAAAATTAAGAATGAATGGGCGCATATTTTAAATTCTGTTATACTTTTTTGACCGTATGTTAGGTGATAGAATTGCCAAGCCATGCAGTACTATTTTCCAGTCGGAGACTCCGAGTTTGATAAGACATTTTTTGAAGTGAAATTTTATAGTAACCTACAAAAATGAAAACCACCGGTGTGATTTTAATGACTGAAGCATCGCCAGCATGTTTCCATTTCAAGCTAATTCAATTTTATACAAAGTTTACAATTACAATAATTTATGCGAGAAAATAACCGGCTATACAGCGCGTCCCAAAATACCCTCAACTTTTTTTGCGATGCTCTGGCGTCTTTGCGGAAACTCGTACCGCCATTATTTTTATACCATTTTTAAGCTGGAAATCTGAAATTTATCCCTGGCAAGTATTGATTTGATATTTTAAAGAGTTTTAAAATTATCCGTGTTCAAATAAAGGCATGTCGAAAACAAACTCAACCTATTTCAAGGAAAATCGATGATGCGGTAGGCCTATATATCGGTACATATATATAAAATGAATAATAGTGATTTGGGGACATACTTTTTGAAGGATTCTCTTTTGTTTTTAAGTTAAAATATAGACCAGTGTATGTGGTTTGGCCTTAGCAGGATTTCTGAATTCAATTTGGTCCGGCCTAGTAGCCTTAGAATATTATTGATTCTCCAGAGCGTCAGGCTGGCTTAGCGGTACTTTCCTCGCCTTCCACCGCTGTGACCCGGGTTCGAATCCCATCTTGTGGATAGGGTTTTCCGGGAGCCCCTGACCGTTTCCGTGGGTTTTCCCGTGAACATTCTTTGGGGTTTTGCTCCCACCTCGAAAACTGTAATTTCTTCTCATTGTCTTCTCTCTAAATAGTTTCCCCGGGATGCTTTGCCGACTACATGACACAGATACAGACAAAATGTATTTTTGTGTGGTTAATTAAATCAATTTCATTTCTTTCCTGTTCCTAGGTGCAGTGGGTTGGCCGTTGGGTACCTACGGTTTACCAATGCCCATCGCTGGTTGCCCGGCCAACGCCAGTTTTACCTGGCAGACTGGCTCCCGTTTTCACGATACAGAGAACAGCGAATCTAACAACGAGTGGTCGCCCGACATACACCTGAAGCAGCCGTATGAACGGAACGACATGATGCAACACTTTTGCATGAAGACCGTGAAACGTTCGGGCGCCAGTGATCGTAGCTGGCCCCCTGGCAAATACTGCGTGTTTCGGTACGGGACGACCTGCCCAGAAGGTTGGTCATATTTAATCGAAAATGACTAAAAACTAATTTTTTTATACCTTGGCACTTGATTTCGGGCGATTCACAATACTGTGCGCCACCAAGAGTTTGCCATGAATAGTCCATTTTTCAAGTTTACGGTCCGCGACAAAACATGAACACGACCCTTTTAATAACGAGTGAAGTAGACAACTTGAGCTAATTTATTATCATTGGGGCACAGCGTTCTGCTGCCTTCCAAAAACTCCATATCTCGATGAAAAGAAAAGAAACGGGCAAACATTTATTCGAATCATACGCTTACGAAACCACTGGCCGGAAAAAAAAGCTAACAATTTCAAATGTCCCGCGCTGCGAATTTCTCGACCCTCTCCCGCAATACACTGGCAAAAATGAACTCTCCGTTGCAAACTCTTGGTGGCGCACCGCATACAGCAGTTGTGTCCAACCCAACCTCGTCCCCAGGGTGTCGAGCAGTACGCGCCCACTACTACCTGCTCTCTCACTACTGGAAACGAGGTTGGAAATATGGTAAGCACTGGGGACGAGGTTGTGTCCAACCCTTTCATTTGTTCAGAATATGACGTATCTATCCGTGTTCCTCCTGACGTGATCCCATTTTCCTAAATCCAAATTAATGTATCAGATATAATGTAAAGATAACTTTGTTTATCTGGTGTATTTTCAGGAATGTCGAGCGGTTCTATATACTGGGATGACCAAGATGGGGGCACCAACCGCAAGAGCGGCACCCTCCCGTCGGGAACGTACCGTGACTCCGACACTCGTATCGATTACTGCTGTATGACAACCGGCGACCTATCCCAACCCATCGACCTCCCGTCCAGTGGGGGCTCATTCTATCTTTTCCCCGTCATGTCTGATATGCCCGACGTACAGTGCCAGCGGGTACACGGTATGATTTTTTCGGTGGAATGGTTCAAGTGGGACAACGAAGACCACCGTAGCACGTCGCCCCCGGACGGGGCACACCCGTACTACCAAAAAGTCAGCGGGCCAAATAACTTCAAGATTTATTACTGCTATTACCGAGCTCTGTAGATCCGTTGACCGAATGCATAATCCTCTTTAAGAAAAACCCTGGGTGATATAGTCTGAGTATTATCCGTTGTCAACGGAGCCCATCTCCGGTAGAACGTCTGAATCTAAGCATGCGTGACGTCATTTCATTCCGAAATTAGGACTAAGATTGTGATTGGTCAATAGCACTGCCCGATCAAAAGTGATAGTCAGTCAGAGAGTCAGTACATGTACTCAGATAAGTATAAGGAGGACACCAGGCCGGCTCGCGAAATTTCTTTTCCCAAACGAGATCGGACAATATCAAAAGAGGGCGCTCTCTCTGCGTTATGACATATTCATGATGTCCAGGGAAATTAGAGAATAAGTTATATAACAAGGAATAATAGTGTTTAAATCACCAATGATTGGCAATTCATTCGTGGACCGGTTTGAGGAAGTCCTGACTTCTAATCAGGTGATCCGAGTTCGAATCTCAGTGAGCGCTTTTCACTTCTTCACATTTTACCTATTAAATAAGTAAAGTGATGAAGAAACATTTCTCACAAGCCGTACAGCCTATCTTGGGTTTGTGTTATGGAGAACAAGGCATTAGATATGCATGTAATGGACCAATCAGAAGAAGGAAAGCGGATGTCGTTTGGGAAAAAAAGATTCGCGGCCGGCTCTCTGTGTGACGAACAAAAAGTAAAGCTGATCAAACTCAAATTATAAACACAAGACATTGCACGTTCGTCACGACATTATTACTGTCTTTGTTCACAGTGTTGTGCAATTTATTGTGACCTTAGAAATGTATATACAAAGCATGCGCTACATGAAATTATTTCGTTTGAAGAAGAGATATCGAAGTGTTAGTTTCAGATATTAACAAAAGTAGTGATGAGTTAAACAATTTATACAAATAAACTTTGCACTTTTTAGTATCTTTTGACACAAGTGATTAACGTTAGAAAAAAAAGTGAAAAGTGTTCATGTCACATTTTTGTAAAATAATCTCTGAATGTTTTTTTCTTAATAATAAATATATTTATCTTTAAATATCTATGTTTAAATGTAAACGATGGATCGGCTTGAAAATTGAAATTTTGATTTCATATACATGTATCATGAAATTAACCTAATTATGCAGGAAAAACATGCTATGCCTGAAAAAAGGGTGATTTCGATACGTTTCTGTGAAGGTATAGTGTTACAAAATTTAGGGCCTTGCAACTTGTGACTGGTTACAAGTAATCTAGGAAGAAATTTCGAAAACAAAATGCTTTGTTTCTGTCATTACACGTCACATCTAGACCTTCACATATTATGTGCCATTTCTGTGAATTTTTTTGTCATTTTTAGAACCGTTTTCTATGTTGTATATAAAAAGATACCAGTTAGTAGAACTTATGCATAACTATAGGGAATGGTAAGTGCCATCACCCTCTAAATATCTGAAAGAGTGAAACTAAAGGGACCAGACGATTTAGACTGGATGTCGGACTGAGTTGCTCGGGGGGATGTCAATCCAGTGGAAACTCGACTGAAAACTTGATCTTTTAATTAATTTCACTAGCACTCTAAAACGTCTGGTCTTTATAGCTTCATGCTTTAAATAGTTTATGCGGTACCCGCTGCTATGTACATCAGGGCCCAATTTCATAGAGCTGCTTAAGCACAAAATTTGCTTAAGCACAAAAAAACCTTGCTTAATATAATCAGGTTACCCTCCAAAACTCCATGCGATTGTTAAGCCAATTATTAAAACAACAGGCAAATACCAGTCACAAGCAATGTACATTGCATGGAGTTTTCACAGGTTACCTGATTATATTAAGCCAGTTTTTTTGTGCTTAAGCACATTTTGTGCTTAAGCAGCTCTATGAAATTGGGCCCAGATTCGAACCAGCCAACCGACCCCGTTAGGCTCGGTAGTCGAGTGGTAAGACATCTGCACTAGAAAGCAGGAGGTCGTGAATTCGAGTTCCACCCGAGTGATGTTTTTCCAACTTTCACTCGGGAGGTAACACGCTGAGTATACAGTGTTTAAACGTCGGTGAAGGGCAAAACCTAATTTGATTTATAGCTTCAGTTGATCATGGGAATAAGTTTTTACTCGAATCGAGTGGTTTTTCGCTCTTTGGAAAAATACAGACTTATAGCAGACACTTACTTTGGGAATTTATTTAGAAAGTTGAAGTAAGAAATTGACTGGAGCGGGGTTTGAACCCGCGACCTCTTGAATATTGTACCGTCGCTTCACAACACGTATACTGAGCTGTGTTTGCAGTCGGCTGCATTATGTCTTTGTTCAACTGAAAAGGACGCCAGTCATACACCTAGTCGTTTTCCATTCGTAGTTTACTTGAACTTTTGGAATTTATCAATTAAATTCGTCAATCGGTGTTATTAGAAATTTTTCCCGCAGTTGATTTTAATCGTCTGTTTGTAAACTGTTTATGTTTGTTCCCCCTGGCTATGGGGATCTAATACATTGCCAACGATAACAAGCGCCACAAAGAGCTTTGGACGTTTTCAAACCCCGTGGCGGCTTTGTTAGTTTCAGCTTTAGCCCTTTATATTAATAGTACATTTTGGGTTGGAAATAAAAGGCGTCCAAATGATTCGGATCCACGGATGAATCCGAAGCCGGAGACACGCCCACGTTTGAGGAATCGCCCTCATTTTTGCACCCGATAGAGGGCGCCCTTGATGCTTTTTTTTTTTGAACTAAAAATAATAACAGGGAGGGACTTGCGTCGAGTCTAGTCACGTGTACGTTTGGCACGCATGCAGACCGGTTCAAGGACCGTTTGTTGACACATTGTTATTTTTTCTCGGAACTTTTTCCGGGTGAGTGTTATGGTGTTATCACAAAGAACCTACACACATAATGGTTATTAACAACCCAGGCTTATTTGCATATAATGTTGGCTGAGATGCGGTCTGTTGTGCGCAGTGTACGTGTGTGCAACAAGTTTGGCAACACAACAATATTTCAGCTGGCGAAATATTACTTCACGTTCACATAGGATGATAGGCCCCAGTAGTAGTATACTAGTCTGTACACTAGTCACTAGGCCATGGAGCACTTCCGGAAGACCGAGCTAAATTTCCATTTCCTTTGCGTACAATGAGGCAAAAATTGTACTTGGTAAGGCTATTGTGTAAGCTTTAAAGCAAAGATAAACATCAAGAGACAATGACTGAATGTCATGAATGTTATCAATGTGAACTTGGCCCATTGTTATCAGCATTTTTGAACCTACATTGTTGACCTAAGAATTGTGTGGCGTACTTTAATTGTGCGAAAACACATTACACAGTTGCATTAAAATATGGCCAATATAAATTTCCTGGACGAAACCCTGAATTACCTGGGTAGATATGGCCGCTACCAGGTGACATGCGCCCTCATCATTATGACCGTCGGCAACTGGTTCCCCGCCTGGCATTTAATGGGGATCATTTTTACGGCCGACAGGCCTGTGGATTACCGGTGCACGACGGGTCTCGAAAGCTCTGGTCCAGGTGGAAATAACTCCATCATCAGCAAGCAGGGCATTGTGGGAACTGTGGCGCCCACGTACGGGCTTTGGTCTGGCGAGAATGCGACAGGAAATTCCCTAAATCTGACTGACGATGAATGCACAGTAGACAGAACCGATGATCCGTGCACGGAATGGCAGTATCGCACACAGTACGGCGAAACTACTATTGTCACAGATGTAAGTAAAATGGACGCTTAAAGGGAAGATATAACGTTTGTAAATATCAAAAAACGAAATGATCAAATTATAAAGAATATCTTACTGGATTGTTGGGGAATGGCAGTCTAAAGCATCCTGTAAAATCGTGGCTCCAGGTGTGCTGACAGTTTTAAGAAAACTTGTATTTTTCCAACGCTGGTCGGCTGACCAGCGTTGGAGAAAACTGGCTTTTTTTCAAAAACTGCTCCTAGTTTTTCAAATTTAGTTATTCTGCATTTTCTTTGCAATTGATTACACATCTGTGAAGGGGTACAAGCCTGCTAGACTGATTTTCTGACCTAACAATCCCCCTAAGTCTATAAATTGCAACGTCTCATCTTAAGTGGGGTCAGGCGGGAACCAGACTACAAGAACATGGTTGGTTTTCTTAGATTTTCTAGCATCTCCGGTCCCAAAACGTGAAACAAGACAGTTTAACTATATTTTCTGTAGCATACTAATCCTCCAAATTTATTTATTTCTGAAAATTGCACCAAAAGCAAATGTTGTACGTTCCCTTTAAATTGTCATTTTGGCCTTTCAGAAAGATCGTTCTAGGATCGAAACATCAAAACAATTTGAAAATTTCTGATCAATCAAGCTGTGAACAGTCAACAGTGTGGTACTGGTAGACATTTTTTTCTTATTTTTGTTAAATTTCCCTCGGTGTTTTTATAAATGGCGTATAATTTGACAAATTTTATCTCAAATGAAAGCAGATGAAATTTTCAGCGTTATGATACAAGTGTTGGGAACAAGAATTCAACTTTAATTTCATTAAAAAAAAAACAAAAGCTGAAAATATCAAGAGCACTTATATTTCAAACATATTAATAAATAGTAAATATATGGGCCTAAGGGGTATTTTTTTTACCAAACTTTTCAAAAAGTAAAACTTATAAGTGACATTGCTCCCCAGTTTTCTTTTTGGATCAGCCTTTAATTGTAGATCGGGGCAGAGTAACATCAATTTTCATCGGTTCTTACATGTATGCCTTGCCATTCAGTACTCCAGCAGTTTTCATTGGTTGCCATGTGTTTATACCATTCAGCACTCCAGACTCAAGAACCATAGAGTTTCAAGAACATTGGTCTGGGAGCTAGATAAGCCAATGTAAAAAAAATCCCTGATGTCCGCTCCCACCTACTTTGAAATCTCGATAAGTCAAAACCCGTTAACTCAAAAACCCTACTAAGGCCAAAAAAAATATATATTCGGTCTCTGGTCTACCAAAGTTCCGGAATTGACGCGGCGACGCGGCTTTTTTTTTTTTTTTTTTTTTTTTTTTTTCTTCAAGCTTGGATTGTACAGTCAAGGTGGGGTACTATTTTGCTTTTTTGGTGACCTCATGTACATTGGTGTCCTCCATAATTTGCCTTGGTGCTCTCGATCATTTGCCTTGGTGCAATTTCCCATTCCTTGGTGCTCTTTGGTAAAAAAAAATGAGGAGGTGCGGCAATAGAGGGCGGTGTTGGAGCTACCGCGAAACATTTTGGAGAAAAAAAAGATTGACGCGCATGATGAAAATCGACGCGCACGCTGACCAGAGACCGACTTATTTTTTTTTTTTTGCCTAACTCAAAGTAAATACTTAATCCCGTCAATTGTTGTTGAATAGAAAATCCATTGGATAACTCAAAACTCTGCTCAACTAAAAATTTGAGCTAATTCCCCTTAGGTTTGACTGAACATGTTTATCCACTTTATACTGACATTCTTGTTTTATTTGCAGTTGAACCTTGTCTGCGAGCGAAGTCTTCTCCCCGAGACCGCGCAGTCTGTTTTCTTGGTTGGCATGCTCGTCGGCTCCTTGCTCTTCGGTTTTCTCTCGGACACATTCGGACGGAAGCGGGTGTTGTTGTCGGCATGCTTGGCCCACGGAGTTTGCGGCATCGTGGCCGCGTTCGTCTGGAATTACCCGGGGTTTGTCACTCTGTGGTTTCTCATTGGGATGTTCTCACAGGTTAGTATATGATGACTGGTAGAGAATTTGAAGCTGCGGCCTGTGGATTACTGAATTCCAAGGTCACTCACGTTACATGTATATGCCGTGAGGCTACTTTGACCTCTCACTACTTCAAAAGTATTTGATCAAGCTGAATCAAACCAGCCATACAACAACCTTTGGGTAATTGACCTATCGCGGTAGAATCGCGGTAGCATCGCGTTAACGCAGCTTGTGAAATATTGTCCAATTACACGATATACAAATGGACGCGGAACGCGCAACATCTGAGACAAACAAAACTTAGCGTACAAAAAATTGCATAGGGTCGTCTAAGGGGCGTGGCCAACTCTCAAATGGTGATAGGTCAATTAACACTAACTCCCTGTTACTAGGAACCATACCCATCCTGGCAAATTCCAACACCATATGGGAAACTGCACACACATATTTCTGACTTTAATTCTGGAGGTGTGGCAACCCAATGTAAAAGACTGTCAGTTTAGGGGTACTGTACCCATCCTGACAGATTCCAACAAAATTTGCCATTGGGGTTTGATGGGTTGAGTTCTGTTAGGGTTAAGGGGTAATCAAAAATGGAAAGAAACATTCAACCCATGCATTCACTTTTGAACACAAGTGTTTTGTTGGTCGTCACGTTACCAAAAAAAGAACCTGGAAAATTTGTCTGCAAATGTGTTGTTAAAGTCTCCTCAAACTGTAGTCTGCAACACAGAAGTAACATTATTTTACCGTTCAGTCAACCAATAAAAACCCATTTTGAATCAAATCAGTGTGTATTATAGATGCAAGGGACATTAGATTACAGGTTTTTAGACTACATGTTTCTCAAACACCATTCATCTCAAATACTCCAAAATCCTCCTAAACCACCAGGAGGATTTTGGAGGCTTAAGGAGGTGTTTTAATATTGTTTTTTTTTGTCTTTTGCTGTCTTGGTATGGTTACCAGGCTTACAACCAGGTACAGTTTGTGATCGTCATGGAGCTGTTTCCCCCCGAATGCCGCACCCTGATGGGAAGTCTCAACAACATGTTCTGGGGTCTAGGCGTCATCACGTTGACCCCTATCGCTTACCTCCTGAAGGATTGGCGTCATATGCAGTTGGCTATATCCGTACCGTGCCTCGTGGCCATCCCATTGTGGTTGTAAGTATTGTTGAAAGCCCACCCCCTCCCCCTCCCCCCCCCCCAAAAAAAATGACCAACCCCCTCAAATAAACATAACTTCTTAGAAAGAGTAATATTGTTGAATCCATCACAAGTCCTCACCAGTCCATCACAAGCCATAGAGTCCAAAGTCAATTAAAGAGGTTGTGGAATGCTCAAAGACATTTCCGTCATTTTTCGGGTATACATATGTAGCCTAAGGTGTGATGAAATAAAAACGACTATTGTTTCTGTCATGAAAAAAATACAAAAGATACTTTTGAGAGCTGTTTTGCAGGTCCTGTTTCGACTCGAACGTGCAATTTGTGTGAAAGTCGTTGTTAGGGGCAGCAGACAAAACATAGTAATAAACAGGACTCGTTTATACTACGGGAGTCCTGTTTATTACGTCACGATTTAATATGTTTTGTTTGCTGCCCCCAACGACGACTTTTACACAAATTGCACGTTCGGGTCGAAACAGGACCTGAAAAACAGCTCTCAAAAGTACCTTTTGTATTCATTTCATGACAGAAACAATAGTCGTTTTTATTTCATCACACCTTAGGCTACATATACCCGAAAAATTACGGAAATGTCTTTGAGCATTCCACAACCTCTTTAAGGGCGAGTAAAAATAAAAGAGTTTTTTTTGTCCGGGATTCTTGAAAAAAAATGATGGATGGCACATTGTCCAAGACGAGATCTTTTTTATTATAAAATGATGACCTTTTTATTAATATTACCCTTAAATTTTCGAAACAGTGTACTGGACGATTCTGTGAGATGGCTGCTTGCAAAAGGACGCCAAGATGAAGCGCTGCAGATACTGAACAAGATGGCGCGCTGGAACAGAACAGCGCCCCCTACAGGTGGATTTGTGTTAAGCCAGGAGGACGAGCAAGGCGTTGTGCTCGACAAGGACCGAGACGGAGAAACTTCGGAGGTTGCCGCCTCCCAGCCTACCGAGCCCGAGGAGAAGAAATCTTGCACTTATTTTGATGTGCTGAAGAGTCGGAGATTGTTGTTGAACACTATCGTCATCTATTTCTGTTGGTAAGCGGGTTTGCCATGAAATGTTACTATACCTCATGCATATTCATGAGCGAGAGCTGAATTCTTACTGGTCCATTCACCATCACATGTCATCCGCAAGTTTTGCTATTTATGCACAAGGCAAATCGGGGGCAAAAATCTCATGGGTTACCAATTAGTCCGAAAATTTAGGACTCTCAATACTGTGTATGAGAGTCCCAAAACTTAAGGTATTGAAAACATGCAATACAAGAAAATAGACTGGCACCTGAAACAACCAGTCCAACACAGCTTCAGTACTGCATCAATCAACCATGCCAAAAGAATTTAAGAAACATGTGGCATGAACCGGGAGCTAGTCTCTATTTACTACACATTTCTCCATAGTTAGCCACCAGACTAATTCTACTGAATGAAGACGTCAGTCTTTTCAAATAGTTGGACCAAGGTCGGACATGTACCAGTCTAGTCTTTAGCCTCATTTTGAAATCACTTGACTTTATTCAAATGTGCAAAATATTGAAGAAAATCTAGGATATGAAAGCCCAATTCATAAGCTTTCTCTCAGTACAAGAATCATTCAAATCACTCATGCACTTTTCGAGTTACAGAGTTTAAACACAACTCCCATTTTAAGGTTCTGTCCACGGATCACAAAAAAAGTTCTGTGTTCTTTCAGCAAAATGAAAACAAATCACATAGGGATGTGTGTGAATTGTTTTCGTTTTGTTGAAAGAACGCACATCTTTTTTGTGATCCGTGGACAGAACTTTAAAACGGCGGTTGTGTTTAAAACGTACATGAGTGATTTTAATGATTCTTGTACTAAAAGAAAGCTTATGAATTGGGCTTTCATGTTCTATATTTTGAAATAGTCCCGACATTTGGGTTTCGTTTTTTTTTACTCACCTTGTATAGCAGAATTATTGTTCATATTTTGCTCGCAGGTTTGTAAGCATGATGACTTACTACGGAGCCTCCTTAAACAGCTCCCACCTCGCCGGCAACAAGTACGCTAACTTCTTCTTCCTGGGACTGGCCGAGATCCCAGCGTTCTTCATTATCCACTTTGCCATGACATGGTGGGTGTGACTCAATTTGTCTTTTGTTATGACATCTATCAGGACAATTTCTTTCATTGATTTCTGTTGCCTGTTTCATTTGTGAAATTTGTGCAGAGTGCAAAGTGTGCACACATGTAGAATCCTTACTCTTCTCTCACATAAAAGTATAGTCTCAATTAATGACCCTTGACTCATATCTAGCAGTCTGCCTTGCAACATTTGACCCACATTATAGCGAGCTGCTATGATAACACTTGACCGATATTTAAAGATCCGCTCTGATAACACTTGACCCATATTTAAAGATCCGCTCTGATGACTTTTGACCCACATCTGACAATCTGCTATATGACCTTTGACCCACATTTAGCTAACTGCAATGTTTACCTTTGACCCATATTTAAAAATCCGCTCCGATGGCTTTGGACCCACATCTAAAAATCTGCTATGTGACCTTTGACCCACGTCTAGCTATCTGTCATTATTAGCTTTGACCCATATGTACCAATGTGCATGTACCGGTATTATATGCCTTGACCCATATCTAGCAATCTGCTATGATGACCATTGACCCACGTCTAGCTATCTGTCATTATTAGCTTTGACCCATATGTACCAATGTGCATGTACCGGTATTATATGCCTTGACCCATATCAAGCAATCTGCTATGATGACCCCAGCAATCTGCTATGATGACCCTTGACCCATATCAAGCAATTTGCCACGTTTACTCTTGACCCATGTCCAGCAGTCTGTTGACATGACCCTTGAACCATATCTAGATATCGGCTATGATGACATTTGACCCATATCTAACAATTTGCTATGCCGACACTTGATCCATATCCTAGCCATTTGCTATGATGCCCCCTTACCCATATCCAAGCAATTTGCTTTGATTACCTTTGACCCATATCTGGAAATATGCCACTTTGACCCTTGACCCATATCCCAGCCATTTGCTATGATGGCCCCTGACTCATATCTCGAAGTCTGCTATGATGATCCTTGACCCATATCTTACAACCTGCTCTAAGACCCTTGACCCATATCCCAGGAATTTGCTACAGTGACCTTTGACCCACATCTAGCAATCTGCTTTGATGACTCTTGACCCCTATCCTTCTTTGTCAGGTTTATTGACTAACCTTCTTTCCTGTTACCAAAATTAGGTGGGGTCGCCGGCCATCCATGGGTTTGTTTTTCCTCATTTCTGGACTTGCAAGTATCGTCACTGCCTTCCTACCTAAACAGACTGGTAAGAATAAATATATAATTGAATTTTGACTCTGTTGTTTTTTTAAACTGTGTGGTTCAGTCCTTAATCGACCTCTCGTTTTCTCATCGACAGATGCCGGGGCTGATTTGACTGTCGCGATCGTCGTCATGGCGATCCTTGCCAAACTCTGCATCACTTGTGCCTTCTCCATCAACTTGATATTTTGCTCCGAGATCTTCCCGACGCCAGTCAGGTGAGCGCCGTCCGGGTTCTGACAATAGAGGGCGACATTTCACGTGACTGATAATTGTCACTGAAATACGGCGTTTTTCAACTATTTGTCAGGGTTTTACCCTTAAAACACAATACATCTAAATATAGAAAATATCATTCAACGTGCATAGAAATTGTTTAATGTATTGTTGAATTTTTTTTTTTTTCAGAAATGCTACTCTATTTTTTTTCCATTTTATTATTTGAAACCTCCTCCCCCATTCAAAACATCCGTGCTCCGCCCCTGCTCTGCACCGCTTCTTAATGAGACGTGTGTATTTCTTATGCTGTTTTGTTGTTCACCCATTGTCTAATACAGGAGTATTGGTTTTGGGATCGGTGCAGTCATTGCCAACATCGGTACAGTCATCGCACCCTTTGTCTTATATTTGGTGAGAAAAAATCTTGTATTTTAGTTTTTGCTGGACTTAATCAAATGTAAGGGCCAACTTCCTGTTCCTAAAAGGATCTACTCTGTAGAGTTGGATGAATATGGAGGGCTTTTTTATAATAAGATTTTTTCATAATAATTTTTTACTTATTTTTTCTGACTGAAAAGCCTTTGTCAACTTTATTGGTATGGGAAATTTAGGTTAATCTAATTCTAATTTCGGATTTTTTTTTTAAACATGGACCTTTTGCAGCATATGTATTAGTCATCATGCAAATCTTCAAAATCAAAACATTACTTTATTTAACTTTTTCTGTCCTTGCTTTGTAAATGTGAAAACTGTTTTGAACAAGATAAGTAGCGGAAAATCGGTAGGTAGCGGAAAATCGTAGTGTTCTTGGAAGAGAGTCTGCCTCCTAAAATCGTGTTGAATTTGTGTAGATGATATTTGTCTAATGGAACTTTTGATAGTGCCTCGAATGGGATAATGAATACGATATTGGACTTCGGATGTAACTTTTTGTGTAAAAATGGAATGAAAATAGCAATTCAGTTTTTGTAGATTAGTAGCTTAAATTTGGGAGCCATAAGGGATGTTCATTACAGCAAAATGTTCGGTACAGTGTTATTCTACTGTTGATTTTTTCATTATTCATCCCAAAAATGTATTTTGTTGCATCCATTATTTCGTTTTCCCCCAGGGTGACTTTGCCTCCTTCCTCCCACTGACAATCTTCGGCGGCCTGAGCCTTGCCGCTTCCGTCCTCGTCCCCCGCCTTGCCCGAGACCAAGGACAAACCCCTGCCAGAAACTGTAGATGATGCCAAACACCTGGGAAGGAGGATGCAACCCAGAAAGACCAATCGACAAGATGAAAGAGGGAATAAAGACGATAAATGCCAGACAGACTTTGCGGAAGAGGAGGATGCATTGTAAAGGAGGCGTCAAATCACAAGTCCCTGATGTCCGTCGCAAGTCCGTCGCAAGCCATCAGAAGCCCATCACAAGTCATGCAGTCCCAAGTCAAGTCACAAGGTATGCAAATGAATTGTGACAAATGCATTCCTTTGTTTATTGTTGTGGCCAGACCTGTGACCAGACTGATAAGAGAATTGAATAAGAGAGATCTTGAATGAGAGAGATGGACTTGTGATGGACTTGTGATGGACTTGTGATAGACTTGTGACTGGATTTGTGATGGACTTGTGATGGACTTGTGACTGGAGTTGTGTTGACTTGTGATGCACTTGTGATGGAATTGTGATTCACTTGTGGTGGACTTGTGATGGATATGTGAACTTGTGACAGGAGTTGTGATGGACTTGTGATGACTTGTGATGGACTTGTGATAGGACTTTTGATGGACTTGTGATGGACTTGTGATGAAATTGTGACGGACTGGTGATGGACTTGTGATGGACTTATGATGGAATTGTGATGCACTTGTGATGGACTTTTGATGGACTTTTGATGGACTTGTCATGGACTTTTGATGGACTTGTGATGGACTTGTGATGGATTTGTGATGGACTAGTGATGGACTTGAGATGGACTTGTGATGGACTTGTGATGGACTTGTGAAGGACTTGTGACTGGATTTGTGATGGATTTGTGATGGACTTGTGATGGACTTGAGATAGACTCTAGTACAACATTGGCTATTCACCCATATTTGAGGTGGTTTTTGTTAATTAATGAACAATGAATGCACAATTGATCTTGTGTGTGAATCCTCCAAGTTTGCTGCAATGCGGAGGATCTACCGTGTGAAGTAGGACACATTTTGAGGTTTTTTATAATAAGGTATTACAGTTTTTTGCTTATATTTTGCTTATATTTTTGCTTATATCAACTTTATTTGTTTGGGAAATTAAGCTTATCATATTTCTAATTTCTGAAATTGTATCATAATAATTTCCAGTGCAAAATCTTCAAAATCAAAATTATACATTTTTTTTCACTTAGCGTTTTTCCTCTCTGTTTTTGTAAATGCGAAAACTGTTTTGAACAAGATAATACGAAGAGGTAATGCATTTGGGGGCATTAGTATTTTATAGCAAATATTGTTACGTTGACTTTTTTGAAGTTTTGTGTTCGAAGATGCTGAAAAAAACCCAAGAAAAACAATCATGTTCCTGTAGTCTGGTTCCCTGACCCCACTTAAGATGAGACAGAGCAATTTATAGACATCAGGGAATCGTAAGATCAGGGAACCTTTCTAGCTGGCTTGTACCCGTTAATAGGTGTGTAATCGACTGCAAACAAATGCAGACTAACAAAATATGGTAAATTGTGGGCACTATGTGGAAAAAGCCAGTTTTTTTCCAATGCTGGTCGGCCGACCAGCGTTGGAGATTGATATAAAATTCCACTTTTCTTGAAAATGATAGCACACCAGGTGCCATGATTTTACATGAGGCTTTATAGACTGTCATTCACTAACAGTCAAGTAAGCTTTTTCATAATAATTTGGTAGTTGTTTTTTTTAGGTTTGCAAATGTTGTATATTCCCTTTAAAGGCAAGTAAAATAGGATTACTGTTGAATTTTACATTAGAAAATGTATTTTTTTTTGCACTGTCTTGAAATAATCTCCTAATATATTAAAGGGACCATGAAGTGAACATTTCTTAGGAACATATTTTGGGCTAGTTTCTTATCCCCGTAAGTGTATGAAAACTAATTGACATCCCAGTTTGGTTAATGTTATTGGAAAGTGCACTTCTTTAAACATTTTAAAATGTCCATTCTTTTGTGGACAACTGAGGGCGCTGTTGCCGTGATGTCAATTCAGGGAGACGCCGTTTATATCTGGTCGTTTTCTGTTGAAATCGTGAACCCCAAAATGTGCTTATTGAAAGCATTTGTGAGAAAAGTTTGCTCATTGGCTTACTGCCATGTACTGACACAAGAACGAGTCAAAGTTACGGAATTTTAAACACAAATACCGTTTTAAAGTTATGTCAACAGATCACAAGAAGGTAAGTGTTCTTTCAGCCAAACGAAAACAAATCACGTAGGGATGTGTGTGAATTGATTTCGTTTTGCTGAAAGAACGCACACCTTTTTTGTGATCCGTGGACAGAACTTTAAAACGGTGGTTGTGTTTAAAATTCCGTAACTTCAAAAGTCCATGAGTGATTGAAATGATTCTTGTACTAAAAGAAAGCTTATGAATTGGGCTTTCATATACTAGATTTTGAAAGTGCTACATGCAGAACTTCAATAAGTCAATAGTCCCGAAATTTGGGTTTTGTTTTGTTTTGTTTGTTTTTTTATCTGGTCTGGCCGATGGACTAAGTAATTGTGGACAGAAGTCGGATCGAGGACGAGCTCGATTAGAAAACGTGTACAAAACCAATGGGGGCTGTTGAAAAAAAAGGATGAACAAAAGATCGATGGTTCGTGATGAACAACAGGATAACCTCGATTTACACCATCAACAAACCTGCTCGGACTACCATACGTTACCGGCGACATGAGTAGAAAATACCTTGTACATGTACCGCAGTCTGTATTGCAATCCTCGGCCCGCCATGGTCATCGTCTCGGGTGAGTGACCCTCTGTGCCGTTTGTACAAAGGTCCGTATAAATTATGAATTTCAGATCTGTGGTAACGCAACACCACTTATTGATTTCACGCACCGCGCCGTATACTTCAGGTGTCATCGATCCGTATGTTCAACCAGGCGCGGTTCTACGGGGGGGGGGTTTGGGGGCTAGGGGGGGCTTTAGCCCCCCCCAAAAATTTTGTCTAGCCCCCCAAAAACAAATCCATAAAAAAAGCACCAGCAAAATGTAAGAATTTGACGTACATGGGAACGGTCTCCCCCAAAATGAGAAGGGTGCATTTGTACACTTTTAGTTAATATAGTGTGCCCGATTGTAGGATTTTATCCGCGCTCCCCATTCGCTCGTACCCCCCCCCCTGCAAACAGGGCGCTGGGAAGGGCAGATGAGCTTCACAGATTCTTGCGAAGGACCCTTCACAGAACCCTTCGTGAATTCCAAACGGAGCCTGAGCAACTGGCGGGACTTGAAAATTTACAAAACAGATAAGTTTTACAGATTTTCCTACATTATTATGCTTTTCAACCAAAAAAAGGGCGCTGCATTTATGTTTGAGAATAAAAGAGTGACGAATGACTCCGTCTTAACGGCCGTTTAAAACCTTGCAGGGTCGTGGCCGTGACGCCTTGCCGGTCACAGGTCACGCAAAATCTATCCAATCAGAGCGTTGATTCGTCAGCCCTTCCCAGCGTCCTGTTTGCAGGGAGGGGGGTACTAGCGAACGCTCCCCATAGAAAATATGACACGAGCCTCCCCCCCCCCCCCCCCCCCCCCCCCCCCCCCCCCCCCCCCCCCCCACGTATTGATTTTCAGAGGCCTAAGTGTCCGGAGAAAATAACCTGTCTACATTTCAGCCCGCTTCCCTGAAAAAAATTCTGGATTCACCTTGCTAGCCCCCCCAAAATATGGGCTCTAGAACCGCGCCTGTGTTCAACTGGACGTTCTTCAAGATTTATTTACTAGATACTCTTATAAACATGGCAGGACCGCAGTTAGACGATGCCCTTGAGTTCATCGGCAAATACGGCCGATATCAGATCGTCACCAGCGTCATCGTCACCATCCTCGGAGCGTGGTTTCCGGCTTGGCACATGATGGGGCTGATTTTCATGGCGGACAAACCCGAGTCCTACGAATGCGTGCGATGGAGCGCGGCCACGGAGGAGCAGCGTTGGATGCAGGGGGGATAAACGCAGCATCGCTTGGCGGTGCTGATCAGGAAAACACGGTGACTCATGATTTCAGTAATCAAACATTGCCAGACGCTTCGAATTTGGAATGCACGGCAGAGGACACCGAATCTGCATCAATGGGCTCTCTCTGCACAGAGTGGGAGTATTACGCAGTGTATAACGAATCCACCATTGTTACCGATGTGAGTATAGGCGAGGTGTCTATTTTACTACATGTAGGCCCTATTTACCCATTGTTGTTAATAACAGTCTGGAGACATTGGCTGGTGAAAACTGAGGACCTTGTCTTTGTCCCATAAACAGTTTGTAGAATTTTATTGGCTTAAAGAGTGAGTAACGTTGGCCTGATCTTGTTTTGTGTGCTTCCCTGCTCTCAAGGTTCTATGGTCTGAGGAAGGCCTGCAGTTGCCATGACCGTCACTAAAGCGGTGGAACCTGGGGGAGGGTTGTAACATTCCCCGAAAAGAAAAGCATAGAAAAGGGGGACCCTTATTGACGAATCAGGTTTGCCCCCCCCCCCTCGAATTTCCAACTTTGCCCCCATTCTTTTTCAAAACTTCCGCCGTCGCTGTTGTGTACAAAGTCTAAGAAGAGTCTATATATAGTTCATCTTCAAAGTATTTCCTAGCAACATTGGAAATGTTTCTCAGTCCCCAGTCCCCAAGACATTTTTTTACAATGCCTTTATCATTGAGATACTATGATGACAAAAAATGGCGCCAGGATGCAGCATTCTGTTCTTTAAACCATGGACAAATAACACACAATGAAGCTGCACGTGTCTGTATAAGCCGGGGTATATGTGAATCAAAGAAAATAAGGCGTAAGTAATAATAACAGAAATCGATCAGGCAGTTTATTTAAGCAAAAAACCCAATCATGCGAGGTTACGTTTTGAGATATATCGTCACATAATATAACTTGCATCTTCAAAATCGTTGAATATAACTCTTACATTTCTTTTCTTTTTTTTGACAAATTTCGCCGGGTTCACTTTCATTATAATACACACTTTATTTTCCTTTACAGTGGTGTAAATTTACTACGTGTGTAATATGTTCTACTTTTGATCTCAAATAACTCTGTTTATGAATGGAATTAAACCAAAATCTAAGATCATGTAAACAAGGCATGACAAATTTTATGGAGCGCGTTTCATCAGCTTTGTGCAAGAGGGTGAGATTTAAACGCCCTACGAACAAAATGTTCACTGTCTCAGAATGTCGATACAGCGCTGGAGACGGTGGCGGAAGGCACGCGCTGCGGCCGAAAAGCTTCTGAAGGAATGCAGGACCACCCCTGATGTCATTAAGCCAAACGATCGAGGAGGTGTGTAATGACATCAGGGGTGATCCTGCATTTCTTCAGAAGCTTTCGGCCACAGCACGCGCCTTCTTCCGCCACCGTCTCCAGCGCTGTATCGACATTGGAGGACGCCAAGTCGAAAGTGGCAGATAGGCTGAAAGTGAGTATTTTTTCCCGTAATATATGGCGTTTAAATCTCACCCTCGTGCACAAAGCTGATGAAAGTCGCTCCATAAAATTTGTCATGCCTTGTTTACGTCTGAAATTTTGGTTTAATATCATTGGTAAACCACATAGTTATTTAGGATCAAATGTAGGACTTTTTTTTTTGGAGGGGGGGGGGAGCACGTAGTAGGATCCAAATTGCAGGGAGTGCTTCGGCCGTGGTATGCACCATTTTGTTGTCCGGGGCAAAAGCTGTGAAACTCCCATTTTTGTGAGTTTCTTAACTTTTCCGAGGGCGCACTTTCACATGAACACTTACGCAATTCTAATAACAATAAATCATTATCATAATTACAAATAAGTATTTTTCTTTTGCAGTTTGATCTTGTCTGTGACCGTACAATACTGGCCGAAACCGCGCAGTCTATCTTCCTAGTCGGCATGCTCGTGGGTTCGGTAGTGTTCGGCTACCTTTCGGATGTGTTCGGCAGAAAGGTCATCCTGCTCGGCACTTGCCTGGCTAACGGTGTGTTCGGCATTGTGGTGGCGTTTCTGTGGAGCTACACAAGTGTTGTGATACTCTGGTTTCTGATCGGAATGTTTGCACAGGTATATATGATTAAAAGAAATTATAAGTTACCGCTGTCATAAGCAGATTATCCTTAAAGCGTTCATGCGATGAGTTTTTCTTAATAACATATTTTGTGCAACTTTCTACTCCTCTTTAAATGTGTATGAAAATTATTTGACATCCATTTTTGGTGATTTTTATTGAAAAGTGCACTTTAAGCATTTAAAAGTTTCAATGTTTCTTCAGGCAACTGAGGGCGCTGTTGCTGTGATATCATTTCAGGAAGACACCGTTCAGTTATGGGGGTTTCCGTTCGAATATTGTGAACCCAACATTTGCTCATTGAAAACATTTGTGAGAAAGGTTTGCTCCTTGGCTTTAATAAGTAGGCCCTATGTGCTTCGCCGGTATTAAACACTGTATTTAAGACCGGTTTGGAATCTGGACGCTGATAATTCGGCGAGGGTCATTACTGGCGTCCATTCCCTTAGCAATATGTCATGGGATTTAGCGTTTGATCAAAGTATTTGATCCGAATAAATCAAGTTTTTTTCTACCCCCCCCCTCCCCCATCCATTGGATTTAGGGCTACAACCAGGTCCAATTCGTCATGATAATGGAGTTGTTCCCAACGAACTCTCGAACCTTGGCAGGAAGCCTGAACTCAATGTTTTGGGGCTTGGGTGTGGTGGCGCTCACACCAATTGCTTACGCCCTACGCAACTGGCGACACATGCAGCTGGCCATATCCGCACCGTGTTTGCTGGCGATACCTCTGTGGCCGTAAGTAACTCCCTTGATACTCGATTCAAAAATAAATATGGCAAAAATGCCCAACCTCGTTCCCATGGTGTGGAGCGGTACGTTCCCACCACCACCTGCTCTCTGGTTGAAAATAAGGTAACCCCTGGGGACGAGGTTGCAGTGCGCCTTTTTACGAATGGACCTTTTTACTAATAAATTCATAATTATGCTCGCATGCGCATAAATGGGCCTGGCAGCAAGAAGCGAAAGCGGTCCATTGAAAATGCACAGGGGTCCAAATATTCGGGTCATTCAATTTCTCCAGGATTTATCGTTTTTGTTATTTACAAAAGCCCCTTAAATCGCCCGTTAGGCATTACTTTCTGGCCTAAGTGGGTTTTGGGGGGCACAAATAAAAACTTGGAAATTTGCTTTCGTCCCGTGCACACGAGGGCGAAGCCAGGAGGGCTCCTTTCCGCACCAATGGACAAAAATAACCGTGTGTTTCGGGGTAAATTTCGGGCCGGATCGCGGTGCTGAATCGCTCCTGGTTTCACCGTGGCTGAATCACGGGCTGATTCAGCCACGGTGAAGCCGGTGCGAATCATCAGCATCGCGATCCGGCCCGAAATTTGGTGGACGGGTGTACCCCGAAGCACACGGTTATTTGTTTTTCACTCGGCTTTAATGGAATGGAACTTTCCGTCTGTCACCTCATGAAATTATTCTTACCATTGCACTCATAAACATTCACTATTTGTTAACTATTCTTCATTTTTGCAATATTGACCTTCCATAGTTTGCCAACCCGCAAAAGTTATCCGTCATAAATACGTATTAATGTCCCAGCTCACGCAATTTGACATGTTATTAATAATAGTCAGCTTACTGCGCGATGATAATATGCATAGATTAAAAACATATGGTGAAATATTTGGGCTGATATAAAAATGCAGACGTATTCCGAGTTTAAAATAACAATGTAATAATGATGGATTTTGAACAGGATTTTGGACGAATCTGCGCGGTGGTTACTATCCAAAGGCCGCATCGAAGACGCCCAAAAGATCCTCCACAAGATGGCGCGTTGGAACGGTGTAGCGCCCCCTTCCGGCGGGTTCCTCATTAAAGAGACAACTATTGATCCGCCAAGTTCCGAGCTGAGTAATTCGCTTGACCCAGTGTTACCTACGCCAAGTGAAAAGGAGTGCACGTTCCTTGATGTCTTGAGAACTCGTAGGGTCCTGTTGAACTTGTGCATCATCTATTTCGCATGGTAGGTATACCAATAAAGGGCGATCAACGTTTTTTTGGCGATAAACATGGCCGCCATCACGCGTGTATTTTGAGTGAGATTCCACCGGATATAGCCTACAACACTTTTGGACACAGCAAAATCTAAACATAACGAAGCCGAAGTCGCCATGTTATTTGGCTTTATTTTTTTGTAAATATTGTGTCATAGAAAACTGACAAACATTATACAGAGTTTGTGTGCTTGGCAATTTCCTCTTCTGTTTCAACTTCAAATTTGGAATCCTGGAAAAGCCATTGAAAACTCCTGAGCTGGGAGAGCATTGACCTAAAATATCTGCTTCATTAGAAGCATTACTTTGCTCTTCAGTGTATACGATATATTGAATAATCATTCAACATTTAAAAATTTAAATTTGGGGTGGGTGGGTCAAAACGATTTCGAAAAATGTTTTAAACATGGACTATTCTGAATGAATGGCCCCCTTACACTGTGTTACTATGGGCTCCGTGCACAAGTACCCCTTCAACGGCCAGAAAAGGAGAGTTGGGGAGACCTAGACTGGTTCCCGGTCCATCCACTGCGTATTTCGAATGATCCAAAGTCGTTGGAGGCAGGGATTAGTTTGGGAGTCAATCGCAAGTTTAATTCGTCTTAGCTTTGCGCACATTCAGGATAAATAAGTCGAGCGTACTTTGCGTGCGAACCAGTACAGTACGCACACGAGCAGTCCAAGGGGCCGGAGCTCTCAAAAGTGGTGAAATCGCGCCCTCTTTTCTTAGCGCTCGGAGCCCATAACCTTCAACTAAGCTTTTTATGTAGAAACGTTTCTTTTATTAAAAGTATTCATTAAAATGAATAATGTTTTGAGTGAGAGATGGACATTTTTTTTTGGCAGGTTTGTTTCTTTAGGACCTACTATGGCGCATCGCTCAATAGCTCCAATCTAGCCGGCAACAAATACACAAACTTCTTGTTTCTCGGTTTGGCAGAAGTGCCTGGATACATCATCATCCACTTCACAATGACGTGGTAGGTTCACCATACTCATTTGGCTTTTTATGTCAAATTGAGATTCTGTACCATAATGACATGTTTAATATAAGTTACTGATGAACGTGACGAACAACTTCATCCTTCGCTGAAATGTTGTTAAATTCAGGTCATTGACCTTTGACCTTTTGTGCCATTCAGGTGGGGGCGCCGTCCATCTTTATGTCTCTTCTTTTTAGTTTCCGGAGCTGCGAGTATAGTCACAGCATTTCTGCCGGAACAGACAGGTCAGTGAACTATTTGCAAACGAATTTCCTTTTTTTTATAATTTAAAGCCAGGGATTTTTCAGGGGGCGCTGAGCCTCCAAGGACCGACACTCTATTTACCTTTTTTCCATGTTTTTCCTAGACAGATGTTGAAGTACTGAATTCTCATGACGATTTTAATTAGTCCCACCGCTCATTTTATTGACCGTTAATCTATAGTAGTGAGGTTTTGCATCCACGTGACCTTATCACGTGAAAGGTGACAGATCCGCCATTTTGGACGGCTAGTGCGGCACTCGATCGATTGATCGTACAGTACTTGTACATTGCGTTATGTTTAATTGCATTGATCATCTTTGGATGGAGTTTTCTCCAAAAATTCAATTCGTTGGTTCACCCCAAACAAAATTGAACAGAAGATGAAAGATGATGGAATAGGCTTTAATTTGATGTGTGTCTCAAAAACTCTGAAACACTGTGGAGAGTTGTGAGTATTTTTCCTGAATTTCGGAAGTGGTCGTTTTCATCACTGAGGTCCATGGCAGTTTATAACTAGTCTGCAAGCGTAGGCCGCCAATATGGCTGGCGTGTGGGTGACCACTGGCCTATGACGTCACGTGAAATTCCTCAATTATTGTTGAAGGCATACTTTCTGTGCTCTTCAACGTCGAGTATTTTCCTAACTTTCATCTTGTTTTCATGATTTTTTTTAATGGAAAAAATAAAAACTGGCCCTCCGCAAAAAAGCAGAATGGTTCCCAGTACCTATATATTATCGATCCTGAAATGGAGGCGGAAACCAGTCGAGAACTGTACTGTTCCGCCAATAATTCGAGAATATTGTTATTATGCCATAACTATAACATTGAGTAGATTTGTTCGTTTGATGCCTCATTCTAAAAGTATTTGCTTTGCTTTTAGAAAAAAGCAGAGTTGTATTTTTTTATGGCGAAAGTAACAAATGACTCTTTAGGGTTTTTAATTTTTTTTCTGTTAGCGGACGGCACCGATTTGACCATCGTAATCACTGTCGTCGCCATGTTGGTCAAACTCTGCATCGTCTGCGCATATGCCATCAATTTAATTTGCTGCACGGAGATTTTGCCCACGTCTGTAAGGTAATGTCAGCCGCCCGTTTATTTTGCCAGAACTGCAAATATATTATGGTCTCCATATTTCTAATCGGATAATTTTGAGCCGCTTGTGTTAGAAAAATACCCCGGCCTTTGATTATGTGGGCCAACCTCGTTCCCAGGGCTTACCTTATTTTCAACCTCGTTTCCAATAGTACCAGGTAGTTGTAGGTGCGCACTGCTCGACACCATGGGAACGAGGTTGAATGTGGGCATGTTCAAAATGACACACTCGATAGAAAAGGACCGTTGTGTATGCTGCCACCAAGTGTTTCAGTTTTCTCCCATGACCAGAATGTCATCACTGTGAACCCTATACAACTGATACAGGAATCATGAACGAAATTATCCGGTGAATCAATTCCAGAATCTCAGTGGAATCAAAATCGAAGAGAATACAGGGTGAGTAAAAAAAAAAACGAAACCCAAATGTCGGGACCATTGTTTTAGTGAAGTTCTGCATGCATCACTCTCAAAATCTAGGATATGAAAGCCCAATTCATAAGCTTTCTTTTAGTACAAGAATCATTCAAATCACTCATTTACCTTTCAAGTTCCGGAGTTTTAAACACAACCATAGTTTTAAAGCTCTGTCCACGTATCACAAAAAGGTGTGCGTTCTTTCAGCAAAACGAAAACAATTCACACACATCCTTATGTGATTCGTTTTCGTTTGCTGAAAGAACACTGACCTTTTTTTGTGATCCGTGGACGGAACCTTAAAACAATGGTTGTGTTTAAAACTCCGTAACTTGAAAAGTACATAAGTGATTTGAAGTATTCTTGTACTAAAAGAAAGCTTATGAATTTGGCTTTCATATCCTAGATTTTGAAAGTGCTACATGCAGAACTTCACTAAAACAATGGTCCTGACAATTTGGTTTCGGGTTTTTTTACTCACCCTGTATAATAACAGAAGTTGGGCATACAGTCTAGTTCTCGGTGGAGAATTTCAGTTCTGGAAATGTTTGGAGCAAATTATTAACGTCGATAGAATTCATGAACTAGACAAAGTCCTATGTGTTTAATGTCTTCCATGTGGTGTGGTTTGCGCAGTGCATTTTGTGAAGTTTTCCAATTTGTCGTTTATGGTTTTGCAGGAATATAGGTTTTGGTGTAGGTGCTGTGTGTGGAAGTGTGGGCTTGATAACGGCTCCCTTCGTGATATATTTGGTGAGTTTGGAAATAAGCCTTTTTACATGCGCATTACATTTTAGTCCGAGTATCACATGTTGTCCAACAGAAATCGGAGAGACGCCAGAAATCGGAGTCGCCTTTGGAAATTGTGACGCCATTTCGATCAGAATGTGGACTAAGCTGTTGATTGGTCAAGTTGGCTGACATGTTTTTGTTATACAACAACGGGTTACGGCCGGAAGACCCAATAGAAGGCGCCCGCGGAATGGTCAAAATCTCGAGGTCAAGACGCAGTCTTGTTTTGCATAATAAATCACCGAATCTGCTCGCATCAACGGTCCATAGACCATAGACTAACTGCATCTTAGATAATGAACAAACCTATTTGCAGAGAACCAGTCAAACGTTAATTTTTTCTTAAGGTTTTTCTTGGCAAAAAGTAACTGATCATCAATTCATCTCTAAAATTAATGCACAAAATAAACGAAATATAGTTCGAAAATAAAATGTTAACTTTTGAAAAAAGAAGAAGCAATTAACTTAATTTCTTTTCAAGGTAACCAGTCATCAGACCCAGAGGAACGAATTTGATTGGTCAGTGTTGGAGGCGTGAGCTTGAAATGTTGATTCTGATAGGCCAATATTGGCAGAGTTGTCATGAAACAGACATCTGTAACGCTGAGTTACCTACTTATAGTAAGGGATATAGTAGTATAGACATTGTTGAACCTCAGGAAGATCTTAAGATCTGAACAATAATAGGGTTAATAATCTCGATCTATTCCAAATTTCTTCCTGTTTTCTCTCTTTCGAAGGATGATTTTGCGTCTTTCCTTCCGCTGACTCTTTTCGGAGGGTTGTGCATCCTGGCGGCCATCTTGGTTCCGATTCTTCCCGAAACCGGAAACAAGCCGCTTCCAGAGTCGCTGGAAGATGCAAGAAATATCGGAAAGAAAGTACAGAAAACTCCGGAACCGAATACAGCGGTATGCACACCCACAACCGATGCGAAGATCGAAGATGGTTCCAAAGTCGACGCACTTTAATCGATTCTTTTTACGCGAATCGAATCTCTTTGAAATAAAATTATTCGGATATATATTTTTTTAAACCGAATAAAGCAATAGTATATAGAGCAGGTGTGATGTCGATGCTGAAGATGCATTATCGATATTGGGAAATGTATCTGACGATCAGTAATTTGATCGATATTATATTTTGTCATTTAGCAATCAGTATTACCTTTTACTGACGTATATTTATTATCACTGTATACTAAATGTTGACCGAGAGCTTCCAAGGAAAGCAGGGGAAAAAAACAACTACCCGGGTAGAATTCGAACTCCCGACCTCCTGCTTAGAAGTGCAGATGTTTTACCACTCGACCACCGAGCTTGAAGGGTTCGGATGTCTTCAGAACACTTTTCTCCAAACAGTTTAGAAATGTGTCTGGATGCAAGAGGAGTTTTAGTCACTATTCAAAGACCAACATTTTTAAAGCTTTAGGCAACAATCATGAATTTGTTGAGAGAAAAATACTTACATATTTTTAATGATTTCATCCCAAATTCTCGACGCATTTTTTCTTTGAAACAGCACATTTGTCCAGAAGTCGAGTTGGAATGTGTTGTAGGGCCCTTTAGGCACCTTCTCTTCAACTTTCAAGCAATTTCATTCACCCAAAAATTGAAGAAAAAAAATGCAAGGGGTTAGCATTCCATTTTTGATCAAAATTGGCCAAAATAAATGTCTCCAAACAATTCAGAAATGTATCCGGATGTAAGAGGAGCCGCAATTAATATTAAAAGACCTGAATTATGAAGATTTGGGCAGAAATCATCAAGTTTGTCAGAATTTTAATTATTTTTGACAAGTTTTCCCAAAAGTTTCGACACTTTTTTTCCCTTTAAAACAACACCTCTGCATGTCCAAAAGTCGAGTTGGAATGTGTTCTAGCACCCTCCCTCCAAGTATCCAGCAATTTACTTTTTCGGCCAAAATTGTAAAAAATTCATGTTGTTTGCCTAAGTAGGGGTGTTAATAAAAAACATTATGAACATGATTGTTGACAGTTGTTGAAACAAGTATTCTGTATCATTTTCTTTGTTGTTCCAAACAGTCAGAACGCACAATAAATTGCTTTTTTTTGGACGAAACAGGTTTTAGGGTCATTGTGTTTAAATGGTGATATTCTTTGTACGGATTGAGCAATTGCGGTTTTTTTTTCATCTAAAAGTAGTTCATGAAATTGGCTTTCCATTCATTATTATTTTGGTGCTACATATTTTTTAAATAAGAAATATAGATATATATATGAATAATATATAAAGTTTCATTTTTCGGCCAAATTTTTCGGCCAAAATTGAAAAAAAATGTAAGGGGTTAGCCTTAAATTTTTGATCAAAAAAATTGGCAAAACAATTATTTTTCTCAAACCAATCCAAAAATTACGTAGATTTGGGACATAGCGTGTTCGAATTCTTGGACTTGCCCACTGACTAGATCGGCAAGTAATGTTAAGTATTCAAAAGTTTGGGGGTTTTTTTTGGGGGGGGGGGATCTGATTTTATATTTCCAGAAATAAAGATTCGTATGTAGGTCGAAAACGGCACAAGTTGTCATCGATAAAGTTTAGATAACCGATAGAAAGGCTGGCTTACTCAGGATTTGTTTTTGTTGGGGGGGGGGCAAAATGGTTCATTTTCTGAAAATGACGCCTATTATTTACTAAACAAATTGTAAAAAAAAAAATTGGATGATGTAACAAATGGCAAAAGTCGCTGTGGGTGTTTAAACGTGGGGGAAAGACATTTCAATGTCTCCCTAATGTAACACAAATGTACATGTACCAAAATTCTTGGAGTAGGATAAGGTAAAATGGGAGTTTAGCGGTCATGAAAGGTTGGAAATGTTTGTACACAATCGTATGGGAATGTCTCCCTAAGGTAAAGCATTCTGAAATAATAATTCCCGCCATAATCATCGCCTCTTGCGCGATTGGTTGATTCCGTGAGCATGCGTACTACGTGTGGGCAACACTTTGATTTCATGCACCGGACGCGTCCGCGCCGTATGTTCACGTACCTGGATATGTAGTGCATTCTTCAAGATACGCTTATAAACATGGCAGGAAAGAAGTTAGACGATGCCCTGGAGTACATCGGCAAATACGGCCGATATCAGATCGCCACCAGCGTCATCGTCACCATCCTCGGGACGTGGTTTCCGGCCTGGCACACGATGGGGCTGATTTTCATGGCGGACAAACCCGAGTCCTACGAGTGCGTGCGATGGAGCGGCGGCCACGGAGGAGCAGCGTTGGATGCAGGGGGGACAGTGAACGCAGCGTTGCACGGCGGTGCTGATCAGGAAAACGCGGTGAATCATGATTCCAATCGAACATCGCCAGACGCTTCCGATTCAGAATGCACGGGAGAGAACCCCGGATCTTCGTCAGGCTCTCTCTGCACAGAGTGGGAGTATTGTGCACTGTATAACGAATCCACCATTGTTACGGACGTGAGTAGGCTAGGTTCATATTTCATTATTTAACCATGTGTTGTTAACGTTCTGGATGGTTCAACATGCACTATTGCACTATTGCCTAGTACTAGTAGTAGGGCCATATTTTTTTTCAATGCCATATTTTTTTTCAATGTCATTGGGAGGCAAACTAATTCCATTGAATCAAGTTACAATAGACACCCCCGCCGACGGCCCATCAAAATTTTAACCGTGGCGAGAGAACACGCAAAGCTGCATCTGGTTTGTATAAAGCATTGGGATATGCAGGGTTCGACTTTTAAACGGTATCCCCCTAGCCAAATGGTATAGTCAAAACAGCGGCGGGCTAGTCAAACTTTTCCTTAACTTCCTTAAGTAGCCCAGCTGGAGAGTCAATTATTATTGGGATACGGTAAAGATGAAAGGGCAGGAAGAAATACATCATTACATTCAGAAAGCAAACCTCTATCAATTTCTGTCTAATTTTATAGTTGTTTAGGGTTAGGCCAAATTATTAGATCTGTTTATTAAATACACAGACAAGATTGCCTCAGGATAAACATTTTACAAGTATGCATAGGGTCTATTGTTGTTTATTAAACACTCTATAAAAAGAAATCAACAAACAATCTTGCATGCACAGAAGTCAAGTAAACAAAACTGTGAAACGTGTTTTTATTGGGTTTTTTTAAGGGGGTATGGTACACTGGCACATGAACAATTACGCAATTCTAATAATTAATCATTATCATTATTTAAATGTATGTGTTTTTGCAGTTCGATCTTGTCTGCGACCGTAAAATACTGGCCGAGACCGCGCAGTCTATCTTCCTAGCCGGCATGCTCGTGGGTGCGGTAGTGTTCGGCCACCTTTCGGACGTGTTCGGCAGGAAGATCATCCTGCTCGGCACCTGCGTCGCTCATGGTGTGTTCGGCATTGTGGTGGCGTTTCTGTGGACCTACACAAGTGTTGTGATACTCTGGTTTCTGATCGGAATGTTTGCACAGGTATCATGCAATAAAAACCAGTAATTTATAATTATTCTTGCCAAAAAAATTATCCCATATAAAGTTACATGATTTATTTTCTTAAAGGCACGTAGGAACATTGGCAATACTTACCCGGAAACATGCCTGCCTATTTAATGAGAAAAACCTTGTTCAAAGTGAAGATAGGGCTTTTACCCTGTGAAATTATCGAAAGAAAACAATCCCTGAAATTGGTTTTATACCAAGGTTTCAAAATAATCCGTCAGTCGGGGAGTCAGTCGGGGAGTCAGTCAGTCGGGGGGGGGGGGGGGGGGGTCAGGGGAGTCAGTCAATCAGTCAGCTCAGCCAGCTCAGTCAGGGGAATCAGCTCAGTCAGCTCAGTCAGTCAGTCAATCAGTCAGCTCAGTCAGCTCAGTCAGTCAGCTCAGCCAGCTCAGTCAGCTCAGCCATCTCAGCCATCTCAGCCAGCTCAGCCAGCTCAGTAAGCTCAGTCAGTCAGTCAATCAGCCAGCTCAGTAAGCTCAGTCAGTCAGTCAATCAGTCAGCTCAGCCAGCTCAGTCAGCTCAGCCAGCTCAGTCAGTCAATCAGTCTGTCAGTCAATCAGTCAGCTCAGTCAGCTCAGCCAACCCCATCAGCTCCATCGGCCTTAGTCAGCTCAGTCATCCCAGTCAGTCAATCATACCAGTCAGTCAATCAGTCAGCTCAGTCGGCTCAGTCAGTCAGCTCAGTCGGCTCAGTCAACCCAGTCAGCTCAGTCGACTCAGTCAGTCAGCTCAGTCAACTCAGCTCAGTCAGCTCAGTCAGCTCAGTCGATCGGCTCCGTCAGTCACTCAGCTCAGTCAGTCAGTCAGCTCAGTCGGCTCAGTCAGCTCAGTCGGCTCAGTCAACTCAGCCAGCTCAGTCAACTCAGTCAGCTCAGTCAACTCAGCCAGCTCAGTCAGCTCGGTCAGTTCGGTCAGCTCAGTCGGCTCAGTCGGCTCAGTCAGTCACTCAGCTCAGTCAGCTCAGTCAACTCATGTCGGTCAGTCAACAAAACACTGGCTTTAAGTCCAGCGACAATTCAACATTAAGTTACACTCATTTGCTAACTTCAGTTCATTCATTTTGATTCTATACAGGGATACAACCAGGTCCAATTCGTCATGATAATGGAGCTGTTTCCATCGAACTGTCGAACCTTGGCAGGAAGCCTGAACTCAATGTTTTGGGGCTTCGGTATAGTGACGCTCACACCAATTGCTTACGCCCTGCGCAACTGGCGACACATGCAGCTGGCCATATCCGCACCGTGTTTGCTAGCGATACCTCTGTGGCCGTAAGTAGGCTAACTCCCTTGATAATCGAGTCTAAATAATTATGACCAATATGCCGAACCTCGTTTCCATGGTATAGTGCAGCACGTTCCCACCACCACCTGCTCTCTGGTTGAAAATAAGGTAACCCCTGGGAACGAGGTTGCACCATGCAATCTTATTCCTGAACGTTCGAGGGTGCTACATAATGACATTCGGTTCGTAAGTGTGACGTCAGCTCAACTTAAACCACGCCCACTTCACACGGCGCAGCATGGAACCAATGGAACCGCGGAAGTACACCTAGGCCAAAAAAAGTCTCCGGTTTCTGGTATGCGCGCGCGTCGCCGTAGCCATGCGCGTCGGCAAAATGAAAACGTTTTTTTTTCAATGAAAGATGATGTCTCAAAACCGCCAAACTCACTGGTTTGACTGGAATCCTGCCGCTGCACAATTTTAACGTGTTTTTGGATGGGGTTATGATCGAGAATAAGCTTTATGTGGCCTCTTTGCACTAAGTTTAGTCGGGCACCATTTGCAGTCATCAGCCGACATTTGAGGCAAAACAAATCAGGCAAAAAAAAAAAAAAGCCGCGTCGCCGCACCACTTTTTGGGCAAGCTCCATACCAGAAACCGGAGACTTTTTTGGGGGGCCTTAGAGACACACTCTTGGAAAAAAATGGTCCGGTTAACTTATTCTTTATGCTTGGACTTGCGGTTTTGCCTAAGTCAACTGAGCGTGATCGGCTGACTGATAAGGCTTACGCACAAAACCCTCGGCCAGTGAGGAGTTGCATAGAAAGCTGGCCGAACCACTTTTTGCGAAAGTGTGCCGGTATGTAGTACTTTATCAAGTGGCGTGTGTAGCCAATTGGCGCTAGTAGTCAGTGGTGCGTGCGCGTGTGTATGACGCAGTCACTTACGAAGTCATCATTTATAATCGGCTTAATCTGAGCCGTGAGCCGGTAGAATATAGATTACAAAATATACCAGGACAGATTTGGGCTATTATGATAAATATGCAGACTTTTGGTTTTTATGTTTTTTTATGTTTTTTATTATTATTTTTTTTAAAGTTTATTGTAATATTTCAGTAATTATTATCCATTTTGAACAGGATTTTGGACGAATCTGCGCGGTGGTTACTATCCAAAGGCCGCACCGATGACGCCCAAAAGATCCTTCGCAAGATGGCGCGTTGGAATGGTGTAGCGCCCCCTTCCGGCGGGTTCCTCATTAAAGAGAACCCCATTGATCCGCCAAGCTACGAATTGAGTAAAAATTTGCTTGATCCAGTGTTTCCTACGCTAAGCCAAAAGAAGTGCACCCTCCTTGATGTCTTGAGAACTCGTAGGGTCCTGCTGAACATATGCATCGTATATTTTGCATGGTAGGTAACTAAGCACCGCTAAAAAGATAGTTCACACTCATCAAAATGTAGATAACAAAATTCCCCAAAGGTCTATACAAAATGACGTCATCCTAAGACGATCAGATTAATAATTATGACCCCTCCAATGAGTGTGGACTTTTTTGTTTTGCGCTATTTAATATAAAGGGCCTTGTCACATGAGACAACTTGTACCGGGCAAAATTTAAGTTGCAATATTTGAGGAATTTCCTTAAACTGTTGATAAAAAAGTAGGCTTATACTTTGTTTTCAGTGAAGGTGCCTTTCATAGCTGGCCGTGCATTCGGTTGTCTCCAAGTTGCCTGCAAACATTGCCTCGTGTGACCAAGCCCTGACAGTTTTGCACGAGGACGCAGATTAAATCATAAGTCGTTGTAACAGTCACAGACAGTTGCCGATTTGAAACCTTGGTATAATGTCTGATTATTGTGATGCCGTTTTTGTCAATATCAGGCGTGAGATTTTTCAGACTTTTGTCAAAAATCAGACTTTTTTTAATCGGAGAGATAGATTTTATTTAGTAGTATAGAAAGAAATGCATTTTTAAGACATTTCTGACTTTTTCTCAATTGACAATCTCATCCCTGAATATGCCTAGTGTGACTAGTGAAGGGAAATTCGATCCAACAACCTTCAATTTATTCAGAACCCTTTAAAAAAATCATCATTTTCATCAACAAGATGGAAAATAAACATTTCTTTTGCAGGTACGTTTCTGCAGTGACCTACTACGGTGCATCGCTCAATAGCTCCAATCTAGCCGGCAACAAATACACAAACTTCCTGTTTCTCGGTTTGGCGGAAATCCCCGGTTATGCCATCATCCACTTCACAATGACGTGGTAGGTTCACCATACTCATTTTTGTTGAGAATAAGTCCCATTGGGTCATGTTAAATTCATGACGAGCATGATTTTAACGAGCGCGGTTTGGACGAGATCACGATTAAAAGGAGCACATTTCGTCGACGTATTTAATTTGAACATGTCGAACGATCAATTTTAATCCGACGCTCAAATGTTGTTGAACTTGGGCCGATTCGGAAGCGTTAGGAATGGTTGAATGTCACAATAATTTTGTTTAGGCCCTATGTATCTAAAGAAATTAGAAGAAAGTTAGCATGGGCTAATACATCGACCACAAATGAGAAGAGATGTTGCGACGCTCGCCTGAAAGTTGTGCACATGTACGCGAAGTTTAATCGCTATTCAATTATCCGGGACGCGGATGTCAACAATGACTTTTTTGGTCGTAGCGGATTATTTCAGAAAATCATAGTTGCAGGAAAATGTTGTCATACTCAAGCCATTATGACGCTATTATGATTTCCCTTTATGTCATATACCTTTATGTCATTTTTTTATTGCGTCATTTACATTGATGTATTTGATCGTGAAATGTTTGTGTCATGAACCTATATGCGTCACTGATCTTGACCTCTATCTCGTTGACCATTGTGTCATTGACCTTTGTGTCATTGATTTGACCTTTGTGTCATTTGCCTCTTTGTCATTGCTTTTGAATTTTATGTCGTTTGACCATTGTGTCGTTGACTATGTGCTGTTGACCTTCGTGTCATTGATCGTTACCTTTGTGTCATTCATTTTGCGTCATTGACCTTTATGTCATTGACATTTCTGTCATTGACCTCTTTCCATTTCTCATTTTCTGTCATTGACCTTTGACCTTTGTGCCATTCAGGTGGGGGCGCCGTCCATCTTTATGTCTCTTCTTTTTAGTTTCCGGAGCGGCGAGTATAGTCACAGCATTTCTGCCGGAACAGACAGGTCAGTGAAATATTTGCAAACGAAATTCCTTTATAGTAAGGCCTGGGATATTTTCAGGGGGCGCTGAGCCTCCGACGGGACCATTTTTTTTACACCTATTTTCCGTGTTTTTCTGAATAAATTTTGAAATACTAATTTCCCAGGACGATTTTAATGAGTCCCAACACTCATTTTTATTGACCGTTAACCTGTAGTATTGTTGAAGGTATATACTCTTTGTTTTCCATTTTTTTTTAATGAAAAACACCTTGCCCTTCCGAAACAGGGTATTTTGGAGTTGCTTTTGCGCATGGACCCGCGCTAGGAGCACACTGGTTCCCGGTCCCTATTTAATCGATCCTGAAAAGGAGGCGGAAACCAGTCGAATGCAATAATTTCGTGCCGCAAATAATTTGAAATTTGCTATTTGCTATTTATTGATGTATTTATCGATGGCGAAAGTAAAATAACAAGTGACTTTTAATTTTTAATTCATAAACACCATTCCTATTGGTCGAGAGTCCGTCATGTGGCCGGTCTGAAACGGACGATAAAGACCAGCTGGCTGGTCTTAAACACTCTTCCAGTGTCACATGATTTTTGGACTCCTATAAAATCCAGTGCCTTTTACCGTTTTCTTGATTGAACGTTCACAATCCTCACGTATAGGTATGCGCAATACTACCAGTGAGTCAGTATTTCATAGTCCTAAATTCACAACGCACCGCCACAGCTGCATTCTGCGCGAGTTGTGCAGTACGTGCGACTCGCGCGCCCATCTCCCTAAAAGTTGTTGTTGTAGAGGGGTGTTTCGAAAAAAAAAGAATTGAAATTGTTGAACAAAATTGTTGGACATTTTTAATTCTTGACTTGTTTTGACGTTTGGACCAAAAAGTTTTGACTTTTTGACCGAAAGGTATTCATGCTGATGAAAGGTCTTTATGATGCTCCAGACTCTAACCAGTCTGAAACAGAGTGTTAAAAACCTCCCGAGCACACGTTTATTCCCATATTATTTTTTGTCTGTATAGCGGACGGCACTGATTTGACCATTGCAATCACTGTCACCGCCATGTTGGTCAAACTCTGCATCGTATGTGCATATTCCATCGATTTGATTTGCTGCACTGAGGTTTTGCCCACGTCTGTAAGGTAACGTCAGCTGGTTTATTTTGTCAAAACTGCAAATATATTATGGTCTTCAAATTTCTAATGGGAGACGTTTGAGCCGCGCGGTGGCACCCTAGTATAAACATTCCCATAGACACCAGCGATCAATCCCCATACTTCAAAATTCTTTTGAAAATACTCGAAACTCTCACAGGTGTTCAGGCTGTTACAGAAAAATGATGATCAACATGTCGTCTTTCCTTTTCCTTTCAATTTTTGTTGGGTTGACTATTGACTTTTTAGAGAAATTCTCCACCAATGAAGACCACCCTTTTCCAGTCTGGGAGACATTATTCGTTTTAGGGGGCACCCCTCAACGAATGATGTTTCCCAAACTGGAAAGGTAGCCATTTTGAAATAAGGATCGCTCCACAACATGGCTAAATAGCCTACTTTGGGACCCAACTGCATTCAAAATTGTCTGAATTGGAAGGCCAAAGTCTAGGCCAGAGGCGCAGTGCCGTATGTCTTCTTCAATTCCCAAATTCCATAAATTTTATTCATGAGCTCCGCAGACGGATTTTTGGCCTATGGTGTGTTTGCTGCCACCAACGTCTCCAAAGTCCTCCATTACGAAATGCATTACAACACCTGATAAATAAATCACAAAGGAAATCAACTGGCGACAAAAAAAATTCCAGTAGAATTAAAATCGAGGATAAATCATAAATAGGACCATCAGTTCTCGGTGGAAAATTTCAGTTATGCGGACGGTTGTGTGTGTGTGTGCGTGTACAAACACTGCCTTGTGGGGTACCGGAACAATGGGAGGTACCCCACAAGGATTGCCCACCGACTTGCGGGGTTTCGTTTTGGTACCCCACAAGTTTTCCACGAAATAGATATATGGATTTTACTCAAAAACTAGGAATTTCCAAGGTGGGTTGATCGGTCGCAAATAGAAGAGTTTTAGAAAAGGGATATTAAGTCCGAATTTCAGCCCAGGAAATTAACTTTGGTTAAAATAAGAGCATTTTGACATAAGTGTGCGACGTTGCAAAATTTAAGTACACGAGAACAAAGGAAGTACCCCACTTCTATGCCTGTCTGTGTGTGGGTGTGTGTGTGTGTGTGTGTGGGTGAGCTTGTCTTACATACGCAGTGTGGACTTCCGAACAAAAGACGTCCACATAATGTAGGTAGCAGCGACGAAGTGTGGACTTGCCCACGTCCACACAGTGTTTCCCCATTTCTGGAAAACAGGTTTAGAGGCATTTTTGGGTTAGGTTTATCTGTAGCAGAATGAAGAGAAACACTAAAGGGAATCATTGAAAAAAAATTGGGTTGTAAGAGTTTTCACAGTTTGAGAAAAATGAGTTTTTCCACTGGTGTTCCTTAACTACACGAAAAGAAAGGAAAGTCCACACTAGGTATGTGAAACAAGTCTGTGTGTGTGTGTGTTTGGGTGAGTATGTAAACACCGTGTGTGTGTGCGTTGAGAGGGAAAGTTGAGAGCTTAAAGGTACAGTCCTTCATTTGTCATTTGTGCATTTTGTTCGTTTGAAGCAACAAAAATGCTCAAAATCTAAAGAAGGGTGCTGAACAACTAACCTGAGGAAGTTTTAGCTGTATAGGCCTACGTCTACCTTGTGGTCTAGTTTGTGCAGTGCATCTTGTAAAGTGTTTCAATTTTTGGGCTGGTTTTGCAGGAATATTGGTTTTGGTGTAGGTGCTGTATGTGGATGTGTGGGTTTCATAACGGCTCCATTCGTGATATATTTGGTGAGTTTGGCAATAACTGTTCACACGCACATTGCGTAATAGTCTGAGTATCACCCGTTGTCCAACAGCGCCCTCTCCGTATCCAACGTCTGATATATCTGAGAAATGCAAGATATATCTGAGCAATGCTGAGTTACTTGCAAATATTAACAGATATTCATAAATACCTAAGACAGTTTAACCATTCCTATTGGTCGAATACCCGTCACGTGGCCGGTCTTAAACGTTTGATAAAATACCGGCTGGCTGGTCTTAAACACTTTTTCAGTGTCACAAGAAATGTTGACTCCTATGAAATCTAGTGTCTTTTACCTTTTTATTGGTTAAACGTTCACAATCCTCGGTTCGGCATGTGCAATACTACCAATGAGTCCGTATTTCATAGTTCGAATTCACACTACGCGCAACGTGCGCGCCAATCTCCATATAAGGAGTTGTTATCGACTGCTCGCGAGAGGCACATACCATAAAATAGCTAGAAGGGGTGTTTTAAAATACATGAAGTAAACTTGTTAAACAAAATCGTTGGACATTTCCTCAGTATAGACATGATTGAACTTCAAGAAGGACATCTTAACAATAATAGAGTTAATAAGATATACATTTATCTCTATTGCATATTTCTTCTCTTTTCTCTCTTTCGAAGGATGATTTTGCGTCTTTTCTTCCGCTGACTGTTTTTGGAGGGTTGTGCATCCTGGCGGCCATCTTGGTTCTTATTCTTCCCGAAACCGGAAACAAACCGCTTCCAGAGTCGCTGGAAGATGCAAGAAATATCGGAAAGAAAGTATCGAAAACTCCGGAACCGAATACAGCGGTATGCACACCCACAACCGATGCCAAGATAAAAGATGGTTCCAAAGTCGACGCACTCTAATCGATTCTATTCTACGCGAATCGAATCTCTTCAAAATAAAATTATTCAACCGAATAATGCAATAGTGTATACAGCAGTAATAATGCCGATGCTGAAGATATATAATCGATGTTGGGAAATGTATTTGACGTACATTATTTTAATCCTATTTTTAAGCTCCTGCAACGGCTTCTACATGTCACTTGGTGGTCGGTCGGTCTTTCCTCGAAAAATTGATCAAAATAAAGCCCTATAAGTTTCGCACAAAACATAACTTCAGTACCAAATTGAAATGTTCACACACACACACAAAATATGTTCGATACTTGACATAATTTTTTTGTATACAATAAATTGGGCAAGATGTCTATGAAAAGTTTGTGAATGGAGACGAAATATTTGCAATAATATTATATGTGCAGTAATGTTCATTTTTTGGCGGTTAACGGTTAACGGTTAACCTTATCACCCATTTTTTGAGCGATTTTACCTTAAATTTTCGACGGAATTTCCCCTTTAATAGCACATCTGTCCAGAAATCGATTTGGAATGCGTTCTAGGGCCCTTAAGACATCTTTCTAGCAACTTTCAAGCAATTTCATTTTTTGCCCAAAATAGAAAAAAAAAACAAGGGGTAAGCCTTACATTTTTAGTCAAAATTGGCCAAAAATTGACTTTTCTCAAAACAAGGCAGAAATTCATCTGGATGCAAGAGGAACGTCAATCAATACTCTAACCCGCACAATTTTAGAGATTTAGGCAAAAATCATCCATTTTTGGGGAAAAAGAAGTAAACGATTTGAGCGATTTTACCTTAATTTTTCGACGGAATTTCCCACTTTAGAGCACATCTGGCCAGAATTCTCTTTGGAATGCGTTCTAGGGCCCTTAAGACATCTTTCTAGCAACTCTCAAGCATTTTCTTTTTTTGGCCAAAATTGAAAAAAAAAACAAGGGGTTAGCCTTACATTAAAAATTGGCCAAAAATTGACTTTTCTCAAAACAAGGCAGAAATTCATCTGGATGCAAGAGGAACGTCAAACAATACTCTAACTCGCACAGTATAAGAGATTTGGGCAAAAATCATCCTTTTTTGGAGAAAAAGAAGTTCATTTTTTGAGCAATTTTCCCTTAAATTTTCGACGGAATTTCCCCTTTCATAGCACATCTGTCCGAAATCGATTTGAAATGCGTTCTAGGGCCCTTAAGACATCTTTCTAGTAACTCTCAAGCAATTTCATTTTTTGGCCAAAATTGAAAAAAAAACCAAGGGGTTAGCCTTACATTTTTAGTCAAAATTGGCCAAAAATTGACTTTTCTCGAAACAAGCCAGAAATTCATCTGGATGCAAGAGGAACGTCAAACAATATTCTAACTCGCACAGTATAAGAGATTTGGGCAAAAATCATCCTTTTTCTTTTTTTGGCCAAAATTGAAAAAAAAAACAAGGGGTTAGCCTTACATTTTTAGTCAAAATTGGCCAAAAATTGACTTTTCTCAAAACAAGGCAGAAATTCATCTGGATGCAAGAGGAACGTCAAACAATACTCTTACTCGCACAGTATAAGAGATTTGGGCAAAAATCATCCTTTTTTGGAGGAAAAGAAGTTCATTTTTTGAGCGATTTTACCTTAAATTTTCGACGGAAGTTCCCCTTTAATAGCACATCTGTCCAGAAATCGATTTGGAATGCGTCCTAGGGCCCTTAAGACATCTTTCTAGCAACTTTCAAGCAATTTCATTTTTTGGCCAAAATTGAAAAAAAAACAAGGGGTTAGCCTTACACTTTTAGTCAAAATTGGCCAAAAATTGACTTTTCTCAAAACAAGGCAGAAATTCATCTGGATGCAAGCGGAACGTCAAACAATACTCTTACTCGCACAGTATAAGAGATTTGGGCAAAAATCATCCTTTTTTGGAGAAAAAGAAGTTCATTTTTTGAGCGATTTTACCTTAAATTTTCGACGGAATTTCCCCTTTAATAGCACATCTGTCCAGAAATCGATTCGGAATGCGTTCTAGGGCCCTTAAGACATCTTTCTAGCAACTTTCAAGCAATTTCATTTTTTGGCCAAAATTGAAAAAAAACAATTTTTAGTCAAAATTGGCCAAAAATTGACTTTTCTCAAAACAAGGCAGAAATTCATCTGGATGCAAGAGGAACGTCAAACAATACTCTAACTCGCACAGTATAAGAGATTTGGGCAAAAATCATCCTTTTTTGGAGAAAAAGAAGTTCATTTTTTGAGCGATTTTACCTTAAATTTTCGACGGAATTTCCCCTTTAATAGCACATCTGTCCAGAAATCGATTTGGAATGCGTTCTAGGGCCCTTAAGACATCTTGCTAGCAACTCTCAAGCATTTTCTTTTTTTGGCCAAAATTGAAAAAAAAAACAAGGGGTTAGCCTTACATTTTTAGTCAAAATTGGCCCAAAATTGACTTTTCTCGAAACAAGCCAGAAATTCATCTGGATGCAAGAGGAACGTCAAACAATACTCTAACTCGCACAGTATAAGAGATTTGGGCAAAAATCATCCTTTTTTGGAGAAAAAGAAGTTCATTTTTTGAGCGATTTTACCTTAAATTTTCGACGGAATTTCCCCTTTAATAGCACATCTGTCCTGAAATCGATTCGGAATGCGTTCTAGGGCCCTTAAGACATCTTTCTAGCAACTTTCAAGCAATTTCATTTTTTGGCCAAAATTGAAAAAAAACAAGGGGTTAGCCTTACATTTTTAGTCAAAATTGGCCAAAAATTGACTTTTCTCAAAACAAGGCAGAAATTCATCTGGATGCAAGAGGAACGTCAAACAATACTCTTACTCGCACAGTATAAGAGATTTGGGCAAAAATCATCCTTTTTTGGAGAAAAAGAAGTTCATTTTTTGAGCGATTTTACCTTAAATTTTCGACGGAAGTTCCCCTTTAATAGCACATCTGTCCAGAAATCGATTTGGAATGCGTCCTAGGGCCCTTAAGACATCTTTCTAGCAACTTTCAAGCAATTTCATTTTTTGGCCAAAATTGAAAAAAAACAAGGGGTTAGCCTTACATTTTTAGTCAAAATTGGCCAAAAATTGACTTTTCTCAAAACAAGGCAGAAATTCATCTGGATGCAAGCGGAACGTCAAACAATACTCTTACTCGCACAGTATAAGAGATTTGGGCAAAAATCATCCTTTTTTGGAGAAAAAGAAGTTCATTTTTTGAGCGATTTTACCTTAAATTTTCGACGGAATTTCCCCTTTAATAGCACATCTGTCCAGAAATCGATTCGGAATGCGTTCTAGGGCCCTTAAGACATCTTTCTAGCAACTTTCAAGCAATTTCATTTTTTGGCCAAAATTGAAAAAAAAACAAGGGGTTAGCCTTACATTTTTAGTCAAAATTGGCCAAAAATTGACTTTTCTCAAAACAAGGCAGAAATTCATCTGGATGCAAGAGGAACGTCAAACAATACTCTAACTCGCACAGTATAAGAGATTTGGGCAAAAATCATCCTTTTTTGGAGAAAAAGAAGTTCATTTTTTGAGCGATTTTACCTTAAATTTTCGACGGAATTTCCCCTTTAATAGCACATCTGTCCAGAAATCGATTCGGAATGCGTTCTAGGGCCCTTAAGACATCTTTCTAGCAACTTTCAAGCAATTTCATTTTTTGGCCAAAATTGAAAAAAAAACAAGGGGTTAGCCTTACATTTTTAGTCAAAATTGGCCAAAAATTGACTTTTCTCAAAACAAGGCAGAAATTCATCTGGATGCAAGAGGAACGTCAAACAATACTCTAACTCGCACAGTATAAGAGATTTGGGCAAAAATCATCCTTTTTTGGAGAAAAAGAAGTTCATTTTTTGAGCGATTTTACCTTAAATTTTCGACGGAATTTCCCCTTTAATAGCACATCTGTCCAGAAATCGATTCGGAATGCGTTCTAGGGCCCTTAAGACATCTTTCTAGCAACTTTCAAGCAATTTCATTTTTTGGCCAAAATTGAAAAAAAAACAAGGGGTTAGCCTTACATTTTTAGTCAAAATTGGCCAAAAATTGACTTTTCTCAAAACAAGGCAGAAATTCATCTGGATGCAAGAGGAACGTCAAACAATACTCTAACTCGCACAGTATAAGAGATTTGGGCAAAAATCATCCTTTTTTGGAGAAAAAGAAGTTCATTTTTTGAGCGATTTTACCTTAAATTTTCGACGGAATTTCCCCTTTAATAGCACATCTGTCCAGAAATCGATTCGGAATGCGTTCTAGGGCCCTTAAGACATCTTTCTAGCAACTTTCAAGCAATTTCATTTTTTGGCCAAAATTGAAAAAAAACCAAGGGGTTAGCCTTACATTTTTAGTCAAAATTGGCCAAAAATTGACTTTTCTCAAAACAAGGCAGAAATTCATCTGGATGCAAGAGGAACGTCAAACAATATTCTAACTCGCACAGTATAAGAGATTTGGGCAAAAATCATCCTTTTCGGAGAAAAAGAAGTTCATTTTTTGAGCGATTTTACCTTAAATTTTCGACGGAATTTCCCCTTTAATAGCACATCTGTCCAGAAATCGATTTGGAATGCGTTCTAGAGCCCTTAACACATCTTGCTAGCAACTCTCAAGCATTTTGTTTTTTTGGCCAAAATTGAAAAAAAAAACAAGGGGTTAGCCTTACATTTTTAGTCAAAATTGGCCCAAAATTGACTTTTCTCGAAACAAGCCAGAAATTCATCTGGATGCAAGAGGAACGTCAAACAATACTCTAACTCGCACAGTATAAGAGATTTGGGCAAAAATCATCCTTTTTTGGAGAAAAAGAAGTTCATTTTTTGAGCGATTTTACCTTAAATTTTCGACGGAATTTCCCCTTTAATAGCACATCTGTCCAGAAATCGATTCGGAATGCGTTCTAGGGCCCTTAAGACATCTTTCTAGCAACTTTCAAGCAATTTCATTTTTTGGCCAAAATTGAAAAAAAACAAGGGGTTAGCCTTACATTTTTAGTCAAAATTGGCCAAAAATTGACTTTTCTCAAAACAAGGCAGAAATTCATCTGGATGCAAGAGGAACGTCAAACAATACTCTAACTCGCACAGTATAAGAGATTTGGGCAAAAATCATCCTTTTTTGGAGAAAAAGAAGTTCATTTTTTGAGCGATTTTACCTTAAATTTTCGACGGAATTTCCCCTTTAATAGCACATCTGTACCGAAATCGATTTGGAATGCGTTCTAGGGCCCTTAAGACATCTTGCTAGCAACTCTCAAGCAATTTCATTTTTTGGCCAAAATTGAAAAAAAACCAAGGGGTTAGCCTTACATTTTTAGTCAAAATTGGCCAAAAATTGACTTTTCTCAAAACAAGGCAGAAATTCATCTGGATGCAAGAGGAACGT